ATCTCTCTACAGACCCAACTTTCAGTCGACAAACAAAGTCAGTATTCTGCAGATTCATTAAAGGTGGAGATGATAATTTGTTACAGCACATTAATCTTCAGGCAGTGTTGAGCCAGTTATAGACATGAACGTGGTTTAAATGTTGGAACTTTATAAATAAAACCCATTGATGCCAGCTTTAAAAAAGTGCATTAATTAGTCTCATATCCTCTACTCTAAAAGTTTAGTGCTGTTTTAGCTCTTGGTGCAGAGACTGCAGCCATCTGAACGAGCCAAAGTGAAAATCATTAGCTGCTGTAACGCACAACATTTCAAATGACAAGCTGTTCAGCATTGTTCTGTTCTCCAGCTGCACCCTAGGGTGCACTCAACTCTGTAGAAAACAGCCAACTCCAGAGCTGCTGGAGACAGACAAGCTTGGAAGAGGAAGGAGAGTGATGCATTGAGTGTGTGTGTGTGTGTGGGGGGGGGGGGGGGAGTAAAAGGTTGTAGCAGAAATACAATGTGAGAAGAAATAGAGGCATAGAAAGGGACAGAAACAGAAACAGCAGAACAAATTGAAGCAAAAACAGAGACAGACACAGAGGAAGGAGGAATGTTGCATCCATCTCCTGACCTTATTAAGAATGGATGTTTTCTTGGCCTGGCTGAAGAGAGAGGGGAGACAAGAAGAATATGGGGGAAAGGAAAGGAGAAAAGGATTCTAGGATGGAGGATATTAAGAGCTTAAAGAGAGAAACAAAGATGCGTATGAGATGAGATAAAGGAGAATACAGAACAGAAAAAGATGAGAAACAAGCAAGGATTCAGAGTCTCATGAGGGGGATGCTCATACACAGACACAAACATGCACACACACATACATACACACTCACACATACATGCAGACAATCTTCCAAATCCCTCTGGTGTGTTTTAACTCCTTAATGATGCTGGGGTCAATGATATTGAAAAACGGCAAAAAACCATTAACATTTCAAAGTTCAGGCCGATTCACAAAGTGAGCTGCAGTGAAAATGCCACTAAGAGCTCACTGCTCATGCCAGACAGCACAGTGTGCTGCGCATTCATCAACTGGTGAGTTTTGTGGTTAATCGTCAAACTTTGGGCATTATCCAACAGAGTAAAGAAGAAAAATATTCTGCAAATGAAAGTGCAGCACATGAGTGCAGACACAAGAATGTGTTTAACATAAAATGAGTGATATTTATCGTAACGTTTTCCATAACATTGCCTCAAAAATATAATCACCCTTTATAATCACTAATCAGAAACAAGAGCCATATTTGGTCCAACTGAAATCCTTTTCCACCAGCAAATAAAGCCATTCCCATCACCTCTTCTCCACACTAGCACACGCGCGCACACACACACACACACACACACACACACACACACACACACACACACACAGAGAATGAGTTTACTGGGGTACTAGGATGCATTGGCCCTCTGGTTTCAATAATAATTGGTTTTTCATGAACCTCTCCTTTGACATCAGCCTATTTGGGTCACACTGAAGCTCTGATGAAGCATAACTTTTCTGTTTGTTTTATACACAGTAAAGGCAGCATCACTTGATCTCCAGGGAAAGACTTAGTGGGGCGCTGGAGAAAATTGTCCCAGTCGTATTGATGGGCTAACCTACATTGATTTGAGGATGCTCAATTGGCCGTTTGGTAACAGACCTAAGAATATTCTTTCACTCTATGGTCTCCAGGTGAGATAAATGAGGTTGGTATTCTGCAACCCATGATCAATAAAGACATGTGGCAGTGAGACGTTCCCATAAATAATTGAAGTGTTGTGAAAAAGCCGTCCAAGACCCTCCTATAAACAACTTTACTTTGGATACTCTTGCGGTTTTACTGAGTGTTTCTGCTGAGCTGCTGAGTGCGGGGCTGCGCGTCGGACTTTCTCTGGCCGGACTGAAACCAAAAGTCCTCGATTGGCTACTGCTGATCAGTAACCTGCGTCTATGTTGTTAAAGTGAGCAAGGAGTTAACAGTAATAAAGCCAACAAGTCCTAAAAAAATTTCATCATTCGGATTAAAGAAGAAAAAGAAAATGTATATATCTTGGACTCAGGGTGAAGGATTTCAGTGTAGCTGAACCATGTTTTTAAAGGAAGGAACTCACAGGTTTGTTTCTGCCTTACCAAGTTTGGACTTCAACTGAATGATCTACCGTAAGTTACAACGAAGCTCAACCTGCAAGCCTCAAAAGTAAATTGTGCGTAATTGCGCACTGCACCGGTCCGTACGTTCTGCTCGGTGGTTTTCTTCCTCCCGAGCACCCTCCCACCAAAACCCTGTCAGGCTGACCATAGCCCGACGGCTTTCCATACTCACATCCAAAATGACAGAGATGCCTCTCCGCGGTTCCGGGGCGAAGAACTGCTCCTGAGCCACGGCCACCTCCTCCTTGCTGGAGGCGTACTCCCGGCTGGAGATGTTCTTGTTGTCGCTCATTTTGGTGACGATCCAGCGGACGAGCCCGTCGATTCCACCGGGCTGGGCGCCGCTGTTTCCGGACTGCGCTGCCGTCGCGGACTCGCTGTCCTGACTGGCTACGGGTTTGGGCTGCTCGCGGCTTTCTTGAGCTCGAAGTTTGGCTTGCTCTTTGTTAAGCAGTTTGTGGACACCGTCCCTACAGTAGCGCGCTGCTTGCTCACACATCCTTTTGCTGCGGAGCGCTCATGCTGCGCTCTATGGGGGAGAGAGAGAACTCCCCCTCCCCCGTTACATCACAGCCCCAACCCCCAAACACTCCCACTCATCCTACACATCACACCCCTACTAAAGAGTATTTCACAAAAAATATTTATCGTAACCTTACAAGGACTGATGTGACTTAGATTTGATAAGTCAAAGCTGACTCTTTCAATCCCCGACCTATAAGTATCGTATCATATCATACCGTGAAAATCACAACAATACCTATTTGACAGACTTAGTTTTCTTAATGATTTGCTATACAGAGCTTTTCCCTCTCGGTTAAAGAGATTACTTGTCAGATAGGCTAAATCTTATGCTGGTTCAGAGGTAACCTGATAAAGAGATTAACCCCCTCTCTCCGACTGTTTCTCGAAAGACTAACTTTTGTCTTAAAAAAATATGAAGTTACATATGGATAACTTCAGTACTGTGTTAATCTTCCTCAAGTTGCAGACAGTTGCCGACAGGAATGGCTCTCAGGTATCTGTCTCCTACTCGTGGGTTAGGAGATGGGATGTTTTTCTCTCGGTATACCAATACCACGAGTGTAAATTGCAGAACTACTCATCATAAAGAATACTCCAGTAGGCCTTTACATTGTTTTTAAGTAAACCTGTCTTCAAGCTTCTAGGGAGGTCTTCGAGCCTAATGTCCAGCAGCACAAAAAATGTCGAAAACTTAAGTTCTTGCGGAAAACTGGCTCTTGGGGATGAACAGCTGAGTTTATGGATGTTTCACTCCTCACCAGCAGAGAGCAATATATTGCTTTAAAACAGCTTGACACTATTGCCCCCTTGTGGACGCTCTTGTGTAATAAACTAGAGATCTGATCACTTCTGATGTACTGTTTTGCTCAGTTTATTTTTTACTTCAAAAAGTCAAAAGTACATCTGGTTACAAATTTCAAATAGAAAATAATTACCAGATATTTCAGAACACCAGAAATAGTGTCAAAGATGAATCCACAACATCCCAGTTCCTGTTGGAGGAACAGTGGAGTCCATATAGCGAATCACACACACATGTATTGGATGTGTCCTAAGTTAAGTATGTTTTGGAGGGAGGTTTTTAATGCACTGATGGAGGTTTTTAAAATGAACTCTTCGCAAAACCCTGCAGTGGCAATGCTGGGAGTAATACCCAAAGGCCTGGACAGAAGAGCGGATAAATAAATACCTCTTGAGTATATCACTCACAGCGGCCTTTAAGTCTATATCCATCAGATGGTTGAAACCAGAACCTCCATCATACAGTACATGGATTCAAATGGTGTGGGATATTTATCAAATGGAGCAGATCACATTTGCCCTCAGGCTCCAGAAAGCCACCTTCACTAAAAGATGGGAATCTGTACTACCTTTGTTGCTGCAATGACAATATTTATGATGTAAAACCCTTCTGTTGTATATCAAAATGCCGTCATCCTGCCTCTAATTGACATTTGTACCAGTAATTCTATACTCTAGAGTGGACATTACCTATTTATTTGATATAACGCTTGTTTTTGTTTTTTTATTTCCACCTTCTTTTGCCTATGGATGTTTGTAAAAATACACTTACAGCTGAGGAAGAGGAAAGGAAACATAATTAGTTTGAAATGTACTTTTTGTACTGTACTGTAAAAAAAAAAAAAAAGAAAGAAAGAAATAATAAAAACTAAGTTAAAAAAAAAAGGCTAAAGTAGGGCTGTAGTCAGGGTAAAAAGGGTTTCTTGCAGAAAAACCTGACAAACAAATCTATATAGGTTTTCCAAACTTTGGGGGAGGGCTGAACAAAGAGGCTGTGCCAAAGAAGGCCAAACTAGCCTCTGGCTAGAAAAATACCTGAATAAAAAAATACCTAAATATCAAACAGCGTAGGCAGGCAGCAGCAGAACTGTTAGTGAGAGGCTATCTCTGAAGAGTTCTTTATACTCAGATTACCAGCTGCTGACTGATTTAGTGACGTCTAGGTTACCAGGTGATCATCAACTACCTTATTAGCTCCTAAAGGGAACAAGAAAAAGCGTTTAGACCAGAGGTGGGCAATCATGTGCCATGGAGGGCTGAGACGCTGCAGGTTTTCTTTCCAACCCAAAACTCCACCAGGTGATTTCACTGATTACCACCAAGCAGAGAGCAGGGACTAATCAGTGAAATCACCTGGTGGAGTTTTGGGTTGGAAAGAAAACCCGGAGTGGCACATGATTGCCCACCCTGGTTTAGACCATAGACTGTGTAAAGAATGGACAGAGTCTGCCTCCTTCCTTGTATCTTCATCCGTTATCTTTCAGCATAAAAAATTCCAATGACACCCTTATTTTTGTGTGTTCTGGATCACAGTATCTGGAATTTTGTCTGGATCAGGATCAACCTTTGACACCTCATAAAACTCATTGAGATCCTTTTGTGTCATTTTTTACTAAAGACTCTGGACATTTTTATAGAGTTAAATGCAAAAATTCCAAAATTTGCCCTATCTCACAATGATAAAGAATCCTTCAAAAAATTCCTGGATCCAGAAGGCGATCCGGATCACCACCAAAATGTAATGGGATCTTTCTGGGGCTGAGACGCACCTCTGGTGAAAATTTCAGGTCAATCCGTCTGTAACTTTCACCGTAAAGTGGCTAACAGTCAAACAAACAAACCAACCAACGCTACCGAAAACATAACTTCCTTGTCGGAGGTAATCACTTAAGTTACTCTAGTACTTTTTTCTTAAATTCAAGGTTGAGGAAACCAGACAATAAAGGACAAAGAGAGTCAGAGTCAGAGAGAGAGAGAGAGAGAGACAGACAGACAGACAGACAGACATGTAGAAAGTGAACTTATCCTTGACCCTGATGGGAAAGCTTCAGCATCATAACATTAAAAGTAGCAAAACAAATGGCTCATAAGACAAAGGAAATGAACATGAAAAACATAGTCAAAGATTTTTATCATAAAAGCCTTTTCATATTTTCAGAGTGTATTTTTTTCTTTCTTTTTTTTTTCCAGAGGGAACTGCTGTGATAACATAATGACATTTAATCAGCAGTAAGCACTGTTTCTCAAAATGACAAAACCTCAAGTCATTCCAGGGGGTCTTGGGAGAAAACATACAGAAGCCTAATCAGGTTTATCAATCAAATAAGACAGAATAAGATCACACAGCTCTCACCTGGCCTAGATGCTTTAGCCAGATAACATATGGTGCTTTGACTGGCTGGTTTCAGGGGTCAAAGAGCAAACCCAGATTTAAGGTGTCCAGCTGTTCATTTATTCAGTCCACCATCCCAACCTGCTGGGACCCTGGCTGCAGTGCCGAAAGACACCGCTGGAGGAGACAGTTTAAGTGTATCTGAAGAAGATTCTTATGGAATATTGAGGAAAGTGTGTCCGCTGATTCATTCCTCTTATCATTTAACCCTGTACTACAGTTTAATCTATCCATATATTAATTATTGCAGCATTGTTCGGGCTGGCACATATCCCTCTTATCTCAATCAGATACTTTCAATCCAAAAAGGTTTTTAAGAATGATTTCAAGCAGCTGTAATTATAAGACATCAGCACCTTTGTTTAATAAATTCAAATTTTTGTCAATTCATTCTACAAATACTTATTTAACATCCGTGTTTATGTTTAAATTCTTATATCTTCAGCAAAACCTTCCAGACACATTTCATAATTTCTTTGTTTTATCATCTGGCATCCACTCTTGTTCAATGAGGTCTTGTTCACGTTATTGTGTCCCTCTTAATCATCAGTCGTTTATTAAATTTAGAGGCCCACATCTTTGGAATTCACAAAGTTCTGATTTGAAGTTTTATCTTTTTCTATAAGAACTTTCAAATCTCACTTAAAAGAATATCTTTTATCCAAATAGTTTTCTGTGCTACCAGTACACTTGCACCTGATCCACATTTAAAGGGTATTCAGTTTTGTTTTATTATTATTATTATTATTATTATTATTATTATTATTATTATTATTAATTAATTAATTAATTTATTATTTTTTTTAATGTTATTTTTTATTATTTTTGTGTAGCACGTTTCTTTTTTTTTTCTTGTAATTTAGTTAATTAGATGTTGTATTGTTTAAGATTCAGCATGTTTTAATGAACTTGTATTGATGGGGAGGATTCTGTGTAAGTCCTTCGGCTTCTTTCCTCTCCTGCACAGTTTTGCTGAACTGGAACTTCTTTGTTTTAAATATGTAATGATTTTATGTCTACTTTTGTGCAAATAAAAATAACAAATGACAAATCAAATAGCATATCAGCTTGAAGTGCATTTCTCCCCCTTTAAAGAGTATTAAAGAGTTTTTAATTAGCACTGTCATTGTTGTCATATCCATTTACAGCCACTTACTCACCTTTGCATCACACTTGTAACTTTATTTGCTGTTGGCACCAGCAGATCTCCCCTGTTGGCTCTGACCGGGAAACCTCCTCAGCAGTGTGATTGAATTGTTTCAGACACATGACTGGTCCTCACCACCAATGCGTTACACTATATGGTCCAACTGTCAGGCTTGAACCAAGTACCCACATTGTACGAGTTAAAGGGTGGCAGGGTTTTGACATTTGTCAATTTGAGAACTAACGGACTCCAAGTTCTCCACTGTGCATGTTGACTCAGCACATTTGCTCTGATACATACAGAAACAAACACCAATACTGAAACTCAATCCCTGCAGCAGAAAATGTTAAGTAAATAATGTTGCACAGTCTGAAGGTTTAACATTTTTATGAAGTTGTTCCCACGTGGAAGGCCATTGTCTCTCAATTAAACAGAAATCATTGTTCTGATTTGCTGTTGCGTGATTTTTTTCTATTGTACCAACAATAATCCATTCACTATACTTCTGTTGTACCCACAATACTTCCTTTAATTAGTGTGAACCCAACACTTATTTTGTTATTGCTGTTTGATGTGTATCTACAGGATGTGCACTCCAGTTGTTCAACCAAACCCCAACCAAAAAGCCACTCTATAGCCACAAATAATGCTCAGAACAGCACCTAACTTCATCATCAGTACATAAAGGGTCCCAGCCATAGTACTAGCCATCAAACATCTTTTTAACTTTGCCTGATTTCTTCAGCAAAGAGACCAAACACAACTCTCCCAATCTCCTTCAGCAGCTGCTAGTTTGTTGCAAAGCCCTGATGAGTCGATTACCTAGTAAATGTTTTGACGTTTGTGCGTGGAGACGTAGACCACTGTGTATTGCTATCATACGGTCGTTACTGAAGTTAGTATTACCAGAGCGGTCGGCAACATTCATCTCTCAAGGGGGTGTCTAACTTGGTGTTACAGTGTGTTTGACCCCAACTTGAATTTTCCCAAGAATATTCCTTCAACAAGTTGCCATGGGGCTTTCATACACTCCTTGGCAGAGTTTTACACAGGTGGTGTAAAGCAAAAGCTAAAGCACTGAATAAAGTTGTCCGTAAAAAAATCTCAGTTAGAGGTGACTGCAGTTTGCTGATAGAGGCTTGCAGGAGCTTTCGTTGTCTACACTGATGGCAGCTGTGTTTTGGTTGCTGGCTAGTTTATGGTACTATAATTTATGTTGGTGTTGGGGAGACATCCAACTTTGGTGCATAGGCTGCTGTTTTCAGCCATCGCTGTAAATTGGAATTTCTGTCAGAGAGTAGTCTGAGATGTTGTTTGGCTGAGGCTGCAATTCATAAAGTGTACATCATAAACTGAAGATGGAGGGGGCTGCACTTGGCTGGCAGTGGTTTTAGTTGTAGTCAGCTGAAAGTGGCTTTTTTCATTTTTATTTTTAATGAGACTGAAGTAGAGGGCGCAGCTCTGCGCCGCTGGCGGACATGGAATTTGTCAATACGCCAGCTTGTTCGTTCAACATCTCTCCCTACTACATTTACATGTCCGTCTCAGTGTGCTCCAGTTTACCAATTTCGCCACCCTGCACCGTGCCACGGGCGAGCACAAATTTAGAGCCCTAACTGTTGGGGAAGTCTGTTCCAGTATTCGATTGCCCTGTACATCACAGTTTTCTTAAAGGCATTAATTACCTCCACCAAGGAGGTTATGTTTTCGGTAGCGTTGGTTGGTTTGTTTGTCTGTTAGCAACTTTAAGAAGAAAGTTACCGACGGATTGACCTGAAATTTTCACCAGAGGTGCGTCTCAGCCCCAGGAAGATCCCATTACATTTTGGTGGTGATCCGGATCACCTTCTGGATCCAGGAATTTTTTGAAGGATTCTTTATCATTGTGAGATAGGGCAAATTTTGGAATTTTGCATTTAACTCTATAAAAATGTCCAGAGTCTTTAGTAAAAAATGACACAAAAGGATCTCAGTGAGTTTTATGAGGTGTCAAAGGTTGATCCTGATCCAGACAAAATTCTGGATACTGTGATCCAGAACACACAAAAATAAGGGTGTCGTTGGAATTTTCAGTGCTGAAAGATAACCAATGGACGGCACAGTGGTGTAGATAGGTGGCACAGTGGTGTAGTGGTTAGCACTGTCGCCTCACAGTAAGAAGGTCCTGGGTTCAAATCTGGCTCAGGGTATTTCTTGTTTAAAGGGGGACATGAGCTGCTTGGCGGAGGTCTGCGCTCTAGTTGTTTTTGTTATTGATATTATGTTATCATACTTGAAGTTTCTAAAAGCTGCAGCTTGACAGAGAATGACACATCAAAGGTGCTGCTGCAAGTGCAAACAGTAAACTAAGTGTTATCAAATGATGAAACTAACTTTGATGCCCGCAACACATACATATACAGCTTTGCCTCTGATGCAGATGGATGTGCTCATGAAAGCAAAGCTTCAGTGCACTCCCATTTCAGTGATTCCTCTCTGTTTCACAACTTCAGGGATGAATTTGGACGTTTAAGACCAACAGCCAAGTGATGGGATCTCATGCTTGGGCAATTTAAATGCTGTGATTGTGAACTGGTCCAGTATACTACAGTTACAGAAGTTAAGTAGTTGGACCTCTATGAGTTCTTCCCTCTCCAGTGGATGTCAGAAAGGAGCCTGTCTGTTATGCAGCCACTAGGTGGCACTGCTGTATTTGCATCAGCATAATGTCCTTTCATGGCTGCCCACTGCTGTGGTCATTATATTTCTTTTATTTATTTAACCTTTATTTAACCAGTAAAATCACATTGAGAAATCACAAATAAAATGTTACACAGCTCTGCCAGCAACAATACAATTCAATGAAAATACAACATGGAGAGACTGAGAGTACAGTACTTATTGCTTAGGCTCAGAAGGATGGAGAGACTAGCAAGGAATAGAATCAAATAATAGTACCAGGGAGCACTATATAAAACTGGAATAAAATAAGCTAAAATAAGTTAACAATAACAACAATTACAAGTACTGATCATCAAAACAGGTGCAAGGAATGGTAAGTGTGCCCCTGACAATCCTTTGAAGCTCACTAGAGGGATTAAAAAAGCCAATTTCAATCTGGTCTGAAGGTGGTTCCACGACCAGGGCCCAAAGAAGGCAAGGCTTTCTTTCCCAGCCTCAGAACTTTTGTAGGAACAACGTAGCGCAACCAACTATTTGATCTGAGGTTAAGAGAGTTTTGGATCATTGTAAGTCATCAGAACTTTTTTTTTGTTTGCTGCTGAATTTTGTCCTTAACTTTTCAGTTATTTTTAATCTTTTTTTTCCAGACAATTTAAACATTTTTCTTTAAAAAGAAGCAGAACTGAATTGTTTCACCTGAACCAGTCAGGGCAGGCCTTAAAAATGGACATTCACAGTTGACTTCTTGGAAGCCATTAGCCATGGGTTATAATTACCACAAACTGACGCGTCTCAACATGATATCCATTTCTGGGGCACTTTTCCTCAGAGGTTGCATTCACTAATTGCATTTCTGCTTCTTGTCTCATGTCACTGACCTTTCTCTCTGGTCTTGTTTTAAGAAACCCACATAAGCTGTGTGTTATTTAAAGCAAATTATCTGTGTGTTTGTATTTCTCCAGACAAAAGACCAAAGGCTAGTGTTGTTTCCAAAGTCTGTTTGTTACTGACCAAAACAACAACTTCAGATAGGTCACATAGATTTGAATAAGGAACTTGTCCGGACAAAAGCCCCCAGCTGACCATGTTATCCTATTGGCTTTAAAGGTACTATTTGCTTGTGTTAACATTCCTCTACACTGCATTCTTGCAACACTGTTTGTAGCAGAAACCCAGGCCTGAGGCAGCTCAGGACTTGAGTGCTGAGAAGTAAAAGGGAAAAAAATGGTTCAGTGTAAGAAAAAAAGAACATTAGAGGATGGTATGTTTGGAATTCAGAGCCAATACTTCTATGGAAAAAAAAACAAAAAACAGTTTGAAGTAAAAGTTTCCTCAACCATAAACCATTGTTATTTGTTTGAAACTGACATGCCCCGCCTTTCCTTACACAGTTTGCATGGATGTCAACCCAAGGCCTGCTCTTTATTTTGACGTTACTGTTAGAAGTGACATGAGCAATGTACCGCTTATAACCCACTTTTCCATCTCTGTCAGGAATTTACTAGAAAGAGAGAAAAAAACTTCCCAACCCCCTTAGGCAGTTGCCAGTGACCTCGGACCTTCAGTCCCTGCCAGCTGTGAGTCTGCATTCCTTTCAGTCTTATCCATAAACCCACACGTAGGCAGTCCCACTCCTGTGTTCTTTCCCTCTCACTCATTGATAGGTGTGAATCTTGTCATCTAACAGTCCTCAAAAAAGACATCCAAACTCACTACACCTACAACCCTAAAAAGAAACAAGAGTAGATAGCCTACATATAAAAAAATTAAACACTCACGCATGTGTGATCACAAAGATGGTTTGCAACTAAATTTTCTCTTTTTTTTTTTTTTTAAGCTGCAAAATGTAATACTAGTGTCATAAAGTTTAGCGGACTGTAAAGTCTGAAAAGGATGCTGTGTTTGGCTGTAGCATGACATTGAAGAAGGTGATATTGTGGAGTCAGAGTAGCTGGCTACACATTTGCTCCACAGGGCCAAGTCTGACTCATCGCTGCCTCACTGCGGCAGCCTGCGTCTCAATCTTAAAAGCTCTTAAATCAAAACTGACAGCCCTGCTGTGAATGTCACTCTTGTCCTCATTTGATTGCAAAGACATATTCAAGCAAAAAATATAAAACCTGGAGGAACTTGAAGAGGTCCTTACATTACAGTTGTTCTTTTGGGGAACACGATTTGACAAATATCAATGATCATTGTAGAGTTCAATTGAGAAACACTTTGATCCAAACTTTGATCCAGACTAAATATAGAAAAAATAGATGAATTTCCTCCAACTTTAGTGTAGAGAAGAGAGGAAGTCAAGCCTGACAACCCACAGAAACTAGAAAAGCACTCGGAGAGCGCAGACCTCCGCCAAGCAGCTCATGTCCCCCCTTATATGGTGATTCACACCAAAACTTTTACTGTTACGTGTCTTTTATTAACTTTTATTTGTGTTTAAACTGGTATGTTCACTGTTCATAATGTTCCTAAAACAAGAACTCTGACCAGGATTCAAACCCAGGACCTTCTTACTGTGAGGCGACAGTGCTAACCACTACACCACTGTGCCACCCATTGGTTATCTTTCAGCATTGAAAATTCCAACGACACCCTTATTTTTGTGTGTTCTGGATCACAGTATCCAGAATTTTGTCCGGATCACCACCAAAATGTAATGGAATCCTCCTGGGGCTGAGACGCACCTCTGGTGAAAATTTCAGGTCAATCCGTCTGTAACTTTCTCCGTAAAGTTGCTAATAGACAAACAAACGCTACCGAAAAACCTCCATGGCGGAGGTAAAAATATGAATCAAAGTGGGTGTCAGTGTGGGCCTGTGAACCATGATAGGGTCAAAGTCAGATATCAGCATAATTCTTTTTTTATTGTATGCTATTTTGTGACCATGCACTTGATGTAGAAACAAAATTAAAATATTTTTATGGTAATTTTTTTTTTTTTTTAATTTAGCACACATCCTTCTCCTGTTGCCAAATGGATGGCAACTGACTGCAGGCCACTCAACACTGTGGGATGTCCTCAAGTTGGCATGTTGTGAGTCACAATAGTACAACTTTTGACATGAGTGTCATGTGCAGACAAAAGTAACCACAGACAATTGATTTATTTTCAATTTTATTCTTGTTTGTAGCAAGAAAAAGAAATTCAGATCCAGAGTCATCTCTATACTGCAACAGCTCACCCAGAAACATCTGAGTTTTCTATGAATTAGTGAACTTAAACATTGAATACAGCTGTGGAGACAGCAAAGTTATCACTGTGGGTGTCATGAGAGTGCAGTTTGGGTGCCTCACAGAACAGAATATGCTCTAACATTAACACTTAAGTACATTGCCAAGAATGGTATTATACAAGTTTGTCTCTCATGGAACTTTAATGATTATTAGCATGACTCTCTATAGTTTGTTAGTGAATATTACATACAATTGATTACAAGTATGAACTAAAGAGTGAGCCAGGGTGTTTGATCTTTACTGGGGACTAATCATGATCAGATTTTTACAAAACCTCCTGGAACACAATCAAAACTTCTTTTGGTCTGAAGTGCACATGATATACGGAAGGCAAAGTAACAATCTGGGAATGTACAACAGCTACAGATCATGGTGTCCATTTTATTCTCAAATTCAAAATAACTTGGGAAAGGACAACATATTTAAGACAGAAGTAGAATCTACAGACAGTTCAGAGGAAAAGAACTTTTCAAAAAGGAAAAAAAAACCACGAGTCACAGTGTTTTGAATAAGAGAAGAGGTGCAAAAGTAAAAAACTAAGTCTCCATTTGGATATACCAGTTGCACTTTAAATTTTTAGTATTCTGGTACCATCCACCGCACATTCAGCTGCTGCTATCCATAGTCCCATTTCAACTAAAAAATAAAATTTAAACTATACATTTAATGAATTTCAAATAAAATTGACAATAAAATATACAACAAAAATACACTCGAATGAAAAATAAAAAATCAGTTTTCATCAAAAAGCCAACAACCCTATTATATTCAAACATGTAGAAACCGTGTTACCTTTAACTGAAGTTCACATATAAGAAGTGCACACACATTCAAACACCTTTGATTGCTTCAGTTTTAGGTGACAAGTGTAGTGATGTTTAGTCTCAAGTTCCAGCTAAGTTCCCTCAGAGCTGTGTACACTCCATAGTACTGTGTTTCTCATTTTTCACAAAAAATATGAGGTAACACTTCAACAATCACATAAGTAAAGGTCAGGTAAACATAGAAAATAACCAGATGTGTACATCTGCTACAATTAACCAGTGAAGCAAGTGGATATGGATGTCAAAATTTGTTGGCTGTTTTTTCAGCAGCACTGTCAAACAGTCCAGTTTGAGAAATCTCTCCACAGCAAAATAAATAAAGCATATTTCCAAACTTATTCAATACTGTCTTAACTGAAATAGATCACTTTTTAATTGCGTCCCACTCCAAATAGTAACTGTCTAAACATTGCATAGCGCCTGCAACTGGTCATTGATGTCTCTGCGTGTAGGTATGTGGTTGTAGTAAGTACAACACTCAGCATTTTAAGACTTGGGAGAATGATGTTGTATTCCTACATACAAGAAAAGTGCTAAAAATGTGCATAAGATTAAGTGTCTGCTTTGGTGCCAAAACAACAATTCTTATGTCCCTCAAAAACTCGACCAGCGGATCAAAAGAAAATTACTTTACAATAGTTTTTCTGTTTTGAACCTTGGTGAAAACCATAGTACATGGTACAGTCTGTCTAATATTTTCCCCTCTCTGTAATTGGACGCCATCAAAGTTAAGCTGCAGCTTTTAAAAAACTTACTTACTATTTCAGTTCTGGAAACATCCCATCATGTCAGTATGTTCATCAGCAGGTGCTGTCTACTTAAAGTCAGGTCCAGTCAATTAGTATTCACATGTACAACACAGGCTTGATGAGCTCATGGAAGAAGTCTAAGAGAAAATAATCTCTAAAGTCAACATTTCATAAGAAGGCGAAGTTCAGGCAACTGAATGATTGATATGGATCTGTGTGTATGTGACAGCATCACTCATACTCTGCGTCTCCTGTAAACAACTACAAAGGAAGCAGAATTGGAGGTAAACCTGCCAGCAGTCAGCCACAGCCACAGTGCTCCTCTGTTCCAGTGCTTAAGCCTCATGTGAAATGAACAGTAGTACGACAAAGTCTCACCATCCTGGAGCAAACTACAGCCATAATAAAAGCCTGTGTGTTTGAAAGTGGATCTGACACCAGTGACTCAGATCTTTTTTAAATACTGGTCTTCTTCACAGATATATTATCAGCCACTTCATACAGATAAACACAGTTATTGATCAGCTACAACTTGAGCTACAAGGCTAAAATGGGAGTGAAGGCAGTTACAATTTGTCATGCTAAACTGGAATGTCTATTTAGGGCTGGATCGGACATTGAAATTGGTAACACCAAATATGTAAACTGGACCTACTTAAACTAGCCAGACATCTGTCAGTAGAAATATTTTTTAGCAAATTCAGCACTGATCAATATAAATGTAGTATTTCAAGACATCCACAAAAAAAGGCCCCAGTAATACTTCAAGGAAATGTGTGATAAACATATTTGAAAGTACAACACAACTGGATCAGCCCTGGCCTGAAGAAATACTAAGAACACCCATTTAAAACTCAACGTGACCTGTCAATCAAGTTGTGATTCCACCTGTCAACAAGTCAGCCCACCAGTAACAGATGGAACCAGGTTACTGGCACTTTAAGATCCATAAATAATATACATAGCTGGCTACTTCCATAAGGAGGAGTATACCAATAAAGTTCACATTTTGGTTCTTTCCATCAGAGCATTTCTGTACGGGAATGATCAATACCCAAACATTGATGCAATGTTACTTTTCCAGTCTAGCTGTAACCGAAATACACCTCCCTAATGCTCTGTAAGTGATCTGGTTTCAATGAGGAAAAAGCAGAGAGCACTTCAGACCAGTGATGAAGGTTAGTACAAGTCGATGGTTTTTTATCTATTTTTGGCTCTCAAGAAATTATGCAGAGTAAACTTTGAGCTGCAAAGGATTCAGCAACTAGCCACACAGTAAAGCTTTGGCTTTGGTCAACACATCACCAAGAATGGCCAGCAAATCCTCTCGAAGCAGGAAATAGAAGTAAAGCGTGGATCCCAGAATCTTCATCCGACTGCATTTCCTCCTTCTGCCGTCTGGCTGGATGTGCTGTCGATTCATCCAAAATCCTCGCTTTATTAGACAGCCCATATCTTCTTAAGCTGGAAGTAGGCGTCAAATCTGGCCTGGGCGTACTCCTACAATGTAGACAAATTTATTATAGATATGCCCTTTAAATCACCTTTAATGACAAGTAATAGGACTCTTAAAATAAACAGATAAACAGCTCTGGTAAAAAATAAATAAATAAAAAAAAACTGTCAGTTTTTACTGATAATTTCATTATTTAAAAGAGGAAAGGAAAGGAAGAAATGATGGTGGGTTCCATTTACCTCAAAAGTCAGAGCTGAAATGACGCTACATTCAGGTTGATGACATTACTAAATAACTAATAGCTAAAAAACACCATAAAAAACACAGCTTTTAACAGTGTTGAGGAAGCAGCCATCATGGTATTGAGTAGGATGTTAATCATGAAAATCAAGTCAAAATAATGACAATAATAACTAAAATAACAAAATAGGCAAAAATTATATTTTAAAAAAAATTCTGTACAGTTACTTTTAGTAAAAGTGGTTTGACAATGTTTTTTTTTTTTAGACTACAGTAATAAAAACGTACCCGTATGCTTTTTTTTTTCTTTTTAACCTTAAAAGAGAACACCTTTACGAAATCATGATCATGCTGTCTTTGACCCTTGAACCCACCAAGAGGATGTATACTGGGTTATCAAATTGACTCAGACATGAAGTCATTCTCCTTCATATCTGCATTCATACAACAAACATTATTTCACCCACAGCTGGATGAATCATTTAGGTCAGGCCACACACTGGCTTTATCAGACACCCATGTGATGTCTATCTGTTATTGTGACAGAGACAGCCTGCTGCACAGGGGTCTGTCTTATCTTGTCAAACCGGCCTGACCCGACTGTCTCCACACAGTAAATACTGGCGCAGCATCACTCTTCAAGATAAGACTATTTGCTTTTTACCAGTTGCCTTGAGGAAATATTTTCTTTTCTAATTTGAACACTGAAGTCGTAAAATACACTAAGTAGGAAAAGTAATGTCAAAAACTTCACTCACCAGATACCCAAACTGGATGGTGGAGAGCCGGGCCTGGATAATGGACCACAACCCCCAAAAGAAGTGGGACGCAAGAGAGAACCTATATCCACAAACGCACAATCACATTTTTTGTCATTCTCATTGTTTTTTTCTTTCTTTTTTTTTTTTAGTTTTATCTCTTAATGTGTCCGTTTACACCACAGGTGTCAAACTCAAGGCCCGTGGGCCAAATCTGGCCTGTGGAACAGTTACATCTGGCCCAGAGATCATATCATATTTGTATTATTATTGGCCCACCAGTATGAAGTCTGCAGATTTCCTCAAGTATAATATTAAACTTTAGCACCATTATTTAAAATGTCCTTTATAAGCCACGAAAATCTAGGAAATTAAAGAGTAAGGAAGATTTGATAAATAATCATAAATGTGGGGAAAAAATATTTGTTTTATTTCATGTTTTTAATTTTGCATTTCAAGATTACAAATCAAACATGATTGGAATTTTTATATCATGCGTTGATTTTGTTCAATTCAGTACTTAGACTTGTGTCATTTTTCTACTTTAGATTCCAATTTTAAATTTTAAGTCATATTTTGACCTTTTATACCTGATTTCAATGTTCTCCTCATGTATTTTTCTGTTTTTAATATCATGCTCTGATCGTTTGAACTAATAAATAAAATAGAGTAAAAAATAAAATATTTTTTCTATCTCACATCGCCTTTAAACTTATCTTTTTTGAATTTCCAAATGTTTTATAATCATTGCTGTTTTTGTTTTGCATATTTTTTGAAAAGGAGGCTGACAGTTTGGGTGTAATGTTGACCCTGTTTGGCCCTCAGGTTAGACCTAAATCCAGATTATGGCCCTTGCTGTGGTTGAGTTTGACACCCCTGGTTTATACCGACATCTGTGCTCACCTGTTGACCTCTACGTACAGCTGCTCCTTCAGCGTCATTTGGTCCTCCGCGCTCAGGTTGTCAAACCCTTGGTCAGATTCACGCAGGTAGCTTTCAATGAAGTGGAGCTGGAAAAGTGGCACAAATTCACACTCGTAAATGGTCAACAAGTGAACTGAATAAGTAGTGTATCAGTTTGTTGACATATTCCACACACCTGTTGGGCCTTGGATGGGTAGGACTGAGCGTCGACTTTGAAGAAAGGAAACTCATCACAGTTGTAGTCGTACATCCATTCACAGAAATGGTTGCCGATATCAAAGCCTCTGCAAAGTCGCAGGAAGGAAAAGAAAAATGTACAGATGGTGATGAAGGATGCTTTTCTGTAAAAGGACACATTTATTTGCTGACATCTCAAGTGTGTGCTGCAGTTTGTCTAACTGTCCTGTTTGTGTACCTGATGAGGTCTAGCTGGTTTTCTTTAAGCCCTGCATTAGTCCATTTTTTAAGTTTTGTTTGTTCAGGATAACACGAGTTTGAGGTGACAAGAACGACTTTTGCTGCTCGATTGCAGTTCTACGAATTCTCTCCCATACAAAACGTCCTGCTCTCAAAAAAGGAAGCCTGTGACCCTAACTCACCCACCTCTGTGTCTACATCGTATTCAGTTAGTGGAATCACAATCCACAGTTCGTGTGTGTGTGTGTGTGTGTGTGCGTGTGTGTGTGTGTGTGTGTGTGCCCTTCCCGGATATACATCATGGAACACACGCTCACATGCTTGGTGTGTTTACGTGAAGCGGGCCATTTGTGTTCACAGGGTCACGTGTTTGCTGAGCAACATATGAGGAGCCTTAAAGGGGCCACGCTTAAAAAAAAAAAAAAAAAAGCTGCAGGAGTTTCTGTTTCGCCGTGTGTGAGAGAGGGAGTGAAAGAGGCGGAGACAGGGTTTGTCTGGGAAAAAACTGTGACCCAAGGCCAGTGTGAAGTGTGCTGTTTCCCAGAAATGAACTGCTCAGGAATCCACACACCCAGGCATGAATGCATTTAGAGTCCCCCATACGAAGGTGCATGGAAGACATGCTCTTCTGTCACAAAAGTCATTATTCCTTCATTATGTTTCGGTTGATTTCTAAGCTTGTTGGATATCCACTGCACCCCACCATTACCTCCATCCTGTGCATCTTCATGAGCTGAACAAATTCTGGTTACATAACAGCAGCAGTAAATAATTCAAGAGGGTGCTGTTGCCGTGAGGTTGGGCTGCCTGTTACCCCATCCCTCCCACATTCTCTCTCTCTCTCTCTCTCACACACACCAACCCCCAACATACATTGAGCACTAAGATGTGTTGGAGGAAAGGCAGTGACTCAGCATTCGCAGCTAATAGGTATTTATCTTACATGTCTGTTGGTCTAGAGAGTTTCGAATAAAAATGGAGTGACACACTGATGTACCATCTGAGTAGTGTTATCAGCTGTTATCTGTTTGTGGCCACTGAAAGACGACTTTATAAAAGAGATTTCCAAAAATGTTCAGAAGTGAAGAAAACAAATTAGAGAGTAAATCAACTGACTGTAACTCCAAGCACTACCCCTTTTACTAACTGAGGACAAAAAACTAAACCCAATCATACAAATGTTGTGACTGCAGGACCACCAGCTATCTCTGACCCAAACTTACGTAACTAAATAACCAAACATACAACTATCTTCACCTGTTAGGAGAGAAAACAAAGAAAACCTATTTAGGGGAGAAGAAAGGAAGGAAATGAGAAAAAAAAAACACTCCTTTCCCTAAGGTCCCAACTACACAAATGTGGATATATTTCAAACCGCACATATTTATGTCCGATTAGGCCTCCCTACCACACCAAAACAGGAGTTTGGAACACTCAAACTGGATAAATCTGAATCCGAAAAAACAAGTGGAGTGCTTTGTTATAGCCGCCACACCGTCACATGGACCCGACGCACTAGCGTAGCTTACGCAAACAATGCATGACGCATCACGCTGTTACGATTCATCGGCCAATCAGGTAGCTTTGTTCCTGAATTTTTTTTAAGCGGCACCAGATAGGATTGAGTTTGAAGGCTACGTGTGGACGCAGATATTTTTGAGAAATAACACGTGTGGACAGATACATTTATTTAGACGGGAGTACAAAAATATCCTGATAAATAAATATCTATATACGTGTAGTTCGGGCCTTAATCATCTCCTCCTTAGAGCTCAGCTGTGCAACAGGCAGAAGAAGAAGGAACCAGGCGGAAAAGAGAGACATGCAGAAGGATTTTGGTTCCTGGGCCAGATGAGGGAACTACTGACGGTTCATTCTGTGGCTTTTGGACAACAGCGGGACTTAATGACACTGACGAATTTAGATGTTTTTGGATAACGGCTTTGACCACACAGATCTTGCTGGATGTTAGAATAAATTCATTACATCTGTCTTCAATCTGTCCGCTAACTTACCTGTAATTGTAGCTGCTGTATTCAAAGTCAATCAGCATCAGCTTCTGTTTGTCTGAGCTCTGGCGACCCCTCAGCAGCAGGACGTTCCCTGAAAGCAGCACACAACTGGTTACTTCTTATCCAGGAGACATTTTTACAGTTTCAGGGAAAAAAAAGAAACTAAAGTTTTTACAAACATCATGTTTTCAGAAAAGGTTTACATTCACATCCAGAGTTAGGCCCTGCAGATTAGTCATCCCACTAGGGTCTCTGAGACTGGCCAAGATCATACGGCTTTGTAAACTTGGTAAACACTTGAAAAGCTTGAAGGTTATGAAAACGCTTAGACAGAGGCAAAAAATGAAACAAGGGCCATTCGGGAGAAGTAAAAGTCCAAAGACATGATATTAAATAGGCAAGGCAGGGTTAGTTTTATAAGAAAATAAAGGACAGGTCAAAATATAGCTTGAATGTGATACCTTCTTGACAGTCGTTGTGGCAGAAGACTACAGGAGAGTGGGTCGACTCCAGCAGACACCTTCACAAAGACAAGGAGAATGGTCAATAAACTGGGCTTAAAGACCGGGTTCAAGTTGAAATGCATCCTCATTAACTGACCCCAAACACACCCAACACTTTAATAAAGTAACAAGAGATTCAAAGTCCATTTCTCAGTTTCACTCTTTTAAAAATATTTGCCAAACAGAGAAAACGTTTCCCAGTTAAAAAACAAAAAAACAAGAAGTTAAGAAGAAGTCGGAAAAACGACACTGGCTTTATATCAAACATTTACAGTGTTAAAGTATAAACTTGTGCTTGAGACTGAATTATTGAAAAAGTACAAACTGTACATAGCTTGTTGTTCCTTTACCACCCGCCCTGCTGTTTGGTTTACACTGGATTTAGTCTTTATAGGTTGATCCGGGCTTTTTGGGTGGTAAACATCGGAGGACCTCCCGATGCTGCACATTCTGTTACGTAATGTCATGTTTAGAATTCCACACGTGTTTTATGTGTGAGCCAGTCAACACAGGATGTGTGTGTGTGTGTGTGTGTGTGTGTGTGTGTGTGTGTGTGTGTGTGTGTGTGTGTGTGTGTGTGTGTGTCTAACATACTTGAGCATATCCATCTCCTGTGGCAGGTTGTAGCTGAGCAGGCGGTTGAAGCGGCGCAGGTGGGACTCTCTGGTAAAGTTCAGCCTCATGACTTGGTTCAGGTACCTGGTTAGAGAGACAACCACATTTATTCCACACTTCCTCAATGACAAAAACACGTGTGTTGGAGAGTCAAAATGGCTTACTTATAGGTCAGATCCATTTTCATGTCACCGTGACTCAAAGATTAGTGGATAACTTGACATTGGTGATAGTGATTCCGAGGTTAGGATGACCTTGTGAGAGCTTATACAAATATATTTGTCTCTTTAATGTGGACTGTGTTAAACCTGGACTACAAAAGTAAGAGTCAGATTTCATAGAACAAACTCTTGGTTTTGGACTAAAAGCTGCTGCTGTACTGAATCAAATGGAAATAAAGTTGCACTAATTACAGCCGAAGTTCTTTGGTAAACAAATGTATGTTTAGTGTCAAAGAAGAGAAGTGAAAGAGCCAAAAGAGGATCTGTGATTTCTCAGAAGCACCAACTGGTCAGGAAGATCTCTCCTCTTATTGAGGCGAGGCAACAACTTTACTCAAGACACACTTTTAACACAAAACCCAATTCGTAAATAAAAACAGAATACAATGATTTGCGAATCCTTTCTAACTTAAATTCAACTGAATACGCTACAAAGACAAGATAGTCAATGTTCAAACTCATAAACTTTTTTTTGCAAATAAAAATCAATCGACTGAGCTTATTTAGACCTTTTATTTCTCCGATGATCAAATAGTGACCTTGTTATTTCCTTGAAAGAGTTACTGAAGCTCAGAACTATTTTTTTTGTGTGCTTGTTTTGACCTTTTAGCACCACAGTCCGCACACAAGTCTCTCTCTTGTCTCAGCTTAAAATGTCATAGAATAGAGATAACAAGAAACTGGATACTGTTTGCTTTTCTTTTCAAGTGCTGTTCAAACATCCACCTGTCAGCAGCTGGGTTGCCAAAAAAACTAGAAAGGCACTGGGAGAGCGCAGACCTCCGCCAAGCAGCTTATGTCCCCCCTTAAACAAGAAATGCCCTGACCGAGTTCGAACCCACAACCTTCTGGTTGTGAAGCGACAGTGCTAACCACTACACCACTGTACCACCCATCTACACCACTCTGCCACCCATTGATTATCTTTCAGCATTGAAAATTTCAACGACACCCTTATTTTTATGTGTTCTGGATCACAGTATCCAGAATTTTGTCCAGATCAGCACCAAAATGTAATGGGATCCTCTGGTGAAAATTTCAGGTCAATCCGTCTGTTACTTTCTCCGTAAAGTTGCTAACAGACAAACAAACAAACCAACACTACCGAAAACATAACCTCCTTGGCGGAGGTAAAAATCTCAAAAAAGCTAGTTGATATTCTTTGCCAAGAAAGATGCATAACAGAGGTAGAAACGCCCGTAATCATGTTTTAAATAGTAAGATTTTTGAACAATGAAGCACTAGACATACAGTACGTTTGATAACCTGAATGCCCTCCCCTGTCACAGACATTCTGTAGGTTTACGTATTTACCAACCTGTCTGACGTGGAAATTTACAATCACGGGGCAGATAAGTCATGTTTGTTACACGTAATCCTGGGTGATAAAGCAGTTCTCTACCTTAACAGACACGACACAAACAGGGAAATGGACTTTATCATCACACGAAGACAGACGTTGTGTAATGTAAACATATTCCTGAACTTCAAAGCAATTCAAACACATGTACATTATGATAAGCTAACTGTCATTTTGTACTCTTGGGTAAGTAATCAGTGTTGCAAGTTGTTATCTCTGCACTCAAGACCTTCAGTTTCCGACCCTAGAACAAGTTTCCAGTGTGCTCTGGCTCTTATCTCAGACTCTCTTTAAAACTATATTTCTGTAGCAAATATGTCTGAACCAGATTACACTCCAAAGATGAGACACAAGACTCACTTGTCCATCGTTCCAAACAGCCACTTGGGCTCCTTGTTGAAAGGCATCCTCATCCCATGAAATTTAGCCATCTTCTCTGCTACCTCTGCTGAGATGCTGGGGTCACTCAGCTCACAGGTGTCCAGTTTACGGCTCTGTCAACACAATGATTCATATATATTTCAAATGTATCCAGTAACTGTAGTTTTGAGACGGTTTTTAAAGTCAGAGGAACAAAATAGCTTTGTTTGAATACATTTATTTTTATCCATTTGTAATGCACCCTCACTAACAGATTTCTATTTTCAACTTTCATCTTAAAAATAAACTTGAACAAATAATTTGAAAAAAAATAAGATAGTCAGCTGTGAGTGTTTTTCTAAAATATAGGATGAAACTAGCTTTGACTGAAGAAGATATTGATTTAGCTTTCTGGCCTCTATCAGCCTTTTGGAGTCACATGTTCAGCACATTTGTTCCAATTTTTCATGAGAGCCAGAACTTGGCAGGACGGTTGGCGCATTTGTTTGTGTTAATACTAAATCCCAATATTTGACACCAGCACACACACAAATAATGACATGGAGACTTACAGGGACATACTGCTCCAGTCGTCCCTGAGGGAAAATGCCGTAGAGTTTGGGTCCCAGCTCCCTCTCTGCTAGGATTGCAAACATCACACTCTCCAACACCATGGCCTCTGCCCCCTAAAAGCACACAACAGAGAGAAAAATAAGAGCACTTCATTTTTATAATGAGAAAAGTACTAACCACACTTCCACAAATATCCATCGGTGCAGTGAACTGCAGTGAGAGGAAGAATATATATATATATATATACATTATATCATAAAAAAAAAAAAAAACTTTCTCTGGTCACAAAGTCTGAAAACATGAGTGAGATTCGGTTAGTCCGTCATGATTTGGGGTCCTGTTGGATCCTGTTAGACAGTAAATCTGTGACAGTTCTTTATTACAGTGAATATATCTCTGGTAAACATCTCAGTTTAAGCCTACAGAGACAGACAAAAGTACTTTCAGTGGTCTTTGTTTGATTCTCACATTTGTCAACTGGATGAGAAACTTTTTGTCAAACTTGTTAGTGATGAAGAACCCAAAAGGAGCAAGAGTTAGCTGTAGTTGTTTATGATTCGACTACTGTATTTCTTCAACTCTGCACTTTTCAAACCACCTGACAGTGTCTCAGCCTCCACGGTTGGACTCTTACCAGCTTTTCTGTCAAAACTCTTACAGAGCAAGATGAGAAATTTTTTTTTTTGTTTACATCTCACACTTGATCTCTGTTTCATTCAGCCATTATATATAAGTGTCAAATGCAATCTAACTAGAATAGAGTTGACTGCAGCACCGGACCTAACAGTATTGGTAAGTATTGGTATTGGTAAGTTTCCATAGGGACATTTCTTTTTTAAGTGAATTAAGATGAATTATTGTGCTGAGTTTGTGGCTTTTGCAAGAAACCCGGTTACTCCAACAGATTTTCTTATGGTACAACACTGCAAATGCTGAATAATGTGATCAGGATAAAAAAAATAAAAAATAAAGGGTAAGTAAGAAAGGGTCTTTAGAGGATGCCAAGGATGAGGGAGTCTAAAAGAGGAGGAATGCCATGGTTGGGGTGAGCTGAGTTTGCCTGTCAGAGCGTTGAAGGGGACACAAGAGGTAGATTAAGAGTTTCCAGTAAGAGCTGGCCCACTCAGGGAGCGAGTCACTGTTGAAGCAGATGGCCTTGTCTTTGCTTTCTTTATCTTGGAGACACACCAAACTCACACAGCAACACACTCGGGCCTGAAGCCCAACAGGGGACTCAAGGTTAAATGGGAACACAAACTCCAGTCCTGGAGCCTGGAACTCTACAGATGAGCGCTGGCTTCTTACCAACTTATTTCTTCTTTACTCTATTGTGCTGAGAAGAGAGGAAAAAAAAACAGGTTTCTCACCAAACAGACGAGAGCTAATTAGCAGAGGAGGGGGATATCTGAACAAATTGACAAGCCTTTAGGCAAAGTCACCAACAGAACAGGAAACTCTGGATAGTGCAGTTGTATGTCTTCTAGCATTTCCAGGAGGAAGTGTGACAAAGGTCACTGAAAACAAAATGACTTGGTTTCAAAGGTTCCCTCTTTCTCCTGGAACACATCGAGTTGTCATGCTCACTCTGCCCGACGTCTGTTGAATATAAACAACCTGAGTGTATTCACAAATCACACACTCTGCCCCAGTTTCAGTCTTCTATGACATTTAAGCCAACACTACACTGCATTTCACCGTAACCTTCAGAAGCTGCCACAGATAACAGTAAAACATTTGGCTATTTTCACCCTCTTAAGTGAACCGTCCTCTGATAAACTGCTGCAGGGACAGAGAGCTGGACGTGGGAGCTGGGGTCTTTGGCTTGGTGCCAGGGAATGTGCTCCACGGTGACTGTTCAGCAGGAAGTTGGCTCAAAGGAAACACTGTTGGCTGTTTTGTAGCCTCTTGGATGTCAGACTTTTATTCTGGATTTGGCTCCAAGCCCATTCCTCACTATTATGGTCCCTGCACGGGTCAGTGAGGAACTTTAACTGAAGGAGACAGGGTTTGGGGGGAATATAGTGACTACTTCTCAGTGTTGGACACACATTAAGTTTCTTATTTATATAAAATAAAGACACAAAGCAGGAATTTTGATGCAACTTCTCATACCTTTTGGAGCTAAAGTTGGGAATTATATTATTTTCCCCACAGCTGTCAGTAAATAAAACATTGTGACAAATGAGAGGAAGTACCAACAGTAAGGCTGAGGCAGTTCTGTGAGGAGCCATTAAAATCAATTCATCACAACCAGATGAAAAAGCTTGATGGCTTCCTCCACTTTGCCCGTACACTTTAAGATCTCCATCAATGATTGGAATAAAAATACAGAGAAACACAGTTTTACTTGGTTAGCGATGTTCATTTTGCTCTTCTCCTCAGCACATGATCAATAAGTGAGGCAGGGAATCTTTGTGAGTTCTTGGATTTGCAGGTTATTTATTGGCTTTTAACCCTGCATGAGACTCGGCTCCTGTTTTAGTGGTTTATGGTTTGTTTTTAGTTATTTGTACATTTTACTTTTTAATTCTGCTTTTGTTTTTTGACACATAGTCAGCTTCATTTGTTCAGAGAATATTCCCCTCAGTTACATAATGTCTTATCTGCAGAGCTCTGAACACATGTAACTTGAAATCTCCTTTCTGAGGTATGCACATTACCATAATCATCTTGTAACACATGCATCTGACGACAAATCAGCTCTCTGCTTACTCATAATCCTGCTTGGCTTGCCTACTGGATGTATCACAGCCCTTACAATATTTCAGTGAGTCAACTATTAGATCATCTTACTGTGACCCACACTGACCCGTATCTGGGGCACGCAGATACGTGGACTGTAGACTTGTCATAAGATCTCGTGTTTATTTTAATCCATATGTTCTATTTTTATCGTCTGTGAGATTTATGAACTGAGTTCAGCGGGAAAAAAAGTCCTTCAAGAATAGAAAAGTATATCTTATCTTGTCTGACTGCTATCATCAGGACAGGGATTTAGAAAAGTTTCAACTAAACAGTGCTGATTGTATTCTTCAGGGCATGATTTAAAGCTGCAGTGTTGGAGGAAACAAGTAGTTTTATTGGATTAGATGCAGTGCTGTTGGTCAGATAGTTCATTCTGGACTGAAATTATGTTCGTGTATTTCTATTTATCAGAGAGGACAAAGAATTTTGCTCCATGTGTCACAATAGACCAAAGAAATATCATATTTCCTGAGCAGATATTAAGGTTTACATAATATTAATAAAGAAGGTGGTGGAAAACAGTGAAGCTAAAGCCCCGTGTTTGTTCATTCCTTTTGTCACCCAAAACTTCATCATGGCCTGCCAATAATCACATCTGAACCTGAAAAAGCATGTTGAGATTTGAAGCTCAACATTGGTTTTACTCCAGATCAACATTTTTGTGCTTGTAGTACCTTAAATGCAGATTTTATATTTAGGATTGGTTTGGTTGTTCTTTTTTATTGTCCCTATTGGTTTAAGATAGAAATCTGTAAATCTGTAGCATCGCAAGTAGGTTTTAAAAAGTGTAAATATGAATATAACACAGTCGTATGTGCACTGATGTCATTCTGATAGCATTCATCTGTGAAAATACAATTATTGAAAAGTTCTTTAAGTTGTGTTAATAGAAATGCATTTTTTAAATCAAGTAACGCATTAACTGATTAAAATTTGTATTGACAAAAATTTGACCTAAAATATCTACATTTCCTATTTTATCTATATTTTGACTCAAGAGCTGACGCTGTGCACTTTGTCCACTCCTGATAAGTAATGAACATAGTCATAAAAATACTGTTACCTCTGCAGTTACAGAAACATGCCTGACTATGTCACGGTGTTGAATTGATGCCAACAAATAGACGGTCTTTGGACATTTTTGGCTTTCAAATAGACATCTATCCCCCATTATCTCTCATTATGTCTTCACACAGACGATTGTACTCTCAAAAAAATCTGCTGCTGTTTGGTAGCATAGTCCAGTCTGACACCAGCACAGTCCAACCATAAATTGGTCGATAATAAAATACACTATATGGTTTTTTTTTTTAGTTAATTTATCAAATTAGCTAACTGCCACTGAACTGCACTTGTTGTTTTATTTTGGCGTCTGTAATATTAGGCTTGTGTTGGTGGCTGAGTGATTATTCACTCAAGCCCTAAGTTCTTTAGTTGCTACATTGTCCTAGTAGTCCAGTTTAGTTGGATTTCCTGGGTCATGACACAGCAGATAAGTATTGAGGTTAGAGCAGCAGCTGTGAGCAGCTCACTCTACACCTGCTGCTTCACTCCAAGGCCATCCCCACATATCCCACATAAGCTGAGGAGCAGTACTGATATAGGGCACGTCTGTCAATAGATCAAATCATTTTCAGAAGAAAAGATCTCACAAGACTTTGCCTATTTTACTGTAATCTACACTAAATAGACATAAATGTTGAAACTCCTGCTCAAGGATATTCAGGCTAATCATGGGAAGTTTCTGTTTCCTGTCAAAAACAGGAAATAGTAAGAGGGAGGTGCCTGCTAGGAATGCATATAATTTCCCTGTGTATGAAGGGCGAGCTGGCTGAACTTCTAAGACTTGTAGATAATTAACTTTTAAAGGAAAGGAAGACCTCTGCCCGAGAAAGTGGGCCACATGAAACAGATCGCTCCAGCAAATACTGGCATCAAAAATAGGTCAGAGGAAATCAAACAAGGTTCACTGTAGGCCAACAGAGCTGACTCACTGGGTCTCCCCGAGTTCACGTGCATTAAAAGCAAACACAAAAAAGCAGAACGATTTAAAAATCTGTTTGTCAGAGTGAAATTACTTCTCATAAATATTTGACAGTGAAAGAACTAGAGGTCACTAATTTGATCCAGTCCAAAAGAAAACATTAAGGAGCAGTGGATCTCCAGCTCTCTGTATATTTGCTTTTAATGATGCGTAATGCACATTCAGTCAGCTCATCATGTGCAAGTTGTTCAAAACATAGCTGTTGTCATTTCCCAGTCTCTCCTGTAGTCTTATCCCTGTGTTGAATTCCCCTAAATTTACAACAATCTGCAAGAGCCTGTCAGTGAAGGCAGAGCATATCTCAGGCACAGCTCCGTGTTTTTCCACTCCGATTAACACATCTCAGCCTTGATCCCTGTACAGTCTTCTTTCTTTTTCTATTAGCAGTTTGTCTGACATGTTTTCATCTGTGCTGCTATGAAAGGTGAAAACCCCCAACAAGGGTTAACACTGTGTCTTCCTTACCTAATCCAAATGGGATTTCCCATGACCAGACAGCCTTGTAGCCCACTTGCATTGAGTTCCTCAGACACTGACACCAGGTCATAATTAGGTTAGCCTTACTGCTAACCTGAAGGTTGGATTCGAAGTAAGGAAAGCTGTTGTGGACAATCAGTGTAGATGAGGGCAACACTCTTGTATAAACTGATGCTCTCACTCGGTCACATGAGCTGTGAGTCAGCTTCATCAGGACGAGGTCAAGAGCTGTGATCACATGAGGTGGTGCAAGGAAAGTCAATTTCTAGGTCACAGAGTATAAGTCTTATCTCAAATGGAATATTACTTGATTGAGTCGATACACACATGCTGGTTCCTATTAAAACTATCTAAGACAGGAGCATGGAGTGAAACAGACTCATCAATGTGTCCACTCCTAGAATCAGGTGGATTTTGACCATTCTGCTAAGTTGTTCAGAGACTTTTCAAATTGATAGAGGTGTGAACATTTACGCATGAGGACACAACAGCAGCACGACTTTAATGATTATTTAAAACCCAGGACACTCCAACGTGGTCAAGATCTAAGGATGACTGACATTCTGTGCACTTTCCGTCAAAGAAGCGTTAGCTGTTAATAAAAAAGTGAACGATAAATAAAACATTTGGCAGTAAAAAGTCAGCAGGACGGGATTTTTTATGAGGAGGCTAAGGCGTGTAGAATACAAGAAAAGTACTTTGTCCTCAGGGGGGCACCAAAATAGATTTAATTAAAACAAAACAAAACAAACTTCCTCACAGGTGCTCTGTGGCATCGACACTTTCTGCCTTCTCAAGTCAGCGCCACCTTCGCACCTGAATGCACCCATGAGCCCTAGCAGGTTCACTTGCTGTTTAGACAACAGTGACTGTGTGTGAAACCTACGACAGTGTCAGGTGGGAATTAAAAACATCACCTGGTGATTTGTGCTTTATGGTGTGTTTGTGACACAACTCCCCGAATGTAAACTTTGAATTTTGAGTTTAAGCCGGACAAATGACGAGTTTTTAAATAGGGCCTTTTGTGTGTAAAAAAAAAACAAAAAAACACTACAAGGTTAAGTTTGTGATGTTAGCATTCTGTATCAAAGTCATGCTGTGCCATGGGTTAGTCATGTTAGTTACGAGTTTGAGTCAACTCAGATCTTAAGTTTGAAAGACAACCGTTGGCCGTGGGAGTTTAGAAGCCTTACACAGATCAGGAAAGAGACCGTGTTCCAACAGAAAGTGCATCACAAATACTTTGGCGAAACAAAAGAGCAATCCCAAACATCTGAATCTGTAGTTTGACACATGAAATAGTGAGAGTTGTGGTAACTGGATGGACAGTGACTTACACTGTGGGCAGAGGAACATGCTTTATGCTGGAACCATCACCAGTTACTTACTTGGAAGTGATTCTCTTTGTTTGACTGTCGGGAATCCCCTTTATTACAGGACATCTATCAACAAAAGAAAAAGGAAAGAACTATCCATGAATACATGTGAAACCGTCCATAAGAGTCAACATCCAAATTCCTAACCATTCCTGCCAGGCAGACAGTACAGTATGAGCTCAAATAGTCTTTTGAATACAAAAGTACAGAGGGTTGGTTGTGACCATCAGAGACCACAACAGCCGAAAACAGAGAACAGAAGAAGAGGTCAGATGGTGCTGAGACTGAAAGAGGAGGGATCTATCTAAACTCACTCACTCGCTCATTCTCCTGAACATCTGCTGATGATGGATGTGATATTCCAAGTTAAAATACATATTAAATCTGGTTAAATAAACTGGATAACAGACAAAACCAAATAAACAGTGACGGGGATGAAAAACATTGGCACTTCTGCTTGCCGTGTAAATACCAAAAGCCAATCACACACTAACCCTGCCAGTGATGAACACTAAAGGAATGCTGAGCCTTAAAAAGCTGATCTGCCGGGAACAAGTTGAGCTAACATAAGCAGTAGCCCACTCTGACAACTTGAGTGACACTGACTTTGGCATGAAACTCCGTATGTCAGTGACTAACTACTCTTTAAAAAACACAATACAGACTAATATATCCTTCAAATGCTCAATAATGAACTCTGACAAAGTTACTAAATGATTTGTTTTGTTATCTGTAAGCCTCTGTTGTTATTGATTTACTTTTCAACTCCATTATTTCCGAGCCCTTTAGTCATCGGGGTCTATAAATCAATTAGCTAGTCATGATCCAATATTCAAACAACATATTTCCATTGCTGAGAAACAGCGTCTTCAGTGCTGCAGGTCTTTGCTCAGTTATTAGTAGCTGTGTACACTGACAGTGACATCCCACTTCATAAGACGTCACTAATTTCAGCAGTCTAGACCTGGAGAGTGCTGCAGTTACCTTGGAGAAGGACACGGTGCTTTTGCTGTCTCAGACATCTCCAGTAATAAAAGCTAACTGCGTTTAAAGCCGTTGTCAATTATGCTAACTTTAGTTTATACGTAATGTGGGTCTCATCATGCCTGGTTAATGCACAACATAAAAACCAATAAATTTTCTAGCTTTGATCCACAGATTTTAAGGTTGAGGGAGCAGCAGGACGGTAGCCTCTGTCTCTTTTAGAGCTCTTTGTTTTGGCGCTAGCTGTAATCTATCACAGCAGGCTGAAACAAACTAAATGTTCTAAAAACAACACCTCCAAGAATGAAACAACAGAAGATAAGAATATCTCCTTGAGCGCATTTTTTTGAAAATTCACTGAGGAGCCTTGAATTTTGTTCACTTAGTACTTGCAAGGGTCAGCCTGAGGGTGGCCTGGTTTCTGAACCCTGGACACACGAGCCATATCATCTCAGGAGATAAAACAAAGGCTCTATCTATCTATGTTTGCAGCTAGTGCTGAGGACCTGCAAAAAAATACAATATCTATCTGTTTTTGTGCAGACTTTGAGGCAACAACGGGCCAAAATGCATGATGACTAATGACTTTTCTGAGCAAGCTCCCACCATGCGAAATTTTTCCAGGTCTCCTGTGTTTGTTCACTTGTTCAGAAATTCACCTGACCTCTCAGAGATTAGGGATAAGGGTTGAAAGCAGAAAAGAGAGACAGGAGAGGTGTTTCAGCACCTTGTTTTCTTCCATACTTTATCCTCCTGACTCAGTAAGCCGAGGTTGTGCAGAATGAGTGTAAGTTACATCTTTGTATCATTAGGCTGAGATTTCAGAGATCTCATACTGTACCGTGTTTTTGGGTGGGTTCAACTGGGAACAAGAGTGCCCAAAGCACGCTCCTTTGGGAAGCCTACGGCAAAGAACACATGCATGTACAGCCATGGGGGTACATCACTATGTACAACAATGGCTAACACGCGCACACAGACATACATCCGTGAAGACATAAATGCACATGTGTGCACACTCTAAAAGCATACGACCTGCAAACTCACACACACACACATAACAAAAAACGTGAAGTGGCATTGTTCTATCTCACAGATGTTTGTATTTTCCTTCTGCTTCTAAGAATTCTGTTCATCAACTAAGTCTTTGAAGTAACCTTTGACCCAAGGTAAGATGAGTCACTGTGTGATTAAGGGCGGCGATGCCAACCTTCCTAAAAGTTTAATCGAAAGCAATTCAGGATAAATATTTTTTAAATTACACACAGCTAGTGTGCTATAATAACTTCAATAATTAATAACCAACCACAACAAACTACTGAGAAAATAAGAGCGTTTCTCAGATACAAGAAGTCGTTGAGAATTACTTGGTTACATTTAAGTGTCTGCTTGTACAGTAAATCAACTAAGTTTTAACTGTTTGTCAAAGGCATCGCATTAGAGATGTGCTCCAACCTGCAAAATGGCCCCATAGAGACGCAGCAGGACACTCCTCGGCTCATCCCCAACAGTGTCCAGGCTTTCAGGGAGACTGCACAGGAAAAGCTTGTTGCTCAGACCACCCCTAAAAGACAAACGTGCAGACACCCAGTCAACAGGATTCATCACAAATACATCGTTTTCCATTTGAAGTTTGCGATTTATGCTCCCAGACGTTTCTCCTTTCCCCTGGCTTACAAAGGTTTCATATGCAACCTTTGAAAACAGAAAAATTATGCATCTGTAACAAAATCAAAAGTAGAACTCTAGTCTCCAGCTCAGCTTGGTTCTGTAAACCCATGAAGCTTTAAACAGTTGTTCCTGTTCTTCTTTGCCTTGTTTGATGGATGATGCTACTAGGATGAAAACAGCAAACACACATTTTACCATTTTTCCAATGTTTCTGGCTTTTAAATGTGTCAAAACACCAAATGTTGACAGTAAAAAGAAATCTTTTTGAAATACACAAACATTATAACGATAAATTCAGTGTATACAAGGGAGGTCGGAGAAATCACTAAAGAAAGAAGCACAGTTTTTTGTTGTTGTTTTGTTTATTAAAAGAGTTTAATTGACAGTCTGCTCCCCTCATGTGTGTCCTTTTGTTAACAGGGACTGACATAATCAAATTTTGGTGTAGCTTCTTCTCAGTATCAATTGTCCTCATTCGTGTTCTTCACAGTAGCTACAGGCCTACCGCTCTGGGTTTAGTCTTGGGATAACTGTCGTGATCACAGTAGTTTTGAGTCTAACTAACATTTAATACAGCCAATTTTTCTTCTCTTATCGCTCTTATCTGCCGTTTAACATCATGGTAGTGGTACACTCTACAGCATCGCACAACCAACAAGGCCTAATTTTGATCAAATATTTAAATGAACACAATGTACCTTATGATGGAGATGTGGAAATCATCTTCAGCCAGGGTTTTCCAAGCCCCGTGGAGGAATTCTTTGCACCACAGATAAGCTTTACGCTGAGTGTCCAGGTCGGGCTGGTCAAGGTGGATCAGCTCCTTACAATCCTCCTCGGTGTCAGGCTGGACCTGCAGGGCGTTCTCGGTCACTAACAAACCGAGCGACATGGAGGGGGAAGAAGAAACCCCGTTGATAAATTTGGTTTTCATTTTGTTCTGTTTTTTTTTTTTTTTGAGGAAAGAGACAAATACTCTGTGCCGATCGCTCCGCAAATCAAATATGATGATGTTCGTGTGTCTGGTCAATCTGGTTTATGACGCAGGACGATTTACTTCTGTTATTAATTTATTTTCTCTCGTTAAATTTGTGGACAGAGAAATTGTTTTCGTGTTCTTTTTTCTTTAATATTCGTTAATTCACGGCGGATGTTTGGTCCAGTCCAGTTGAGAGAGCAGTTAGTCAAGACGAGCTGCAAGTCAAGGAATGAATAAAACGTGAGGGATGCGCCGAATTTGAGGAAGCGTGGGTGGGCGGGACAAGAATGGTCACATGACACGTCCGCGTCCATATTCTGTCTTCATTGGTTGGCCCGGACACAGCCCCGCAGGACCACAACAAACCCGATGGTGCATTCAGGTACCGAGTGCGCCGTGTGCACTGAATGTACTTGCAACGTATGCGGTGTACGTTTATGTAATGTGTATCGCTGCATTTTCTGTCTACATTTAGACTTTAAAATTACAACTAATTATTATTTATAATTTATTACACTTATATCTGATAAGTATTTGCATTTAGAGGTATGGAGGTATGTTTACAACAATAACCACCATTATACAAATACTGGAGCTCATCCTATAGACCAGAGGAGTGTGAGCTACCTATAAATTCAGTCTTTCAATTCCACATCATCGACCAGTTTATATGCATTTGTTTTTTGTCATGTTGGAAAAACAGAAGTGTTTTTCTCCCAACAACTGGATTTGTTCGAGGCAAAATATGATCACATTTAAAGTTCCCCGTTATTTGCCACTGTTAAAGACATTATGTAACAACTAACGTGTAGTTAATACAATATGTAAACTTTCTTTATGAGCCAATGGGAAGAAGATTGCGGGATTAAAACAAATTTTTTTTGGCTCTTCACTACAGAACGGTAGGGGCTCTCCGTTGTTGACAGAAGGTTAAACCCTTTCTATCAACACCATACGGGTGCGTGTAATGATGTGGGTCCACGTGCATTTGCTCGTCAAGCAAAACACTGGGGTCCATGGTTAAAACACCACATGTAACAGTGTCAAGCGGGGCGTGTCCACTAGTTTAAATCTTAAAGTTGTACTTTCCTGGAAGTCCTCGAAAGCAGCATAAAAATCTAGAGATTGATGGTTAAACTGGGGCAGCCTGCAGGCTTTGCTTACATTTTCAAATGTGTTCTGATCACACTAGATTTATTTGTTCTCTTAGAAAGCAGAATTGTAGAGCAGACTGCTGTATTATCATTAATATGGGCTGTTTGAGGCAAATCTACTTTGATGCATGTGCACTGCAGCACAAAGTGTCTTTGAGGGGCACCAAACTCAGGTTTAAAAACACCGAACGCCACCTAGTGGTCATAGGTATGAGGAGAAAAAGGTCTTTTTTTCATTTAAGGACTTTGCGTGTTATTGATGAGTGCGATGAAGTAAACGTTAATTATTATTATTATTATTATTATTATTATTATTATTATTATTATTATTGTAGTAGTAGTTGTTGTTTGTGATGTTGTTTGTAGTAATAGTCGTAGCAGCAGCAGAAGTCCAATCATAGTAGTTATTTATCGCCACCCAGCGGCACATAACTTGCTTTGCACTCCTGCGCACTTTGATGACATCATCATCGTTGAGCCTTAACAAAAACAACAACAGAACTCAGCTGTTCGAAGAGCTAACTAGCCGGCCTAGTTACTGAATACTGTTTTGTGAATAACTTGTATTTTGGATCTTTAAACATTACAACTCAGTTACTGATATGTCTGAATACAAAGCGCCTTCCATAGACCCACGACAACCGCGTAATGTTCACGGAATATGTAAACTTCTTTGTCCTGTCTGTGCTAAGCTTATAGCAGGTTAGCTTTTGACCGAGGACCAGAGCCCTGTTTGACATAAAGGTAACGGCGTGACTTTTATCTTGATCAAAGCGCAAATATGTGTAAGCATCAAATGTTATTTTGTGCCTGTAAGCTTTTGAGTGGAGTTAAAGCACAAAGAAGATCAGTAAATGAGTACCGCCGGTGTTGTGCCGTAGAATGCACCCCTAACGGTAGCGCGGTTGAAAGTACTTAAAAAGGCGAAATATTTCAAGTTTTCCTTACCGTTGGACGCATTCAAAAGCGTGTGCCTTTAATAATTTAATTCAGGCTATTCAGATTAGTCGAAAACATTTGCCCTCTGATTGTAATATTTGCTGTCCCCAAAAGATAATGTTCTCTACCTTGACAGCTAACTGTACAGTTTATACACCCAAGTACACCTCTGTATGTGCATTTTTGAGACACATAAAAACAAAACGTAAGTTCGCTGCTCACATGTTGTCATGATCCAATACTCGTGTTTTTGTTAAAATATGAAATAATTTTCTTCCTCTTTAAGAAGCTAATGAGTGGAGGGGGGACATTCTACGGCAGGGGTGCATTCTACGTCACAACACCTGTTATATTAAACCAAAACTCTGCGTTAGATGAGAACTACCGTGTTAAGGTACATGTTCCATCGCTTTCCTCTGTCCACCCCAGAACGGTATGTTGTTCTCGAATGTCAATGGTTGTATTTATCACGAAAGTACGACAGAGTAATAGTTAAAATATCTGTCCCATATAACACTGACTGATAATGAGTGCTACTTAAATACCGAATGATCACAATACGTTATTGCATGCACGCTCACTCTGAGGATAAAATAAAAATTAAACCACAATATTTAGTTAAAAGGGCCACACTTGGCTCTGATTATAGTATTGAATTTAAGGAATGACTTTGTTAAATATATAACTGTCACAAAAATATTAATGCTAATAATTCAGTGAGAACTAACCATAATTACTGTTTTTCTCATTAATTTTAGGATATCACCAGGAGAAATATTTATGGCAAAGCAGGTGGAGACTCAGACCTCCACCAATGACTGCCCCTTTTACTCCCTCATCTTGCATCATGTCTCCAAGAAAAAGACATCTGATGCCTGTGAGCAACAGAAGAAAAGCAGTTGACGACTACTTCCCTTTCAACTCCCTGCCAGTGGAGTGTCAGCTGCACGTCTTGTCGTTTCTAAATGAGGTGGATAAATGTAGCTGCGCACTGGTTTGCTTCAGCTGGAGCTGCCTGGTCCGCTCGTGGAAGCTGTGGAGGGTTGCTGACTACTCCCGTCGTGGGGTTTTTCATCTGGGTCAAGAGGGTCTGCTTGTCTCCAACCGTGAGTTTGAGAGATGGAAGTCCTGGGTCCACCATTACACCCACCACCTCATCTCCCGCCGCGCCAGCCTGCTTACACTGAAGGCTAGCTTTGACCTGGGGGATCGCTCCAATAAGTGGTGTGAACTGCTTAGTCACCTGTTAGATAATGTGCATTGCAGAGACCTTAGCCACCTAGACCTGAACTGGACCTTTACTCTGCTAGAACCGCTGGATCTCAGGGTCCATTCCAGCTCCAGTTCACACCAGGACAGCATAACTAAAATGGACCAGGTAATTTTTGATCTTAGCCTTTTTGCCAAATGTATTATTACAACAATAATACTTTCTGTTCTCATGTAACTCTCTTACTAACTTGTGATGATCCGGATGGTCTGTGTGCATTTTAATTTGCCAGGTCACAAGCTTCCAGGGGCTGCTGACAAAGCTCACCCACAGCTGCCCACGCATCTCAAAGATGCGGTTACACTTTGACTGGTCGGATGTGTCTGTGTCCCTGCTCACTCAGTTTCAGCAGCTCCGAGTCCTCGAGCTTAAATACTTCTGGGTTTTCAAAGGAGTGACTCCCTCGACCCTGCAGTCACTAACCAGATCACTGCCCAACCTCAAGTCTTTGACTCTGAACATTTTGGTGCCTCTGAGAAACCTTGGCATCTCGTACATTCTGGAGTCTGAGTCTTTGGAGTTTCTGGATGTGTCGCCCAGTCGTGGTTTGGTCTTCTCCTGTCTGAAGCTGCCTGCTTTGCGTGAGCTTCGTGCCAAGAAGATTGTCCGCGGGATCACGCTGGACAGGAGGACAAGGCTGAGGATCCAGAGCCGATGGCCCTGTCTGTACCATGTGCTGCGAGAGGGGACACCCAAACTTCAGGCCCTTAACAATGAGAGGCTACTGCCCACATGGAGAGAGGAGAGCTATGGGGAGCTGACTGCCATCCTGGGACAGTCCTGTTACTGCATTCAGCATTTAGACAGCTGGCTCTGGTAGCCAGCACTTAAAAAATGGGAAGCACATTCCTTGGCTGAAGAAAAAGCAATATGTTGAATTTCCCATTTGATTGAACTTTGATTGAATGAACTAAGGGGCTCAATTTGCTCATAGTTGCAGATCAAAACTAACACTTGAAGGACTATATTTTTTTCCCAATTCCAAACAGGAAGCTGCTTTTACAATAAGGAAGACTTTCATGTTACTCCTAACTCCTCGAAGAGCTGCACTGTGTTGTGCGCGTCCAGTTTCATTTCTACAAAAGCTCAGCACTGGAAATCAACAAATATAACTGACTCTACCTGAGCCATGATTACACAACCTACATCCGTCAAGTTAAGAACAGTTGGCTGTGTAAAGACACGTAGAGGATTCATTTCAAACCTGACCATATTTCAGAGTTCAGGCACGAGGTTAAAAAAAAAAAAACGAAACACACTGTGGAGCAAAAAGGAAGAAAAAAAACATGCTTAATTTTATAAGAAAGACCAGGAGATGATTTGTGAACAATATGAGATGAAGCTCTAAGATAAAAGATTAGACTAACAGACCTCTTAAGTTCATCTAAATTTACATGAATTCTCCTCATGAGTTTAGGTTAGGGCCCACCAAGAAGCAGAAGCTGATGTACAAAGTATAATAGTGTATTACTGGTATTAGTCTGCTGTTTTATTGATTACATCAGTAACTTCTGCTGCTCCACTGAATTGGTGAAGTCTTATATACAGGAAGTTTTACAGCATTAGTTATGTTCAATGGCCTGCATCTATGATCGCACACCTGAACTATATGACATAGGACCAAAGAGCCTCTAAAAGTGATGGTGCCTGACCCTGCATCAGCAAGACAACTTTCCACCTAACAGCTACAAGCAACACAGAAAGGGTTAAAGATGGTGGCAGGAATTTGCATTTTTGCCAAGACTTTATTTGGATAGTCTGCCTGTTGACACTCTACATGTTACCAGTTCATACATCTAGTTGCACATCAGCAGTGTTGCCAAGCGTTTTACTTTAAGTGGATAGTCCTAACAAATGTCTACTCATAGACTTTGTGCTCTCGTCAACTGTTTTTCACTTTAATCAGATTCTCCTAACCAGGTACAGACGGAGTAATCGGTTGGCTGATTGATATGCCGATTATTGGCATTTTGATATAATTGGCATCGTATTGGCATTGGCCCTTACAAAGCCCAGGCCAGCATCATCCTCTCTAAATGATAACATCTTTCTTATCCCCCTTAATAGTTTATCAAATGCTAAACAGTAATTGAATGGTATCTTAATATTATATTATATTGTATTGTTAAATTCAGCAATGACAGTAATATCAGCCATGTTTAGTAATCAATCACAATATCTGTGTCTTTCCCTGAATTCATTAGAAAATTCCTCTACGACACATGACAGGCTAAGACAAGCATTTACAGTATATATGATTTTAAGCTATATAGCAATATGAATCTGTACATGACTGTCTTTTTAGATTATGGTCCTAATATCTACCCTATGTTTTTTTTCTTTTTTTAACTATTTAAAACTGCTATACAGATATCCAAAAGTGCCCTGTGGCCACATTTAACCAAGCCATATTTTTAAGTCATTTTGTTTTTAGTTTTGTTTGTATTAATCCAAGTGATGTATTCTGTTAAATGAAAAAAAAAAACAATCTACAGTGCGATATCAGCGTTATATATTGTCCGTCTCTCATAATTGGTGTCAACATCAGCCTTTGAAAAACTGTAATCATCAACCTGTAGCTTTAACAGTGATACTGAGCTGAGACTGTTGACTGATAGTCTGTTGATGGTTCCAGCTTACAGATTGATTCAGTGCTGTTGATAGTCAGCGTAGAAGAAACGTACCATCTCCCAATTACTTGCTGAATATTTGTCAAGAACCTGTTGCCTAAAAGCACGAAGACCGTTAAAAGAGAGAAAAAATGCCCTTTTAGTGTACACAGTTGAATGCATCTTAATTAATATTGACATTGAACTACATATCTGCTAATAGCATGTAAAATGTCAACAGGTGGACTATCAAATAAAGTGCTACCGGACTTTCACTTCACCTTAAAAATATAGATGTTTATTATTGATATATATATATATATATATATATATATATATATATATATATATGCATCTGATTGTTTACTTTTGCTGACACAGTGGAAAATAATTTCCGGAATGTTTTTTTTTTTCTTTTTCTTTTCTTTTTTTTTTTTTTTTTACAGTGAGCTATTTTTAACCAAATGAGTTAATGAAATCTCACTACATGGCTAAATTGGTTGTGTTGATTAACTAGAGCCTGAGCTTTGTCTTTGGCACCCTGCAGACATGGTTTTCTCTGGTCATCTTGGTCTTTACATAAACCTTTAAATTCCCTTGATTTTTATAACATTTGTGATAAAGTTCTTTTTAAAAAATGACACCATCCTACTGGTATAGGGTGTTTTTGAAAATGCATGTTAATCAAACATCTGAAGAACTAAAAAATGTACTAACAGTACTGAAAGCTGCAAGATGCTGAATATCACTTCAGATTTTTTTGGCATTTTGCAACACCATCTGACGAGTAGTGAATTTGGAAGATTTGGGATGGTTCGTTCTAGGATTTTGCAGTGTAAAAATGTGACCTCTGTGAAATACAGGTAATCTGTTAAAAATGAGTTAGAATTATAGTGTGACTAGGAATGTTTTGTTGTGTCAGCCGAGTCCTCTTCAACCGGTCTTTACCAACTTTATGTCAAAGGACAGGCAACAAGATATCACAAGTTATTTTGATGACATTCATAAAGTGTGAAGATATCCTGACAAAATTCTGTCTTGAGTTGTCACACAGTCAGAGGGGAACAAAAGTTTCAAATGAAATCTAGAAAAAGTCACCAAGTTTGATAAAGAAAACGTTTGCAAGTACATGAGGCGACCCCTATCGCCTGACAGTCGTGTGTCTTTTTTAAGCCACTGCCTTGTCTGCTTTATCAAACTGCCAGTATACGGCTAATAAAATCAACACCTCATTGTTACTTGATGGAATCATTTCAGGGTTTTTTTTTCTCCTGACTTCACTCTTTTTCAAGGTTGATCATGTCTTTTAGTTTTACTATTTGGTTTCAAGAGATTGAGTTTGACATATTTAATGAATTAAAAAAAAATTGAACTTCCGTGCTTTGGCACATTAAGGGGTCTGAATAGCTATCGATTGTGAAAAGTGTTTGAATTTTACAAGTAGATTGTTTCATACTGCAAAAGCCGCAACTTACACTGAAGGTCCTTGGTGATATGAAACTAACAGGTGAGGGTGGTGTTGGACCAGCAGTACCAGCTTGTTCCTGTTTTTGTTGCTGGGGTCTGATGGCCATTGTTCATCGCCCTAGAAGTATCTCACTTTAAAGATCTTCAGTATTGACGGATTTAACTCTAACAGCCGGTCCCATAGCTGAGGTCTGAATCAATCTGAAGCACTGAATCCCAAACATTTTGCACCTGTAAGACCCTGAAAATATACACATTTTAAAAAAAGGAAGTACATCTATCTAACGTAGTAACTGATTAACGCTGAAGAAGTTTTATGCACATTTTGATTGCTGTAATGAAAAGATTACTGTTGCTCAATCACTGCAGTGGATAAGTGGCTGAATACTCGCTGTTTCAAATTTAGAAAGAGTCTATGTTCTTGCAAATGAATTCCAGTTATTTAATATATATGGGAACTTTATTTTCATGTCTGTGAAATATGAGCACCAACTTGTTGCCTCTGACAACCTTGGAGTTGAATCAGTGCTTTGGCAGTTGCCCTCTAGATCAGTAGAGGTCCCCATTCTCAAGGCTTTGGCCTGAAGGATCCCGCTCCTGAAGGTCTTTTATCAGTAACTTGTGTTTACAAATGCACTTTTTTTTACATCATCATTCCACTCCACTTCTTATGCTCAAGTGTTGTATAGGTAATCAATTTGTGCTTGGGTGTATTTTTGCTTTTCAGAAAATATCTGTGTATGCGTGGCATTAGAGTGCTTGTGATGGATCATGTTTTTTTGTTTTTTTTATATAAAGAGTTGTATTTAAGCATCATAAAAAAAGCTTCTGTGTGTTTATCTTGACTGTGAAGGCAAAATCTTAGAAAACTGAATGAATGACAGCACTGGTCCCAGAGCTCCTCTTGATTTCTTGGAAGTACATCTGTCCTAGAAACAGCACAAAAACAATAAGTGTAGGCCGTGACCCTGTGGACAAAGATGTGGAAACATCTGGTCTTCTGTATATATTCACAAACTGCCTGAAAGGTGCATTGTGTAGTTTTTGGCTGCCTTCTCAAAACAGATAGTGCACATGGAATACAATATTTACAATCATTCTTCAATGAAGCGTCCTTTTGTTTACTAAACTTTGAATTAGCCTTTTACATCTATAGAGGAACATGTATGTGCGGTTGTTTGCTCTTGTTTTAATGAAAATACATTGTGTTATTTCTTTAAAACAGAAGAAGCTGCCATCTTGGTTGTTTATGAATTTGCTGAAATGGTGCTCCTGTGTCATCATCTTAAATACAAGGCTGTTGTCAGGTTGGTAAATCTGCCATTGATGGTGAAATGATTAGATCCAGATCCACGTGGCACTAGTTTGGGATGGAGGATCATACGTCACTTTACATGCAAGAGGGGTGAGCAAGGGAGTGTTTCAATCTCGAATTTGACTCCATATTGCAGATTTTTTGTCATTTCTACACACTGTACCTTAGATGTTCAAAAGCCAAATTAAACATTGTAGCAGTGACCACAAAGTTTGTTACTGTATGCTTAACTGCTCTACTAAAATGAATGGAATAATTTACTATATTTGTGTACAGAGGCGTTAAACCGTAAAGTGTCCTCTCAAGGGTCATTAACATCACTTCATCACCCGCACCTCATTAATCAGACGTAGAATACTTAAACAAGACAAGTCCCCATTTGGTCCATCCTCTGCCTGGCACGCCATCTCATTGCAGTGATGATTCTTCATCAGTGTTGCAACATCTCAGTGTTTCAATATGTTCAGGCTGGGCTGATCTTGACCCTGCAACAGGAACATCTGTTCTCACTACAAATATCTATCACCCCACACACCAACTTTTCCAGCCCTATTCCGATTGTGCCTGTTTGTCTCCCCCTTGTTTCCTCTCCTAAGGAGCTGAGGTGTGTGCATGTGTGTGGTGGTCATGGTGGTCGTGATTCCCTGAGGTTGGGGCTTTCCAGCAAATTCAATGATTTCCCAAATCACTCTCATCCGTCTTTCTCCTCCTCTTTTTTCTTCTCTCTTATTCAGCCCACTCAGCACTCCTCCCTTCATATGCTTTTTGTTGGTTTGGAGTTTGTCTATTGTGCACAGGAACTGTGCTCACACGTGCCTTTGGGAACCATCCTCCTTCCTCTGCGTTGAGATTTTTACTTGTTGCGCTTGGAGGAACTTTCACCGCTTACTTGGACCTCTGGAGATACAGTAGGCTATCCACCTGCTTTTAAGAAGTCGTGAGACTTTTGCTCACTGTCGGAAGGATTTTTCTTTACTCGTAGCTCTTGAGTCCACTGAGGCATGTGATTCTGATGGTTTAGGGTATGCTCATTGAAAGTAAATGGAAGGGTGTGTGTGTGCATCTGTGTGTGATGGTTTGGACAGTGCAGTGTGAGGATAAAGTGTTCCTTGTGGTTAACCTAACCCCTGCATTAGTGGCAAGACCACAGTAACTACCTCCAGATGTTAGAGAGCACTATCTGATAATTTACAACAAAGCCTATGAACGTTGCCCTCTTCACACTGTAACGCTCACTCTTCCTTCCTCAGCTCAAGTTAATGCTTAATCCTGGTACCAACCCTTTATTTTGAAGGCCAGGCCCTGTTTATGGGAGGGTTGATACTTTCATACAAAGGTCAGTCATTGCAGGCTGAGGACTCACACGCTCAGGGACTCATTAGACTCACCTCTAATACTACGCAACAAGACTTTTAAGACTGACTACGGAAAGCAACTACCATGCCTAAAACTTCACCTGTATCCAAGGCTATCGCCGCCACCTTTGCCGTCCTGACCGTTGGCGCCATTGTCGGCATTGTCACAATGGTCATTTTCTACAAAGTTCAAATCTCAACGATGGATCCGACACCCAGGCCAACATTCCTACCCACCACCGCAGCACCACCACCTGTAATACGATTGCCGACAGATCTTATACCTCATAGATATGATTTGTTCTTCCAGCCTCATCTCTACACCAAAATCATCCAGGAGGTAAACGTCACCAGCCCCAACCAGACCCACCTCTTTACAGGGAACTCTACTGTTCACTTTCATTGTGTCCAGACGACCAGAACTATCTACCTACATAGCTTAGACCTAGACGTTTCTGGACCAGTGGTGATGGACACAGACCAAAATAGGAGGATACATGTCCTCGGAATGGATAACCATGAAGACACGAGTAACTTCCTCCAGATCCACTTGAAGGATCATCTAGAGGCAGGAGGAAATTACAGTTTGTTTCTGGATTTCGAGGGACAATTATCAGAGGAACTTGTCGGCATGTATGTCAGCACATATACTGAAGGTCAACCAGCTCATGAAGACGATACAGATGCAGACAGGTAAGGAAAATAATAACAGATTTTTTTTTTTTAAATAATGGATGGTATATTTTCGTTAACACAAGTAGAGTCTTTCCCGTGCTCGGGTCGGGTCAAAATATTTTCCTGTTAATTTTTTATTCCTGTCGCTCATCACTGGAATTAGTTGGCCTTCACCAGTTGTATGAAAACAAGTATGGTAAAGAACATTTCTATTTTCAAAGTGCTCTGTAGACTGCCTAATATGTTTCGCTTAAAGGCTAGAGTTTAGGGTCATAAGCAAACCAGACTGGAAGAGGAGATAGCATTGAAATCCTCTACCCTCCATCCAATAGGTTGCCAAGGCACAAAACCCTTTCAATTGTAGGCAGCCATACTCTAAAAGTAACAGTACTTTAATTATAGACGTACTCTACATGAGACCAACATGGAATACAACTTCATGTAGAAGTGAATAAAACAGAGTAAATGAGACATAAATTAAAGATGACGTGTAAACATTAAATAATACTGTTACTCTCACACACATTTATAAAGGCATTGTTAATGCTCACACAATTATGAGTTTATGTTCGTCTCATTCATGAATTAATAAAGAAAATACATAATAATAAATCTGAACAATTTGGGCCTAACTATTAACTGATTGATTTATTCACTATTCATACCTTGTATTGCAACCCAAACTCTATAATAGTTGGGACACTATGTGAAACATTGAAAAAAAAATGATGGTTTGCATTTGCAGAGACAACAAATCAGATGTTGAAAAATATACTCATTTTATATTTGGTGCCACACAGGACAAAAAACAATAACTAGCTTGTGAAAAGGGAAAAAAAAATTCTCAAACGAGCATCTTTCAACTAATTTGCAGTAGGCTATGTAACATGACTGGTTATAGAGGGGTCTTTCAACGAGGCCTTGTCTCTCAGAATGAAGATGGGATGAGGTTCATAAACCACTGTGTCCATGTAGATTCTCATTCATCCAGGTCATGGTTTTCTTGAAGACTCCAAAAACAGGCAACTGGACTGTGTAGCTTTGAGAAGACGTTTTGCCTCTTATCCAAGAAGCTTCTCAACTCTACACAGTCCAGTTGCCTGTTTTTGAAGTTCTGAAGTTCATAAACCACATTTTGTCACATCCAAGTTTCAAAGGTGTATCTAATCAACTAAACTGTGTTAATTACTTTTCTGCTAGCATAACAGATGCATCCATTAAGTTAGTTTATCTGTTCTATGCTAACACCTACGATAAACTGGCTAACAGAAACCAATTTGATTTATTTTACATACAAACTTCATCACACTCACATGACCAGTCAGCAGATGTATTTCTGTTTACAGGGTGTAAAAATATATTCTTGTGTGGCATTGCTGCTCTAAAATGACTGGCCTGGTGCGGCAGCCTGAGAAGATCAAACTTGAAGTTCATCTGTTGGACTGAGCCTTTTGTGTTGCCTTTGGCAAGGAAAGCAGACACATACTGGCACAACAAATCAGCAGTTTTCTGTTTATTTCTGCGGAAACTTGGAAATGTCAACTTGGAACAAATGAAGTTACAGCATTTATTCTTTCAGGATACTGATAGTGAGTAAAAGAAACAAGTCATATCACCAGGGCAATCAGCCATTATACATAAACTCTTGATTATCTAAGCATTAACTACGTGTTGATAAATGCTTTCGAGCAGAGCAGTGTTGTAAAGTGTTACTGTAAACGCTACTGGCAGTAATCCATCAACTAAGACTCATAGTCATTTTCTAATTGACTTTTATTTCCTGTAATTTTTGGAAAATAATGGATTCCCCTTGCTGCTCACCAGGTTAAAAAAAGTCTTAAAAAGTCAAATTGTGCTGGTTGAAAAAGGGTAAAAGATAAAAAGGGGTTTTACATTTCCTGTATGCAGTCTGAGGGTTAAACTGACCTTTATCCTTAACCTGACCCTTAATCCAGATGACAGACAGAGTTGTTGTAGTTTTACAAGATGATTCAATAATTTTACAGAAGACGAAAAACAGAAAACTTATGGCCTGACCCAATTCTTGCCTTGCTATTATACCACAATAAAATACAAAGACGAAAACGAACATCTGTGCAGATTGTAGAATCATTCTGATTCGGTTTCTTCTTCTTCAAAGAAGTTGTTATTGTTGTTTTCTCGACATTACAAAGATTGCATTCTCATGAGAATGAATGATAAATAATGTGTTCACCATTGTTACTGTTGTTGTCCGATTCGCACATGGCAGTTAAATGTTCCCACATTGAAAGTGTAAAGTGCATGAGTGGAGTGTGACGTAAACATTTTCAAAGCCATCCTAAGGAGATAATTTGTTTGATACCCTAGTCAAAAAAAGGAGACGAAAAGTCATCCTTTTAATAAGCCAACACTGAATTGGAGGGAGTTCAAACCAGAAAATGAAACATGTCTTAGTGGGCTTTAATCACAGAGTCGGATTTTCTTGGGAAGATGATCGTTCATAAATCTGCTCGGTGAGTTTAACGGTTTAGATCAGGGGTGGGCAATCACCCGGTGGAGTTTTGGGTTGGAAAGAAAACCTGCAGCCTCTCAGCCCTCCATGGCACATGATTGCCCACCCCTGGTTTAAGATTACAAAGAGGAAATGATCTAGTGGTACTTACAGTCAAACTTTACTGGTTTTTCAGCTAATCCTGATGTTTTTGGTTCATGATTAGGTTATTCTGTTATTCAGAATCTGTGCTGTCCCAGAAAGACCAGAAAGGTAACAAGATATCCCTCCAGTCACCACAGGCCCTGTGTTTTTGAATATGAATGTGTTTGAGTTCAATGAGGACAGGAGCAGCCCTTGTCAATAAGATGTTTTTCATAATCCACGACAGGCTTTATAAAGCTTTATAAAGTTTTGAATGAGGTCAATGTTTTTGAGCTTTTATGTATCCAGTGACCTGATATTGACTGCTATTATGGGTATAATTGTCTCTTTCACAGGTTTCTTGTAGCCACCCATTTGCAACCAGGATATGCCAGAAGAGTGTTCCCTTGTTTCGATGAGCCAGAAATGAAGGCAGAGTTTTATGTGACCATCATTCACAGAATAGATACAACAGCTCTTGGGAATTCAGAAAGAGCAGGTGAGATGACAACCCCTGCCCTAAAATGCACCAATAAAGAAGTCAGAGTAAGAAAAAAATGTTTGCATGGTATCCTTCGTTAAATGACGCTTCCTTTTTTCAACTCTCCTAGAATCCAATATTATAGATGAGGATTGGAAATACACTAGATTTCATCCAACACCGACGATGTCTACATACTTGTTGGCCTTCACGGTTTCTGAATTCACACCAGTCGTCTCTACAAATGGGCGTGTATCAATCAGAGTATGTGTGCTCCTGTAGATTCAGGTTAAATTTTGTGCATTTGTGTTTTGCTACTGACAATGTCTGAATTTTGAAGTGTTTCCCCCTTCATGCTGCATTAATATCTTCTGTGTCTAACATCACCTGTGTGTTGAAATCATTAGACATATGCTCGTCCAGAAGCCACTGCAAAGGGACATGCTAAATATGCAGCTAACATCACCAGCACGGTCCTCACCTTCTACGAGAAGAAATTTGAAATAAATTACCCACAAAGAACTCTGGGTAAGACCACATCTACACAGAGTACAGATTTTCTGACAAGAATGGGGTATTTTGGGGACACCACTGTCATTGATTTAATGCAAGTGTTCTTTTGGATATGAGAGTACACATTAAATGTAACACAGACATTTATTTATTTTTTAGCTCCTCCTTTGAGCTGCATGTTGCAAGTGTATTTAAGGATGGACCTTCTGTCAAAACTTACAGGGGACCTGCCATCAAAATTTCATACCCATTTTAATCATTTTTTCATAATCCTTGATGTTTAGCTGTTTTAGCTGAAAAGTTATTTGATGGTTTGTTTTAGTATGCCTAAATAACCTTACAGGAAACTAACTGACTTTGGCTCATTAACATTTATGGTAATTGGCTTTGCTCTGATTGGATCGCTGCTGTGCTCTGATTGGCTGTGTGATCACAGACAACATCTCTGTGCTATTTAGTAGCAGCGCATGCCCCTTGTAATAACCCCCGTAAGAACTGTTGTTCAGGACTGCTTACCTGTGCTTCCTACCTATTCGGCTACTGTAATAACCGGTGTTCGAGCCCACACGCAACATTTTTGTTCTGATTCATGAAACGCTTAAATCGGGGACATTTTCGGGGACAGCTTTTGCCGGGGACAGGTCATCCAATACGGGGTCTGTCCCCGGAAATTTGGGACATCTGTTCACGTTATGCTAAAGGCTAAAAATGGCAGGAAACCCTATATTTTTGACCCCGAGACGTGAATAAAAATGAGCAAGGTCAGCTTGACGTCAGAAGGACCGGCTTTTTCGATTGGCCTGGTTTACCCATTTCTTTATTTTAAACCTTTAAAGAATGCAAACGACGTAACGGTTTGTTTTCACATTTACAACATAAAATGAACATAATATGGACCTAATCTGACACACAAACATGCAAAAAATACATTTTTACATTTTTGATGGCAGGTCCCCTTTAATTTCTTCTTTGTAATTCAGTGTTTCATTGACTGTCCATACCTGTTCACTTAAGTCTAACCAACAGAGGACTCCCAGAGCAGCTCTGTACCTCAGACACACACACACACACTTATTTATTTACTTATTTCTATCATAACAAATTTGGTAAATCTATGCAATTTGATTTGTCCATGTCATTGTGATTCCTCCAGACCAAATCGCATTGCCAGACATGGGCCCAGCAGCAATGGAAAACTGGGGTCTGATCACATATGAGCAGGGCGCCTTGCTCTTTGAAGATGGCGTTTCCTCAGCGCTGCACAAGGAATGGATCGTCACCATTATTGCACATGAGCTGGCGCACCAGGTTTGACGACAAAGAGCTTCTACTCTCAAAGAGATAATATGTAGATAACACCACCCTATAACTGAGTCCTACAGGCAAACTCACAAAAGGACAATATCAGTGACAGAAAAAAAGATCTGCTTAACCCACCTGCTGCCCTCTCTGATTACAGTGGTTTGGAAATCTGGTGACAATGAAGTGGTGGAACGATGTTTGGCTCAATGAGGGCTTTGCCAGCTACATGACGTACTATTCAGTGGACCATGCTGAGCCTTCATTTAAAATGGTAAGTTTTGTCACAGCATTAATGGCGATGGCAGATATATTTGGCCTATCGAGGAATGAAGACAAGAAAAGGGACCCTACCTCAGTGACCCTGCTTTGATGAAGGGAAAGATTGATTTGAGTGTTGGCAGGTATGGTCGTGTCCTGTTCAGTACCGTCCTCTGCCATTGTTGTTGCAGAGGAAGTCCCACTCTGTCTCGATTCTGATGGTGGTCAAGAAATGGCATTAATGAGCATGGTGGTCAAAAAGAACTGTTTTCAACTGCGAACGCAATTGCTGGGCTGCATTTGGTTTGAACAAAATATGGGCACCGGGAACACGGCTGTAAAAGCAAAGATGAACCCGCCGAGGTGTAATAATGGAAATTCTCCTTCTTGTTGGACAGTGACTAGATAAAAGTATTTTCATATGAAGTCAGTTTAAAAATGACTAAATTGATGACTTTGTCAGCTAGCAAGAGGTGGTTACTTTTATGAATGACAGACCACAAAATGAGATACTTGACCGATCAAGTATTTTACAAAGGTATGCACTCTTCAAAGTCCCACGCCAATGTTTTTTTGTTTTTGTTTTTACTACTTAAAGTGTTTTCAGTGGTCTTTAAGTTGTGATTATAAAGTTTTTAACCAAAAATAGCGTTACCTGTGTCATTTTCAAGGACTTTCCTTCTGCAGAGCTCCAGTAGCTCATTAGCACTTCGCCTCTGAGTCGTGGGCGGAGACAGCGATGCTCTTCACACTCCTCTTCACGCTAGCTTGCAGCCTAACATTTCCAGTGTGGTAGAAGTAGCAGGTAACATAGGAGCTATTCAACTCTCAAATAATAAAGTCTTTAGGGACACATTAAAAGGAAATATTATAATTAGCTGTCTTAGGAGCTTTGCAATGCACACAATTGCTCCGCGCTCGTCCTCTGTATTTCTCCTCTATATGCAGAGTGTGGCCTGTATAGCGGAGCTTGGATTGGTTAAATATGATATGTCACTGTTTCTGAACCTGCCATTTGGGTCTGCCAGAGATTCACAGAGACTTGAATGAAGAAATACTCAGAAAAGAAATTTCGCATTTAGTTTTCTCATGACACGTCCTGTAGCATCAGAAAAATGTCATATGAACAAATAAAAAACAAGAAAAATATGATTTTTATCAGAGTGGGTCTTTAAGTTTGTCATTTCGATCAACTTTTCCTAAACTATTCTACTTCACATTTTTCTTTGATTTCCACAGATGGATGCAACTGTCCTGAGTGATCTCCATGTAGCATTCGAGTCAGACGCTTTGACAACATCTCATCCTCTCAGTCCTCCACAGGAAGAGGTCCAGCAAATGGATCAGATAGAACAGATGTTTGACTCTCTAACCTACACTAAGGTAAAGTAACATCCATTAAGTCTACAGCCTTGAACCAAAAACACAACCTCCGCTATAGATGTATAAGAGCTGCACCCTTACCAGTGCGTAATGAGTGTTGATGGTCTTCACTCTGCAGGGTCCATTTGTGCTGAGAATGCTTGCAGACATTGTGAATGAAAGAGCCTTCAACAAAGCCATAAATGTAAGTACCCCTTTGTCAGATTAATCCATATTGTGCTTTAGGTAACCAATCCTGCACAAAGACCCTGAATATCCTACATTTATGGGTGTAAAAATGAGAAAATCTTTGTTTCCACTCACATGAACTCCATTTTAAGCATCTCTTGTCCATATTGGAGACTTCTCATAGCATCATTAAGAATTAATCATAACTCATCAAGAACATTTATGATCATTACTTAATGGAAACACAATCAGAGCTCTTGTGTATCTTGTATATTCACAGCAGATATGGTAGTTCTTTTGCCTTAGCAGCAAGTGGCTGCTGGAGGAGAGTAGGTGAGTTGTGTTGAGTCTCTTTGTTAAAGAAATCAGGCAAAGCTAAAAAGATGTTTGGTGGCTAGTACTATGGCTGGGACCCTATATGTCCTTTTGATGAAGTTAGGCGCTGTTCTGAGCATTATTGGTGGCTATAGAGTGGCGTTTTGGTTCAGGTTTGCACGTGGAAATGTAGACCACTTTGCATTGGTATTGTGCAGTCGTTACTAAAGTTGTTAAAATGCGAGAAGAAAGCTGTCGGCAATATTCATCTCTTGAGGGGGGGTCTAAACTCAGTGTTACAGTGTGTTTGGCCATAACTTAAATTTTCACCGGAGTATCCCTTTAATTGCAAATTTTGGTTAAACTGCTTGATTTTTTTGTTTTGTTTTTATCTTATAAGTATGTGTTTTTAAAGCCCTCTCTCCTACAGGATTTCATGAAGTACTTGTAGATACTTTAATATAAACGTATTAAAAATATATACTTTTACTGTCAAAAGATGATGATGCTTGAAAGTGCTTTATGATATGGCTATCTGTGTTAGATGGTGGTCCCTGTGGAAAGGGACCTCTTCCTATATAGATTAAAGAAACAAAAACTCAATCCAAGCTAACAAAAACATATATTTTTTTTGTATATTCAGGTGGTTTAATATCAAAATTAAGATACTTGTGAACATTTTACTCTGAGTCTATTCTGCTAAATGCCACTAAATATTGCATGGAGACCCTTTAATAGTGCTGACCTTTGAGACTTGTGAATGTCTGTAGTCATGCTGTTAGATTGTGTTGTGGTGGGTGTTTACTTCATCTTTACCTCCTTATTTCAGTGAGGTGCACCTCATCCTCCAAGCACACATATTTAACTCGAGCTGGTAATCTAATACAACTGTTTCCTTATGAAGTCACAAATTTACTTAAACATTAGTGAACAAAGTTTCAATCGCACATCCAAATCTGATGTGTTGACAATCACAATCATTTGTGCTTTGAAGCCTCACGGTCTAACATTTGGACAACTGGGCAATAACTTAATGAATTAACTGGACAATTGGAAAAGACAATGAGAAACCAGTTCATGGTCCATACATTTTAAATGCCTGTATTTTAAATACCTCAAGCCAAATAAATGAGAGGGTCACATTCCCCTCTATGGTACGGAGTAGAGAGATTATGAAACAATGAGAGTATTTTAGGGAACAGGCAGGTGCATGATTGAGAAACACTCCCCCTGTAGACTTACATCATCGGACCTGTCAGTGTTTTTCAAGTGCATGAACCCAGAAAGTTAATGGAGAGCTGTCCAAAGCCAAATATTTGTTTCAACACGTCTTCTGGATCTGCAGCTGGTCGCTGAGTTTTTATTTGTTCATCTCTCTTTAATTTCCAGGGAGAAACTTATTCAGAGAAAAAAAGTTGCATTAAAAGGAAGTGAAGCAGCACCAATAACCTCAGCTGTTCTTTCTATTTTGTGTTTTAGAAGTACCTGTCTGACTTCAGCTATAAAAACACTGACCAGGATGACCTTTGGGATTATATGCAAAAGGTAAGTCTTTTGATTGCAATCAAACGCATGACAAAGCATGTTAATTACCATTCTTCAGTTGACAGTTTTAATGTCATAAAGTGTTAATGATTGGCGATTCTTTTGCCATGTTTGAAGGCTGTAGATGAGGATGGCGGTCATACTAACGTTGCCAAGGTGATGGACACTTGGACGAAACAAAATGGCTATCCTGTCATCACTATCAACACTACCACTGGAGAAATCTACCAGAGGCACTTCCTATTCAACGACACCTCTGAATCAAGGTATGTGTGAAATGGAAATATTTGTTTGGGCAAAAATCCAGACAATCATGACGATGATCAGTATTAATCAAACAGTCTATGTTAGAGTGATGGACCGTGTGGAGAAACATGTTCTGTGCACCACAGTTAAAAAACTCCTCTTTACTATTTCTTTACTGTTCTAGATTCATGTCAATGTTCTGTGTAAATTAAAACCTCAATCAAAGTGAAATTAAATCAATAAAGTTTGTACACTGCTGCCTGCCAACTAGGATGGAGGTGTATTAATGCATATTGACAATCTTGTCTAAGTATGGTCAGATCCGGCTTCTGGATGGATGTGGCAAAAATATGACACTTGAGGCTTTAAACTGTAGTTCACATGGAAGACTGTTTGACAATGCTTTATATAGATCACAGTGTAACATTTTTGATGTTAAACTGCAGTGACACATTCAATTCAATTCAATTCAATTCAATTCAGCTTTATTTATATGGCACTTTTCGTACATAAGGAAATGCAATTCAAAGTGCCTCACAGAGGCTAAAAACAACAATAAAGCCAAAAACCCAACCCTTCCACCCACCCACACACCCATGGACCCACACGCACACAGAGACACACACACACCCACCCTCACCCACCCACATGTACGCATACACACAACCACACACAGTGTGAGAATTTAAGATAAAATTTAAAGAGACATGGCCTGACACCGAGACATTACATGAGAGACGAGCTACCTTTAGGAAACACTGGAGATAAAAATGGTGAAAAGAGTAAAAACCTGATGGACTAAAATAAGAAAATAATAATATTAAATGAACAAATAAATAAAAGGGGTAAAAGAAGTAAAAACCTGTGACAGGAAATTAATAAAAAGGCTAAGAACAGAGATAATGAATAGAATGACATAAAATCAACATTAAGAACTTTGATTAAAATGAACATTTGCAATAAGAGAAATCTAAAATGGCAGTTAGTAAAAAGCCTGGTTAAAAAAGTGAGTCTTGAGCCTCTTCTTAAAAATATCTACAGTCTCTGCGGCCCTGAGGTTCTCCGGCAGGCTGTTCCACAACCGGGGACCATAAAAACTGAACGCCGCCTCCCCGTGTGTTTTTGTTTTGACTTTGGGTTAAAAGGTTAAAAGGCCTGTGCCGGAGGACCTCAGAGTCTGCGAGGGTTGATATGATAAAAGTAAATCAGATAAATAGGAGGGGCCGAGACCATGAATAAGAAGTGCTGTTATTTAAGCTCCTGTTTCTGCTTGTGTCCCCCATGAGGACTGAGTAACAAACCTTGCCACCTACCTCCTCACAGAAGTTACAGCAAAAAAACAGTTAGGCTTTTTTCTGCTGATGGTCCTCTTACTTTTTCAGGTCACTTTTACTTCCAGTCGGTTTTGTGTCAAGTAAAAGAACGCCTCATAGGAGCTTTAATCAACCTAATGTACCTCACATACTCCAACTCCTCTGAGAATACTCTGAACCAAATAATCAGGAATCCAGTTTCTTATGTCTGTTTAAGTTGGTGCGTCAGTGCAGTCTTATTAATGGAGTACTTCTCTGCCAAGCCTGCATGATGTAAGTGCAGCTTATCACAGTGGAATAAACAGTGTACAACTGGATATCTGGAGTATTTTGAAACAACTTTAAGTTACTATGCCGTCGCTAACACTGCCATGGTGAAATTCACAACATTTTCACTTCTCTTTGTGTTGAGTTGCTTGGCCATTATCCAGACTATGACAGCTATGAACTCTAATATGACTGTATTGCAGTAATTTGCTTGTATCGTGCTCCCTTTGCAGACCCCCGTGTTTTTTCCGAAGTCAGTAAAAGCTTTTTTATTTTTGACTTTTTTATTTCTCACTGAAGCTGAATAAATCCTTTTCCTCTCTGTTTGTTTAGTCAGTGGTGGCACATCCCAATCAGAGTGATGTCAAACGGATCTCAGTCTGATTTTGTGTGGTTGGACACCAGTGACACAGGTAACACAGCCCTGAAAAAACACAACAGGACAGACCCTTTTTTTTACCCTCTCTATTTAAGAATCAGAGAGGACTAGTTAGAGCAATTGTTTTTGCACATCCTATGGCAGCTATGTTGTGGTCCTGATTATCTTGAACACACTGCAGTTTTAAGTTTAAGATAAGACAAAGACCACATGACCTGACACTAAAGGTCCCATTTGCCCAGACTACTTTCTACGTATTTCTGCACACTGATGTTCTTCCTGGTTTTAATTCTCACTCACCTTTTACCAACATGTTTGCCTTTTAAACAGTAAAGAAAGAGGAATTTGTTTCCAAGAAAGGAGAATGGATACTGGCCAATGTGAACTGTTTTGGATACTACAGAGTCAACTACAACCCAGAGAACTGGGAACGCCTCTTTACGCAACTGGAGAAAGACCCACAGGTGAGTGCTGACCCACATACTATAATTACTTAATAGGTAACAGAACTAAGCAGAAACAAATTTCCATCTTAATGTTGTAAACCAGCTTTTTGTCAGCAATGAAATACTTACAAGTTTCTCCCTGAAGGCTTGATCCTAAAAGTTGTGAGCACATTGGATGAATGGTGATTACTTTATTTGGACTTGTGTTGCTATGGCTATGTAACAGCTGGACCACACCAGCACTCCATTTGTTGTGTTATTTAACCGGGTAGACAGGTCCACTGTTAGTTTTTGGATGATTTGAGGATATTGCTCTTAGCTTTTCTGACCCTGTCCGTGGTTTACGAGTTATCTTTTCTTGGACAATTGCTGACCAGGAGCTGCAGTTTTGGAGACCCTGTGACTCAGTCATCTAACTGTCACACGTCCGTCTCTCCCTCCTTATCAAAGCCCGTCACATTCTTAGATACGCCCCTTTTTTTTGTCCCACCCACTGCAGGGTGACATTGCAAGAAATAATCCATGCCTTTCACTTTACTTGTTATGGCTTATCAATGTACTTATCTCTGTACCCTCAGGCCATTAAACTTGGACTAGTATGGACAGCTTCTTGAGGGCACTTGATTACTGGAACTCATTTCAAACACAAGTAGATATTACTGCAGAGAGATTGCTGAGACTAGAGGAGGGGATTCATATATAAAAATTAGATAAATTTAGTCTGACTGTCATCAAACCACCGTCTTGTTCTTGTTTTTTTAGAGGATCCCACTGATGAACCGAGGGCAGCTCATCGATGACGCATTTAATTTGGCAAGGTAATGCCTTGAGCTCTGCTGATCAACACTTCCTCCTTACCCCAGTGGAGTGTAATCTGACTTTTCAAACGCCTTCAACGCTCCACCCCTCAGTGCGGTGGGCGGTACCCTGACTGGCGGCGCTCACCATGGGCAGCGGCTGCGGGCTTCCCACCATCACTGATGACCCATTCCACTACCCCCCCCCCCCCCCCCCCAACAACTATAGCATGTCTCTGAGACTGACATGACTCTGAGAGCAGTCTCTTTTTTTACCTCCTCCTCTCCCTCCCTCTTGTGTCTTCTTTCCCCATCTGTAAATGCAATCTCGTTGTGCACAAGTGCAATGACAATAAAGCATCTCCATCTCCTCCTCCAAAGAAAATGTGAGCTTGTGAGACTAATCTTACCAAATAAAATTTCTGTTTTCTCAGAGCTAAACTTGTTAACGTGACTTTGGCTTTGAACTCAACCCGCTTCCTTTTTCATGAGACGGATTACCTTCCCTGGGAATCAGCAGTCAGAAACCTTCAGTATTTTGTCCTGATGTTTGACCGCACAGAGGTTTATGGACCAATGCAGGTTTGTATCATAGAAGATAATCTCAAGATTCATCATAAGGAAGTTTAGCACACTATGTTTTATAATCCAGATTTAACTGACTCATTGTGAATCAGTACCTGCACAGATATGCAGTAGAAATTTTATATTGCTCTGCTTTCGTTTTTGTTTTTCCTGCAGGCGTACCTCAGGGAAAAGGTAGGAGGCCTGTATAACCACTTCCAGAACTTGACAGACCTTTCAGAAGTCCCAGAAGTCCACTCTGAACAGTAAGAAAAGAGTCATTTTAATAATATAATAAATATGAAGTTATGTTTCAGTTTCACTAACTCACAGCTTGGTCAAAAAGGGTCAGAACAGGGGAAACATTCACTTTATTGACTTCCACACCATCGCTTATTGATCTGTGAGTGAAAGGTGTGCTGAACATGTTTGTGTCCTCATGCTGCTCGTGTTGCTTTGTGATGTTGACTGTGAGATGAAAGCGTTACCTTTACATTTAAAGTTGCAGAAAGCTTTTTTTATTTGTCCCTGACTGTAAATCCAGGACTTGTAATACATGTTCTGAATGTTTTTTCGATTTTGTAACTCTCAACAACAGCTAGCTTGTGATCTTTTCATGGTCGAGTTTCCTTTTGTTCTTATAAAACATGTTTTGTTCCTGAAATTCTCTCATGGAGAAGATTAAAAATTGTCTCTTTTTTTATCTGTGATTTTTACACCATGTTGGGCTGTAATCAGTCTTGATGTTTGTTAAGCAGTGTGCAACAATGCACAATTTGGTGCAGGGACAAAGTACTTGGACTACACCCCCTAATCAACCATGTCCATAATATTTCTAAAATATATACTGTATGTTTAATTCCAAGGCACAACCAGATAACGGCCATAAATGTAGCCTGTTCCAATGGACTCCCAGAATGTGTTGCCATGGCCACAAAGATGTATGCCAACTGGATGGAGAGTAACAGCACCAACATGTAAGGACACCTGTATATATTATTGTTCAGTTCTCAAACCCTCTAAAACTCTCCTTAACTTAAAAAAAAATTTCTTTCAGTTTTTCTCTCTCTGTAATAGCTTACCTTATAATCTGTAGCCTATCTTCCCAGCACTGATTTCATAAAGGTAGGTGAAACTGTACCTCTTTTTTTGTGGTTGGTGCTGACTGTTGTTGTTGATCATTGTGGCTCTATGCCTTCAAAGCTACTCCTGATTGTTCTGGGTTTTTTACCTCCGCCAAGGAGGTTATGTAATCGGTAGCGTTGGTTTGTTTGTCTGTTAGCAACTTTACGGAGAAAGGTACAGACGGATTGACCTGAAATTGGATACTGTGATCCAGAACACACAAAAATAAGGGTGTTGTTGGAATTTTCACTGCTGAAAGATAAGTAATGGGTGGCACAGTGGTATAGACAGGAGACACAGTGGTGTAGTGGTTAGCACTGTCACCTCACAACCTGAAGGTCCTGGGTTCGAAACTCAGGGCATTTCTTGTTTAAGGGGGGACATGAGCTGCTTGGCGGAGGTCTGCGCTCTCCGAGTGCTTTTCTAGTTTGTTATGCTGTCCTTCAGTTTGCACACTGCATGACTTTATCACTTCAACCCATGCATGTGTATAAAAGCATGTACGTGTGAGTGTGCATTTTGACATACCCATGTGTGTAGATATACAGTATGTGGGTAATTGTAGGATTCACACAGTTGGATGAGTTGTTTGCTGCACAGATTCCAAACCCTGACAAAGCGTCATGACAAGTTGTGGTTTGCACCATATTCATAAAAACTAAGTTTGTATGTATGCTGTATTCATCAAGATTTGGCCCAATGGAGTTGAGGTCAAAATAAGAGCATAACATATATGATTGATATAAGAGCTGAAAACCATGACCAGTAAGGTAGACATGAACCCCATTGTTCTTGATGGACTAAACAAGTAAACTCAAACCAAGCTGAAGAGATGTTCAGAACATTGTTACACCAACACCTCAAACAACAAGAAAAAGATAGTGTGGATATATTGTTAGAAGATTAACTGAGTGTTTTTTTTTATATGTGATTCAGGATCCACCCCAACCTGCGTTCAAAAATCTACTGCCATGCTATGGCTGCTGGTGGGAAGGAGGAGTGGGAGTTTGCCTGGAACAAGTTTCAAACAACCAGTGACACTTCAGAGAAGGACCAGCTCCGAAAAGCTCTGGCCTGCACTAAGAAAATCTGGCTGCTGAACAGGTGAAGCAAAGAAGCAGATCTGGTTGGGTGTCCTGATGTTTGAACTTCTCTCAAGTCGACTCTTCTTGTGATAATGTAAATTCAGAGTGCAGTGCTCTAGAGTAAAGAGCTGGTCTTTGCCTCTCTTATCTTGCAGATACCTGGAGTACACTTTGGACCCTGAGAAAATCCGTCTCATGGATGTTGCTCCCACTATCCTTTACATTGCTGAGAACGTGGCAGGGCAGGCACTGGCATGGAACTTTATCAGGGCACACTGGGATTACGTCAGTAAAGCGTAAGTTTCAGTATGGACTGCCTATCATTATGTGTTTTATAGCTGACTACTTGTTTTCTGAGTCATGGATGTCAAAATGGAAGACTTGATTGAACCCTGTGATACTTCCTGTAATTTTATCAAAAACTCACTGCCATTTTCAGTGAATCATTGTCACATCATTATGATGTACGTGCACCGCAGGTGTAGACTCTAAAAGTAATCTGTGTGTGCCCACAAAATTAAGGGGCACCTAGACGAACACACCTTGAGGATCAGGTTACCTGTGATAGTATGTTTAAACTCAGCAGTCATGTGACACAGGCAACGCCTGCACAGTGTTCAGTGTCTCCATGTGTTTAAATAAGGGGCTGAGTGAGAGGGATTTCAGATAGAAGTCAAGAGATTATTGTAGATTAATCCCAGACAGCAAGGAAGTGGGGATAGCATGACATCTTCAGGTCATAAAAATGAGATCACACATCCTGCAATGTGTTATTTTGCATGTACTCATACTGCAACTGCAATATTTAAACAATATACTGGGCAGCCCTAGAGGACAGTTACATGTGGTTATAAAAACAAACATACTTGCCAGGTTAAAGGTAAAGTTCTCACTGAATTCAAGTGACCTGATCTCTGATTCAAACAGACGTCTAAATTTGGTTTTCTCAGGTTTCAGTCTCAGTACATTTGCCTGATGAAATGACAAAACAGTAGCTGAAAATCAATTCTTTATGGAAGAAGATATGGGTGTGTTGTCTTTCCTGGTGACAGTTGTTTATAAAAGCCTCTCGACACTGGAGTGACCTGAGGCTGAGTCACTCAAACAGACAAGCAAAACCATAAAAGAGCAGGCTGTAAATACAGTGGCTTATAAAAATCTCACACCATGTAATCAAGGACAAAGGTCCTCTTATTTTATTATTGCTTATCATTTGCTGTCCTTCACAAAATCCCATCGTGTTTATGGTGTTGCCAGGAAGAGACATAAATCTGTATCAAAGTTCAAACATAATAACACTGAATTTCATTTCATAAGCACACAGACACCTGAGATTGATCTCTCGTGAGTCACTGGCTAATTATCCCTTTATTGATCTGAGGCTTTTACCATCCACACTTGGATGTTGATTATTTCTGAAAGTTTGTCAGAGAATATTTGACTGTCCGTCCTGATTTATTGAGAGTATTATGACAACATAACTAACACCTCAAGCTGTTGACTGTCTGTGATCACAAAGCCCAGCCCCCCACTCAAGTTACTCAACTTGACATGCTGTCTCTTATATATTCAGTCCAACTGAAAACAAAGAAAGAAACAAACAGAGGCGTTACACTGGCTGCCAGCAAAATCCAGGACTGATTTCAGGATCCTTTTTTTTTTTTTACTTACAGGACATTTCACGGCCTGACTCCCACTTACATATCTGAATTTTAAAACCCTTACATCACAAAGCACCACTTGGGTCGCAAAATGAAAACCTGCTGGCTATTTTTCCTGCCAAAAGAAAAGCCACAGGCGAGGGCTCCTTTACAGTCCCAGCACCAGAACTCAAGAAAAATCTAACCCTGTACTTAGATCAGCTGAATCTGCTCACAGTTTCAGTAAACATTTAAAGTACCCATCATTAACACAGTTTTGTTTTTTTAGTGACTCAGGAAGGTTTGACTGTCATTTCCAACTAAACCTTTTGTTAACCTTATTTAAAAGGGGCCCTTTAAAAAACTGATTTGAGTCTCACGCGCCTGGTTTGTCACTGAAATGCCAAATTAAAAAAAAAAAAAAACTGATCAAAAGTTGTCTACAGCAGACCTGCAATAATAACTACTGTGATAAAGCTGACCAATCTTGTTTTTTTACTGAGAAAACAGGATTGAGTCAGCTTTATAGTCATTTCAGAGGTGTATTGTTCACTTTCCCCCTCATTTTTCCTCTCAGGCATGCATCAGCATTGATCATGGGAGTGACCAGCAGGTTTTCAACACAGTTCGAGCTGGAGGAGGTAAAGTGTTTTCTTATGTCAAGATGAAAATAAAGAACATGTCGTGCTGTCAGACGACACCCCTATCATCCCAGTTACAGATTGACAACCAATGAGTAAGAGAATACACCCTGATATCCTATCACTGAGTTTTTCCCCTGAGCTCAAGCGTCACATTTCCTCACTTCTGAAGAGTGATTCACTGTCTCTACAAGTCAGAGAAAAGCAATCCAAGTATTGTGCAATTCAAACCTCATATGCCTACTTGTTCTGACACATTGTTAAAGAATGGAGTAAACCGTTGATGTTTTGGTGCACCACATTACTGTGGTGAGTTCAAACAAAGGCAGATTTGTGTTGTGGATGTTGGATAAAAATAAAGTGTTCTCAGAGAGGGTAATAAATCATAGAGTAATCACGAATATATCCTAGACAATAACTCTTATGAGTTTGGTTGTAAGAAAGTTGATCAATTTAAGATCAGTACATTCATTAAATGACCCAGAAATCTTTATTTCAAAGTGAATGTGCCATATTTTATAATATTCTTGTTGGATGACTGAAAGATCTAAAAAACTTCAACACTTTTTTTTTTTTAAGTACTTTATTAGGTCCATAACATATAGCAATACAATTCAATTGCCATTTCATCAGCGTTCCTTTTTCATCATTTATATCACTGTTTTACAGACATTTTGACCCTTCTTTTTTTTCTCTCTTTCCCCCTTTTTTTGTGCACACACAAATAAACTCAAACAGAAAAGTGAAACAAGAAATTTCTATACAAAAAACAGGAAAATAAATAAAATAGAAGAAAAAAAATATATCAGAGTGGAATCAGAGTTTCTGAGTGGAATCAGTTTCACGGATATTTTCAAACATATAAGATCTCCCTTCTGGCAGGAATATGCCTGGAAGATGAATATACGGTACTTCCAAACACCACTGTCTGTATTAAAGTACAAATTAAACTCTAATTGTTGGAGGGAATGTGGGGAGAATAAGGCTGACCATACCCATATATTTTTTACATGTTCCAAAGTACAAAGCTTTTGGCTGCAGGTCTCACACACCATAGAACAAATATTTGGAAGAGATTTTCAATTAGAAAATCACAATATAATTCTAGGAACAAGTCCCATACGATTGAGGAGCCAAGATCTTTATCTCTTCTGGATACTGAGAATGACTGCACTCATACAAATTACAAGAGGTTGGAAAAGTGTGGACCACCCCAGGGTGGATAGGTGGCTGGAAACAATGGAAAATATGTATTTAATGTAAAAGGTGACATATACAATTAATGGTAAGGAAATTTGTTTGAGAAAAGATGGGTCTCTTATCTTTCAAATAAGGATAACCTGTATGCCTAAAAACAGAATTTTCATTGCTGAAACAAACACAAAAAAAGGCGTTTTTTTTTTTTCATTAACAATTTGAAAAACTTCAACACTTGAGTCCAAAAAACTGTCAAACTTTTCATTTTAATGTAGTACCCGTGCAGTAATAATAACACATTTAATGCTCAGAAGTATATTAGAAACAATGAGTCTTTGATATCTGACAGATGTGGACAAAGGCAGCTTTGTCATTAATTTCCCCAAATGACAGGGCTTACTGGCAGATTGAATCTGCTGTTGCTAATTGGAACATTAAACTACATCATGAAACTCGAACCATGAAAGACGTTTTTGTTTGGTGTAGCCCAACATCATAATTTAGCATAAAATGCCTCGATACAGTTGTTGTGCTCTAAATTTGTAAAATTGCAGTTCAGGGAAGGGGTTTATTCTTTGAAACACCAAATCATGTGGTTTCTGTCTTCTCCTCACAGGATTTCTGTCAACAAAATAACACAATATAACTTTCATACACAATGATTTTTGAGGGAACACATTTTACTCACTTCTTAAGAATGAAGACCTCCTAAATTATCACTTGCAACCACATGCTATGAGTTTACATCTACATATAGGACTGTTTTTTCTCGCATTTTCTTTTAAACAATCCCTAATGTCTCTGTATGCTCTCTCTCTCTCTCTCTCTCTCTCTGTGTGTGTGTGTGTGTGCCTGTGTGTGTATATGTGTTCAGCTGGAGCGATTTTCAAGAGACTACTCGGTGGATTCTGAATCTAGAGCTGTGCAGCAGGCCATGGAGCAAACTCAAGTGAACATCCAGTGGCTCAGTGAGAACAAAGATGCTGTACTCGAGTGGTTTGAAAGACAAACAGCTTCAAAGAGTGGATGAATGACTATCTGCTTTTCAAAAACTGGTCTCACTTTATCAGGAGTGGACGAGGGGCTTACAGACAGATGATCATGAAATGATGAAATTCCCATTCAACTACATGAACTGTGATTTTTCAGCACACTGATATATTGTGTGGTTGTGACAATGTATGAAACCATGTGGAAAAGGGTGAATACCCGGTTTTAAATTTCCCTCTGGGATTAATAAAGTATCTATCTATCTATCTATCTATCTATCTATCTATCTATCTATCTATCTATCTATCTATCTATCTATCTATCTAGTGTTTTTGTAAATACTAATGTGCATTATTTATACTTTATTATCAGTTCTAACCATCTGAGCAACAACAATTTGTGTGTACAAATTTTGCACATGATATTGTTCAATGTGTATTTGTTTTTGTTTGACAACTTCCATGTTTGCACACAACTCATATGAACCACCATACACATTTTTCGGTCACCACGATCAGAATCAATAATGCATGATGGTATTTGTTGCACATCACCTCCAAAAAGGACATATTATTATGATAGACCAGGTGTGCCTGTGTAAAAACTAGGTTTTTGATTTGATCTTTTTGCGTTGTATTTTATTTTCCCTCTGCATTTGTAAAGGAGGAGATATTTTACAGAGTAACAGCAACAGCTGAATTTATCAGCATGTGATGCTGTCAATCTGTAGATCAACTTCTCAGCATTTGCTCAGTCAGAGCCGAAGGACAGAACCTTCTTCTGCTGAGATTCAGAACCTGTCAGTGTCCATTATACATGGTGCATATTGTGATCAAAAATCAGATTATTTTTCTTTTTAAAATGAGCTATTTTACCAATAAAATACTGACAGTAAATTTGGGTGTCTAACTTGTGTTTCTGCTTCATCAGAGAAGATTATATGTTTACTACAACTTCAAAATTACAATGACAATGACGTGAAATGCAGTATTAACTGTGGAACACCTCTTTCTCTCAGCCAAAATAAATAAATAAATAAATAAAAATAAAAAGTATCTCATCGTATATTCTTTTGAAAATGTCAGATCTGGCTTCTGGAAAACATAATATAACATCTCCATCCTCTTCATCCCTTCACGCTTTTGCTTTTAAATATCATTTTGATACAGGACTCAAAGTGTGCAGCTGCATTTAAGTCTAAACTGGAACTCAGAAACAGACCGCATGAGGAACTGACCTGGCCACAATTTTATTGCGGCTTCCTTGGCTCTCTGACTTTGCAGATGGCAGACTTATTGATAGGGAGTCAGTTTTGCAAGGGGAGTAAAAATACCGACATGATGTTTATAGGTTTTGACCTTAGACTGTATATAGAATGGACAGAGTCTGCCTCCTCGCTGGGTGAAGCCACTCCGAGAACAGCACCCTCTGGTGACAGGCTGCAGTATAGGTCATAAATCCCACTCTGCCAGCAAAGCTTATGGAGCTGTGGACAAACTTTAGAAATTTATTACACAGAACATACATTTTTCTCCCCCCTGCTTGTGATGTTGACATGTAGTTACTGTAAGACTGGTTTGTGCTCAAGTCCTCTTTTTTTCTGTGAAGCTCCATTTTTAAAAGTTATTAGGGGGTTCATGTTTTCTATGATTGACACTTGATACAGCTTATGGGCGTTCAGGGATTGCGTAGCTCTCCCGGGGGATACGCTGTTTGAGCCGAGCGTCATCACAGCGACTCTCTGCGAATGTGCGCATCGCTACTGCGTTGCGCTGGTTTCAGGAAATGAAGAAAAATCCTGGAAATATCGAGAGCTATTTGGCTTCAAATCTGTATACAGGTGGGAGGCGGAACCAAGTTGTCCATAGTATATACAGTCTATGGTTTTGACTCACTGTAGGAGGACTTGAGAAAGCCAGTGTTGACCTTTTTTGTAGATCACTGAAGTTTGGCTCAATCTCTTTCCTACTTGCATCAAACTTCCTCTTGATGTACAGCAAAAAAAAGGGGGAAAAATATATATATATATATATATATACTTATATATTTTATTTATTTATTTTTTTGGAGTCCTTCCAAAATGTAAACTCTTACAAGAATTGGGTAAAAGTGTGTCTCTTTGGAGTCCCTGGTTTTTGCTTTGAATTTCTAAAATCATAGGAATGTTAAAACACGACAGCACAAAGAACCCACCACTTATGGTGAACCATAAGTGCATTTATAAAGCACCATATAACAACTATACATCTATGTAACAACCCGTATAAGTTATAAACATTCATACTATTTATAGTGATGAAGTGTTATGAGCAGTGAACATAAAACCATAAACAAAGGTTTGGTTCATAATACAGCATCAATACACTTCAGTGGACTAAATACAGTATGCTACAGATTTGGTAGTTAGCATAGTATTTTGTCATATTCTCTTCTCTCTGCACTCTCATACAATGAGATTATTTGTTTACACATGCTATCTCTGCTTTAAAGAATCTTTGCTAACCTTTAGACTTCACCATTTCCAGCTTTACGCAAATCCAAAGTAATGGCCTGCTGGTTCATACTCAACACACAGACATGAGGGAGTTACCAATCTATCCTACGATCTATTTCCGCAAAAAACAGATGAGCATACATTAAAATATTCAGTTCTTTTGATGTCCTCAGGGACACTAGAGGTCTTGAGAGTTAGTGATCCTAGATTTTGGCCTCAAAACCTTCAGACACAATACATGCTTAGCAACTTTTCAACTCAAGGAAGTTTAACTTTTCAGTAAATGTTGTTTTTAAATCATGAGACTAATTAAATTTGCTTTTCTCCGTCAAGTGAAAGAGGCTCAATAGGCCACAAGAAACCATTAATAGACAGACCTTCTCCAAGGTTGAACATGACATAAGCACTCCAAGCTCATATTAAGAATAAGACAATAGTAAGCAGTCTAACCTAAAGAAAGGTAATAGTTATGATGATGTCAGGCCAAATACTCTAGAACAACTAAAAACAGCCAAGTTCGGGTGTTGAGTAAATGTTTCAGCCTTCAAATCACATAGGTACAGACTTATTTGATTAGTCAGATGGCAACACAAGCAAAATGGTGCATGCTTTTTTGTATGTTGTTTGTGAAAAAAACTGTTTTAACCTTCTCATGTCCTGATATGCAAACTGCTCCATAAATCAGCCTCAACATGACTACTCTGTTATCTTTATTCCACAAATACAGTGTAAAGAGTTTCACAGTCCTGTGTCAGTATCCTTAATAAAATTCATGGGATTCTAACTCGTCTGGCTTCTCTTCGTGTCTCCTCCATCTCTGTGGAAAGGGAGGGTTTGGATAACAAGATTTGTTTTGTGTTGAGAGACTTTGGCGCTCTGGCGGAAGTTTCAGAGTCCTGATCATCCACATGGGCTGCAGGATTGCATTCAGTTTCAGAGGTCTTGCTGTTTGGGGAGGTACCCTCTTGGCTTTGATCACAAGCATCAGACAAAGTTTTTTGTCCCTGAGAGCTTATCACCAGTGGATTGTTCACATTTATGAGGCTCATTGCATCCAAAACACAAAAACTGTGAGATGTACAGGAATAAAATGGCTGTTTCTGCAGATAAAGCTATCATTTTTGCACATGTATGTCAGGAAAAAGTTGAGAGAAATTGATCTAAATTACTATATCAATATCTTAATTATAAATTACTATATCAATATCTTAATTATATGTTAAGAATGTGCATCACCGGATGAAGGGCACCACTGACAAATAAATCCAACTTTTTAAGAGGCCACACAAAGACTCGGCGTGTTGAGACCCTCATAATTAATCCTTAATTTAGACCATGTTATACACATCATGACATTACACAACAACCCTACTAGCCTCACCGGCAGCTTTTTCAAACATAAACACATTTTACAAAGATTGTATTGACAGAAGTAGTTACCTTCTGACTGGGGAGATCTCTCTCAGTCCTCTGCGCTGGTTCCCAAGTTGGTCGCCTATCTTCATTTTTACCCATGGGACAAAAGTTCAAAAGAAATTAAGGGATACCTTTGAGGGATGTTGAGAGACAATCGAATTATTTTAAAATGTGAAACTCTTTTAGAGGTGCAAACCAATTAAAGTTCGCCATGTCTGACTGAGGGAGTAGCGGCCGAGATGGATGTTGAGCCAGATGTGTCTTTGTTGATTCCAGTCCCCAGGAGCCTCCACTTCATACAGACGCTCTCAATCTTCCTCATGCTGCAACAGTAACCTCTTACAAACTGAATACAGTGTGCACATAGGGGATTCATAAAAGCTGTTTTCAGTAAGCAATAAAGTTGACTCATTAAAAAACTTTGGGGGGGGGGGGGTGCTGGGGGTGAACAACAATGACACTGTTTTCAGAAAAGTTGGGAGTTCTCAGAAACTGTGGGGATGTTGCGGATGTCAGAGAAAGGAAACTGAAGTCTATTAGCTGGACAAGACCACACCCCTTTTCTATGTTGAAACTTTTGGCTGTTGATCTGTTTCCTAAGAAAAATGAAAAATCATTGGAAACATGTGAGTGATTACTTCAATCTGTATTGAGAGTTCTTCCCAAATTTACAGGAATATTATTTAATGCTTCTACCAATTGCAGAAAATGTCCAATCCCTTGCAGAACATCATTGGACAGTAAAAAAGGAGGAATCAATGTGTGATCTCTTTGTGGAGGAGGTTTCAAAGAAGGATAAAAGCAGACCTTCAGCTAACCTGCCACCATGCTAGGAGATAATGTAGAACTTACTCCTAAAAGCCTCTCAGTGAAGAATGAGGAGCAAAAATCCTCCAGCAGCTGAAGGCTGAAGCCTCTCCTTCTGCAGCCCCTCCTTACCAGCACTGTGTTCAGAACAGGCAACATGTAGCAGAGACTGCTTTAGCTGGTACACAGGATTCCTGTAACATAAACAGTTGAAGGGTTTCTGTGTTAATACATTACCCTGCTACAGCGCTCAGCCTGATTTATACTGGACTTTTAAGATTAACGTAGTAAGTAGCTGAAACATTTTACGACACATTATTGATTTAATTAAAATTACCTTTGGCTGTGTTCACAGACAATAGTTTTTTTATTTATGTTTTTTATGTGATTGTGAGCCCATGCAGTCATTTCCACAGGAGTCATTTCTTTTGATGCTCTCTCTCTCTCTCTCTCTCTCTCTCTCTCTCTCTCTCTCTCTCTCTCTCTCTCTCACACACACACACACACACACACGCACACGTACACATTCTCTTTCTCTTTCTCTCTGAGTGTATGTGTTTGATTGATGCAGTTAAGCTGTTTTAATGATGGGGAAAAAACAATTCCAAAAAAGTTGGAATTGGAATCAATTCATAGGGCTCTATTTTTGTGCTTCGCCGGAAACGCGGCGCAGGCACGGCGTGAGTCAGGTCCGCCGCGCTGACAAGGTGTTCCCAAGCACAATTTGGTATTTTGGTGAGCGGCGCAGCCCGGCATAAGTATCCCCCCTACCTAACTCAGCTCCTCCCAGCATCGTAAGTCATAGCGAGGAAGGAGAAAGAGCGTGGAGTGGGTTTAACACAGCCGAGACCTGTATTGACCAATAATATCAACTCTCTCATATAAGCACAAATGGATTTGGTGTGTGTAATGTTGGACCCACTAGTAAGACAAACACCCTTTCCACAAATAAAGACACTCACATAAAGTTGCATTTATTCAAATATCACGTGACAAAGGTGGGTTGTGTGCAGAGATCACATCATAAATTCCAATAATGGCATTAAAATCGAAACCATCTGTGTGTAAAGAACACATCGCGCTTCATGGCCTGGCTCTTTCTTTCATAGATGTTGGCATATAAAATAAATTTGGCTCACAAAACTGAATATTATAATATTCGTATGTAGGCTTAAAGTAAATAACTCATCTGGTCACTGAAACAAATCATCTGTTCAGCCACCGCAGCAGCAGCTGCAGCAGGACAGAGAGAGGACACGGAGACATGCCCAAGTCGAGCTGCGTGAGAAATAAGAGGAAGAGGAAGAAAGAAAAGGAGGGAGACAAATTAAATATCTTGTTAACTTCATCATGTGTGTTTATTTACTAGATATTTAATTTAATTTGATGCGGCTTCAGCTGTGTTGATTCGGTCAGGTTGAGTGTCCAAACGCGTGCCAAACGTGCTCATCAGATCAGATATAGATCAGAATATATCTATATAGATCTAAATGTATGTGCTGAGTCAGATTATTAGTTGTTGTTGATTATTTATTGCACTGAAATGTGCCTGAAACTGTGGAAACCTGCCGGTGAGGCATCAGTGACGTATGCCGATACGCCGCCAGTCTACCAAAATACCACTAGACTAGCTGCGCTCCGCCTGCGCTGAAAGCTGACCAGATTTGAATCGGCGAGCTTTCAGCACACTTTATACGCCACCGGTGAGCACGAAAATGTCACTGCGGCAGCTGATTCTGTCGACACCAACCTCTGCCATGCCACCACACCCAGCTTGGCGGACCTCGGTGCGCCTCAGTCCACGAAAATACCAAACTGGCTTTACGCCAGGCTCCACCTGATGAAAATACCATTGCGCGGGGTCCGCCACCCTCTGCCGCCTCACCAGCAGACATGAAAATAGAGCCCATAATCTTTTCATGAAAAAAATCTCAAAGTTGATTTCACTTACACTATTCACATCTCCAACCATTCCAACTTACTAAACTTCTCTAGGATCTGAGTATCAACAGTAACTTCCTTCCATGTATAAACTACTGTAAAATACAAGTAAAAGCAAACAGTGACACCATTACTGATCAAGTAGTGAGACAAATCTAACTCTTCAGACTATATCTGCTCTTCAGTGAAATGTTCAGCCACAGCAGTAAAAGTGAAGTAGCAGGTTTGAATGCTTGACATACATCTTGACAAGGGTTGAGTCTCAAATCCTGTTTTTGACTGTGAAGCAAGTTTCAAACTGTGTGCTTTCCTGCATTCCTCATCACGGATATTTTAAGCTGAATAATTAGGATCATAAACATATGCCCTCTAAAACCATTCAGACCAATGTATGATTCTGATGATTGATATTCTGCTGATGCTGAAATGCAAACAGATGTGCAAAAGAGAGAGATAATTACCAACACCAAGCCTCTTCACTGGATGTGCGTAAAATGTCATCCACATGCCACCACTTGTCATGTAGATATAAAGCCACCACTGGAAGGTAAAATAATGAGCATTAATGTTAGTCTGACACACAGTATGTTCATGTTTAATATTTCCAAACCTTGTGTTGGATCCTCAGGAGGGTGGAATACCAGCAGTCTACAGTTGGGTTGGTCATCCTCAAAAATGCTCAACCACCTCACATTTTTTCTGTTATCTCTACCTAAGAAGACAGGATAAAAATGTGTGCTTGTAATACATCCTGACTGGACCATGTCAGTGTGGTGACAAATATCTGAACTTTTTAAAAAACACACATTTCCTTGTCTTACATCAAACAAAATGTCAACACTTGAGGGAAGCTTTTACAGACCAGTATACAACCAGTCTTCACACTCTTTTTTTTTACATCAAGCCTATTGTTAGAATAATGCAGGGCTCTCAAGTCTCACGCATTCAGCGTGTGACACACGCATTCCCACCCGTTCACACGCTCACACGCCACACATTGTATTTCTCACGCATTTAAATGAACATGGAGATGTCCACAAGTTGCACCTCTTTTACTATGGAACAGGTAGGAATCAAGTGAATTCCTCCGAGAGTTCAGAAGCTGCGTGCCACGCGCAAGCCTATAGAGCCAGATCAGGCTCAAAAGTATTGAAAAGTAGTGTAAGTGAAAAAATAAAAAGTGAAGTGAAAAAATAAGATTTGAACCTGAAAAAAATAAAATGGTACCTGAAAGTCTTGAATTTCGAAATTGAACTTTGAAAAAACACCAGAATGCATGAAAAAAATCTGTTCAAATGTAACTTTGATTCTGTTTTTTAATACTTGAATAAATTACTTATTTCTATTTTTCACTTCAATGTATATTTCGATCTTTGAGTACTTTTTTTTTCCGATTGAATTTTATTTATTTATTTCAGATTCAGATCTTATTTTTACGGATTCAAAACTTTTTTTTCGGTTTCAGATTTTTTTTTTTTCAGATACAGATCTTTTTTCAGATTCAACTTGAAAAGTTTCAGGTTCACTTTTGAGCCTGTTTTTCCGTGGGGGCGGGCCTTGACTGAGAGGGGTGCGGTCTGCCATGAGTGACAGGCCTCCCCATCCTTCCCCACCCCATCACTCTGCGTTCAGGAAGCGGCATGAATACACATTAGCTTAGCCTACAATTAGGCTGCATTGGCTGAATGAGATCGTGTTGGTTCGTTCCACTTTAGTGGTGCAATATAAACTGTGATTCATAAAACAGCTCTATTGATAGTAAGTACTAAAAAAATATATCTACTCATGTCATCCTGTCGATTTTTAGTAATCAGTGTTTCGGTGTCAAACTATTTCCCTTATGCGGCGTAGTGATACTTGCACACGCGCAATCGAATATGCAGGGGGTGAAGCGATTTTTGTCACGTCGACCAATAGGAGCCGAGTCTCGTTGCCATAGTATCAGAAATACACAAACATGGCGACGACCGCATCTCGCAGCGAGACAAGCGAAGAGGAAGAAAAGAAAAGGAACAAAAGAAAACAGCCTTCAAAAGTGCATAAAAAGGAGCGAAACGATGTTATATGCATCTATCATCTGTCCAGAGTGAAGACGTTCTCGACTTTACAAGGACACGTTGGGAAACTTACAGAACTAGTATTAGAAAGTGGCTTTCTCTACAGGGTGAGACAAAAGACCTTGCAGAAACTTATAAACTTTGCGTTGATATCGACTTTGACAATGTTCCTGATGACGCTGGGTTTCACATAACATGCTACCAGCGATTTATTTGCAAAAGGGGTTTGAGAAACAAGAACGTGATTTCTGATACTATGGCAACGAGACTCGGCTCCTGTTGGTCGACGTGACAAAAATCGCTTCACCCCCTGCATATTCGATTGCGCGTGTGCAAGTATCACTACGCCGCAGAAGGGAAATAGTTTGACACCGAAACACTGATTACTAAAAATCGACAGGATGACATGAGTAGATATATTTTTTTAGTACTTACCATCAATAGAGCTTTTTTATGAATCACAGTTTATATTGCACCACTAAAGTGGAACGAATCAACACGATCTCATTCAGCCAATGCAGCCTAATTGTAGGCTAAGCTAATGTGTATTCATACCGCTTCCTGAACGCAGAGTGATGGGGTGGGGAAGGATGGGGAGGCCTGTCACTCATGGCAGACCGCGCCCCTCTCAGTCGAGGCCCGCCCCCACGAAAAAACAGGCTCAAAAGTGAACCTGAAACTTTTCAAGTTGAATCTGAAAAAAGATCTGAATCTGAAAAAAAAAATCTGAAACCGAAAAAAAAATGTTGAATCCGTAAAAATAAGATCTGAATCTGAAATAAATAAATAAAATTCAATCAAAAAAAAAAAGTACTCAAAGATCGAAATATACATTGAAGTGAAAAATAGAAATAAGTAATTTATTCAAAAGTATTGAAAAACAGAATCAAAGTTACATTTGAACAGATTTTTTTCATGCATTCTGGTATTTTTTCAAAGTTCAATTTCGAAATTCAAGACTTTCAGGTACCATTTTCTTTTTTTAGGTTCAAATCTTATTTTTTCACTTACACTACTTTTCAATACTTTTGAGCCTGATCTGGCTCCATACAAGCCAATCAAATTAAGTATATCTACTGAACAGCCAATCAAAAAGCAGCATTGCTATATCCGGGTAGATTTTGATATCTTGCGGTTTGACTACAGAAGAAGACAGACACTTGCCGAAATAGAGCAGGTTTTCATAAAGACGAGATAGACCCGATGATTACAGTAAGTCAGTAACCTACACATGCAGAGACCTCAACACCTCATGGCAGATAAACTCATATGATAAACTAAAGCCCTATGCTATTGCTATTAACAGCTGTATTGATGAATTTAGCCTCTGTACAGCCATTTCCAGCCATTTTCCCCTCCACAAAAGCAGCATTTCTCATATATTCTTTTTAAAGTTCTGATACTCATGACAGTGTAATGCTCATGTACCAAAGGATTAAGTATCTCCATATTTGTGAAACCTATACTAAAGTACAATTCATCTGAATGCTCCACAGTGCTGATTTTAACAACTCTCCTCCACAACAGGTAACTTTACTACTTTATTCTTATAAATTAATGACTTTATTCTCCTAAATAACAACTTTAATCTCGAAGAAAAAAACATTGTTTTTTCTTAATGTAGCCCTTATACTCCATTGTATTTATTAGATTATTATTATAATAATTATCTTCAATAAATCCCCCCCCAAGGAAAAAAAATCTCACTCTAAGCTCAGTTCAAAACTTGAGAGCCCTGATAATGTGTATAAAAGTTTATAGAAATTATCAGTAGCTTTACTCAATATGAAATGCTTTCACCTTATCTCTCTATGAAATGCTTTCACATTTTCTCTCCCTTAACACATGAGCAGACAGTCGTGTGTTTTTCTTTAAGGGGTGTTCAGACCAAACGCGACCTCGGCGACGTCGGCAACGGCTCCCAATGCAAAGTCTATGGACAGCCGCGACCTGGCGACCGCCGGCTGCCTGCGACGCGACCTGACGCGACTTGGCGAAACAAGGAGGAGGAGGAGAAGAAGAATCACAATGGAGGAGCAGTTTATCACTGCCGTGAGTTATCACCCGGTCCTGTACGACGTGGGGTGCGCGATTTACCGGGACCGCACCTCAAAGGAGGAGGCATGGGCGAAGGTGGCCCATGATTTCGGGCTTTCTGGTCGTTTGTTTATTTATTTCAGTGAGCAGACTTATTGAAAACATAGCAAACTTCCCCTGCTTGCTAGGCTACATGTTTCAACGTGTGTGTGTGTGTGTGTGTGTGTGTGTGTGTGTGTGTGTGTGTGTGTGTGTGTGTGTGTGTGTGTGTGTGTGTGTGTGTGTGTGTGTGTGTGTGTGTGTGTGTGTGTGTGTCGCAAGCGCTGGAAAGGGCTGCGGGATGTATATATGAGGGAGAAAAGGAGGGAGAAGGAAGGTGGGAGAAGCGGGTCAGCGGCGACCAGCCGCGTCCAGCTTTGGACCCGTTGTGAACACACCAGAGCGCGACGCGACGTGATCGACCAACGCGACGCGACCTGTTCGCGTTTAGTCTGAACACCCCTTTACATCTCTGAGCTATCCTTCTTGCAGTAAGCAGATAAGCAGATGGGTACCTGTCTCCGCTATGAACCATGCAAGCTGTACCTGCCTCCACTGTAAACAGTTAACCACCACAAAAGAAAGTGAAACGTCAGCAGTCATCTTGACATCAACAGAAGAATTCTGCACATGCTTACTCTAGTATAATTATGTATTATGAGAGTGCTTACGCTGCTGAACACTGTTTCCCCCACCCTTTAGTGTATGCAGCATTGTGTAACTAGGGACCACCCTAAGGATAATAAAAAGAGAGGTTGGATGGGAATGCTTTAGAATGGTTTGAGATTTGTAATTGTTCGCATCTCTGGTTTGAGATTTGTAATTGTACGCATCTCTGTCTGTTCTCCTCGCTAGTAAGAAATCTAATACCATTGTCTTTCTCTTCTTTGTGTTTGAGTCATTTGTTGCAGGTTTTAGACCCAACACCTATGCATGATTGTCTCTCATTAGAGATAGTTACTGTAGACTTTCTGTACCTTAAGCTTATCTGATGGCGGAAACCACTCATTCTTATGTAGTCCTGACTCCAGAGAAGCTAGGGACTGTTCAGATGCATGGCCTATAAAACTGGCAAACTCAAGGGTTAAATACACATTTCTTTATCAAGTAACAACCCTATTACACAAGAGTCACAACATTGTGTGCACCTTTGATTTTTGCAAATCATGTAAAGCCAGGATTTGGAAACAAAAGTGCAAAGACAACGTTTTAATTTTTAAAACTGGAAAATACAACTGTTTCTGAAAACTGAGTTGTTCTTTAAATTTCAACCATAACAGCTTTTGTCTCTGACTTACAGCGCCATCCTCTGACAATAGAGAGAAATTACTCTGCCTTGTCTGGATTACATGGACATAAAGTTCACCAACATTAGCTAATACAACGCCTGAAACTTCTGAAGTGGACTTCAAACTCCCAGTGACTACGCATCAGATATGTACGATGTTGCAATGGCAACGGTGCTCACTATAAAAATAAAAAGGTTAGGGCATTTCAGCCCTCATGGATACAAGAGTTTGCTTTTTTGTGTTTAGAGGACCATGCTGTGTCTTCAGCTCAACATACCTTTGTGTGAGCAGATATTCTCACACGTGAAAAATGTGCTCTGCCCTTCCTGCAGTAGTGTAACCACAGACCACTCTGAGGCATGTTTACAACTAAAAAGTACAAACTACAAGCTCCAGATAACAGAGCTAAGCCAAGAAAAGCAGGGCCAGGGATCACACTGGCTACGAAGCACCTGTGGATTTGTTTTAGTCTGAGCCATCACTTATTTTTGGTTAAACATGTTGCTTTTTGCCTGTCTTTAGAAAATTGTGGTTATTTCATTCTGATTTAACAGCGATTTTTTTATGCACTCAAGCCTGCATTTTCGCCCAGTGCAACATGTTTTAAACAAGGTTCTGAAAGCAGGGTTTTGAACTTAGAACCAAGCCCCTAGTCTAAATAAGGGGATAATATCTTAGAAATATGACTCAATGTGGCCTTTGGATAAAATAAAATTACAGGTATGTTAGAAATGTTCTTGTATTTTTATATTTCAACATTATGCTATTGTTGATACTGGCACACTCATTGACTGATGCTTTTTTAAAAATAACAACTTTATTTATATAGCACTTTTAAAAAGAGTTTACAAAGTGCTTTAACATGCAGGAAAACAAAGGAGATAAAAAACTCTGACTCTGTGAGAATCAATTCAACGCCAGACTTTTTGCTGTGTAAGTTGTCCTCGTACTACGGTGGCACTGAAGTGCAAAACACAACAACATTTTGCAAAACACCACAACATTTCAATAAACACAACATCATTTCACAAAACACAACATTTCCAAAACACAAAAACATTTTGCAATACGCAACGTCATTTTGAAAACACAACAACATTGAGAAAACATAACATTTCAGAAAACCCAAAAACATTTCCAAAACACAAAAACATTTTGCAAAACGCAACGTCATTTTGAAAACACAACATTGAGAAAACATAATATTTCAGAAAACCCAAAAACATTTTGCAAAACGCAAAAAACATTTCGAAAACACAACATTTCAGAAAACACAAAAACATTTTTAAAACACAAAAACAATGCCAAAAACACAACATTTTGGAAAACATTTCAAAAACATTTTGCAAAACACAAAAAACATTTCGAAAACACAACAACATTTCGGAAAATACAAAAACATTTCCCAAAACACAACATTTCTTAAAAACACAAAAATATTCGGGCTTCAGTACTTTTCCTCTTCCCATAAAATGTGCATGCACTGATGGCAGCCATTTTTTCTGAGTGACGAAGAGAAAGGTACTGAAGCCCCACCCCTTCACATTTGGTATCATTGAAGAGCTCTAAATGTCCTCTGTAGAAACCAAAATGAGTTACAGTTTTTCTCTATTGCCAAAACACATTTCACCATACTATCCCCCCTTCCCATAACTCTAAACACAAAACACTTTTCTCAAGCACTATTCACACAACAGCAAATTCTCTTCCCAAAACCAACCCATACACTCCAAAACAGAACAAGGTATGTTCAAAGTCACTCGAGCACACCGAAACAATTGCACCTACGCTCAAAAGTCTCACATTTTCTCAAAAGTCCACCTTGACAGCACAATACCTCTCAAGGCCTGCAAAATGTAAACACTACCAAGCGTCATTACACACGCTTTAAAAAATGCAAAACACAATGTTCATAGTGTGAGACCGTTCTTTTTACAGTTTCATCACTGCAGAACACATTTTTTTAGAAACCCTTACATTTCTCAAATATATATTGGGCATGTACTCAATGCAAAGCAGTGTAAACACCATGGAGGATCCACTGCACACAATACATACGTATAGTGTACAGTCACAATTGAAAACACAATGTTCAGGGTGTAACTTTTTTTATTACAGTATTGACAGTATGTTTTACTGCACAGATTTGAAAGACTGCCACATGCAGGTGGGAGACGCATCCCAAGAATCGACATGGTTCAGGAGAATCGTCTACATGGTTCAGGAGAATACTGTAATATCATAAGGGGAAATACAGGATAACATCTTTGCTGACAATCTGAACTTCACAAACTCAGCCTGACCACTGACTCCAGTTGGGCTGCTGTGAATATGGAACCCCTCCCACCTGCATGTGGCAGTCTGTCAACTCTCAAGAAATAAACATACATTTGGTCAGTATAGAGATAGTCCTTGCAGTACACAGTACTGTAACACTTTTACCCATAGTTAGGGCCCGAGCGTAGCTGCTAAGCAGCTGCGAGAGCCCTCTTATTCCTGATGGATTCTTCTTTGTTTCTTTAGGGCCCGAGCGTAGCTGCTAAGCAGCTGCGAGAGCCCTATTGTTCCTGATGGATTCTTCTTTCTTCTTCTTCTTCTTCTTCTTATTTTTCTGCCACTTTGAACTGGAAAATGGCCCACTTCCCACCGGTGAAAACTCATGAAATTTGGCAGGACGACCGGGCCTGGTGAAAAATTCGATATTCTGAAGTCGCCCAAACAATCAAATGCAAAATGGCTCCATAGCGCCCCCTAATGTGAAAAATTCACATGATTGAGTGTCACCCCTGTACGCTTTGTCAAAATGACACAAAATTTGACACACACGTGTATCTCAATAAGATCTACAAAAAAGTCAGCGCGGGCGTATCTGTCAAATGTACAGTTAAAGGGCTATTTCGCATTTTTTGCCGATCCGCACACATTGGAATTTCGCTAACTCCTCCGAAGGCTTTCGTTCCACCGGCACCACATTTGCTCAGGCCAATCTACACCCCATGGCCATTAAAAATCACACAAATCATGACGCTGCACCCCACGGTTTAGGTTCTAGGGGGCGCCAAAGATAACCCAAAAACCCACATACTTAAAAGTCTTATAACTTTTTATTTTTGTCCTCACTGGCCTCCAAGTTTTCTAGGATGATGCAATGTCCAGCCATCAACACATTTGTGAAGGAATTTTTACTCCCCAAAAGAGCGCCCCCCCCATGGCAGGAGAAAAAAGTCCATTTTTTCTTGTCCCCTAATGTGAAAATACATATTGTCGAGTGTCACGCCTATACGCTTTGTCATATTGACACAAAATTTGACAATCACGTGTATCTCAATAAGATCTATGAAAAAGTCAATGCGCGCGTATCTGTAAAATGTACGGTTAAAGGGCTATTTTGCATTTTTTGCCGATTCGCACACATTGCAATGTGGCTAACTCCTCCTAGAGCTTTCATCCCACCGGCACTAAATTTTCTCAGGCCAATCTACACCCCATGGCCATTTTAAGTTGTACAAATCATGATGCTGCACCCCACGGTTTACGTTCTAGGGGGCGCCAAAGATGACCCAAATATCCACATTTCTAAAAGTCTTATAACTTTTTATTTTTGTCCTCACTGGCCTCCAAGTTTTCTAGGATGATGCAATGTCCAGCCATCAACACATTTGTGAAGGAATTTTTACTCCCCGAAAGAGCGCCCCCCCCCCCCCATGGCAGGAGAAAAAGTCAAAGTTTTTCCTGCCCATCCCTCAATAGCTCAAGCGCATCGCTCTCCCGGAAAAACCGAAAGGAGGGGCAACTTGCCATTTGGATATATACTAGCTGTGTTTGTGCCCTCACTCATGGTCCAGACTTTTTTCAAAAAGGACAAAGAGTTTGTCTGCAGCGAGCGTTTTGGTAGAAACTGCGCCTCCCATTCATTATAATGGTAAATGACCACAGACAAGTGCGCACACCATCTTTGGACCTTGAGTGTGACGCGATCGGGAGGGGGAGGCGGTCGCGCTGGGGGCGCTGCGACACGGCTCGGGCCCGCCAGTGCCCCACTGGGGCCCTAGTTGCAATTGTTCTAGGTGAAAATGAAGGCTTGCCCCTCAACTGCACTCAAGTTTACAGTAATGTACAGTAAAGGTAATGAAACATGCAGTTTATAGAATTATACATATACTGTAAATGCTGCACTGTAAAATACAGTACTGTAAAGGCATGTATTCAATACATGGACATCTATTTACAGCAAACTGTGGTAAATCGAATTGCACTCCACTACGTATGCAGTACAGTATCTGTAGAGACATCTACTGTAGTGATCAAGAAATACTACAGTCAGTACCTGTTGTGTTGTCTGAAGGCCCGAATGATGGTGGCCACTGTATATCGGCTTATGTCATGTCAGTCATGGTCATTCCATGGACAATGGCAATGGCAATGACATGGTTGATAACGGTCGCTCGCATCTCATCTGTGATGATCGTGCGTCGACTTCTCACTTGCCCCTCTCTTTCTCCTCGGCCTGCTCCTCTTCCTCCTCAGCCTGCTCCTCTTGCTCCTTGGCCAGCTCCTTGCCCTCCTCAGCCTGCTCCTCTTCCTCTGACGCGAATCCCTCTGTCTTGTCCCTCCATTGTTCGGAATATTCAGCACACTCTGCACTCTGCACTGACTTATATAGGTGTGGTTACCCCATTTGCAACAGGTGTCTTCAATTTTGAGTCGTTGTGTTTAATCAAGGACGCAAGGTATGTTCATTGTGTTCAAGTTTTGCTGACTGTGGGTAGCATTTTGCATCAAATGAGCTTAACTATGCATGTTTGAGCAGATGTGTTTTGCAGGATGTGTTTTAGCAAGAAAAAAATGTGTTTAGAGTTCTGAGAAGAAGTGAGTGGGTTTTGTGAATAGTGTCCACAGGTGAAATGTGTTTCTGGTTGTGGCAAATGGGGCTTCATTTTAATAAATGTGTTGAGGCAACTGGTCATTTGGTTTAGAGTATGGTGAAATGTGTTTTAGCAATAGAGAAAAACTGTAATTCAGTAGTATGCAGTGGGTGGGAGATATTGAGGTTTACAATGGTCCTCCACAGAGGACAAATTTTAACTACTGGTAGTCAGGAGGATATGACTGAGCAGTAAAATGTGTATTGTAAAATGTATTTTGTGTTTCACAAAATGTCTTTTCGAAATGTTTTTGTGTTTTAAAAAATATTGTTGTGTTTTGGGAAATGTTTTTGTGTTTTCCGAAATGTTGTTGTGTTTCTGGGAAATGTTTTTGTGTTTTCCGAAATGTTGTTGTGTTTTCAAAATGTTTTTGTGTTTTCCAAAATGATGTGGTGTTTTGCGAAATGTTTTTGTGTTTTGGTAATGTCGTCGTGGTTTGTGAAATGTTGTGTTTTGCACTTCAGGGCCACCGCATTGTACAGTGTACAACGAACTTAACGTTGAATCCTGAAGGTATAAAATAATAATGTGATTAAAAACATTGTAAGATAAAATAAAAAACACATAATAATAGATTAAAAAGTTAACATTAAAACATTACAATATTGTTGTCTCTAGTTGTCAAGTTGAGGCTGGAGACGTGTGGGGGACATGCGCAAATGCCTGAAATGTCAAGCCTACCTGACTGGAGATGGATGAAAAAAAAAATGACGAAGAGAGAATCTTTTGGACTCTTTCTCTTGTTGCAGAGAGTTGTTGGGAGTTGACCAAATGTGGGTGCACCACGGAATGTACAGGACAATGTGAGCGCTTCAAATATGGACTCACTTGCACATTTCTATGAAGTTGCCCCTGTTGGAAGCTATGGCTGTTTCTCATTTCAGAGACCGCATCAGACTGAGCGCGCTCAAGCGCACGTAGCTGAGCGCACTGCCGTTATATGGACTTAAGTACCCTGAGTGAGATGGTCCGGTTTTTGTGAAATGGGACAGACTACCCTTCAGAGGACTTCCTGGTTGAGTCGCCAAATGTCCCCACCCTCAGGCTCGCGTCACGACTGATTTGAAGAAAAGCTGCCGAGCGCAGCAGTTATTTTTTAATTGTGCGACCTTGCACAGACACAAAACAGTAGATACACACATGCACGGATCATTTCCACAAAATTTATCCAGTGATTGCATGTTTTGTATGAAGGATTATGAGGGCCATATTAATTTTTTTTTTTAAATACTTCGAGATTTAAGTCAAAAATTTATGAGAATAAAGTCATTAGTTTATGAGAATAAAGTCATAAGGTTACCTGTTATTTAAAAGGAGAGTTGTTAAAATTAGGGCCTGTTGTGGAAAATCCAGCATAAACAATGCACAGGAGACAGGATGAGATCTGACGAACAGCCTGGGCGTCTTTTATTGTACAGATGTAGAAATCAGTACAGATGACAAACAAAGTCGCGACCAAGACCGAAGGAAGCCTCCCTAGCTTTTCTTCTACTCCCTTTTATGCAGTTAGTTGTGTGTGTGTGTGTGTGTGTGTGTGTGTTTGTGTGTGTGTGTGTGTGTGTGTATTCTGTCATCATGGGTATGTCATATCAATTCTCCAGAGGGCTACCCATGATGACATGTCGTACTGTTCTGACCCTCAACACTTTGTTTAGGCTTGTCTTAACTCTCGCAGAGATTAAATGTTCCAACAGACAGATAGTTTGGGCTCCTGCAAGACAGCCTTGCTTGCAACCTTGGGGTCATGAGGCTGCATGAGCAGGCCAACCTAGATTATTTGTAGCTCCTTACTAAAAGATAATTACTCTATATTTCTTAACCTAAATGTATGAAGAGATTCTCCTACAGGCCATGGAGCATTTGAAGGAACTGTGCTTCAGTATAGGTTTCACAAACAAGGAGATACTTCATACTTTGGCGCATCAGCATTACATTGTCATAAGTATAAAGACTTAAAAAAGAACATATGAGAAATACATCTTTTCCACCGTGTAAAATAACAGGAGGACTTGGAGGAAATCGCTGCTTTTGTGGAGGCAGAAATGGATATGCTGCGGATAAAGCCATAAATAGCCGTGAATGACATTATATAAAATGACATTTCTGATATGAATCCATATGCCATAATAAGGCGTTGGTGTCTCTGCAGGTGTAGGTTACTGCCGGTGTCAGAGACGTGGTGTTCGTCGGAGCTCGACTCCCCCTGGATCACAAATGTGTGTATCACAATAATACATTCACCAATAACCCTGCAGATCACCAGCTTCAGTCATTTACCCCTCCACAAAAGCAGCTTTATGACTTTATTTACTTTATGACTTTATTCTCCTAAATTTACAAATTTAATCTCTAAATCTAAAAAAAAAAAAAAAAAAAAACTCTGCTTTACTCTGCTGTAGTTTTGTCAGCTTTCTTATTTCTAATGTTTTTGATTGTTGTAGCAGAGCGGATCAGTTCGTCTCTAAATACTTTAATGTTTGGTTTGCAGATTTTAGTTAGTTAAGAGATCATGCACTCATACAGCCTGAGCTGACTGTCTTGTGTTTTTGGATTTCTTGTATTTTCTTTAAAGACACGCTGCGTCTCCAAACAAGTCTGGCCTCTCACCCGAAATACGCAGCTGTGCAGCGGCACACAAAAAATTCTGGGATACCAAGGCCACGAAAGCGTGCATAAATGCACGCTTGAAAAACGGGCGGGGGTAGTGTGGTTTTGAGACCGAATTTGAAGCATGCTCAGCATTTCAAGCCAAATGGGACACCGTTCACGCCGCGTGATGACATCACGCACAGTTCAAATGCGCCGTTCGACGGTGCGGTCTCTGAAATGAGACACAGCCTATGTGTGTGTTCTTTGTGCCAGGACAACTTCCCCTTGTTTACCTACCCCCTGCCAGACAGAAAAAAAAATTACAAAAAACCTGCAAAAAAAAAAAAAAAAGGTTTTCAAAAACTTAAAAAATACCGTCCCTTGTGACTGTTACCTTGTTGTGGTAAGAGAGCTTGCATTCTTCCGTGAACCCTAAAGGTCCGTACACACCAGGCGCAAATTAAAACAGCATAAAGTCAATGCAAGCTTCCACACCGGCTGCGATTTTTCCGTGGGGCGAAAAGCGACCTTTATTTTTTTGCTCTTGTGTCGAATTTTTCGGAGATTCACAGGCGAATATCTGGACCTGCTAGACCTCTGGCCAATCAAAAGTCATGTTGTTGGTGATGTCACAGACCCATGCGGCTGCAGTTCACACGACACACACCACCACTGGCACCAAGAGCAACGATGGGAGAGAGGCTGGTAATTGCGGTACAGGACCACTGGATGGTGGTGTGGAACTCGCCCATCTCCTTCCTCAAAGTCAATATGGGATGTACCCAAACACTCCTTTGTTTATTCTTCTGTCTTCTTTTTTTGCCAAAAGCACCACAACGAGCTCATCATCGCTTGAGGATGTTGTTGACTCAATTTCTTTGTTCTCCTCTCCTCCGTGGCGCGAAAGAACTCGCGTCAAAGACAATATATATGTTTATTAATTCACTTTGCAAAATGTATACGCATATTCGCTTCGCGCCAGGTGTGTATTGGCGAAAGCAATTTTTCAGACCCGCGAATATTCGCATTTTCGTCTCGCTTTTTCGCTTCGCTCCACAAATTCGCCGGTGTGTAAGGACATTTAGAGCTATGCCATTGGGAGGCAACTCCTGGCAGATTTTACCAAATTGGACAGGTCGAGGGGGAGAAGTTGGACAACACACAGACAAGCATTTTCTTGTGAAATGACTTATGGAGAATGGTCTCACTATTTTTCATGTTTATATCACAAACTTTGCATAATTTGACTGCTCTAAAGAGGCCATCTTAAAAATGACTGCCATCGGGAAACTTCAAGCAGCTTGGGGCATGTCGAGTGTTTGTTAGCAAGACTGTTCATACCAATTTTCAGGCTTGTATCACCAACTGAAATATTCGGACTAAAATTTGTACTTGGCCGCTGCACTATTGTGTCCATCAAGATGGTAATAACAAACTGTCCGGTGCTGAAAGATGTGGCACTTGTAGCAGCATGACATTGACATGACATTGTCATGCTCTGTAGAAAATCATCACCATCTGAAATCTTGGCGTTTGGAAAGGAGGTGTAAGCAGGAGCAGGAGTTGGGCGCTGTGTACCCTTGCAGCATGTCCCGTAAGTTTCCGTAGTGTAGTGGCTCGTTCACCTCACATGCAAAAGGTCCCCGGTTCGAAACTAGGCGGAACCAGCTTGACGTCGTCTCCTGCTCGACTCAGACGCTCAATGGTGGCCCACTTAAACCCGCTTGAATACTGAGTTCAAGGGGCTGGTAGACATTTGTTATCAGAGGCCCTCCCATAACATACCAATAACATTCCCAAATCCCATTTTAGCAGGCCCGGCTTAAAGGCAAGGAATCCATCTCCTGTCCTTCTCTGTGTACACCATGGAATAGGGTTCAGTAGTAGAGAAAGGTGACGTGAAGGGGTAACTTGAGTCCCAGTCAGAATTTCTCATCCCTTTTTTTCTTTTCTTGTTTTTTCCTCTGGCAGATTGAGGCCCTCTTTGCATGCAATCTCATTCATTTGACCTCCTCCTTTGTAGGATGGAAGGCTGACAGTTTGTCAGCTCACCTGGGCTGGAGAGCAGGATGAGCTCCAAGCCCCCGGTCTTTGTGGGCTTAAAATCAGCTGCTGGAGCAAAGGAATAATCTCCCCGTCGGGGAATCGAACCCCGGTCTTCCGCGTGACAGGCGGAGATACTGTCCACTATACTAACGAGGACTCACGCGTTGCCACCTTCAGCGCGTCGAGCGCGGGCATCGCTGAGTACCAGTGTTTACCAGGCGTACACAAAGGGTCTGAAAGAAGCATGGCCAACTGCTGGGTGTCGTTTACAACAGGGTTCCGTAACACTCTCGTTTCAGAATCGTCCTCCAAGTCAAAACCGCCCACCAGAAGAAACCTCCTTTCCCTGGTGAGCTCCATCTACCATCCATTGGGTATCTTAGCACCAGTGCTTCTGCCAGCTAAAAGGATCCTGCAAGAGCTCTGCAGGTTAAAGCTCAGCTGGGATGACATTGTACAAACTCGTCTTGCTCAGCAGTGGTTTGACTGGTTCAAGCAACTGCAACTACTCAGTGACTTGGGAGTTGACAGGTGTTTCAAACCAGCACATTTTGGAGACCCTACCTTTACTCATCTGCATCATTTCAGTGATGCTAGTGAAGAAGGTTATGGAGCAGTGACCTACCTAGTCCTGCGAAACAGCAGCAATCAGGTCCACATCGCCCTTGTCATGGGTAAAGCAAGGGTTGCTCCTATCAAGCCTACCAACAATCCCCGCTTGGAATGAACAGCCGCAACCATGGCAGGGCGCACAGATATGATGTCGAAGAGAGCGCTACAGTCGCAGCTGCAGCTTGCGGACTCAGTCCTCTGGACAGATAGCACGGCTGTTCTTAAGAACATCAACAATGAAACAACTAGGTTCCGCACATTCGTTGCCAACAGAGTGTCAGAAATACTGACAGTGTCAGAAATACTGACAGTGTCAATCGTGGCAACAGATGACAGACAAGATGCAATGGAGCAACTTATAGAGCACTACTCCCCATGGACACGCCGTTTCATTGCAAGAACAAGTCAAGTTATGGAACTGTATTCAGAACCCACGGCAATCGAAAAACTGTTTGTTAGCATCTGAAATCTTGGCATTTGGAAAGCAGGTGAGTTGGGCGCTGCGTAACCTTCCCGCATGTCCTGTAAGTTTCCGTAGTGTAGTGGTTATCACGTTCGCCTAACACGCGAAAGGTCCCCGGTTCGAAACCGGGCGGAAACAGATGGACGTCCCCTCCTGCTTGACTCAGACGCTCGATGGTGGCCCACTTAAACCCACTTGAATACTGAGTTCAAGGGGCTGGTAGACATTTGTTATCAGAGGCCCTCCCATAACATACCAATAACATTCCCAAATCCCATTTTAGCAGGCCCGGCTTAAAGGCAAGGAATCCATCTCCTGTCCTTCTCTGTGTACACCATGGAATAGGGTTCAGTAGTAGAGAAAGGTGACGTGAAGGGGTAACTTGAGTCCCAGTCAGAATTTCTCATCCCTTTTTTTCTTTTCTTGTTTTTTCCTCTGGCAGATTGAGGCCCTCTTTGCATGCAATCTCATTCATTTGACCTCCTCCTTTGTAGGATGGAAGGCTGACAGTTTGTCAGCTCACCTGGGCTGGAGAGCAGGATGAGCTCCAAGCCCCCGGTCTTTGTGGGCTTAAAATCAGCTGCTGGAGCAAAGGAATAATCTCCCCGTCGGGGAATCGAACCCCGGTCTTCCGCGTGACAGGCGGAGATACTGTCCACTATACTAACGAGGACTCACGCGTTGCCACTTTCAGCGCGTCGAGCGCGGGCATCGCTGAGTACCAGTGTTTACCAGGCGTACACAAAGGGTCTGAAAGAAGCATGGCCAACTGCTGGGTGTCGTTTACATCAGGGTTCCGTAACACTCTCGTTTCAGAATCGTCCTCCAAGTCAAAACCGCCCACCAGAAGAAACCTCCTTTCCCTGGTGAGCTACATCTACCATCCATTGGGTATCTTAGCACCAGTGCTTCTGCCAGCTAAAAGGATCCTGCAAGAGCTCTGCAGGTTAAAGCTCAGCTGGGATGACATTGTACAAACTCGTCTTGCTCAGCAGTGGTTTGACTGGTTCAAGCAACTGCAACTACTCAGTGACTTGGGAGTTGACAGGTGTTTCAAACCAGCACATTTTGGAGACCCTACCTTTACTCATCTGCATCATTTCAGTGATGCTAGTGAAGAAGGTTATGGAGCAGTGACCTACCTAGTCCTGCGAAACAGCAGCAATCAGGTCCACATCGCCCTTGTCATGGGTAAAGCAAGGGTTGCTCCTATCAAGCCTACCAACAATCCCCGCTTGGAATGAACAGCCGCAACCATGGCAGGGCGCACAGATATGATGTCGAAGAGAGCGCTACAGTCGCAGCTGCAGCTTGCGGACTCAGTCCTCTGGACAGATAGCACGGCTGTTCTTAAGAACATCAACAATGAAACAACTAGGTTCCGCACATTCGTTGCCAACAGAGTGTCAGAAATACTGACAGTGTCAATCGTGGCAACAGATGACAGACAAGATGCAATGGAGCAACTTATAGAGCACTACTCCCCATGGACACGCCGTTTCATTGCAAGAACAAGTCAAGTTATGGAACTGTATTCAGAACCCACGGCAATCGAAAAACTGTTTGTTAGCATCTGAAATCTTGGCATTTGGAAAGCAGGTGAGTTGGGCGCTGCGTAACCTTCCCGCATGTCCTGTAAGTTTCCGTAGTGTAGTGGTTATCACGTTCGCCTCACACGCGAAAGGTCCCCGGTTCGAAACCGGGCGGAAACAGATGGACGTCCCCTCCTGCTTGACTCAGACGCTCAATGGTGGCCCACTTAAACCCGCTTGAATACTGAGTTCAAGGGGCTGGTAGACATTTGTTATCAGAGGCCCTCCCATAACATACCAATAACATTCCCAAATCCCATTTTAGCAGGCCCGGCTTAAAGGCAAGGAATCCATCTCCTGTCCTTCTCTGTGTACACCGTGGAATAGGGTTCGGTGGTAGAGAAAGGTGACGTGAAGGAGTAACTTGAGTCCCAGTCAGAATTTCTCATCCCTTTTTTTCTTTTCTTGTTTTTTCCTCTGGCAGATTGAGGCCCTCTTTGCATGCAATCTCATTCATTTGACCTCCTCCTTTGTAGGATGGAAGGCTGACAGTTTGTCAGCTCACCTGGGCTGGAGAGCAGGATGAGCTCCAAGCCCCCGGTCTTTGTGGGCTTAAAATCAGCTGCTGGAGCAAAGGAATAATCTCCCCGTCGGGGAATCGAACCCCGGTCTTCCGCGTGACAGGCGGAGATACTGTCCACTATACTAACGAGGACTCACGCGTTGCCACCTTCAGCGCGTCGAGCGCGGGCATCGCTGAGTACCAGTGTTTACCAGGCGTACACAAAGGGTCTGAAAGAAGCATGGCCAACTGCTGGGTGTCGTTTACATCAGGGTTCCGTAACACTTCCGTTTCAGAATCGTCCTCCAAGTCAAAACCGCCCACCAGAAGAAACCTCCTTTCCCTGGTGAGCTACATCTACCATCCATTGGGTATCTTAGCACCAGTGCTTCTGCCAGCTAAAAGGATCCTGCAAGAGCTCTGCAGGTTAAAGCTCAGCTGGGATGACATTGTACAAACTCGTCTTGCTCAGCAGTGGTTTGACTGGTTCAAGCAACTGCAACTACTCAGTGACTTGGGAGTTGACAGGTGTTTCAAACCAGCACATTTTGGAGACCCTACCTTTACTCAGCTGCATCATTTCAGTGATGCTAGTGAAGAAGGTTATGGAGCAGTGACCTACCTAGTCCTGCGAAACAGCAGCAATCAGGTCCACATCGCCCTTGTCATGGGTAAAGCAAGGGTTGCTCCTATCAAGCCTACCAACAATCCCCGCTTGGAATGAACAGCCGCAACCATGGCAGGGCGCACAGATATGATGTCGAAGAGAGCGCTACAGTCGCAGCTGCAGCTTGCGGACTCAGTCCTCTGGACAGATAGCACGGCTGTTCTTAAGAACATCAACAATGAAACAACTAGGTTCCGCACATTCGTTGCCAACAGAGTGTCAGAAATACTGACAGTGTCAATCGTGGCAACAGATGACAGACAAGATGCAATGGAGCAACTTATAGAGCACTACTCCCCATGGACACGCCGTTTCATTGCAAGAACAAGTCAAGTTATGGAACTGTATTCAGAACCCACGGCAATCGAAAAACTGTTTGTTAGCATCTGAAATCTTGGCATTTGGAAAGCAGGTGAGTTGGGCGCTGCGTAACCTTCCCGCATGTCCTGTAAGTTTCCGTAGTGTAGTGGTTATCACGTTCGCCTCACACGCGAAAGGTCCCCGGTTCGAAACCGGGCGGAAACAGATGGACGTCCCCTCCTGCTTGACTCAGACGCTCGATGGTGGCCCACTTAAACCCACTTGAATACTGAGTTCAAGGGGCTGGTAGACATTTGTTATCAGAGGCCCTCCCATAACATACCAATAACATTCCCAAATCCCATTTTAGCAGGCCCGGCTTAAAGGCAAGGAATCCATCTCCTGTCCTTCTCTGTGTACACCGTTGGAATAGGGTTCGGTGGTAGAGAAAGGTGACGTGAAGGAGTAACTTGAGTCCCAGTCAGAATTTCTCATCCCTTTTTTTCTTTTCTTGTTTTTTCCTCTGGCAGATTGAGGCCCTCTTTGCATGCAATCTCATTCATTTGACCTCCTCCTTTGTAGGATGGAAGGCTGACAGTTTGTCAGCTCACCTGGGCTGGAGAGCAGGATGAGCTCCAAGCCCCCGGTCTTTGTGGGCTTAAAATCAGCTGCTGGAGCAAAGGAATAATCTCCCCGTCGGGGAATCGAACCCCGGTCTTCCGCGTGACAGGCGGAGATACTGTCCACTATACTAACGAGGACTCACGCGTTGCCACCTTCAGCGCGTCGAGCGCGGGCATCGCTGAGTACCAGTGTTTACCAGGCGTACACAAAGGGTCTGAAAGAAGCATGGCCAACTGCTGGGTGTCGTTTACATCAGGGTTCCGTAACACTTCCGTTTCAGAATCGTCCTCCAAGTCAAAACCGCCCACCAGAAGAAACCTCCTTTCCCTGGTGAGCTACATCTACCATCCATTGGGTATCTTAGCACCAGTGCTTCTGCCAGCTAAAAGGATCCTGCAAGAGCTCTGCAGGTTAAAGCTCAGCTGGGATGACATTGTACAAACTCGTCTTGCTCAGCAGTGGTTTGACTGGTTCAAGCAACTGCAACTACTCAGTGACTTGGGAGTTGACAGGTGTTTCAAACCAGCACATTTTGGAGACCCTACCTTTACTCAGCTGCATCATTTCAGTGATGCTAGTGAAGAAGGTTATGGAGCAGTGACCTACCTAGTCCTGCGAAACAGCAGCAATCAGGTCCACATCGCCCTTGTCATGGGTAAAGCAAGGGTTGCTCCTATCAAGCCTACCAACAATCCCCGCTTGGAATGAACAGCCGCAACCATGGCAGGGCGCACAGATATGATGTCGAAGAGAGCGCTACAGTCGCAGCTGCGGCTTGCGGACTCAGTCCTCTGGACAGATAGCACGGCTGTTCTTAAGAACATCAACAATGAAACAACTAGGTTCCGCACATTCGTTGCCAACAGAGTGTCAGAAATACTGACAGTGTCAATCGTGGCAACAGATGACAGACAAGATGCAATGGAGCAACTTATAGAGCACTACTCCCCATGGACACGCCGTTTCATTGCAAGAACAAGTCAAGTTATGGAACTGTATTCAGAACCCACGGCAATCGAAAAACTGTTTGTTAGCATCTGAAATCTTGGCATTTGGAAAGCAGGTGAGTTGGGCGCTGCGTAACCTTCCCGCATGTCCTGTAAGTTTCCGTAGTGTAGTGGTTATCACGTTCGCCTAACACACGAAAGGTCCCCGGTTCGAAACTGGGCGGAAACAGATGGACGTCCCCTCCTGCTTGACTCAGACGCTCAATGGTGGCCCACTTAAACCCGCTTGAATACTGAGTTCAAGGGGCTGGTAGACATTTGTTATCAGAGGCCCTCCCATAACATACCAATAACATTCCCAAATCCCATTTTAGCAGGCCCGGCTTAAAGGCAAGGAATCCATCTCCTGTCCTTCTCTGTGTACACCATGGAATAGGGTTCGGTGGTAGAGAAAGGTGACGTGAAGGGGTAACTTGAGTCCCAGTCAGAATTTCTCATCCCTTTTTTTCTTTTCTTGTTTTTTCCTCTGGCAGATTGAGGCCCTCTTTGCATGCAATCTCATTCATTTGACCTCCTCCTTTGTAGGATGGAAGGCTGACAGTTTGTCAGCTCACCTGGGCTGGAGAGCAGGATGAGCTCCAAGCCCCCGGTCTTTGTGGGCTTAAAATCAGCTGCTGGAGCAAAGGAATAATCTCCCCGTCGGGGAATCGAACCCCGGTCTTCCGCGTGACAGGCGGAGATACTGTCCACTATACTAACGAGGACTCACGCGTTGCCACCTTCAGCGCGTCGAGCGCGGGCATCGCTGAGTACCAGTGTTTACCAGGCGTACACAAAGGGTCTGAAAGAAGCATGGCCAACTGCTGGGTGTCGTTTACATCAGGGTTCCTTAACACTCTCGTTTCAGAATCGTCCTCCAAGTCAAAACCGCCCACCAGAAGAAACCTCCTTTCCCTGGTGAGCTCCATCTACCATCCATTGGGTATCTTAGCACCAGTGCTTCTGCCAGCTAAAAGGATCCTGCAAGAGCTCTGCGGGTTAAAGCTCAGCTGGGATGACATTGTACAAACTCGTCTTGCTCAGCAGTGGTTTGACTGGTTCAAGCAACTGCAACTACTCAGTGACTTGGGAGTTGACAGGTGTTTCAAACCAGCACATTTTGGAGACCCTACCTTTACTCAGCTGCATCATTTCAGTGATGCTAGTGAAGAAGGTTATGGAGCAGTGACCTACCTAGTCCTGCGAAACAGCAGCAATCAGGTCCACATCGCCCTTGTCATGGGTAAAGCAAGGGTTGCTCCTATCAAGCCTACCAACAATCCCCGCTTGGAATGAACAGCCGCAACCATGGCAGGGCGCACAGATATGATGTCGAAGAGAGCGCTACAGTCGCAGCTGCGGCTTGCGGACTCAGTCCTCTGGACAGATAGCACGGCTGTTCTTAAGAACATCAACAATGAAAAAACTAGGTTCCGCACATTCGTTGCCAACAGAGTGTCAGAAATACTGACAGTGTCAATCGTGGCAACAGATGACAGACAAGATGCAATGGAGCAACTTATAGAGCACTACTCCCCATGGACACGCCGTTTCATTGCAAGAACAAGTCAAGTTATGGAACTGTATTCAGAACCCACGGCAATCGAAAAACTGTTTGTTAGCATCTGAAATCTTGGCATTTGGAAAGCAGGTGAGTTGGGCGCTGTGTAACCTTCCCGCATGTCCTGTAAGTTTCCGTAGTGTAGCGGTTATCACGTTCGCCTCACACGCGAAAGCTCCTCGGTTCGAAACCGGGCGGAAACAGATGGACGTCCCCTCCTGCTTGACTCAGACGCTCGATGGTGGCCCACTTAAACCCACTTGAATACTGAGTTCAAGGGGCTGGTAGACATTTGTTATCAGAGGCCCTCCCATAACATACCAATAACATTCCCAAATCCCATTTTAGCAGGCCCGGCTTAAAGGCAAGGAATCCATCTCCTGTCCTTCTCTGTGTACACCATGGAATAGGGTTCGGTGGTAGAGAAAGGTGACGTGAAGGGGTAACTTGAGTCCCAGTCAGAATTTCTCATCCCTTTTTTTCTTTTCTTGTTTTTTCCTCTGGCAGATTGAGGCCCTCTTTGCATGCAATCTCATTCATTTGACCTCCTCCTTTGTAGGATGGAAGGCTGACAGTTTGTCAGCTCACCTGGGCTGGAGAGCAGGATGAGCTCCAAGCCCCCGGTCTTTGTGGGCTTAAAATCAGCTGCTGGAGCAAAGGAATAATCTCCCCGTCGGGGAATCGAACCCCGGTCTTCCGCGTGACAGGCGGAGATACTGTCCACTATACTAACGAGGACTCACGCGTTGCCACCTTCAGCGCGTCGAGCGCGGGCATCGCTGAGTACCAGTGTTTACCAGGCGTACACAAAGGGTCTGAAAGAAGCATGGCCAACTGCTGGGTGTCGTTTACATCAGGGTTCCGTAACACTTCCGTTTCAGAATCGTCCTCCAAGTCAAAACCGCCCACCAGAAGAAACCTCCTTTCCCTGGTGAGCTCCATCTACCATCCATTGGGTATCGTAGCACCAGTGCTTCTGCCAGCTAAAAGGATCCTGCAAGAGCTCTGCAGGTTAAAGCTCAGCTGGGATGACATTGTACAAACTCGTCTTGCTCAGCAGTGGTTTGACTGGTTCAAGCAACTGCAACTACTCAGTGACTTGGGAGTTGACAGGTGTTTCAAACCAGCACATTTTGGAGACCCTACCTTTACTCAGCTGCATCATTTCAGTGATGCTAGTGAAGAAGGTTATGGAGCAGTGACCTACCTAGTCCTGCGAAACAGCAGCAATCAGGTCCACATCGCCCTTGTCATGGGTAAAGCAAGGGTTGCTCCTATCAAGCCTACCAACAATCCCCGCTTGGAATGAACAGCCGCAACCATGGCAGGGCGCACAGATATGATGTCGAAGAGAGAGCTACAGTCGCAGCTGCGGCTTGCGGACTCAGTCCTCTGGACAGATAGCACGGCTGTTCTTAAGAACATCAACAATGAAAAAACTAGGTTCCGCACATTCGTTGCCAACAGAGTGTCAGAAATACTGACAGTGTCAATCGTGGCAACAGATGACAGACAAGATGCAATGGAGCAACTTATAGAGCACTACTCCCCATGGACACGCCGTTTCATTGCAAGAACAAGTCAAGTTATGGAACTGTATTCAGAACCCACGGCAATCGAAAAACTGTTTGTTAGCATCTGAAATCTTGGCATTTGGAAAGCAGGTGAGTTGGGCGCTGCGTAACCTTCCCGCATGTCCTGTAAGTTTCCGTAGTGTAGTGGTTATCACGTTCGCCTAACACACGAAAGGTCCCCGGTTCGAAACTGGGCGGAAACAGATGGACGTCCCCTCCTGCTTGACTCAGACGCTCAATGGTGGCCCACTTAAACCCGCTTGAATACTGAGTTCAAGGGGCTGGTAGACATTTGTTATCAGAAGCCCTCCCATAACATACCAATAACATTCCCAAATCCCATTTTAGCAGGCCCGGCTTAAAGGCAAGGAATCCATCTCCTGTCCTTCTCTGTGTACACCATGGAATAGGGTTCGGTGGTAGAGAAAGGTGACGTGAAGGGGTAACTTGAGTCCCAGTCAGAATTTCTCATCCCTTTTTTCTTTTCTTGTTTTTTCCTCTGGCAGATTGAGGCCCTCTTTGCATGCAATCTCATTCATTTGACCTCCTCCTTTGTAGGATGGAAGGCTGACAGTTTGTCAGCTCACCTGGGCTGGAGAGCAGGATGAGCTCAAAGCCCCCGGTCTTTGTGGGCTTAAAATCAGCTGCTGGAGCAAAGGAATAATCTCCCCGTCGGGGAATCGAACCCCGGTCTTCCGCGTGACAGGCGGAGATACTGTCCACTATACTAACGAGGACTCTCGCGTTGCCACCTTCAGCGCGTCGAGCGCGGGCATCGCTGAGTACCAGTGTTTACCAGGCGTACACAAAGGGTCTGAAAGAAGCATGGCCAACTGCTGGGTGTCGTTTACATCAGGGTTCCGTAACACTTCCGTTTCAGAATCGTCCTCCAAGTCAAAACCGCCCACCAGAAGAAACCTCCTTTCCCTGGTGAGCTACATCTACCATCCATTGGGTATCTTAGCACCAGTGCTTCTGCCAGCTAAAAGGATCCTGCAAGAGCTCTGCGGGTTAAAGCTCAGCTGGGATGACATTGTACAAACTCGTCTTGCTCAGCAGTGGTTTGACTGGTTCAAGCAACTGCAACTACTCAGTGACTTGGGAGTTGACAGGTGTTTCAAACCAGCACATTTTGGAGACCCTACCTTTACTCAGCTGCATCATTTCAGTGATGTTAGTGAAGAAGGTTATGGAGCAGTGACCTACCTAGTCCTGCGAAACAGCAGCAATCAGGTCCACATCGCCCTTGTCATGGGTAAAGCAAGGGTTGCTCCTATCAAGCCTACTAACAATCCCCGCTTGGAATGAACAGCCGCAACCATGGCAGGGCGCACAGATATGATGTAGAAGAGAGAGCTACAGTCGCAGCTGCGGCTTGCGGACTCAGTCCTCTGGACAGATAGCACGGCTGTTCTTAAGAACATCAACAATGAAACAACTAGGTTCCGCACATTTGTTGCCAACAGAGCGTCAGAAATACTGACAGTGTCAATCGTGGCAACAGATGACAGACAAGATGCAATGGAGCAACTTATAGAGCACTACTCCCCATGGACACGCCGTTTCATTGCAAGAACAAGTCAAGTTATGGAACTGTATTCAGAACCCACGGCAATCGAAAAACTGTTTGTTAGCATCTGAAATCTTGGCATTTGGAAAGCAGGTGAGTTGGGCGCTGCGTAACCTTCCCGCATGTCCTGTAAGTTTCCGTAGTGTAGTGGTTATCACGTTCGCCTCACACGCGAAAGCTCCTCGGTTCGAAACCGGGCGGAAACAGATGGACGTCCCCTCCTGCTTGACTCAGACGCTCAATGGTGGCCCACTTAAACCCGCTTGAATACTGAGTTCAAGGGGCTGGTAGACATTTGTTATCAGAGGCCCTCCCATTACATACCAATAACATTCCCAAATCCCATTTAAGCAGGCCCGGCTTAAAGGCAAGGAATCCATCTCCTGTCCTTCTCTGTGTACACCATGGAATAGGGTTCGGTGGTAGAGAAAGGTGACGTGAAGGGGTAACTTGAGTCCCAGTCAGAATTTCTCATCCCTTTTTTTCTTTTCTTGTTTTTTCCTCTGGCAGATTGAGGCCCTCTTTGCATGCAATCTCATTCATTTGACCTCCTCCTTTGTAGGATGGAAGGCTGACAGTTTGTCAGCTCACCTGGGCTGGAGAGCAGGATGAGCTCCAAGCCCCCGGTCCATGTGGGCTTAAAATCAGCTGCTGGAGCAAAGGAATAATCTCCCCGTCGGGGAATCGAACCCCGGTCTTCCGCGTGACAGGCGGAGATACTGTCCACTATACTAACGAGGACTCTCGCGTTGCCACCTTCAGCGCATCGAGCGCGGGCATCGCTGAGTACCAGTGTTTACCAGGCGTACACAAAGGGTCTGAAAGAAGCATGGCCAACTGCTGGGTGTCGTTTACATCAGGGTTCCGTAACACTTCCGTTTCAGAATCGTCCTCCAAGTCAAAACCGCCCACCAGAAGAAACCTCCTTTCCCTGGTGAGCTACATCTACCATCCATTGGGTATCTTAGCACCAGTGCTTCTGCCAGCTAAAAGGATCCTGCAAGAGCTCTGCGGGTTAAAGCTCAGCTGGGATGACATTGTACAAACTCGTCTTGCTCAGCAGTGGTTTGACTGGTTCAAGCAACTGCAACTACTCAGTGACTTGGGAGTTGACAGGTGTTTCAAACCAGCACATTTTGGAGACCCTACCTTTACTCAGCTGCATCATTTCAGTGATGTTAGTGAAGAAGGTTATGGAGCAGTGACCTACCTAGTCCTGCGAAACAGCAGCAATCAGGTCCACATCGCCCTTGTCATGGGTAAAGCAAGGGTTGCTCCTATCAAGCCTACTAACAATCCCCGCTTGGAATGAACAGCCGCAACCATGGCAGGGCGCACAGATATGATGTCGAAGAGAGCGCTACAGTCGCAGCTGCAGCTTGCGGACTCAGTCCTCTGGACAGATAGCACGGCTGTTCTTAAGAACATCAACAATGAAACAACTAGGTTCCGCACATTCGTTGCCAACAGAGTGTCAGAAATACTGACAGTGTCAATCGTGGCAACAGATGACAGACAAGATGCAATGGAGCAACTTATAGAGCACTACTCCCCATGGACACGCCGTTTCATTGCAAGAACAAGTCAAGTTATGGAACTGTATTCAGAACCCACGGCAATCGAAAAACTGTTTGTTAGCATCTGAAATCTTGGCATTTGGAAAGCAGGTGAGTTGGGCGCTGCGTAACCTTCCCGCATGTCCTGTAAGTTTCCGTAGTGTAGCGGTTATCACGTTCGCCTCACACGCGAAAGCTCCTCGGTTCGAAACCGGGCGGAAACAGATGGACGTCCCCTCCTGCTTGACTCAGACGCTCAATGGTGGCCCACTTAAACCCGCTTGAATACTGAGTTCAAGGGGCTGGTAGACATTTGTTATCAGAAGCCCTCCCATAACATACCAATAACATTCCCAAATCCCATTTTAGCAGGCCCGGCTTAAAGGCAAGGAATCCATCTCCTGTCCTTCTCTGTGTACACCATGGAATAGGGTTCGGTGGTAGAGAAAGGTGACGTGAAGGGGTAACTTGAGTCCCAGTCAGAATTTCTCATCCCTTTTTTTCTTTTCTTGTTTTTTCCTCTGGCAGATTGAGGCCCTCTTTGCATGCAATCTCATTCATTTGACCTCCTCCTTTGTAGGATGGAAGGCTGACAGTTTGTCAGCTCACCTGGGCTGGAGAGCAGGATGAGCTCCAAGCCCCCGGTCTTTGTGGGCTTAAAATCAGCTGCTGGAGCAAAGGAATAAGCTCCCCGTCGGTGAATCGAACCCCGGTCTTCCGCGTGACAGGCGGAGATACTGTCCACTATACTAACGAGGACTCACGCGTTGCCACCTTCAGCGCGTCGAGCGCGGGCATCGCTGAGTACCAGTGTTTACCAGGCGTACACAAAGGGTCTGAAAGAAGCATGGCCAACTGCTGGGTGTCGTTTACATCAGGGTTCCGTAACACTTCCGTTTCAGAATCGTCCTCCAAGTCAAAACCGCCCACCAGAAGAAACCTCCTTTCCCTGGTGAGCTCCATCTACCATCCATTGGGTATCTTAGCACCAGTGCTTCTGCCAGCTAAAAGGATCCTGCAAGAGCTCTGCAGGTTAAAGCTCAGCTGGGATGACATTGTACAAACTCGTCTTGCTCAGCAGTGGTTTGACTGGTTCAAGCAACTGCAACTACTCAGTGACTTGGGAGTTGACAGGTGTTTCAAACCAGCACATTTTGGAGACCCTACCTTTACTCAGCTGCATCATTTCAGTGATGCTAGTGAAGAAGGTTATGGAGCAGTGACCTACCTAGTCCTGCGAAACAGCAGCAATCAGGTCCACATCGCCCTTGTCATGGGTAAAGCAAGGGTTGCTCCTATCAAGCCTACCAACAATCCCCGCTTGGAATGAACAGCCGCAACCATGGCAGGGCGCACAGATATGATGTCGAAGAGAGCGCTACAGTCGCAGCTGCGGCTTGCGGACTCAGTCCTCTGGACAGATAGCACGGCTGTTCTTAAGAACATCAACAATGAAAAACTAGGTTCCGCACATTCGTTGCCAACAGAGTGTCAGAAATACTGACAGTGTCAATCGTGGCAACAGATGACAGACAAGATGCAATGGAGCAACTTATAGAGCACTACTCCCCATGGACACGCCGTTTCATTGCAAGAACAAGTCAAGTTATGGAACTGTATTCAGAACCCACGGCAATCGAAAAACTGTTTGTTAGCATCTGAAATCTTGGCATTTGGAAAGCAGGTGAGTTGGGCGCTGCGTAACCTTCCCGCATGTCCTGTAAGTTTCCGTAGTGTAGTGGTTATCACGTTCGCCTCACACGCGAAAGGTCCCCGGTTCGAAACCGGGCGGAAACAGATGGACGTCCCCTCCTGCTTGACTCAGACGCTCAATGGTGGCCCACTTAAACCCGCTTGAATACTGAGTTCAAGGGGCTGGTAGACATTTGTTATCAGAGGCCCTCCCATAACATACCAATAACATTCCCAAATCCCATTTTAGCAGGCCCGGCTTAAAGGCAAGGAATCCATCTCCTGTCCTTCTCTGTGTACACCATGGAATAGGGTTCGGTGGTAGAGAAAGGTGACGTGAAGGGGTAACTTGAGTCCCAGTCAGAATTTCTCATCCCTTTTTTCTTTTCTTGTTTTTTCCTCTGGCAGATTGAGGCCCTCTTTGCATGCAATCTCATTCATTTGACCTCCTCCTTTGTAGGATGGAAGGCTGACAGTTTGTCAGCTCACCTGGGCTGGAGAGCAGGATGAGCTCCAAGCCCCCGGTCTTTGTGGGCTTAAAATCAGCTGCTGGAGCAAAGGAATAATCTCCCCGTCGGGGAATCGAACCCCGGTCTTCCGCGTGACAGGTGGAGATACTGTCCACTATACTAACGAGGACTCACGCGTTGCCACCTTCAGCGCTTCGAGCGCGGGCATCGCTGAGTACCAGTGTTTACCAGGCGTACACAAAGGGTCTGAAAGAAGCATGGCCAACTGCTGGGTGTCGTTTACATCAGGGTTCCGTAACACTTCCGTTTCAGAATCGTCCTCCAAGTCAAAACCGCCCACCAGAAGAAACCTCCTTTCCCTGGTGAGCTCCATCTACCATCCATTGGGTATCTTAGCACCAGTGCTTCTGCCAGCTAAAAGGATCCTGCAAGAGCTCTGCAGGTTAAAGCTCAGCTGGGATGACATTGTACAAACTCGTCTTGCTCAGCAGTGGTTTGACTGGTTCAAGCAACTGCAACTACTCAGTGACTTGGGAGTTGACAGGTGTTTCAAACCAGCACATTTTGGAGACCCTACCTTTACTCATCTGCATCATTTCAGTGATGCTAGTGAAGAAGGTTATGGAGCAGTGACCTACCTAGTCCTGCGAAACAGCAGCAATCAGGTCCACATCGCCCTTGTCATGGGTAAAGCAAGGGTTGCTCCTATCAAGCCTACCAACAATCCCCGCTTGGAATGAACAGCCGCAACCATGGCAGGGCGCACAGATATGATGTCGAAGAGAGCGCTACAGTCGCAGCTGCAGCTTGCGGACTCAGTCCTCTGGACAGATAGCACGGCTGTTCTTAAGAACATCAACAATGAAAAAACTAGGTTCCGCACATTCGTTGCCAACAGAGTGTCAGAAATACTGACAGTGTCAATCGTGGCAACAGATGACAGACAAGATGCAATGGAGCAACTTATAGAGCACTACTCCCCATGGACACGCCGTTTCATTGCAAGAACAAGTCAAGTTATGGAACTGTATTCAGAACCCACTGCAATCGAAAAACTGTTTGTTAGCATCTGAAATCTTGGCATTTGGAAAGCAGGTGAGTTGGGCGCTGCGTAACCTTCCCGCATGTCCTGTAAGTTTCCGTAGTGTAGTGGTTATCACGTTGGCCTCACACGCAAAAGGTCCCCGGTTCGAAACCGGGCGGAAACAGATGGACGTCCCCTCCTGCTTGACTCAGACGCTCAATGGTGGCCCACTTAAACCCGCTTGAATACTGAGTTCAAGGGGCTGGTAGACATTTGTTATCAGAGGCCCTCCCATAACATACCAATAACATTCCCAAATCCCATTTTAGCAGGCCCGGCTTAAAGGCAAGGAATCCATCTCCTGTCCTTCTCTGTGTACACCGTTGGAATAGGGTTCGGTGGTAGAGAAAGGTGACGTGAAGGAGTAACTTGAGTCCCAGTCAGAATTTCTCATCCCTTTTTTTCTTTTCTTGTTTTTTCCTCTGGCAGATTGAGGCCCTCTTTGCATGCAATCTCATTCATTTGACCTCCTCCTTTGTAGGATGGAAGGCTGACAGTTTGTCAGCTCACCTGGGCTGGAGAGCAGGATGAGCTCCAAGCCCCCGGTCTTTGTGGGCTTAAAATCAGCTGCTGGAGCAAAGGAATAATCTCCCCGTCGGGGAATCGAACCCCGGTCTTCCGCGTGACAGGCGGAGATACTGTCCACTATACTAACGAGGACTCACGCGTTGCCACCTTCAGCGCGTCGAGCGCGGGCATCGCTGAGTACCAGTGTTTACCAGGCGTACACAAAGGGTCTGAAAGAAGCATGGCCAACTGCTGGGTGTCGTTTACATCAGGGTTCCGTAACACTTCCGTTTCAGAATCGTCCTCCAAGTCAAAACCGCCCACCAGAAGAAACCTCCTTTCCCTGGTGAGCTCCATCTACCATCCATTGGGTATCTTAGCACCAGTGCTTCTGCCAGCTAAAAGGATCCTGCAAGAGCTCTGCAGGTTAAAGCTCAGCTGGGATGACATTGTACAAACTCGTCTTGCTCAGCAGTGGTTTGACTGGTTCAAGCAACTGCAACTACTCAGTGACTTGGGAGTTGACAGGTGTTTCAAACCAGCACATTTTGGAGACCCTACCTTTACTCAGCTGCATCATTTCAGTGATGCTAGTGAAGAAGGTTATGGAGCAGTGACCTACCTAGTCCTGCGAAACAGCAGCAATCAGGTCCACATCGCCCTTGTCATGGGTAAAGCAAGGGTTGCTCCTATCAAGCCTACCAACAATCCCCGCTTGGAATGAACAGCCGCAACCATGGCAGGGCGCACAGATATGATGTCGAAGAGAGAGCTACAGTCGCAGCTGCGGCTTGCGGACTCAGTCCTCTGGACAGATAGCACGGCTGTTCTTAAGAACATCAACAATGAAAAAACTAGGTTCCGCACATTCGTTGCCAACAGAGTGTCAGAAATACTGACAGTGTCAATCGTGGCAACAGATGACAGACAAGATGCAATGGAGCAACTTATAGAGCACTACTCCCCATGGACACGCCGTTTCATTGCAAGAACAAGTCAAGTTATGGAACTGTATTCAGAACCCACTGCAATCGAAAAACTGTTTGTTAGCATCTGAAATCTTGGCATTTGGAAAGCAGGTGAGTTGGGCGCTGTGTAACCTTCCCGCATGTCCTGTAAGTTTCCGTAGTGTAGTGGTTATCACGTTCGCCTAACACGCGAAAGGTCCCCAGTTCGAAACCGGGCGGAAACAGATGGACGTCCCCTCCTGCTTGACTCAGACGCTCAATGGTGGCCCACTTAAAAATGCTTGAATACTGAGTTCAAGGGGCTGGTAGACATTTGTTATCAGAAGGCCCTCCCATAACATACCAATAACATTCCCAAATCCCATTTTAGCAGGCCCGGCTTAAAGGCAAGGAATCCATCTCCTGTCCTTCTCTGTGTACACCATGGAATAGGGTTCGGTGGTAGAGAAAGGTGACGTGAAGGGGTAACTTGAGTCCCAGTCAGAATTTCTCATCCCTTTTTTTCTTTTCTTGTTTTTTCCTCTGGCAGATTGAGGCCCTCTTTGCATGCAATCTCATTCATTTGACCTCCTCCTTTGTAGGATGGAAGGCTGACAGTTTGTCAGCTCACCTGGGCTGGAGAGCAGGATGAGCTCCAAGCCCCCGGTCTTTGTGGGCTTAAAATCAGCTGCTGGAGCAAAGGAATAATCTCCCCGTCGGGGAATCGAACCCCGGTCTTCCGCGTGACAGGCGGAGATACTGTCCACTATACTAACGAGGACTCACGCGTTGCCACCTTCAGCGCGTCGAGCGCGGGCATCGCTGAGTACCAGTGTTTACCAGGCGTACACAAAGGGTCTGAAAGAAGCATGGCCAACTGCTGGGTGTCGTTTACATCAGGGTTCCGTAACACTTCCGTTTCAGAATCGTCCTCCAAGTCAAAACCGCCCACCAGAAGAAACCTCCTTTCCCTGGTGAGCTCCATCTACCATCCATTGGGTATCTTAGCACCAGTGCTTCTGCCAGCTAAAAGGATCCTGCAAGAGCTCTGCAGGTTAAAGCTCAGCTGGGATGACATTGTACAAACTCGTCTTGCTCAGCAGTGGTTTGACTGGTTCAAGCAACTGCAACTACTCAGTGACTTGGGAGTTGACAGGTGTTTCAAACCAGCACATTTTGGAGACCCTACCTTTACTCAGCTGCATCATTTCAGTGATGCTAGTGAAGAAGGTTATGGAGCAGTGACCTACCTAGTCCTGCGAAACAGCAGCAATCAGGTCCACATCGCCCTTGTCATGGGTAAAGCAAGGGTTGCTCCTATCAAGCCTACCAACAATCCCCGCTTGGAATGAACAGCCGCAACCATGGCAGGGCGCACAGATATGATGTCGAAGAGAGAGCTACAGTCGCAGCTGCGGCTTGCGGACTCAGTCCTCTGGACAGATAGCACGGCTGTTCTTAAGAACATCAACAATGAAAAAACTAGGTTCCGCACATTCGTTGCCAACAGAGTGTCAGAAATACTGACAGTGTCAATCGTGGCAACAGATGACAGACAAGATGCAATGGAGCAACTTATAGAGCACTACTCCCCATGGACACGCCGTTTCATTGCAAGAACAAGTCAAGTTATGGAACTGTATTCAGAACCCACGGCAATCGAAAAACTGTTTGTTAGCATCTGAAATCTTGGCATTTGGAAAGCAGGTGAGTTGGGCGCTGTGTAACCTTCCCGCATGTCCTGTAATTTTCCGTAGTGTAGTGGTTATCACGTTCGCCTAACACGCGAAAGGTCCCCGGTTCGAAACCGGGCGGAAACAGATGGACGTCCCCTCCTGCTTGACTCAGACGCTCAATGGTGGCCCACTTAAACCCGCTTGAATACTGAGTTCAAGGGGCTGGTAGACATTTGTTATCAGAGGCCCTCCCATAACATACCAATAACATTCCCAAATCCCATTTTAGCAGGCCCGGCTTAAAGGCAAGGAATCCATCTCCTGTCCTTCTCTGTGTACACCATGGAATAGGGTTCGGTGGTAGAGAAAGGTGACGTGAAGGGGTAACTTGAGTCCCAGTCAGAATTTCTCATCCCTTTTTTTCTTTTCTTGTTTTTTCCTCTGGCAGATTGAGGCCCTCTTTGCATGCAATCTCATTCATTTGACCTCCTCCTTTGTAGGATGGAAGGCTGACAGTTTGTCAGCTCACCTGGGGCCTCATGTATCAATACTTGCGTGGAACTCATACCAGAAACGAGCGCACGCAAGGTTCGTCACGCTGAAAAAAATCCGTATGTATCAATGTGTGCGGGCGCCGAAATCCACGTGTGTTTCATTGATAAATCCCAATCAGCGTGGAATTGAGCGCAGATGTCGGAGTGACTGGGCCCGCCCCCGTTACGCCCTCCTATAAATATGCAGATTTATTTAAATAGGGTCTCCCTGTCCTCGCACGCAGACAAAATGACAAGAAAAACTAAATTTACGGCGTGCGAGGTGGAGGTGCTGGTGGCGGAGGTGGAGGAGCGACAGCGTGTTTTGTTTGGCAGCCTGTCCAGTGGCGTCAGTGCAAAACAAAAACGCTTGGAGTGGGAGAAAGTTTGCGAGAGGGTGAATGCGGTGGGTTCCGAGACACGCACCCCCGCGAAGATTTAAAAAAAGTGGTCGGACCTCAAGGTGGAGGTCAAGCGGCGTACAGCTGCCCTCCGGAGGAGTACTGGCCAGACAGGTGGGGGTCCGGGGGAGGAGACCCTCACAACGTTTGAGCAGCGGGTGGTGGCGATTATTATTATAGGGTAAGTGGCGTGTCACACAAATGTCCACATGCTTTGTCATCCCACTGAGCAAAAGACGTATATTAGACATCTAGTCTAAGTTTATACTTCATTTCAACGTCGGGATTCAGTCTATTTTTAGACGTGATTTATACTTCGCCCTTAACTTCATTTTTCGATAACTTTTTATGCAATAAACAACTGTAATGTGCATAACTGACCTCGAAATACTGGATTACATTACCTATGATACCGTGGAGAGAGATGTAAACGCAACAGATACACAGAAGCAGGAATTGAAATGAACAAATATTTTTATTGTGTCACAGAAATCAATGTGTCGGCCATGTCGCCGGCTTGCGGAACCCCGGCCCGCGGCAGCCCGTCCGCCGGCTCGGAGTCGTCGGCCAGGACCAGCGGCATTCGGGCCACCCCGGCCCCCAGCACCAGCATCAGCACCAGCGCGCCGACAAGCGGTGGAGCGTCCACCAGCCGCGGCGCTTCCGCTGGACCACCCGGACGCAGTGGAAGGGTCCTCGCGAAGGGGGTCCTGCAATCGCAGGAAGAAATCATCAGGGGGATCGCGGGGATCAACGAGCGGCTGGACCGGCTCGTAAATGTCCTCGAGCGTCTGGTGGAGAAAATAAATTAATTTGGCTCATTGAACTGTGTATTCACTTCTTACCCATTCACACTGGCGATGAGATTCTCCCGCGCGAGGACGGCGGCCCGGCAGGGATCAGCTCGCATCCCTCCGTCTGCTGCTGGTTCGTCATGTGGGGCGACGTGCTGCTCGGCCACGGGGATGTGGTGCACGCTTGTCACATAGTGAGTCACCAAACACCGCCACACAGCGTCGCCAAAGTGCAAATCACAGTCAACGCAAGTATCAGCTCAACGCCAATTTCTACACCACCTCCTGACTTTGCGTTGATTAGCGCTGGAACCGACGCTCGTTTCGCGATGATAAATCTGGACGTGTGCGCCGATTTTGGCGTACGCAAGGTTTTCTTGCGCCGCAAGCGTTGATACATGAGGCCCCTGGGCTGGAGAGCAGGATGAGCTCCAAGCCCCCGGTCTTTGTGGGCTTAAAATCAGCTGCTGGAGCAAAGGAATAATCTCCCCGTCGGGGAATCGAACCCCGGTCTTCCGCGTGACAGGCGGAGATACTGTCCACTATACTAACGAGGACTCACGCGTTGCCACCTTCAGCGCGTCGAGCGCGGGCATCGCTGAGTACCAGTGTTTACCAGGCGTACACAAAGGGTCTGAAAGAAGCATGGCCAACTGCTGGGTGTCGTTTACATCAGGGTTCCGTAACACTTCCGTTTCAGAATCGTCCTCCAAGTCAAAACCGCCCACCAGAAGAAACCTCCTTTCCCTGGTGAGCTCCATCTACCATCCATTGGGTATCTTAGCACCAGTGCTTCTGCCAGCTAAAAGGATCCTGCAAGAGCTCTGCAGGTTAAAGCTCAGCTGGGATGACATTGTACAAACTCGTCTTGCTCAGCAGTGGTTTGACTGGTTCAAGCAACTGCAACTACTCAGTGACTTGGGAGTTGACAGGTGTTTCAAACCAGCACATTTTGGAGACCCTACCTTTACTCAGCTGCATCATTTCAGTAATGCTAGTGAAGAAGGTTATGGAGCAGTGACCTACCTAGTCCTGCGAAACAGCAGCAATCAGGTCCACATCGCCCTTGTCATGGGTAAAGCAAGGGTTGCTCCTATCAAGCCTACCAACAATCCCCGCTTGGAATGAACAGCCGCAACCATGGCAGGGCGCACAGATATGATGTCGAAGAGAGAGCTACAGTCGCAGCTGCGGCTTGCGGACTCAGTCCTCTGGACAGATAGCACGGCTGTTCTTAAGAACATCAACAATGAAAAAACTAGGTTCCGCACATTCGTTGCCAACAGAGTGTCAGAAATACTGACAGTGTCAATCGTGGCAACAGATGACAGACAAGATGCAATGGAGCAACTTATAGAGCACTACTCCCCATGGACACGCCGTTTCATTGCAAGAACAAGTCAAGTTATGGAACTGTATTCAGAACCCACTGCAATCGAAAAACTGTTTGTTAGCATCTGAAATCTTGGCATTTGGAAAGCAGGTGAGTTGGGCGCTGTGTAACCTTCCCGCATGTCCTGTAAGTTTCCGTAGTGTAGTGGTTATCACGTTCGCCTAACACGCGAAAGGTCCCCGGTTCGAAACCGGGCGGAAACAGATGGACGTCCCCTCCTGCTTGACTCAGACGCTCAATGGTGGCCCACTTAAACCCGCTTGAATACTGAGTTCAAGGGGCTGGTAGACATTTGTTATCAGAGGCCCTCCCATAACATACCAATAACATTCCCAAATCCCATTTTAGCAGGCCCGGCTTAAAGGCAAGGAATCCATCTCCTGTCCTTCTCTGTGTACACCATGGAATAGGGTTCGGTGGTAGAGAAAGGTGACGTGAAGGGGTAACTTGAGTCCCAGTCAGAATTTCTCATCCCTTTTTTTCTTTTCTTGTTTTTTCCTCTGGCAGATTGAGGCCCTCTTTGCATGCAATCTCATTCATTTGACCTCCTCCTTTGTAGGATGGAAGGCTGACAGTTTGTCAGCTCACCTGGGCTGGAGAGCAGGATGAGCTCCAAGCCCCCGGTCTTTGTGGGCTTAAAATCAGCTGCTGGAGCAAAGGAATAATCTCCCCGTCGGGGAATCGAACCCCGGTCTTCCGCGTGACAGGCGGAGATACTGTCCACTATACTAACGAGGACTCACGCGTTGCCACCTTCAGCGCGTCGAGCGCGGGCATCGCTGAGTACCAGTGTTTACCAGGCGTACACAAAGGGTCTGAAAGAAGCATGGCCAACTGCTGGGTGTCGTTTACATCAGGGTTCCGTAACACTTCCGTTTCAGAATCGTCCTCCAAGTCAAAACCGCCCACCAGAAGAAACCTCCTTTCCCTGGTGAGCTCCATCTACCATCCATTGGGTATCTTAGCACCAGTGCTTCTGCCAGCTAAAAGGATCCTGCAAGAGCTCTGCAGGTTAAAGCTCAGCTGGGATGACATTGTACAAACTCGTCTTGCTCAGCAGTGGTTTGACTGGTTCAAGCAACTGCAACTACTCAGTGACTTGGGAGTTGACAGGTGTTTCAAACCAGCACATTTTGGAGACCCTACCTTTACTCAGCTGCATCATTTCAGTGATGCTAGTGAAGAAGGTTATGGAGCAGTGACCTACCTAGTCCTGCGAAACAGCAGCAATCAGGTCCACATCGCCCTTGTCATGGGTAAAGCAAGGGTTGCTCCTATCAAGCCTACCAACAATCCCCGCTTGGAATGAACAGCCGCAACCATGGCAGGGCGCACAGATATGATGTCGAAGAGAGAGCTACAGTCGCAGCTGCGGCTTGCGGACTCAGTCCTCTGGACAGATAGCACGGCTGTTCTTAAGAACATCAACAATGAAAAAACTAGGTTCCGCACATTCGTTGCCAACAGAGTGTCAGAAATACTGACAGTGTCAATCGTGGCAACAGATGACAGACAAGATGCAATGGAGCAACTTATAGAGCACTACTCCCCATGGACACGCCGTTTCATTGCAAGAACAAGTCAAGTTATGGAACTGTATTCAGAACCCACTGCAATCGAAAAACTGTTTGTTAGCATCTGAAATCTTGGCATTTGGAAAGCAGGTGAGTTGGGCGCTGTGTAACCTTCCCGCATGTCCTGTAAGTTTCCGTAGTGTAGTGGTTATCACGTTCGCCTAACACGCGAAAGGTCCCCGGTTCGAAACCGGGCGGAAACAGATGGACGTCCCCTCCTGCTTGACTCAGACGCTCAATGGTGGCCCACTTAAACCCGCTTGAATACTGAGTTCAAGGGGCTGGTAGACATTTGTTATCAGAGGCCCTCCCATAACATACCAATAACATTCCCAAATCCCATTTTAGCAGGCCCGGCTTAAAGGCAAGGAATCCATCTCCTGTCCTTCTCTGTGTACACCATGGAATAGGGTTCGGTGGTAGAGAAAGGTGACGTGAAGGGGTAACTTGAGTCCCAGTCAGAATTTCTCATCCCTTTTTTTCTTTTCTTGTTTTTTCCTCTGGCAGATTGAGGCCCTCTTTGCATGCAATCTCATTCATTTGACCTCCTCCTTTGTAGGATGGAAGGCTGACAGTTTGTCAGCTCACCTGGGCTGGAGAGCAGGATGAGCTCCAAGCCCCCGGTCTTTGTGGGCTTAAAATCAGCTGCTGGAGCAAAGGAATAATCTCCCCGTCGGGGAATCGAACCCCGGTCTTCCGCGTGACAGGCGGAGATACTGTCCACTATACTAACGAGGACTCACGCGTTGCCACCTTCAGCGCGTCGAGCGCGGGCATCGCTGAGTACCAGTGTTTACCAGGCGTACACAAAGGGTCTGAAAGAAGCATGGCCAACTGCTGGGTGTCGTTTACATCAGGGTTCCGTAACACTTCCGTTTCAGAATCGTCCTCCAAGTCAAAACCGCCCACCAGAAGAAACCTCCTTTCCCTGGTGAGCTCCATCTACCATCCATTGGGTATCTTAGCACCAGTGCTTCTGCCAGCTAAAAGGATCCTGCAAGAGCTCTGCAGGTTAAAGCTCAGCTGGGATGACATTGTACAAACTCGTCTTGCTCAGCAGTGGTTTGACTGGTTCAAGCAACTGCAACTACTCAGTGACTTGGGAGTTGACAGGTGTTTCAAACCAGCACATTTTGGAGACCCTACCTTTACTCAGCTGCATCATTTCAGTAATGCTAGTGAAGAAGGTTATGGAGCAGTGACCTACCTAGTCCTGCGAAACAGCAGCAATCAGGTCCACATCGCCCTTGTCATGGGTAAAGCAAGGGTTGCTCCTATCAAGCCTACCAACAATCCCCGCTTGGAATGAACAGCCGCAACCATGGCAGGGCGCACAGATATGATGTCGAAGAGAGAGCTACAGTCGCAGCTGCGGCTTGCGGACTCAGTGCTCTGGACAGATAGCACGGCTGTTCTTAAGAACATCAACAATGAAAAAACTAGGTTCCGCACATTCGTTGCCAACAGAGTGTCAGAAATACTGACAGTGTCAATCGTGGCAACAGATGACAGACAAGATGCAAGAGAGCAACTTATAGAGCACTACTCCCCATGGACACGCCGTTTCATTGCAAGAACAAGTCAAGTTATGGAACTGTATTCAGAACCCACTGCAATCGAAAAACTGTTTGTTAGCATCTGAAATCTTGGCATTTGGAAAGCAGGTGAGTTGGGCGCTGTGTAACCTTCCCGCATGTCCTGTAATTTTCCGTAGTGTAGTGGTTATCACGTTCGCCTAACACGCGAAAGGTCCCCGGTTCGAAACCGGGCGGAAACAGATGGACGTCCCCTCCTGCTTGACTCAGACGCTCAATGGTGGCCCACGTAAACCCGCTTGAATACTGAGTTCAAGGGGCTGGTAGACATTTGTTATCAGAGGCCCTCCCATAACATACCAATAACATTCCCAAATCCCATTTTAGCAGGCCCGGCTTAAAGGCAAGGAATCCATCTCCTGTCCTTCTCTGTGTACACCATGGAATAGGGTTCGGTGGTAGAGAAAGGTGACGTGAAGGGGTAACTTGAGTCCCAGTCAGAATTTCTCATCCCTTTTTTTCTTTTCTTGTTTTTTCCTCTGGCAGATTGAGGCCCTCTTTGCATGCAATCTCATTCATTTGACCTCCTCCTTTGTAGGATGGAAGGCTGACAGTTTGTCAGCTCACCTGGGCTGGAGAGCAGGATGAGCTCCAAGCCCCCGGTCTTTGTGGGCTTAAAATCAGCTGCTGGAGCAAAGGAATAATCTCCCCGTCGGGGAATCGAACCCCGGTCTTCCGCGTGACAGGCGGAGATACTGTCCACTATACTAACGAGGACTCACGCGTTGCCACCTTCAGCGCGTCGAGCGCGGGCATCGCTGAGTACCAGTGTTTACCAGGCGTACACAAAGGGTCTGAAAGAAGCATGGCCAACTGCTGGGTGTCGTTTACATCAGGGTTCCGTAACACTTCCGTTTCAGAATCGTCCTCCAAGTCAAAACCGCCCACCAGAAGAAACCTCCTTTCCCTGGTGAGCTCCATCTACCATCCATTGGGTATCTTAGCACCAGTGCTTCTGCCAGCTAAAAGGATCCTGCAAGAGCTCTGCAGGTTAAAGCTCAGCTGGGATGACATTGTACAAACTCGTCTTGCTCAGCAGTGGTTTGACTGGTTCAAGCAACTGCAACTACTCAGTGACTTGGGAGTTGACAGGTGTTTCAAACCAGCACATTTTGGAGACCCTACCTTTACTCAGCTGCATCATTTCAGTGATGCTAGTGAAGAAGGTTATGGAGCAGTGACCTACCTAGTCCTGCGAAACAGCAGCAATCAGGTCCACATCGCCCTTGTCATGGGTAAAGCAAGGGTTGCTCCTATCAAGCCTACCAACAATCCCTGCTTGGAATGAACAGCCGCAACCATGGCAGGGCGCACAGATATGATGTCGAAGAGAGAGCTACAGTCGCAGCTGAGGCTTGCGGACTCAGTGCTCTGGACAGATAGCACGGCTGTTCTTAAGAACATCAACAATGAAACAACTAGGTTCCGCACATTCGTTGCCAACAGAGTGTCAGAAATACTGACAGTGTCAATCGTGGCAACAGATGACAGACAAGATGCAAGGGAGCAACTTATAGAGCACTACTCCCCATGGACACGCCGTTTCATTGCAAGAACAAGTCAAGTTATGGAACTGTATTCAGAACCCACTGCAATCGAAAAACTGTTTGTTAGCATCTGAAATCTTGGCATTTGGAAAGCAGGTGAGTTGGGCGCTGCATAACCTTCCCGCATGTCCTGTAGGTTTCCGTAGTGTAGTGGTTATCACGTTCGCCTAACACGCGAAAGGTCCCCGGTTCGAAACCGGGCGGAAACAGATGGACGTCCCCTTCTGCTTGACTCAGACGCTCAATGGTGGCCCACTTAAAAACGCTTGAATACTGAGTTCAAGGGGCTGGTAGACATTTGTTATCAGAGGCCCTCCCATAACATACCAATAACATTCCCAAATCCCATTTTAGCAGGCCCGGCTTAAAGGCAAGGAATCCATCTCCTGTCCTTCTCTGTGTACACCATGGAATAGGGTTTGGTGGTAGAGAAAGGTGACGTGAAGGGGTAACTTGAGTCCCAGTCAGAATTTCTCATCCCTTTTTTTCTTTTCTTGTTTTTTCCTCTGGCAGATTGAGGCCCTCTTTGCATGCAATCTCATTCATTTGACCTCCTCCTTTGTAGGATGGAAGGCTGACAGTTTGTCAGCTCACCTGGGCTGGAGAGCAGGATGAGCTCCAAGCCCCCGGTCTTTGTGGGCTTAAAATCAGCTGCTGGAGCAAAGGAATAATCTCCCCGTCGGGGAATCGAACCCCGGTCTTCCGCGTGACAGGCGGAGATACTGTCCACTATACTAACGAGGACTCACGCGTTGCCACCTTCAGCGCGTCGAGCGCGGGCATCGCTGAGTACCAGTGTTTACCAGGCGTACACAAAGGGTCTGAAAGAAGCATGGCCAACTGCTGGGTGTCGTTTACATCAGGGTTCCGTAACACTTCCGTTTCAGAATCGTCCTCCAAGTCAAAACCGCCCACCAGAAGAAACCTCCTTTCCCTGGTGAGCTCCATCTACCATCCATTGGGTATCTTAGCACCAGTGCTTCTGCCAGCTAAAAGGATCCTGCAAGAGCTCTGCAGGTTAAAGCTCAGCTGGGATGACATTGTACAAACTCGTCTTGCTCAGCAGTGGTTTGACTGGTTCAAGCAACTGCAACTACTCAGTGACTTGGGAGTTGACAGGTGTTTCAAACCAGCACATTTTGGAGACCCTACCTTTACTCAGCTGCATCATTTCAGTGATGCTAGTGAAGAAGGTTATGGAGCAGTGACCTACCTAGTCCTGCGAAACAGCAGCAATCAGGTCCACATCGCCCTTGTCATGGGTAAAGCAAGGGTTGCTCCTATCAAGCCTACCAACAATCCCCGCTTGGAATGAACAGCCGCAACCATGGCAGGGCGCACAGATATGATGTCGAAGAGAGAGCTACAGTCGCAGCTGCGGCTTGCGGACTCAGTCCTCTGGACAGATAGCACGGCTGTTCTTAAGAACATCAACAATGAAACAACTAGGTTCCGCACATTCGTTGCCAACAGAGTGTCAGAAATACTGACAGTGTCAATCGTGGCAACAGATGACAGACAAGATGCAAGGGAGCAACTTATAGAGCACTACTCCCCATGGACACGCCGTTTCATTGCAAGAACAAGTCAAGTTATGGAACTGTATTCAGAACCCACTGCAATCGAAAAACTGTTTGTTAGCATCTGAAATCTTGGCATTTGGAAAGCAGGTGAGTTGGGTGCTGTGTAACCTTCCCGCATGTCCTGTAAGTTTCCGTAGTGTAGTGGTTATCACGTTCGCCTCACACGCGAAAGGTCCCCGGTTCGAAACCGGGCGGAAACAGATGGATGTCCCCTCCTGCTTGACTCAGATGCTCAATGGTGGCCCACTTAAACCCGCTTGAATACTGAGTTCAAGGGGCTGGTAGACATTTGTTATCAGAGGCCCTCCCATAACATACCAATAACATTCCCAAATCCCATTTTAGCAGGCCCGGCTTAAAGGCAAGGAATCCATCTCCTGTCCTTCTCTGTGTACACCATGGAATAGGGTTTGGTGGTAGAGAAAGGTGACGTGAAGGGGTAACTTGAGTCCCAGTCAGAATTTCTCATCCCTTTTTTTCTTGTTTTTTCCTCTGGCAGATTGAGGCCCTCTTTGCATGCAATGTCATTCATTTGACCCCCTCCTTTGTAGGATGGAAGGCTGACAGTTTGTCAGCTCACCTGGGCTGGAGAGCAGGATGAGCTCCAAGCCCCCGGTCTTTGTGGGCTTAAAATCAGCTGCTGGAGCAAAGGAATAATCTCCCCATCGGGGAATCGAATCCCGGTCTTCCGTGTGACAGGCGGAGATACTGTCCACTATACTAACGAGGACTCACGCGTTGCCACCTTCAGCGCGTCGAGCGCGGGCATCGCTGAGTACCAGTGTTTACCAGGCGTACACAAAGGGTCTGAAAGAAGCATGGCCAACTGCTGGGTGTCGTTTACATCAGGGTTCCGTAACACTTCCGTTTCAGAATCGTCCTCCAAGTCAAAACCGCCCACCAGAAGAAACCTCCTTTCCCTGGTGAGCTACATCTACCATCCATTGGGTATCTTAGCACCAGTGCTTCTGCCAGCTAAAAGGATCCTGCAAGAGCTCTGCAGGTTAAAGCTCAGCTGGGATGACATTGTACAAACTCGTCTTGCTCAGCAGTGGTTTGACTGGTTCAAGCAACTGCAACTACTCAGTGACTTGGGAGTTGACAGGTGTTTCAAACCAGCACATTTTGGAGACCCTACCTTTACTCAGCTGCATCATTTCAGTGATGCTAGTGAAGAAGGTTATGGAGCAGTGACCTACCTAGTCCTGCGAAACAGCAGCAATCAGGTCCACATCGCCCTTGTCATGGGTAAAGCAAGGGTTGCTCCTATCAAGCCTACCAACAATCCCCGCTTGGAATGAACAGCCGCAACCATGGCAGGGCGCACAGATATGATGTCGAAGAGAGAGCTACAGTCGCAGCTGCGGCTTGCGGACTCAGTCCTCTGGACAGATAGCACGGCTGTTCTTAAGAACATCAACAATGAAAAAACTAGGTTCCGCACATTCGTTGCCAACAGAGTGTCAGAAATACTGACAGTGTCAATCGTGGCAACAGATGACAGACAAGATGCAATGGAGCAACTTATAGAGCACTACTCCCCATGGACACGTCGTTTCATTGCAAGAACAAGTCAAGTTATGGAACTGTATTCAGAACCCACTGCAATCGAAAAACTGTTTGTTAGCATCTGAAATCTTGGCATTTGGAAAGCAGGTGAGTTGGGCGCTGTGTAACCTTCCCGCATGTCCTGTAAGTTTCCGTAGTGTAGTGGTTATCACGTTCGCCTAACACGCGAAAGGTCCCCGGTTCGAAACCGGGCGGAAACAGATGGACGTCCCCTCCTGCTTGACTCAGACGCTCAATGGTGGCCCACTTAAACCCGCTTGAATACTGAGTTCAAGGGGCTGGTAGACATTTGTTATCAGAGGCCCTCCCATAACATACCAATAACATTCCCAAATCCCATTTTAGCAGGCCCGGCTTAAAGGCAAGGAATCCATCTCCTGTCCTTCTCTGTGTACACCATGGAATAGGGTTCGGTGGTAGAGAAAGGTGACGTGAAGGGGTAACTTGAGTCCCAGTCAGAATTTCTCATCCCTTTTTTTCTTTTCTTGTTTTTTCCTCTGGCAGATTGAGGCCCTCTTTGCATGCAATCTCATTCATTTGACCTCCTCCTTTGTAGGATGGAAGGCTGACAGTTTGTCAGCTCACCTGGGCTGGAGAGCAGGATGAGCTCCAAGCCCCCGGTCTTTGTGGGCTTAAAATCAGCTGCTGGAGCAAAGGAATAATCTCCCCGTCGGGGAATCGAACCCCGGTCTTCCGCGTGACAGGCGGAGATACTGTCCACTATACTAACGAGGACTCACGCGTTGCCACCTTCAGCGCGTCGAGCGCGGGCATCGCTGAGTACCAGTGTTTACCAGGCGTACACAAAGGGTCTGAAAGAAGCATGGCCAACTGCTGGGTGTCGTTTACATCAGGGTTCCGTAACACTTCCGTTTCAGAATCGTCCTCCAAGTCAAAACCGCCCACCAGAAGAAACCTCCTTTCCCTGGTGAGCTCCATCTACCATCCATTGGGTATCTTAGCACCAGTGCTTCTGCCAGCTAAAAGGATCCTGCAAGAGCTCTGCAGGTTAAAGCTCAGCTGGGATGACATTGTACAAACTCGTCTTGCTCAGCAGTGGTTTGACTGGTTCAAGCAACTGCAACTACTCAGTGACTTGGGAGTTGACAGGTGTTTCAAACCAGCACATTTTGGAGACCCTACCTTTACTCAGCTGCATCATTTCAGTGATGCTAGTGAAGAAGGTTATGGAGCAGTGACCTACCTAGTCCTGCGAAACAGCAGCAATCAGGTCCACATCGCCCTTGTCATGGGTAAAGCAAGGGTTGCTCCTATCAAGCCTACCAACAATCCCCGCTTGGAATGAACAGCCGCAACCATGGCAGGGCGCACAGATATGATGTCGAAGAGAGAGCTACAGTCGCAGCTGCGGCTTGCGGACTCAGTCCTCTGGACAGATAGCACGGCTGTTCTTAAGAACATCAACAATGAAAAAACTAGGTTCCGCACATTCGTTGCCAACAGAGTGTCAGAAATACTGACAGTGTCAATCGTGGCAACAGATGACAGACAAGATGCAAGGGAGCAACTTATAGAGCACTACTCCCCATGGACACGCCGTTTCATTGCAAGAACAAGTCAAGTTATGGAACTGTATTCAGAACCCACTGCAATCGAAAAACTGTTTGTTAGCATCTGAAATCTTGGCATTTGGAAAGCAGGTGAGTTGGGCGCTGTGTAACCTTCCCGCATGTCCTGTAAGTTTCCGTAGTGTAGTGGTTATCACGTTCGCCTCACACGCGAAAGGTCCCCGGTTCGAAACCGGGCGGAAACAGATGGACGTCCCCTCCTGCTTGACTCAGACGCTCAATGGTGGCCCACTTAAACCCGCTTGAATACTGAGTTCAAGGGGCTGGTAGACATTTGTTATCAGAGGCCCTCCCATAACATACCAATAACATTCCCAAATCCCATTTTAGCAGGCCCGGCTTAAAGGCAAGGAATCCATCTCCTGTCCTTCTCTGTGTACACCATGGAATAGGGTTCGGTGGTAGAGAAAGGTGACGTGAAGGGGTAACTTGAGTCCCAGTCAGAATTTCTCATCCCTTTTTTTCTTGTTTTTTCCTCTGGCAGATTGAGGCCCTCTTTGCATGCAATCTCATTCATTTGACCTCCTCCTTTGTAGGATGGAAGGCTGACAGTTTGTCAGCTCACCTGGGCTGGAGAGCAGGATGAGCTCCAAGCCCCCGGTCTTTGTGGGCTTAAAATCAGCTGCTGGAGCAAAGGAATAATCTCCCCGTCGGGGAATCGAACCCCGGTCTTCCGCGTGACAGGCGGAGATACTGTCCACTATACTAACGAGGACTCACGCGTTGCCACCTTCAGCGCGTCGAGCGCGGGCATCGCTGAGTACCAGTGTTTACCAGGCGTACACAAAGGGTCTGAAAGAAGCATGGCCAACTGCTGGGTGTCGTTTACATCAGGGTTCCGTAACACTTCCGTTTCAGAATCGTCCTCCAAGTCAAAACCGCCCACCAGAAGAAACCTCCTTTCCCTGGTGAGCTCCATCTACCATCCATTGGGTATCTTAGCACCAGTGCTTCTGCCAGCTAAAAGGATCCTGCAAGAGCTCTGCAGGTTAAAGCTCAGCTGGGATGACATTGTACAAACTCGTCTTGCTCAGCAGTGGTTTGACTGGTTCAAGCAACTGCAACTACTCAGTGACTTGGGAGTTGACAGGTGTTTCAAACCAGCACATTTTGGAGACCCTACCTTTACTCAGCTGCATCATTTCAGTAATGCTAGTGAAGAAGGTTATGGAGCAGTGACCTACCTAGTCCTGCGAAACAGCAGCAATCAGGTCCACATCGCCCTTGTCATGGGTAAAGCAAGGGTTGCTCCTATCAAGCCTACCAACAATCCCCGCTTGGAATGAACAGCCGCAACCATGGCAGGGCGCACAGATATGATGTCGAAGAGAGAGCTACAGTCGCAGCTGCGGCTTGCGGACTCAGTCCTCTGGACAGATAGCACGGCTGTTCTTAAGAACATCAACAATGAAAAAACTAGGTTCCGCACATTCGTTGCCAACAGAGTGTCAGAAATACTGACAGTGTCAATCGTGGCAACAGATGACAGACAAGATGCAATGGAGCAACTTATAGAGCACTACTCCCCATGGACACGCCGTTTCATTGCAAGAACAAGTCAAGTTATGGAACTGTATTCAGAACCCACTGCAATCGAAAAACTGTTTGTTAGCATCTGAAATCTTGGCATTTGGAAAGCAGGTGAGTTGGGCGCTGTGTAACCTTCCCGCATGTCCTGTAAGTTTCCGTAGTGTAGTGGTTATCACGTTCGCCTAACACGCGAAAGGTCCCCGGTTCGAAACCGGGCGGAAACAGATGGACGTCCCCTCCTGCTTGACTCAGACGCTCAATGGTGGCCCACTTAAACCCGCTTGAATACTGAGTTCAAGGGGCTGGTAGACATTTGTTATCAGAGGCCCTCCCATAACATACCAATAACATTCCCAAATCCCATTTTAGCAGGCCCGGCTTAAAGGCAAGGAATCCATCTCCTGTCCTTCTCTGTGTACACCATGGAATAGGGTTCGGTGGTAGAGAAAGGTGACGTGAAGGGGTAACTTGAGTCCCAGTCAGAATTTCTCATCCCTTTTTTTCTTGTTTTTTCCTCTGGCAGATTGAGGCCCTCTTTGCATGCAATCTCATTCATTTGACCTCCTCCTTTGTAGGATGGAAGGCTGACAGTTTGTCAGCTCACCTGGGCTGGAGAGCAGGATGAGCTCCAAGCCCCCGGTCTTTGTGGGCTTAAAATCAGCTGCTGGAGCAAAGGAATAATCTCCCCGTCGGGGAATCGAACCCCGGTCTTCCGCGTGACAGGCGGAGATACTGTCCACTATACTAACGAGGACTCACGCGTTGCCACCTTCAGCGCGTCGAGCGCGGGCATCGCTGAGTACCAGTGTTTACCAGGCGTACACAAAGGGTCTGAAAGAAGCATGGCCAACTGCTGGGTGTCGTTTACATCAGGGTTCCGTAACACTTCCGTTTCAGAATCGTCCTCCAAGTCAAAACCGCCCACCAGAAGTAACCTCCTTTCCCTGGTGAGCTCCATCTACCATCCATTGGGTATCTTAGCACCAGTGCTTCTGCCAGCTAAAAGGATCCTGCAAGAGCTCTGCAGGTTAAAGCTCAGCTGGGATGACATTGTACAAACTCGTCTTGCTCAGCAGTGGTTTGACTGGTTCAAGCAACTGCAACTACTCAGTGACTTGGGAGTTGACAGGTGTTTCAAACCAGCACATTTTGGAGACCCTACCTTTACTCAGCTGCATCATTTCAGTGATGCTAGTGAAGAAGGTTATGGAGCAGTGACCTACCTAGTCCTGCGAAACAGCAGCAATCAGGTCCACATCGCCCTTGTCATGGGTAAAGCAAGGGTTGCTCCTATCAAGCCTACCAACAATCCCCGCTTGGAATGAACAGCCGCAACCATGGCAGGGCGCACAGATATGATGTCGAAGAGAGAGCTACAGTCGCAGCTGAGGCTTGCGGACTCAGTGCTCTGGACAGATAGCACGGCTGTTCTTAAGAACATCAACAATGAAACAACTAGGTTCCGCACATTCGTTGCCAACAGAGTGTCAGAAATACTGACAGTGTCAATCGTGGCAACAGATGACAGACAAGATGCAAGGGAGCAACTTATAGAGCACTACTCCCCATGGACACGCCGTTTCATTGCAAGAACAAGTCAAGTTATGGAACTGTATTCAGAACCCACTGCAATCGAAAAACTGTTTGTTAGCATCTGAAATCTTGGCATTTGGAAAGCAGGTGAGTTGGGCGCTGCATAACCTTCCCGAATGTCCTGTAGGTTTCCGTAGTGTAGTGGTTATCACGTTCGCCTAACACGCGAAAGGTCCCCGGTTCGAAACCGGGCGGAAACAGATGGACGTCCCCTTCTGCTTGACTCAGACGCTCAATGGTGGCCCACTTAAAAACGCTTGAATACTGAGTTCAAGGGGCTGGTAGACATTTGTTATCAGAGGCCCTCCCATAACATACCAATAACATTCCCAAATCCCATTTTAGCAGGCCCGGCTTAAAGGCAAGGAATCCATCTCCTGTCCTTCTCTGTGTACACCATGGAATAGGGTTTGGTGGTAGAGAAAGGTGACGTGAAGGGGTAACTTGAGTCCCAGTCAGAATTTCTCATCCCTTTTTTTCTTTTCTTGTTTTTTCCTCTGGCAGATTGAGGCCCTCTTTGCATGCAATCTCATTCATTTGACCTCCTCCTTTGTAGGATGGAAGGCTGACAGTTTGTCAGCTCACCTGGGCTGGAGAGCAGGATGAGCTCCAAGCCCCCGGTCTTTGTGGGCTTAAAATCAGCTGCTGGAGCAAAGGAATAATCTCCCCGTCGGGGAATCGAACCCCGGTCTTCCGCGTGACAGGCGGAGATACTGTCCACTATACTAACGAGGACTCACGCGTTGCCACCTTCAGCGCGTCGAGCGCGGGCATCGCTGAGTACCAGTGTTTACCAGGCGTACACAAAGGGTCTGAAAGAAGCATGGCCAACTGCTGGGTGTCGTTTACATCAGGGTTCCGTAACACTTCCGTTTCAGAATCGTCCTCCAAGTCAAAACCGCCCACCAGAAGAAACCTCCTTTCCCTGGTGAGCTCCATCTACCATCCATTGGGTATCTTAGCACCAGTGCTTCTGCCAGCTAAAAGGATCCTGCAAGAGCTCTGCAGGTTAAAGCTCAGCTGGGATGACATTGTACAAACTCGTCTTGCTCAGCAGTGGTTTGACTGGTTCAAGCAACTGCAACTACTCAGTGACTTGGGAGTTGACAGGTGTTTCAAACCAGCACATTTTGGAGACCCTACCTTTACTCAGCTGCATCATTTCAGTGATGCTAGTGAAGAAGGTTATGGAGCAGTGACCTACCTAGTCCTGCGAAACAGCAGCAATCAGGTCCACATCGCCCTTGTCATGGGTAAAGCAAGGGTTGCTCCTATCAAGCCTACCAACAATCCCCGCTTGGAATGAACAGCCGCAACCATGGCAGGGCGCACAGATATGATGTCGAAGAGAGAGCTACAGTCGCAGCTGCGGCTTGCGGACTCAGTCCTCTGGACAGATAGCACGGCTGTTCTTAAGAACATCAACAATGAAACAACTAGGTTCCGCACATTCGTTGCCAACAGAGTGTCAGAAATACTGACAGTGTCAATCGTGGCAACAGATGACAGACAAGATGCAAGGGAGCAACTTATAGAGCACTACTCCCCATGGACACGCCGTTTCATTGCAAGAACAAGTCAAGTTATGGAACTGTATTCAGAACCCACGGCAATCGAAAAACTGTTTGTTAGCATCTGAAATCTTGGCATTTGGAAAGCAGGTGAGTTGGGCGCTGTGTAACCTGCCGCATGTCCTGTAAGTTTCCGTAGTGTAGTGGTTATCACGTTCGCCTCACACGCGAAAGGTCCCCGGTTCGAAACCGGGCGGAAACAGATGGACGTCCCCTCCTGCTTGACTCAGACGCTCAATGGTGGCCCACTTAAAAACGCTTGAATACTGAGTTCAAGGGGCTGGTAGACATTTGTTATTAGAAGCCCTCCCATAACATACCAATAACATTCCCAAATCCCATTTTAGCAGGCCCGGCTTAAAGGCAAGGAATCCATCTCCTGTCCTTCTCTGTGTACACCATGGAATAGGGTTCGGTGGTAGAGAAAGGTGACGTGAAGGGGTAACTTGAGTCCCAGTCAGAATTTCTCATCCCTTTTTTTCTTTTCTTGTTTTTTCCTCTGGCAGATTGAGGCCCTCTTTGCATGCAATCTCATTCATTTGACCTCCTCCTTTGTAGGATGGAAGGCTGACAGTTTGTCAGCTCACCTGGGCTGGAGAGCAGGATGAGCTCCAAGCCCCCGGTCTTTGTGGGCTTAAAATCAGCTGCTGGAGCAAAGGAATAATCTCCCCGTCGGGGAATCGAACCCCGGTCTTCCGCGTGACAGGCGGAGATACTGTCCACTATACTAACGAGGACTCACGCTTTGCCACCTTCAGCGCGTCGAGCGCGGGCATCGCTGAGTACCAGTGTTTACCAGGCGTACACAAAGGGTCTGAAAGAAGCATGGCCAACTGCTGGGTGTCGTTTACATCAGGGTTCCGTAACACTTCCGTTTCAGAATCGTCCTCCAAGTCAAAACCGCCCACCAGAAGAAACCTCCTTTCCCTGGTGAGCTCCATCTACCATCCATTGGGTATCTTAGCACCAGTGCTTCTGCCAGCTAAAAGGATCCTGCAAGAGCTCTGCAGGTTAAAGCTCAGCTGGGATGACATTGTACAAACTCGTCTTGCTCAGCAGTGGTTTGACTGGTTCAAGCAACTGCAACTACTCAGTGACTTGGGAGTTGACAGGTGTTTCAAACCAGCACATTTTGGAGACCCTACCTTTACTCAGCTGCATCATTTCAGTAATGCTAGTGAAGAAGGTTATGGAGCAGTGACCTACCTAGTCCTGCGAAACAGCAGCAATCAGGTCCACATCGCCCTTGTCATGGGTAAAGCAAGGGTTGCTCCTATCAAGCCTACCAACAATCCCCGCTTGGAATGAACAGCCGCAACCATGGCAGGGCGCACAGATATGATGTCGAAGAGAGAGCTACAGTCGCAGCTGCGGCTTGCGGACTCAGTGCTCTGGACAGATAGCACGGCTGTTCTTAAGAACATCAACAATGAAACAACTAGGTTCCGCACATTCGTTGCCAACAGAGTGTCAGAAATACTGACAGTGTCAATCGTGGCAACACATGACAGACAAGATGCAATGGAGCAACTTATAGAGCACTACTCCCCATGGACACGCCGTTTCATTGCAAGAACAAGTCAAGTTATGGAACTGTATTCAGAACCCACGGCAATCGAAAAACTGTTTGTTAGCATCTGAAATCTTGACATTTGGAAAGCAGGTGAGTTGGGCGCTGCGTAACCTTCCCGCATGTCCTGTAAGTTTCCGTAGTGTAGTGGTTATCACGTTCGCCTCACACGCGAAAGGTCCCCGGTTCGAAACCGGGCGGAAACAGATGGACGTCCCCTCCTGCTTGACTCAGACGCTCAATGGTGGCCCACTTAAACCCGCTTGAATACTGAGTTCAAGGGGCTGGTAGACATTTGTTATCAGAGGCCCTCCCATAACATACCAATAACATTCCCAAATCCCATTTTAGCAGGCCCGGCTTAAAGGCAAGGAATCCATCTCCTGTCCTTCTCTGTGTACACCATGGAATAGGGTTCGGTGGTAGAGAAAGGTGACGTGAAGGGGTAACTTGAGTCCCAGTCAGAATTTCTCATCCCTTTTTTTCTTTTCTTGTTTTTTCCTGCAATGGAGCAACTTATAGAGCACTACTCCCCATGGACACGCCGTTTCATTGCGAGAAGAAGTCAAGTTATGGAACTGTATTCAGAACCCACGGCAATCGAAAAACTGTTTGTTTTTTATCTGAAATCTTGGCATTTGGAAAGCAGATGAGTTGGGCACTGTGTACCCTTCCCTCATTCGGTGGTAGAGAAAGGTGACATGAAGGGGTAACTTGACTCCGAGTCAGAATTTCTCATCCCTTTTTTTCTTTTCTTGTTTTTTCCTGTGGCAGATTGAGGCCCTCGTTGCATGCAATCTCATTCATTTGACCTCCTCCTTTGTAGGATGGAAGGCTGACAGTTTGTCAGCTCACCTGGGCTGGAGAGCAGGATGAGCTCCAAGCCACCGGTCTTTGTGGGCTTAAAATCAGCTGCTGGAGCAAAGGAATAATCTCCCCGTCAGGGAATTGAACCCCGGTCTACCGCATAACAGGCGGAGATACTGTCCTCTATACTAACAAGGACTCACGCATTGCAACCTTCAGTGCATTGAGCGCGGGCATCGCTGAGTACCAGTGTTTACCAGGCATACACAAAGGGTCTGAAAGAAGCATGGGGTGTCGTTTACATCAGGGTTCCGTAACACTTCCGTTTCAGAATCGTCCTCCAAGTCAAAACCGTCCACCAGAAGAAACCTCCTTTCCCTGGTGAGCTCCATCTACCATCCATTGGGTATCTTAGCACCAGTGCTTCTGCCAGCTAAAAGGATCCTGCAAGAGCTCTACAGGTTTGACCTCCTTTGTAGGACGGAAGGCTTACAGCAGTGGTGGCCGGTATAAGAGGGCGTTGTGGGCGGAGTTCTGCCTCAGCTGTGTGAGCAAAAAGAGATATCTGCTGTTTCCCTGAGAATTATTTTCAAAGTAAGGAAATGGCGCTATCATATTAATCATTCCAATAAATGTGTATTTCAGTCGTGTAGCGATCTCTCCACCCAGTGCCAGGGCAGAGTCTGAACGTCTGTTGTCTCACGTATGCTCAGATCACAGCTGTGCATTAATGCTAGTGGCGCTATGGGCCAGCGCCCAAGCTTTCTGTGCTTTCACGCATGCTCAGATCACAATTCAGCATTAAGGAGTTAACTTATCCTAGCCAAATAAAAAAAATCCTTAAGGGGCGCCAGGGATGAGCGCCCAAGCGTCCCTAATTTGAATGACGCAAGCACGTTCATAACCAGATTGGTTACAAACGGACATATAGCTACAATGTGCGTCTGACGTAGCTAGCTGCTCTACTCGGAGCCAGTCTGCCCCTCACTCTGCACTTGGCTGCTAATGACAGAAGACGTGGGAATGGCTTCCGCAAACTCCCTACCAAGTGATTTACCAGAGAACGCCGTGCTGACCATCAAGTAGGTCCCGTTTAAGAGGAGAACTCTACAGGACAGACTAAAGCTGAAAGAGCTCGGTCCAGATTGACCAGACATCGCCGCTCAGCAACTGACCACCAAGAAGAGCAGATAATATGTGCGGACATTTTCAAGAGCAGGGTATAGGCCCAAAGCATGGCTAACTGGATGTCCAAAAGGTAAGGCTCTTCTATGTTTCCCGTGTAAAATAATGGTGACAAAAAGAAATAAAGCTGTCAAAATAAAATTTACAGTCAATAAACAGTCAGTCAACAGAATCTGTTTGTAGAAAAGTAGAGTATATAAAGATTAAAACCTAATATAAACCATACATTTATTATAGTGAGACACTACATAAAAGCCAGACTAAAAAGAAAGCTAACAGACAATGTTCATGCCACAATGTTAGAAATCAATACATTTTAAGGCAGGATGAAAACGTCCTGGAAAAGTCCTGGAAAATGATTTCTATGAAAGAGTGGGAACCCTGTATTTGTTCACCCAGTTTCAATTCAGTTTAACTGAAATATCAAATGTAATAAAACTGTTCTGTATTTAAAGCAAATGTTTGTGTTGTTTTCCATGGCTGATCACTTTGATATGCAGCCTGATTTGTTGTAAATGTGGGTCTGCTCTTCACTATTTTTCTGCTTTTGTCTTTGTGTGCTCCTTTGCTGTAGCCTAACCTGTTGAGATGCAGGTTAATGTACACGAGTAAGAGTATGCTGCTGTCAGTTTCTATATCATAGGATTACATTGAATGTAGGTAGGCTGTGTGTCGGCTATAATGCCCTATTAATACGTTGAAATACAGGATACCCACCCCATTTGTATTTTTAGGTCAGCATCGTACAGTATGTTTCCTTAATTATTTTCTTAAAAAGCACCAGAATGCTTTTTTTACCTTTTGAAAACAAACAAAAAGAATCTACTGGGGGAGGATACCCCCGGACCCCCGTACAGGGCTCTGGTTTCCAAAACTTCAGCCCCGCCTATTATTTTTCTCACCAGCCGCCACTGCTGCAGTGTTACATAACTAGTAACACAAGCAACTTTGTGTGTGGTGAGTGGGCATGTGATATACATTGCTTGGGAGACTTAGGGGGAGAACGAAGTGGTTGTTACTGTGCCAAAAGAATTTTCACTGATAGATGATTTTGATGATAGAAACTTGACAAATGGAGGATGAAACTAATCACATATCACAGCAGCTTCTCCTCCTCAAGTGCTGCTGTTACTTGTTGAGCTTTACCTACTTGAGGGGTGAGCAGTAGAGTTTTTCAGTCTAGAATCCGACCTCTAGATACCACTAAATATTCATGCACTGTACCTTCAAGTGATGAGATTAATTAATGCCTGAGGTGAAAGATGTTTTTTTTTTTTATATACATGAAAAATGGCAAACTTTGTGTTTGCCTAATAAAGACTGTTGATATGACACAAAATTGAATTTTATGTGCATTCAGTCTTTTGGACTTATTCATTGCAATGTTGACAAATATGAAGTTGAGCAAATTTAAATGTGAGTAGCTTTTCAAGACAGTATGTCTAGGAAAAAACTCATTACTTCTAAGAAGCACATAAGGCTCTTGCGCACACATATTCAACCTAGACACATATAAAAGTGATGTAAATGGGTTTGTTGACTATAACGCACGTATTGTGTACAGTCTGTCGGAAAGTAGAGGGATGATGAGCTGCATGCAGTATAAAAAATTGACAGCAGGGGATGCTGTTCAGCCATGTCGTCATGTGTCTTAAACCTGCCACATCACAAATTCGGTTTCATTGTTGGGCTACAACTTCAGGGATCTGGATCTGAACCTCTGTTTTCCTTACTCACAAGCAAGGCTTGTTGGTCTAGGGGTAAAATTCTCGTGTGGGGTGCCAGAGGTCTACGGGTTCAAATTCCGGGTGAGCCCAGTTTTATGTCTGTGATAGTTACAGAAAATAATAGTCACCTCCTGATATTTTAAGCAACAGAAGGAACCAAAAGTCAAGGCTGCATTCTATGAGATCAAACAATTTGCGATATGTTCTCACTGATCTCATAAATCGTAAGTATAAGATTCAATGATATGAGAATCAATAAAATGGTTCAGTGGAGTGTCAACTAAGGCAAAGAGAAAAAATTCAGCAAGATAGTACATTTTGAACTGTATTCATCTGCTGTTATATTGGCTGTGTTATAAGTCAGTGCTCCATTGTTTTACTTCTTTCTGTTCTAAATCCTGAGGTTTACATGAGCCTATCTACAAGGATGATCAAATGATTTGGAAAACACACAAAATTGTCAAATTAAATATATATGAATGATGTGGTGCACATAGATATATCGTCTGGATGTCCAACATTTCCATATATTTGTTACACCTTGGTACATGCACAAGACTATGATGGGACTGTGACTTGATTTTATTTTAACATCTATTGCTTTTCTCTTAAATTACAGTTAGACCTAAGGCAAGACCTTTGTCAGATTAATCTGGGCTTTATGATCTTGTGTGTTCATGTTTTCTTATCATCTTTGTTGAGTAGGAAAAAAAATCCAAAATTAATCCACAAATTCTTCCTGAACAGAGGTTTAAAAGTCATGGCTTTTAGTTTTTATGCTCCTCGTATCTGGGACAAACTCTCTGAAAACTGTAGGTCTGCTGAAACTCTCAGTTCTTTTAAATCACAGCTGAAAACGCATATGTTTGCCGTGGCCTATCATTAAATCAAACCTGAGGCCTCTTATCAACATCTTCATCATCTGCCTGTCTTGATCTTTTTTCTCTCTCTCCAATCTAACTTTTTTTTTCTTTTATCTCCAACTTTTTTTTAACTTTGAATGTAACTTTTAATTTGTTAAATGTCTTTTACGCTGTTTTTACTTTTCAAATTGTGTTGAATGTCTGTTTATTTTTGCCTGTTTGTTTCATGTAAAGCACCTTGAATTGCCCTGCTGCTGAAATGTGCTGTACAAATAAACTTGACTTGACTGGACTAAGGCTTAGTCTCTCCACTGTTATGTTTTAAGTCATAAATGACTTTCATTCATGAATTCATATCAAACTAATAATTATTTATAGCTTTCTTGGGTGAGAAGTGAATTAATATTTTGTAATGTTTAATTGTTTTATCTTTCAAATTTTATTTCTATACCATGAACTGACACTGAGCTATATGTGGGAAAGAAATTACATTTTTAACCCTTCCCTCGACTGTTAAACCACAGCACTCAGCTTTCATTCATGACCCCAAGTATTCTCTTATTAAAAGTTATATTTTTATTAGTAGTCATTTTTCATAGGTTTGAAGAGCTTAAAGGAACTAGCACTGAAAGAGTTAAAATCATTTCACACTGATGTGCTGATGTAACCGTTTTTGTGCACAAACAGGCCTGAGCAGTTGTTTGTTTTGTTTTGTTTATTCAAAGTGTTGACAAAAAGGAAACCAACCTGAATAAATACATGTAAGGCAATTCTGGCTTGTTTCTTGACTCTAAAGATTGTTATTCAGGCATGAATAGAGATAATTGCATTCAACTTAGAAATAACAACAAAATATAAATAAAACTAAATTGGGTTTATAAAGAAGAATGGTGTTCATATCGTTGGTGGTGCCACATGTGCCTCTCTTTTAACATCTGTTTTGCTTCGAATTTGTTTGTCTGCAAAGTGAACTACATGTGTTGGTGTTAGTTTATGTCTCTTTAAGATGACTCAGGGCGGTTCCCCTTTAAGTAATAGACCCACGAGCAAGGTTTTTTGTGGCACTCCGAACGCTGGCTGGTGATGGTCAGCCTGCCGTACCATGGTCCTGCAGAGCTAACAGAAGAGGCGTCAAAAGAGACCAGGATGTTGTCTGTCTTCTTGGACAGGACAGTGTCAACTCCTTTGACAATGAAGCAAGGGTTGTCAACCTAGGAATAAGATACATAAGGCAAGGTCATACAAATCACAATCTGAATTCAAATTACAATCTAAAGTGGAGGAATTTAATTTAATTTAAAAAGTGGGAGATGTGAAGAGAAGTCTAAAATTAAAGAGTGGAATAGTCAAATTACAGCATTTTCCTCTTGTGACTATGCCAAAATAATTTTCTGAGACTACTTATTTTACTGTGCTGTAGTTATCAAGTCTTTACCTGACAAGAAAAAGAAGTGTTATGCAGGAAAACATTCTTGAAAGGGATAGTGATGCTGCGACCCGCCTTGATGCTGAATGGGCCCTGAGGTTTGGGGGGGAGGCAGATTCCTAGTAAGGGGAAGATGTATTCTCCACCAATGCCTGAGGACAAGGTGAGCTGGCCCCTCATTTCTCCCTGCTGATGAGGTTCAAAACGAACCTCCACACAGGCCTCTGACCCCACCTGGGAACCTGGAGCAGCACTAACATACTCATCTACAGTGAAGTCTGGGCAGTTCGTCTGCAGGTGGGAGAAATCAAGATGATCCATCACAGCAAAATATGAGTCTCACATCACAGAAAACATTTGGAAGGTCAGAGAAGTCATGATTGAAAAACATATCAAAGAAAATCTCTTTTGTCAATCATTTAACTTTTAACCTTTGTTAGAGATACAGCAGTAACTCATAAAAATCAAATATTTTGATACCAGCTATTGACACTGCTAATGTGCTAATGTTTTTATTCACATCACAGGCTTCCAAGTCAAAGCTGTCTTTGTAATCATTTATTCTGAGGCAGCTCGACTGACATCAGTCCTTATACATGGGTCAGTCCTTCAAAAATGTGCAACTACTAATTTCATGGAGTAAAAACAAGGCTTGTCCAGAAAACAGAGACATTGTGTGCAAGGATTTATAAGTCATGAGGTTCTGTTTCATATATTCTTACCTTGCATGAGTACTCAGTTCTGAATCGAGAGTAGTTGGTGAATTTAATGAGGACAGAATGGCTGCTCCCCAAAGAAGTGCTGAAGTGGACAGTATTCTCTGTTGGCGGAGGCTGAGCTCTGAGGACCAGATCATAGTGGAAGTAGCCCAGATCAGGAGAGTTCAGAGTGAGTCGAGCCGTAGACTCACCTGCATGCAGGGGCAGGTATTCAAAGCTCAGAGAACTCTAAAAAGGAAGACACACTCATAAGAAACATATATTAAATACTGTCAGTATACACCTCTCTTTCAATAGAATGATGAACTCAAGCTCCACCTTGGACTGTCCTGGCACAGTATACTGATTTGGTGCGCTGATGTCAGGACTGCTACACTCAGTACTGAGGCATGTCGGGGTGGTGAGAGGGTTCTCCACCTGCACAGTGGCTGGGATCATCCGACGGACAGTTGTTTCTAGCTTTATGGTAGATATCACCCCTGAAGAAGTCACCTTGAAGCTAACAAGGTAAAACAAATACTCGCCAGATGTCCTGTTTTGAAACGTCACCTGAGGAGAAGTAGAGGTCCACATATGAAGAAGGCTGAGGATCATATCAGATCTGTGAATCTGTGTAGGATCAAACCTTGGTATTGAACTGCCCCTCTTTGTAGGTATAAAAAGACATTTTGTAGTCTCTTTTGGACAAGGAGGGGACATCAATGTATTCAAAACCACTGAGGGACACTGTGGCATCTGTCTTGTCAGGATTCAGGATTTCCATCAGCACACGAAACCTGAGTACAGGGACACTCATGACCAAATGTCCTGACATAGAGAGTTTCTATTCAATACAGTTATTAATTTCATTGTCAGTGTATGTAAATTCAAGTATGTAAGAATCTTTGCTCAGTCCTAAAATAAAAAAATATTCAAGATACTGTCTTTGAGAAGCACTGGGTATATAACATAAAACTCTGATATGTACATTTTGACACTTGTCTTCTGCCCCCTGGAGGACACCTTTTGCACTACAATAATTCTGGCACATCACAAAGTGCTATCCAAAATAGCTGAATCACATTAACCTCCTGCAAGTTATGTCTAGGAGAATCATGTCGCTATTTTTTAAGACTTTTTGGTGAGATGTTCTTTTACATAGTCATCATTATTGCAAAATGAGCTGCTACTCTTTTGAAGCAACTTATAATTACTTTATTTTTTGCATTTTATTCCATTGTAAAAATGTGCTGAAAACAGCGGATACAGAGGGGAATTTAGCGGGACGGTTATGACTGTGCTTTTGTCATCATTTTTCTTTGTGCGATATACATTATGAGTGTGTAATTCAGTGTTTTGATGAATTAATTACACAAATTACAGACTGAAATATAATGTTTAGAACAAATAATTGCATGAAAAATTGAGAAGCTGATATTTTAGATGGCTAAAAGGAAGTACAGTACAGAAGATGTCCTGTTTTTTTTTTTAGCAGGGCTGCCACAATTTACTATTATTATATTTATCAATTATTATTTACGATTATTACACTCCTCCTGTTTTCAAAGAGTCATCTCAGGAAGTAGTGAATAAATCTGTATGGCACTACCTACCTAGCACTGACCTAATGGGCAACAGCTGGTGAAATGGCCAAGCTTTTGAGCAGCAAGAATCAGGTGTTGAAAAATACCAAAACTTAGCCAAAAGAAAGTAAGTGTTGGAATTACAATTTTAGGTGGACTACAACTTGATACTGAAGGAATGATGTGGAAAATGCTGGTTTGTCGATAGGAAGCATTGTTATTGTCCTACTTGGTGGTGATGACATGACAATGAGTGTGCAGTGTGTTCCTATTGTCTCCAAATAATCAAATAAGTCAGCTGTTGCAAATTGATTGTTTCTGCAATATATAATGTAAGAAAAAAAAAACTTGAGACTTAAAGATGTGTGTGTTTGTGTGTGAGTTTACCGCTGTTGCTTGGAGAGCCAGTTGTGTACAGGGATCATCTGTGTATGGTAAGTCTTGGCAGGCAGCTCATGTAGAATGGTGTCCTCTGCCTTAGGAGGCTCAGCTGTCCCCTGCAGGGAGTAGAGCATTCCGCTCCCATCAGGAAAAGAGAAAAAGACAGATCCCTGTGGAGACCAGAGACAAAAAAACAAGGTCATGTCTGGGTTGATTGAACAACGAATCGCACAGTTTTAGCTGTACGCAAGGAGCACACAGGTAGAGGGACTGTTAAGAGCTCTTTACCAGGTGTTTCTTCTTATCTGCAGTCATGGTCAGTGGTTTGTAGGTGATCTTGTAGGTCTTGTTTTGGAGTGGTTCAAAGTTGATGGACGGCTCAGCGCCCCACTGCTCACCCTCGATGACAGGTTTGATGCAGCAGTGCTGGTTTGTAGGATTAAACACAGGAAGGGTCTGTGTGTGGGAGCGCCGCACTGGGCAAACAAAATTCACCACCTGGTAATAAGAGATTGGATAGATGTATGATCATGTATACTTTTGGTTTGTGGCTGCGGTGTTTCTGCAAATTATTTACTCAAAATAAAGGTTTACACAGCTGTTCATCACATGCAAAACCCCAACAGAGTAAATATTTAATAACTTATAGTATATGGAGTTAATGAATTGAACCTCTTTGCTGGTGGACGCTATGATGCAGGAGCCGGTCACAGTGAGGGTAACAGGTGACGAGAAGCCCTCCACATTGCATATCACATTCTCATATCTTGTGTCCTTATTCAGCTCCACAGGAGCAAAAGTCACTTCAAGAGGAACCTCCTTGTCTGGAGAGATATAGCCTTTGGCAGGTGCAATGGAGAGCTCTGGAGGAAATGAGTCTGTTTTCCACTGGAACCTAAGGGCCAGAAAAATAAAAAAGAGATGAAAGGACATAAATCCTGAGAGAATGAGCCGTAGAGTGAAACTATTAAACGATCACATACAGATTAAAAAAGAAAAGTGTTCCCCAGCACACGTGTTAAAGTCTGCCGCTGGGTTCTTGTTTGATAACTGTGTGTACTAATGGATGGATATGTTCATCTGTTTCTGCTCAATTGTTTCTTCACGAAGTTTTCTATCTCAGAAAATAACTCAAACATGAGTCGACAACTTTCTCTTACTTGACCTTACCTAGCCCCAATGTCCCCTATGTTCCTCATTACTATCCTCTTCCTGGCCTGGCAACCCTGGACAACAGCTCCAAAGGCTAGGTGGTCCTGGTCCAGCTGGACCTCCACAACCTGTGAGTTAAAACCTTGAGATTAGAATTGCTTTATCCAACTAACATTGGTATTTCTTACTTTCTTAAAGTTGAAAAACTCATAAATGTTGTGTCAGTTAACCCACTTATTAGTTTCTTTACCTTGCAGCAGCCTTGTATGGTCAGCAGGGGGAGAAACAGGCCAGGAAACTGCGCCTGTAGCTCAGCACTGATGAGCGGTACCTGCTGGCGAGGAGAAAACTGAATCTCCACATCACATGAGCCGCCTTTTGCTTTCAGCACCAGCTCTCTTGTGGGACTGAATGACAGATCCTGGGAGAGAATTTGGAGATTAAGAGATGATTATGAAATCACATAATGTGCTGCTAGTCTAGACATTAGTTTGGATGTATGTGTGTGTGTTTAGGTGTGTGTGTGTGTTGGCTTTTATTTCCTACCTTTTGGTCCAATGCTGTATTTGTGTTGAGCAGCAGAGTAAAGGAAAGATCTAAAGGGCTGCGATTCACCAAAGTCACTTGTTTTTTGACTTTCTGACCAACCATCAGAGATCCAAGTTTTAGTTTCCTGTGTTTGGGATCCTTTACTTCAAGCTAAGGCATAATGAAACATAAAGGGAATAATTAAATACATCCTTTCATAATAAATAACATCGTTTTTTTTTTCCAGTCGAGGGAATTTAGAAAGGTAAATGTAAACCTATGTTTATGTAAGTCTTCATACAAAAGCCTTTGTCGTGGCCTCTAAAAAATAAAATCATGCATCAAATACAAAAATATTACTCCCTTCCTATAAAGCCCTCCTGGACCTCGCCCCTCAGTACCTCTCTGACCTACTTCACCCATACACCCCTTCCTAGAACCTCCAGTCTTGAGACAGTGGCCTGCTTTCCATCCCAAAATCTAGACTCCGTACATTTGGAGGCAGGGCTTTCAGTGCTACAGCCCCCACCTTCTGGAACAGCCTCCCCTCAGACATCCAAAATGCCCTATCTCTGACTACATTTAAAAAAAAACCTACTCTTTTCATAATTCTCAGTCTATTTATCATTGTTTTATTTAACATTTATGCTACAGAAGTTTATTGCATTCACCAAGAAAATAGAAAAAATGTTTTTCAGAGTAATTCTTTTTGCTTTTCTGTTTTTTTGTATTTTATTTTTTTGCTTTTCTGTTTTTCATAATATTTTTTCCCCTGTTTTTCAGACCAATTTTTCTGTTTTTCAGACTTTTTTTTCTTTTATTTTTCAGACTAATTGCTTTTTCTAATCTCTAGGATCATGATCATTTAAAAACAGAAACTTTCACTTTTTCATTTTCAAAATTTCAGGTCAATCCGTCTGTAACTTTCTCCATAAAGTTGCTAACAGACAAACAGATAAACAAAGAAACAAACCAACAAACCAACAAACAAACCAACTCTACTGAAAACATAACCTCCTTTGCGGAGGTAATTACTAATCCAACGCATTAACCGCAATCGGTCTGTTGTCTTTCTTGTTAACCACACAGCTAATTTACACCACACTGTGTTTTAGGCCCATCCAACATAATGGGGTAGATGATAATGTTAGCTGAGCAATTTCCGTGCTGTGTAACTGACCTACTGTCTGCTGCCACAGCTTGAGTTGTCACTCCTGCTGGGCTGTGACTTCTACCCCCCGCCACTCACTCGCTCATTACATAACTGGCAAGTAATCCTTGTTGTGTGAAAAAAAAACCTGCTGTGGGTTTACACTTTTGCTCCAAGTAATGACTGTCCAAACAGCAAAATGAAAGGGCATGTATTTGCATCCACCTCAAAAACAGATTTCTTTACTGTGTTTTATCTTTTGTTGTCCAGACACTAAGGCCGTTGAATTTGCCGTCCTCTTGCAGCATAAATACCATAGTTTTACCTTAAAATGATCAGACTTACCTTCCGCTCTATGCCTTGCCCCAGTATGTCCACTTGTTTCATGATGCTGCTGTTCAGAATAAAGATCAGTTTCTCATGGTAGTGGCATGCCTCACGAGGATAGAACCTGACTGGTACCTCCATCATAGCACCAGGGGACAAAATATCTGGTCTGAAGTCCACTTCCAGGTAAGAGGTGGTCTTGTACTGAAACTGGACACTGAGAAATGCAAAATAGAGCTTTTTTTTCCAGAAGGTCTCTAAACTCTCACTCTATAAGAAGAAAATGCATTTTCTGAGGAATTAGAGTACATGGAAAATTAAAGAAAGAAAAAAAACACCTACCTGATGTCCCTTTTGCTTTTGTTGCTGATGATAAGAGTCTTTGATGTCGGCACAGTGTCAGGACAGTACAGGAAGCACTTGCCAAAGTTGTATTTGGTGAAGGAAAATTGAAGGCTAGATGTTACAACCCTGCCTTTGAGGGCAAAAACAAATTTTGGCCCATGCTTTACCTGACAAGATGTACCAAAAGGTTAGCATGGAGGAGACAGCAATGTAGAAAGGACAAATGAAGAAGAATATCATGTACTTCTGCATTGCATTCCATTTACTGACTGAACTTCTGTATGAAAATGACAAGATTCAGTAGAACATATTTAAAACAAACAATTATTGGGTTTCATTATTGGGAGATCAGCGCCTCACCTTAACACTCAGTCGGACATCCTCAAGGTTACAAATGCTCTTAGGGGAAAAGATCAGTGAGGTCTGAAGCTGTTTCCTAAACTCAAGAGTAGCATTTTCTGGTTTTGCCTCCAAATGCTGAAGCACCTCGCAGGGACCCGCCAAGTCAAAGCTCACCCCAAGACTGAATTTAGCCGGATGAGAGACCAACAAATTCAGGGTCGATTGCGTCAAAATCTCCACCTGCATATGATGTTTGTTCAGACAGAACAACACAATCGGTCTCAAACTTTACACTTGGAATAGAGTCTGTGTGTGACAGGTGTGTGGTGTGAAAGTGTGCTGACCTCTCCAAAGTCCAGAGAGTCCTGTTTGTCAGCTTTAGCCTCCCTGAAAGCTTCATTTGGCTTCCCAACTTGAACTGAAATGGTGAAACAACTGGCCTTCACTGGGAATGTGAGCAGCTCTGACTTCCTCTTCACTCTCAGAACCAATTTGAAGCTCACGCAGCCCTCACGACAAGGAGTGAAGGACACTGACATCGGCAATCTGCACCAAAGTGTAAACATTGGTTGACATTTTTACTGCTCCTAATGACTGTACTCAGATTTAAAGGGATATTCTGGCGTAAAATTAAGTTATGGTCAAACACACTGTAACTCCGAGTTAGACACCCCCTCCAGAGATGAATGTTGCCGACTGCTTGCTTTTCTAGTTATACCAACTTTAGTAATGACCGCAGAATAGCAATACACATTGGTCTAAGGATAAATTAAATAGTTAGACATAGTCAGGCATCTCAATTTTTAGTAGTACATAGTGTATGTTACAGTGTTATTAACCTGTCCTTTGGTGCTATTGTGCCAGTCATCGGTTGCAAAACCAGGGCAGACTCCTGATCATCACAGACTAGAGATGACGGCAGGATAGAGTAATGGAAGGGCTCTTCTTCTCCATTTATCACATAAACTATATGCTCTACTTTACGACCTGTGAGGGAAGACACACACACACACACACACACACACACACACACACACACAAGTCGAGCAACCTATGCGATATCACTATGCAGACACGTGTGCAAATGTATCTTTATGAGCGATTCATTTATGTTACATACCGACGAGCAGTTCCCCAAAGTCTAGGTGAGGTCTGTCGAGATAGATGACTGGTTCTCTGGCAGTGCCAACACACAGAAAAGGGACAGACAGCGACAGAGTCTCGATCACAAAGCTCCAGAATGACTCCACCGTATCCAGCTGCTCAGCTACATATTCAAAACAAACCTGTGATACACACAAGATTGAGCACAGGGTTATAAGATAACAACTGAACTTAACATGAAAAGGGATGGAGACTCTCTCATCTGATCTTCTACATTTCTTACTTCCACTTTCTTCCCTGGCAGGATGGTTCCACAGGGAGTGAGGCAGCGGAATGGGCTGTCACCTGTGTCCTCACACCTCCACTTGAATGAATAAGGCTTACTGGTTGGGTTCATGACAGTGAAACATCTGTTGAATAATCACAACCACACAATCACATTTGAAACAAAGGGTTTATAGTCACAGAGATAAGATGAATCTTTCATTTCTCTCTTTGTTACCTTGATGATGGGGCAGAGAAGCCGACAGCATTTAACTCTACCACCCTGATATTTGGTTCCAGATGTGCCCTGAATTCAGGGTTGCGGCGTGTGATATAGTCTGAGTCTTCTAGGTTGATGTGGTAGTGGGGAAATAGGCTTTGGCCACACACAGAGATACAGGGAGCCTGATCGTTCTCATGCAGGTTGGGAATACTGAAAGAGTAGAAAAATGAAGACTGTGAAAAGTGTGTTTAACTCAAGTGACTTACAGTTTTATTTCGCTTCTTGAATTTCCAGTACCTGCAGAGCAGCCTGCCCTGAAACTGTACCACTTCCAGAGGTGAAAAGCGAATGCTAAAAGTTTCAGTTTCAGCAGGCTGTATGGTTCCTACTGTGGGCTCAATGCTGAAGGGAGGATGCTCAGGATTCTGCATCATAAGAGACATCACACTGGCCAGGGCGCTAGATGAACGGGCTCCACTAACAGTGCTCGTTGATGCACTTCCTGGTCTGGCGGTTAGGGTCTTACCTGTTAGATACAACACACAGTCACATGCACACAATCCAAATGCCATTTGAAAGGTTTAAATCCAAATCCTGCCAAAGTCAAAGAAGGAAAAAGGAATAAAGGTGGAAAAATGGGAACAGTTAATGCAAAAAAAAGATCACTAAAAGCTGAATTCATGATGTAGCAGAAGTATAACTTTTGTACCTCCTTGGTCAAGGTTTCCTGTGTTTCTGGGATCCATGACAACTTGCCAGGAGAACTCAAGCTTGACATCACCATGATTCACCATCTGTAATCTGCACATGGAAAAACCAACACAAACAGTGACATACAGATGATGACTATACTGAAATAGTTTTATATTCAGTCATTGAATGTTATTAGGGTTTAATTCAACACTTTTTTCTACCACACAAGAGGGGGTTCCACCAAGCGCAAAACAACAGAGATGAGGGTCAGCACCTCTGAGTTTGAGGCGTTATTTTTTTCCCTCCTGAGGGGGAGTGAGTCTTTGCTTCGAATGAAGAATTCAAAGAATAGGCAGCAGTCTGACCAAGTGAACGGTAGGACAATCAATATGAACTGACAGATAACGTTGAGACTAATGTTTTCAATAACTTATGAAAAGATGTGTCGTGTAATATCACTTTAATCCACTTGCTTTTTTTTTGATAAAGTATGTTTATCATCTTTTGTCTCTGGGATACAATATTTTTAGGTTAAAAATGAAAACCCCTCATGAAGAATCCAGACTTACTGGTGGGTCCTGGTTTGGTAAAGCATAGTGTCTTTGAAATGGATGGTGTCTCTGATGCAGCTGAACTTCACATAATCACAAATTGCACTGACACGTAATTCCAACTCCCACTGGGAGCCCTCAACCACTGTGCAGCATGGCTCAGGATCTGTCTTAACCACCTGCGTGTAAAAAATACAAATGCATCAGAACTACATCAGTGAAATAGTGCCTCTATCTGCAACACGTCTTTGCTATCAAAGCCAACATGTTTACCTTGTTCTTCACAGACTGCTGTGGTGTTTGCCACTGGACTGTCCTCTGTCGGTCGTCCCAGTCAGCCACCTGATCTAAAGGCTGCTGGAACGCCACCTGACAAAGCTTGCATGTCATTGGTTGGCTGGTCAGAGTCACTGGTTGACTGGAACAGAAGGTGATTGTCACTTCCTTAGAGCAACCAGTATGAAGGTGACCCACCTGCAAGAAAAAAATCCTAGTCATTGTCACAAAGTACTATTCTAAGAACACAGCTTGATGGGAGGACACTGTGAGAATGACTATGTTATTGCATTATGCTGCAGTACAGTGTTATCATGCAGTCAAACCTGTGGTGAAAAGGAAACATGAGGTCCAGTAGAAGGCCACTCAAACCTCACAACTTGGCTGCTGCTGTGATTGGTCATGGTGAAACTCTCTTGATGAGAAACATTCACGTGGCAATCACCAAAATTTAACTCCTCGTAATAACCTGAGCGTTATGAAGGTCAGAGAAGCCAAAAAGAAAAGCCAAGGATGAGAAAAACGGATTCTTTCATCATGGTAAGTCCTCTGCCCTTCATTCTAGTCTTACCTATCTCCTCATCTTCTTGGTCCATTTCCCGGAGTGACTTGCTGATGTTGTCAAGTGAAACCACTTCCCGATATGCTTCTCCAGTCACTGAGATGATTGTGTTGGCATACTGGTTGTCCTCAACCTGCAGCGACATCTTGGCCTTGACACTCAGCGGTTTGTCAGTGCAAAAACTGACTTCAAATTCTGCATGTTCATTAGTGTTCAGCCTGAGAGTGGCTCTGTGCACCAACCCATGCTCTGGAGGAAATGAAGAGGTAATTATAGGCTGAATTTGGTCTGAGAACTATTGATTTTTAATGCAAAATGGCTTTAAAATAAAAAGAGAATAAAAAAAACACACACACTCGAGTCAGTTTCAATCAGAGATCAAACCATTTGTGTCACAGGGCACTGGATGAGGGCAAAACTGCAGTGCATGAGCAATGGTAAGAATATTTGTAATCATAAAAAAAAAAAAAAATTTCACTTGTACTAATGAACTCTTAAAGGATATTGCGGCGTACATTTAGGTTATGGTCAAACACAATGTAACACCAAGTTAGTCACCCCCTTGAGAGATGAATGTTGCCGACTGCTTTCTTCGCTAGTTAAACCAACTTTAGAAACGACCACACAATAGCAATACACATTGGTCTACATCTCCACGTGCAAACCTCGACCAAAAAGCCACTCTATGGCCACAAATAATGCTCAAAACAGCACCTAACTTCATCATCAGTACATATAGGGTCCCAGCCATAGCCATCAAAACATCTTTTTAGCTTTGCCTGGTTTCTTTAGCAAAGAGACTAAACACAATTCACCCGCTGTCCTCCAGCAGCTGCTTGTTTGTGGGGAAGCCCTGACAAGTTGATCATTGAGTGCAACAGATCATTTCCATGAAGTAATAATCATCATCATGATCATTTTGCACTGTTGATTATGTTGCACTGACAAGTTGTCTTTAGCCACATAGGCTAACCATATAAGCAGTAGATTGTGTCCTTCCAGAGGAGGAAATCTACTTTTAGGCTTATAAAATCAGGATCTCCTCATCCATGGTGTCATCGGGATAAAATTCTGTCTATAAACCTTTCACATGTTCGAATTTATCCGGTATGCTCCGGTGTCTGCAAAAATAGAACTCTTGCAATCAGCTGCAGAGTGCGGCAATCCGCAGCAGAACAGAAAGAAGCCGATAGAAATTGACATTGACATTAACTTGAATGGTTATCTAAGTGGAGAAGTGACAGAATCAACTAGTAAGTAAATGTTTTACCTGAAGTGGTGCCCTTCAGCACTGTGGAGTGAATAGAGCTCAGAGTGTTGCCATGAGCAGCTCTGAGGGTAAAGACTTGGTGTTTATCCAGCATGTCAATGTGGACCTACACAGCACCATCAAACATATAGCTGTTTTATTGACTTACTCCCTTATCTTAAGTATTTTTTTAATGTATAAGTATGTTTGCAAAACATTTGTATGAGTCTGTATGTCCTCTCACCTGAGCTGGGATATTTCCATCATTTAGCAGGACCAATGGCAGGGTTTGTCTGCGCTCTACCGGTGCCCGCCGGAAATGTAGCATTGGGTTTCCTTGGTTGTTCCTTAGAGCTGGACGCACCACACATACACTGGAAAGATTTCCTTCTCCCATGAGCTCAAACTCCAGCACCTTATTCTTGGATGTGGGTGTCATTCTGGATCAAAGAGAGATCATTAGTGAAAGGGTTCTCTCAAATTACTATAAATGTTAAGTGAACAAACAGCAAGGACGCACAAAGGCGCATACACAAGAAATAAACTTGATTACCTGCTGATTCCCTCTAATGTGGCCTCGAACACAGCACTGTAGAGCTGCATTGTTTGTGGGGCAAATGTGACCACTGCAAATGAGTGTGACTGGCTGGGGATGCTGAGTGTTGTAGTGGGTAAGTCAAAAACCTTCATAGTGCGAGGTGTCTGTGAAGGGACAGCAAGATTTTGACCTTTTAATAACCATCAACTTGAACCTGTGATCCATGTTCACTCCCTTAGAATAGAGCTTTTTATGCCTTACCTTAGTGCTAACGTATCGGATGGCCATGCTGAGCACACAGGGAACCTTGCTGTTGTTTGTGAATTTAAAGCGGGCCTCGGCAGTTTGTCCAACCAGGACTTTGTTGAAGACAAACTTGTTCTCATCTCGGACATAAATTCCTTTAGCGTCACAGAACTGCTCAGAGGAGAGCTGGCTGCTGTTGGTGCACAAATGATGTTCCTCAAAGATAGAGGCTGTATCTAAAGCTATGCCTGAATGAAACAGAAGAAACAGAGTCAGGTGGGCCAAAAGAAAAGCACTCTGTGGAGATGGTCAGGCACTTTGATGATATTCAGGCTTCAAATATTTGAAGTAGAGCAATTTACATAAAAAGGGTTTTAAATTATACGAAAATTAAAGCAGCATGTACAGAAGCCAGTGTCTGCGCTCATGATCCTCTTTATAGCACATATGACTACTAGACAGTTATAAACATTCTCAGACAGGTTAATTGACCAGACTATAGAGAATGATATGATTCAGCTCTCACCTGGCTTGAAGACCTCTGCCATCAGCCTGTACGGTATGCCATCAGGCTTGTCTGAGGGGTCACGATCACTAATGTCGATGCACAAAAACTGACTCCAACTACCCAGCTGATCAGCCTGGCAGTCCACAATGACGACCTGCTGAGACCCTGGCTGTATAGTTCCTGCGCGGGGGGACACTGAGAACACCCCCATGGTGAGGGAATCCTGGGGGAAAATATAGGGTCATAAGAGAGAAGACTGGGGGGAAAAAACATCAGATACCTACAACACGCAAAAGATGCCCATTACATGCCTTTTTTTTTTTAAAGTTGGTGTGAAGATGAAGATTTTGTTTTTATCACAAACACATGAAATGGTGTTTCACATGAGATTCTAAAGGGATTTCTTTTCTTAATTTCCACAACCAGTTTGCTAAATAAGCACCAGTACTTTTTCCTTCCTTTTCATTCTCATTTCATGTGCTACACTTGATTATGTATTTGTTGGCTTGAATCTTTACATCCATGTTTGAAAGCACTGATAGGATTCCTGACAATGGTTGTGCTTAGCAAATAAAAAACGTTACACCTGTGTTTTGTAACATAAATGCTGCAGTGACTTTAGTGATTAATTATAATAATTGACCCGGTGCTTTGATAGGTTATCATTTAGTTTAGTTCTATGCATTCCTTGGATACATCGCTGGAAGGTAAATACTGTATGTCATTTTGGAATTGAAGTAAACATGCCCTCTATGCTTCATCAGTGGAGTCATTCCATTTACCTTGAATTGCATTTGTATGTAAGAAATTCTCCAAAAACCTATGTTATGTAAAACAACTTCAAGAATGAAAGGGGTGACCTAAAAGGTTCCTGGTTCACCTTCTGAAACACAAACACTGCATGGACTGCCTTTATAGAAATACAGCACAAAAGAACAGGTGTTCTTACTAATGGTATGTCTGCAGGCAGTTTCTCACCTGTGTGGGTCTCATTCCTCTGCAACTTGCACCAGTAGGCTTCCCCAAAAGGCTCTCTTGTGTCGCTCTGGCAGGACCGCTAATACAAGTGAAGCAGGACACAAACCTCAATCTTGAGACACTGTTTAAAAATGTGCAAACTCAACCAGAACAAAAAAAAAAATCCTAGTCTTTCATTTGTTGTGTATGGTTTGTACAGAAAAGGATTAGGGCCACTGGGAAAAAAAGGGTTCCAATTTAACTTTTTAAAATTATTATGCTGAGAAAAAAGTTAATTCTGACTTTAAAGTCAGTGTTCTGAGATTAAAGTCAGAGTTCTAAGTTTAAACTCAGTTAAAATTTAAAGTCAAAATTCTGACTTTCTTTCTCAAATTTATAATTTTTTTAAAAATTATACTAGGCCCCCCCTTTTTCAGTGGCCCTAATCCTCTTCCTTAGTTTGCTCTTGAAAAAAGGTTATACTGTTTTTCTTTTTTTGCAGCACTGAGCCCATTCTATCTACACTTTCACTCATATAATAGTGTTCATATTCTCATACCCTGGCCTTCCTGGTGAGGCAGGGTCAGTGATCATCCTGGAAAGAGTGTAATGAGTCTCAAAGACTCCAGTGTTCTCAATGGTGAAGCTCTGCCTTTTTTTGCCGCCATAGACCAATGGACCAAAGACCATGTCACATGCAGGAGTGATTTCATACCTGAAAAAAAAAAAAAGCCATCCATTATCAATGATATGATTTGATGTAGGAATGGCCTACTGTTAAAAATAACCACCCTTGCATATTTTAACAAGACAGTGTGTGATATAGTTTTATTTGTGCAGTCAAGCACCGCATTAGTGAACTATGAAATCACAAGCAAAGAGGAGTTGGTCAAAGAACAAGGGTAAAAACTGTATAAAAGGTATCACACAATTTTAGATCTGAGTTGATTTGGATGTCGTTTTTGACTCCATATCTATCATGTACAAAAGAAGAAGAATGAATCGAGTTTTAACCTGGAGAAGAGAGCCTGAACAGAAACCTTGATGGCTAAGATGGTTATGATTTCTCCTCCCTTTCCAAAGTTTGGCTCAATCACCTGTAGAGGACAGATCCAGAAATACTATATGACTGCATTCTGCAGCATCCAGTCAAATAAAGCAGACCTTTTCACAAAGGGTCACTAAGGTTCAACAGGAGGGACAAGGAGAATGCGTTTGTGACACAGTGACTCAGCTCCTGACTTGTCTCTCATGCAAACAAAAAATTAGTTGGTGAAACGCCTATTTAGGTCTCCACAGTTTCAGAGAAGATCATACTGGCACAGTACGAATAAATATTTCATGCACAAACTGAACAACTGTACTGTCTATGGTCATGGTATAACCTGTTGAATGAACATCCAAAACATCACAAAGAGGTTCAGACCTGGCAAGGCAAGATGGGCTGCTCTTTTAGAGAGAGTTCTGTAGTAGGTCTGCAGGTGATCTGCACAGTTGTGGCCTTTTCATTGGGCAAAAGAGATCCACTCTGAGGGGTCACTGTAAACATGGAGTCCAGGGTCGGTTGGGCTGGGTCAGTCTGCTGAAATGTAAACCTTGTGGCAAGAAAAGAATGTAAGTCAACAACTTTAAAACTTCAATACAGAATATTCTCAAAGTAATAAAGGAGACAACTAATTTTATAATGTGGTACATTTTTAAAACAAAACTGGTGATTCAAACTCACTTGTAGGCTATTTTGTATTTTCCTTTATTTTTTAGCATCAGACACAGTTTGGCCTCCTCAAAAACTTTGATGGTTCCAAAGTTTAAGCAGCCATCTATGGAAAGAAAAGTTTTCCATTAGTATATGCCAATGCAAGTTTGTTTAATAGCTGCAGTTTGACATTTTTAACAGCACTCTACATCAGGTTTACAGAGAAATATCTTTTGGAACAGCGTTGTTCAGGGCTGAGGCTCAGTAACTTATCAGTTTACACCATAGACCATTTCTTCAAGAAATTTGCTACATTTTATAATCTGAATTCATATATGTGTATACTTAGGCACCAATAACTGTTTTCAGACGCTCCTCCAGTGTTTACCTGGTGAGATGTTCAGAGTTATATCATAGGCCTCAGCAGTGACCTGTATGTTTTCAGTTTGTAGGACACCTACAATCTTCTCCACATCGGATACCTGTAACCAAACAAAAACATATTGGGCTCTATTTTCTTGCCTGCCCGTGGCACAGTGGTGGGTGGCGGACCCTGCATAGTGGTATTTTCGTCTGGCGGAGCCCGGCGTACAGCCAGTTTGGTATTTTCGTGGACTGAGACGCACCGAGGTCCGCCAAGCTGGGCGTGGTGGTGCGGTAGGGGAGGTGTCGACAGAATCAGCTGGTGCAGTGACATTTTCGTGCTCACTGGCGGCGTAGAAAGTGTGCTGAAAGCTCACCGATTCAAACCTGGTCAGCTTTCAGTACAGGCGGAGCGCAGCTGGTCTAGTGGTATTTTGGTAGACTGGCGGTGTTGTGCGCATATATCACAGATCCCTCACTGGCAGGTTTCCACATTGTCAGGCACATTTCAGTGAAATAAATAATCATCAAGAACTAATAATCTAAGTCAGCACATACATTTAGATCTATATAGATATATTCTGATCTGTATCTGATCTAATGAGTGCGTTTGGTACGCGTTTGGACACTCAACCTGACCGAATCAACACAGCTGAAACCGCATTAAATTGAATTAAATATCTAGTAAATAAACACACATGATGAAGTTAACAAGATATGTAATTCATCTCCCTCCTTTTCTTTCTTCCTCCTACTCTTATTTCTCACGCAGCTCGACCTGAACATGTTGCTGTGTCCTCTCCCCATCCTGCTGCAGCTGCTGCTGCGGCGGCTGAACAGATGATTTGTTTTAGTGATCAGATGAGTTATTTACTTTAAGCCTACATACAGAGGAGCTGAGTTAAGGAGGGGGGATACTAACGCCGGGCTGCGCCGCTCACCAAAATACCAAAATGTAAATCAAAGTAATCAAAGTCCAAATGAACATCAAATTTGATTTTGTGTTCTACCTCCAGCCTTAATATATTCTTGACAAGAACGGGCTTCGAGGCTTTGAAGTGCAGGCTCAAGGAGGAAGATGAGTTTGGTGAGATGATGCCCTGATCCTGGAGTACATCAAAAGTATCACCCAACTTTTCCACCCCCTTCAGTCTCCAGGACACTGGCAGAGCAGTCTTATTACGCATTGTTAATGTCCGGCTGTCTGGCCTAAGGGGGAGGCATGTTAAGTAGAGGCAGATGGACACTTCAGTTAATACTAGGCATAAAAAAACAGTGTAAAAATTGTCAGACATAGTTCATTTTCTTGTATTTTTCTACCTGTGGAGGAGAATCCTGTCAAAGTGCAAATGTTTGTGCTCCAGCTCCAGCTCTGGCCGAACACCCCAGCAGGAGAGGTTGATGATGACAGGCTCTGGATTGTCTTTGATGTTGCACACTATGCTGTCCTCTATTTGTCCAACTTTTGTTGGATAGGCCCACACTGTCAACTCCTACAGAGACAGAGGAAGAATTTGTAGTGACCCTGTTGCAAGTCACTAGCTCTCTGTGTTGATCTGAGCATCATCAAAATATTACAAAAATGATGATTTCTGATGCTACTGTGAGCACATTGTAATTACTTAACATGTTAGTTTTAGTGTTAAGTGACTGCAGGACTATTGTACCTGTATTTGCCCAGGTTTAAGAGTCGTTGTTGGGGGATCCAGCAAATAAGTGGTTGCCTGTGTATCATGCTGGAAACTGAACTGGACTTCAGCCTCCAGACCGTAGTTGTTCAGAATCTCAATTCTCACTGTGTTTTCTGGATATCGATTTTCCTTGTATCTGGAAACACACACACACACACACACACACACACACACACACACACACACACACACACACACACACACACATATATATATATATATATATATATATATATATATATAAAGACACTGAGCCATTCCTTGCCATTCTTCTGCCTCTCACCTGTCTCTGGTCTTGCCACAAAGTAAAGGTCCAAACTCAAAGAATCCAGGTTTGATGATATATGCCCTCTGGGGCCCCTCCTCCACTTGTTGCACTGTCTTACTTTGGGTGAAAAGAGTCCTAGGAAAATAATTGATGGGATAATTACTTTTTGTCTCACTGGTAGCATGCCTTGTCATTTATTAAGAAGATTAAGAAGAAAGAAAAACATCCTGTCTACAACTCAATGTCAGCACTGTGCTCCTGTTTGGTGAATATTCCCTGTAGTGGCTCATCTAAACAGCAAAGGTTCGGGGTACAATTTATGTTGTGTTTGTCGGTTTGGAAAAGAAGACCCAAGAAGGAAAAAGGCTCTTGTGTTGCACCATAGACAGAGAACAATATCCTCTCAAAAGGGATGGGCGATAAAATACTGTTCATGATATATTGTCAGAAAAATCCTCCATGATAAATATTTTCCATCTCATGATAAATACGATAAATACAAGTTGATGACATAAGCCAGCGACGTACTTGCAGCTGTCACCTACACATTTGAGACTTGTTTGATGTCATTAGTTTTCTCTATAACCTTCCACTCAAACTTGTGGTTAAGTATCTGATTTGATTACTCCAACTGGTGTTCTCAAGACAAAATGAGTAAAAAATATAGATTGGAATTATAATTTTTTTAATCCGGACTTTTGTCGTTATCGCCAGAATGGCAAATCTTATTGTGACAAATTTTTTAGCCTATATCACCCATCCCTACCTGTCAAACGACTTAAAAGTGGTCATCAGACATCAGATAGATGTTTCTTCTATTTGGTGTCTGATATGTGACCCAAAGGAGCACACAAAAGAAGTGCTCAACAGTGCAGACCTACAGTGTATGGACATACAGCAGATCTAAATAATACAATTGAGTGAGTTTGAAATCATCTCTTTGTCACTTCATATTAATTTGAATCGTGTTGTTTGTTTATGTTTTTGTTAGATGTGATGTGAATATTCTTGCCCAGGACTTAGAGAGATTCTACTGGTTAAATGAATTAAAATGAATGAATTTAAAATAAAATTCTGCATTTAGGAATTTACTATCAGTTTTTCTATGTGGTTTGCTTTTGCTTGAAAACTCTTTTCCCTGCTTTTCGATTTCTTTTCCAGTTTTATTGTCAATAAGCAATTTTTCATCATGCTTACTGACCTGTAGTCTTTGCAGATGGAGGGATAGGTACAAATTCCCCTGGAGATCAGCTGGTAGCTTCTCTGGATCCCCACAAGTTCAAAGTTAAAGATCTGCTCAAATTTCCCTGGAGACTCCGAATAGAAACTGATTTTCAGATACACTTCACCATTGGCAGGAACAACCCAGCGAAACGTTGTCAGCCTAAAAAAAAAAAAATACATGCACAAACACACTGTAAACAGAAAAAGTAGAAAGAAAACAACTATTTGAAAACCCAAGGTTATAGGGATTATTTTAAATTGCCTTTGGCTGCATTTCTCCTGTAACTTTTCTTGGTGTTGGTCTTTTGCTTTTGTCTTTGCTGAAGTCCGTCTTTTGCTCCTCTGACTTTCTCTTCCTTTTTCTTCCCTGTTTTTTCTTGCTGGATTATCCATCACGCTGCCCCAGCTTTTGGCTGTCTTTTCCTGTAACATGAAGAAACACCAACACAAAGAACATGTAAATTCCGAGACGTCTTCCCTAACAGATTTCTTTTTCTTTCATTTGCTCTACCTCTCTGGAGATATTTACATGTGTTTACATTAACAGTGATTATTGATGAGCTTCCCATTTAAGCCAGGTAAATCCTTTACACAGTCAAAAAAGGACTGTATCGCCTTTAATGGGATACTCCGGCGTAAATTTGAATTATGGTCAAACATAGTGTTATACCAAGTAACGACAAATAATGCTCAGAGCAGTGCCTAACTTTATCAACAGTACATATAGGGTCCCAGCCATAGTTCTAGCCATCAAACATCCTTATAGCTTTGCATGTTTTGGATTTTTTTTAGCAAAGGGAGCAAACACAACTCACCCACTCTCCTCCAGCAGCTGCTTGTTTGTTGGGGGAGCCCCGATGAATCAATCACTGAGTGCAGCGGAGTTTCGCAGCTCAAGGAAGAACATTTATGATTAATACTACTTGGAAATGTTAAAAGAGTTCTTGTGTATCTTGTATGTGCACTGCAGACGGGGTAGTTCTTCTGCCTCAGTGTCTCGGTCTGATTGCATTTCCATGAAGTAATAATCATAAATGATCCGCTGCACTCAGTGATCGACTTTGTGGCTATAGAGTGGCTTTTTGGTTGAGGTTTGCGCATGGACACATAGACCGCTGTGTATTGCTATTGAGCGGTCGTTACTAAAGTTGGTATAACTAGAGAAGCAAGCAGTCAGTAACATTCATCTCTCGAGGGGGTGTCTAACTTATTGTTAGGGTGTGTTTGACCATAACTTAAATTTACGCTGGAAAATCCCTTTAAGTCCTGCCTGTATTCAATCAAAAACATACAACTTTTGTGTGCAATTTCCAAACTTTCACATTCTTTACTCATCACAAGCCATGTGGGTGGCATGTAAAAATAGGTAGTTTCAACTTCCCATTACCTTTACAACTGATGCTTGTTCATCCTCCTCTAAATATCCCTTCTCCTTATCCTGTTGGTCCAGCCCCGAGGGTACCAGGAAGTTGAAACAGTCACAGGTGAGTGGGCCGATCCACTGCTCTCTTTTCTTGGGGAATGGGACTAAAGAGAAAGTGACAGGAGGAGGGACGACTGGGCCGCTGGGTCCCAAACCCAAATCATCTAACACCTAACAAGATCAGGAGATAGAACTGGAAGTGAATATTTAAAGAAAGATCAAGAAATAGTTTACATTTCAGGAACAGACATTCAGTAAATATTTAACAATACACAGTAAGACAAGTACGGTAATAGAAATACCTCTTCCAATGGGGGTAAGGTGTTGCCATTCAGTAGTTCTGTGACACTTGGACAGTCTTTTCCAGTTACACTGAGCACAATGTGCGGGATTATGTCGTGTGAAGACACTTGATCTTCTGTCTTTTTTGCTTCTGCTGTCCGACTGGGTATTGGAGACATGGTCCTATTAGCTTTTCTGTTCTTCCTGCCAACAGGTGTCTGTGTACAAAGAACACAGATGGATTGAAAATTCAGAGGAATTTTATACAAATTCATAACAACTTTAATGTATCATAACCTGTTCCTTAAAACTTCTAACAGATAGTAAAAATTGTGAAAAAATATCAAAAGAATTGTAACGCTGCCACCCTGCCCACGAAAGAACTGTTGTAATGTTTGAGGCCATCTATCATGACTGCGATCAGATGTGACAAGAAACTATTTCAGTTTCTTAGAAGAATAATGGTGCGTTCCAGTCGCACTCGCCAGTCGGGATTTCTGAGCTCCAAACCGAAACTTTAAACTGGAACGACCCCCGAGGATGGATTTCCAACTCGGAAAGTTGGATGATCCACACAACCCCCGAGTTGACGTTTGTAGATGGCGGTGCCGGTTGTAAGCAGTAAGTAGAATCTCCTGTAATAGAAAATAGGCTCCTTTCTGTGCCTTTGTGTTTCCTTTTCATCCAATAGGACCGCATATTTGTCCAGAAGTTGTTTTTATTCAGACAAGGCAAGTGCGAGAATAACTTTTGTAGATGTAGCCATCTTGTTTCCACAACCGTTTTTGGCCGTTGGCTACTTTTTTCCAACTCAGTAACAGCTCCGACTTCCAAGGTAAATGTAGCATACCATAAGAATCTCCCATGAATGCAAACCAATGGCGTTGCCTTGCATGTTCCGTTAACCTGTTGCGCTCACTTCTGGACACACTAAAACGCAGTGCCTTATTTCACCTGATTTTGCAGACTACTTTGGTTTGATTCACTATATATTTTTTGACGGTGAATTCAAACTGTAAGCTGTTAAAAAGTAAAAGAAAATAATATAATATCGTACAAGGAAGGAGGTCATGTCTGAGAGAATGGTTAAGGTTACTTTGAGTCGATTCAAATGTCAGAGGTTTAGGCAAAGGCAAAGACTACTTAAGGAATGGGTGCAGAAGCACTTTTTTTCCCCCGGTTTACACAAAAAATGTTCAACGTATGACAGAAAATACTACTGATTATCCTCAAACTAACCTGTTTGTCTGGCAATGTCTCGTCTGACACAGGGTACAGCAACAGACCCTGCACTCTGTCCCAGTGCTGCAGGATGTTCTCCACCTGCTTCTGGCTTTGCTCATACGCAGTAAACTGAGACTGCAGCTGATCCACACAGGGCTAAAGAGGTAGGACAGTAGGACAGTGGCAAAGAGGGAGATGTGGGGGGCATAAATACATACTTAAGTATATCTTGATCAAAAGTGTATGTCTAAGTATAGGTTAAATATATTTACACTTTTAGTATCATTCTTAGTACAAGCCAAGTATACCTAACATTAACTTTGTTAAGTATACCTCTTAAAGTCAACAAAAAGTAAACTGAAAGCATACTTTGTTTAAAAACAGTATACTTGAAGTACTCTTCAACGTACTTCTTTTTGGTAAGGTGCCTTAAAGACTGTATTTAAAAGCTGAACATTTTGGAACAGGATCCAGAGACTGCAGTTCAGGGTTACACTATGTCACTAACTTTGGTTCGCAGTTAACCTACCGTCTCCTTTTGCAGCTTCTCAGTGTGTTTGGGAGACCCTGATTGTAATTCTTTGGTTTCTGCTGAATGCTTTACCTGGCCTCCTTCCTCTTTGATATGATGCCCTGCAAAAGCAAAAAGATCAGTAAGTCAGCACAGCAACGCTACCTACAGCTGATCAACTATTGCTCACTGCATTTTATTCATGTTTTTCTTTATCCATGGGCAAACATTTTATATGCCAGGCATTAAAAAGTTTGATTCTTATCAGCTGATTATACCTTCATTTAAATAATGATGTTCCTTTGGGTCCAAAAGAGACTCCTTTGAGTTGTGATAGGACATCCTCCGCCCACTGGGTGTATCCGCTGACTGGACAAAAAATGTAACAAAGCCATTTCGTTGGTGATAAAAAGTGAGTGTGTCAGGAACTGTGGAAACTACGTATTTTTGTTTGTAAAAAAAATGGGAAGTTGTAATCAAACAGGATAAAAATACTCACTTTTCTTCCCTCGAGCGAGCTCTTCAAGACCGTTTCTTTCATGTCCTTCTTCCCACCTTTTTTGCTTTTCACTTTAAGCTCCTCCTCTTTTAACTTTTGCATCTGAAGTCTCTTCTCCTCCAGTTCTTTCTCTATTTGCTTTAGCTTTCTTTAACACAAGCACACATAGAGAAGCACAAAAACAAGATTCCGGAGGGAACTTTGGAGAAGTTGGGGAACAGACATACAGTCCAACTGACTGTTTAAAATTTTCTTCCTTGATTATTTCTGTATAACAAACATATTGCCATTTCTGTCCTTCCTCTTCATTGCTGCACTCACAATCCCCCAAAGGTTAAAATCATTTACAAAAACTTTCAGAACTTGCTGTGAAGCACTAGTTTAACTGTAGACCATTTAAAAAGAGATTCACTCAAATGAGATGAAATCTTCTTTTAGAACCTGAAATCCCAGGACAATAAAGTTGTTTATCTAAGTAATACTAAATGGGTTCAATTAAGGGAAAGTTTATTAGTAATGACAAAACCTGAATTCTACACACCACTTCCTTGGCAGATGATTTCATCAGGCTAAAAACAGAAGTTAAAGTCTGTCCAGTGAGTGAAGTAAACTTGATTGGCAGAATAATGTCCCTGTCATCCAGTTACTACCTTTGTTGTCGCTGTTTTATACTCTCTCTTAGTTGCTGGCCGAGCTGCTCTTTCTCCTCCTCTGGCAGAGTTTCATACTCCTCCTCATCAAGCTCCTGCAGCCACTGCTTCTCCCTGACACTTTTTTCTCTCAGCAGAACCTCTAAAGGACAAAAACACACACAGTTTTTTTTTAAACACCAGACATCATCATAAATCTTAAAAAAAAAAAACATTCTTCATAATTATCTAATCAGTTCTGCTCTGTAACATTTGAATGAGAATTCCTGTTCATGCATTTTTACCGTTAGTTTCTCTTTGCGCCCTCTCTCGCGCCTTTAGAGCATCATAGGAGTCAGATAGGTCGACGACATAGATGTGTTTGCGGTTATTTAGGGCCTTGAGAACAACTTGCAGTGTTCTTGATGCTGACTGTGTATACAGACTGTCCAGACCATCCATTACTATGCCACGGTAACAATCACTCAGCTGTAACCATGACAACAGCATCAAAAGGAATACAAGTGAAATGACAAAGAGGAAAACAGATAGGAAGACAGGAGGTTAGTGAAACTTCATATCTCTCATATCTACTAACTTTTTGATACCTAACAGTCGTAAATAAATGTAACGGTAATTGTTTTAGGTGTATGCATGATAATTTCAATATGGATAGGAGTGTCCTGATACAATAATTATATCGGATATCGGTCCGATATCAGCGAGAGAAAAAAAAGAGAATATCAGATTATGTCGGCTTGCATCCAAAATCTCCAATACGAGCAGTCCATTTCAGACTTTGCTCTGGCACCTCTACCTAGCAGCACCTGGATCCAGCATGCAGAGCCCACATAATCACAACAACATTGTGTACTAAGGTACTAACAAAGTTGCAAGGATTAGGAGTGATGTCGGCCGTGTGGCAGTATTTTTCATTTAACTCCAAAAAAGACGTTTCAGCTGAGTGCAAAACAAAACTTGTATCCCTAAATTTAGAATCTGATTGGTACAGAGAGTGTGTCATATGACATTGTGTCTGGACTTACCTGAAATCTTTCTGCAAGGATATCTTCGAGTAGCTGCTCAGGTAAGAGATTACTTAGTGTTGTCACATCTCCTCCCTGCAGTCAAACCACAATGGAGAACTGAGTTTTGTCTATAAAAGTTGTGGAGCACCAGACTATGGTTGAAAACATACCAACAATTGGGCTAAATGCAGGATTTCGGTCTCCTTGGGGTCCTTGGTGTCATCTTTACAGCAGCCGTCTTCAATAGGTTTTCCAAGAGCTTCCACAGCATCATGTGAAGGTGGAGATGAATGAGGGGCTGGATTGGAGGTTTCAACATGGGCTTTAGGGGCTGGTTCTGAGGCCTCTGTCAGAGCCCGGGCTTCAATCAGAGAAATACATTTCAATTCAAATTGAAGCTTAAAGGGTTATTCTGGCATAAATTTAAGTTATGGTCAAACACACTGTGACACCGAGTGAGATTTGCTGCTCAAGGAAAAACTTTTAGGATTATTACTTTATGGAAATGATCCTGCACTCTGTGATCGACTCGTCGGGGTTCCCCCACAAACAAGCGGCTGCTGGAGGAGAGTGGGTGAGTTGTATATGGTCTCTTTGCTAAGGAAACCAGGCAAAGCTAAAAAGATGTTTGATGTCTAGTACTATGGCTGGGACCCTATATGTCCTGTTGATGAAGTTAGGTGCTGTTCTGATTATTTGTGGCTATAGAGTGGCTTTTTGGTTGAGGTGTGCGCGTGGAGACGTAGACCGCTGCGTATTGATCATGCGGTCTTTGCTTTGGATGGTATAACAAGGGAAGCAAGCAGTCGTCAACATTCATCTATCGAGAGGGTGTCTAACTCGGTGTTATGGTGTGTTTGACCATAACTTGAATTAATGCCGAAATATCCCTTTATTTGCAAATTTAGACTGTGTAATATGTCTGTTGAGTTCCTGGTGAAATATCTTTTGATTTTCAAGGAAACAGGTACTAATCTGTCCATCTCAATTAGCTACTGTCTTTCCTGAAGCAGCGTGAAAACAAACATATCCGTGTATTTGAAAAGAATGGGACTTTATGAGCTGTACGTTATGCTTACCAGCCTCCTTAGCCTTCTTTTTGGCATACTCAGCAGCAGCAGAGTCCAAAAGTTGTCTTGCCGACAGGCTAACAGGAGAGGTACTGTTCGTCAAAGCATGAGTGACCACACCATCAACAGTCAGAATTGCCCCTTCATAGTAATGTGCCAGGGCAGCTGCTGTGCTGGTTTTATCTTGAAAAAAATTGCACAAACAAGATGCAACAATCATCTTTCGTTTGTTTGTATTTTATTGACCTTTGTCTTCAAAGAGTTATGACATTATATATTGTATAACTTGCATTTCAATACAACCTTTCCAAACAGACTTACCTGTCAGTGGGGCTCCATATACAATGATAGCAATACCTCTGCGGTTGCGCGCTGCCAGACCCTCTGGTGACAGGTCAATGCACATGTGGCGGGCAATTGCTCTGGAAACAGGGCTCATCTCTAGATGCTCCAGTCTCCCTCTGCTTTGTGCCCTAGTCATCTCTGAAATAACTTAACACATAAAAAAAAAGAAATAAGACAACTTATGATGCTGCAAAATATCAATCTCAAATCAAAAAGTTAAAGTCATCTTTATTTTTGTGCTAAGATCTGCTTCTGACATGTTTGTACTCACATAACTCTGCTGGTTTCACATAAGCAGGTGTATCCTCTTCTTTGTTGTCTAAATGTTGGCTATTATTTTGTTTTGATTCCCTTTCTTCTGTGTTTATTTCCTCAGTCCTTTGTGTACTTTTGTCTGGGCCTTCCTTCAGCTCTGCCACACACCATTCAAGTATAGAACAAAAGGTTTTATTTGACACAGACTGTAAACCGATCAATAATGATTTTACTGCTTGCTCATAAACAAGAATCTGCCTGTAGCTACCATCCTCTTTCAGCTGGGAACAGTACTCCTTGTAGTAGTCAAGCAACTCTACGGGGAGATTGTCTCCTGGAGCCCTAGGAGGCAGCAGCAGCATATTGTTCTCATCATAACCCTGCATCAGACTCAGGATCTACAAAAGAAGAAGATATGAGAAGAGGGGAAAGAAAAAGGCTCAAATTAAAGAGAGCTAAGATAAGATATTCCTTTAATAGTCCCACAGGGGAAAATTCCAAAAAGGGGAAAAACTTAATCATTGATAATTAATAACTGATAATTAACTGTCCCACAAAATAATTGTTAATTACGTGATTATCTAGCAAAACCTTTGCATCCTGTCACTACAGCTTCTTTCCTCTCTTATGATGACTAAAGTAAGGATTTTTGCCAAAGAGATAGGTACCTTTTCTTCCTCAAGATACTGTGTGTCAAACTCCAGGGAGTAGAACTCGATGGGAAAAGAGCAGGGATTTTTGACTGTAACCGTAGCTTCACACTCAGTGCTAAGAGGCAGGCAAGGCTCCAGCTCAATCACAGACGGGCAGAACTGGAGTTTTGGCTCCTCAGCCTGTCCCTGGGCTTTAATGAACACCTGCTTATTGCTCTCAGCCACATGGACGATAAGCTGCCTGTTGTAAAGTTGCTGCAAAAACACGTCCAAGGGGACCACATGTTTGTGTTAATTTTGAAACTGTTTAAGTGCTTCTAAATTTAAGAGGATTTATTTGTCAAACACATTGTGCCAAACGTTGACATCAGTTGTGCTTCTTACCCCTTCAACGGGGCTGAACTTAACCTGGACATTAACAATTTCTCCAGGTGACAGCATGCCAGAGTTTGGAACCATCTCAAAAACCGCTGGAGGAGGTCGCTGCTCCTGCAAGGCTTTTTTACGTTGGTAGAGAGGCAGGAACTTATCCACCTGAGTGTAAACAACAGAGGTAACATGCAGGTTTGCTTCAATCTTTTGGATTAAATTCTCACTCAGTTTATCAGTCTATATAGCAAAAGATAGTAGATTCCACTCAAGTTTTTTTTGTCCTAGATATTAGAGTGTAAAGTTAGCTGGGAAAGTTGACTCAAGCTTCCATAATGACACTTCTTGTTGTACCTTTTTGAAAGGCTTCACCTCCTCAGCGATGCTCCAGTGGCAGGGCACAGACTCATGATTGATCAACTGAATTGTCTTCATCTGATGGGGAATATCACCAAACACAGGAATGAGAGGAATTCACCAGAACATTCAGTTTGAGAGAGGAGGTATTGAGTATCAGAGAAAGCACAGCCATCATGATGCATCTGCATAACATACATTTAGAGACATAATGTATTTTGTGAGACAACAGACAATTGAATTTCCCTTTGGGGATTAATAAAGTTATTCTTATTCTTGTCCTTATTCTTTTTTTCGAGTTCATCCTGTTTTTGGTCAATATGTATAACTGGAATCAAGTTAATTTTCTTCAACTGTTTTAGCCAAGTGAGAAAAGTCCACAAGAAGGAATCAAAGAGAGGCAGCATACTGGCCAACACCCTTGGTGTGAAACTGATGGATGCACTATATAGTTACATGGCTGTGTGAAGTTCTGATTGGTCATTCTATCGCAACAGGTAAGAAAAGGACCTGCTGTTTCTCTTTGGTAGACTGCTGTTGTGACTACTGAACCATTGCCAAAGGTGTGTGGCTCTCATCAAACGCTTCAGTGAGACCAAATATCACAGAGTCTGTAAGTGACAATCATAAACTGTATATAGAATGGACTCTGTCTGCCTCCTGGCTGGGTGAAGCCACCCCAAGAACAGCACCCTCTGGTGATGGGCTGCAGTACATGTCATAAATCCCACCTCCTCCAGCAATCCCTTTGGAGCTGTGGACAAACTTTAGAAATTTATTACACAGAATATGGATTTTTTTCCCCTCTTGGTTGTGATGTTGACATGTAGTTACTGTAAGACTGGTTTGTGCTTATGTCCTCTTTTTTCTGTACAGGTCCAAGTTATGAGCGGGTTCATTTTTTCTGTGATTGACACTTGATACAGCCTATGGATGTGCCAAGATTGCATAGCTCAACCAGGGGATATGCTGTTTGAGCCGAGTGTCGTCACAGCAACTATCCCGCCAAATGCTTACAATGCTTCTGCGCAAGTGGTGGTTCCAGGAAGTGGAGAAAATCCCAGAAATACCAAGAGCTTTTTGGCTTCAAATCTGTATACTGGCGGAAAGCAGAACCAATTTGTCCACAGTATATACAGTCTATGTTCACAATGAGGCTGTATTACCTGACACATGCCACACTGCAAAGTGTCAAACTGCAAGGTATCAGTGGAGGCAGTGACAGCTGGCAGAGTCACCACCGCACACAGTCGCAATTGGACCATGGGACCCCCTGCAACCTGCATAACCAAACACAAATTCATCAGTCTAGATAATTCACACTGAAAAAGGTCTGTAATTATACAATAATTATACACATGCAGGTGTTTGTGTTCAATCATCCCATGTGTACCTGTATTGGCATGACAACACTTGTATGCCCCAGCTTCAGCTTGGCCCCTTCAGGGTCAAATTTAATGGTGAAAGAATGGGTCTCGCTGCAGGGCAGGTTTTTCACTCTTTCAAAGTCTGCACTGAAACCTTTGATGAAACAACAACACAAACAGATTTTTAATGACTCAAAGGGCTCTATTTTCATGCCTGCTGGTGGCGTGGCGGATGGTGGCGCACCCCGCACAGTGGTATTTTTGTCTGGTGGAGCCCGGCGCACAGCCAGTTTGGATTATTCACTTCAACTTTTTGGCTTTTGAGTATCTACATACAAAAATCCTTATAAATCTCAACTGCGTTCAAACTACCACAGAAATGGCTAGAAAGAAGCAACTGAGTAAAGAAACAAAAGTACAGATTTGTACATTAAGGAAAGAAGGATACACATAAGGAGAAATTGCAAAACGCCTAAAGGTGTTTAACAAAGGAGTCCACTACACTCTGAAGAGACTAGAGGAACCTGGAAGTTATGATGATAGAAAAAGACCTGGACGAAAGAGAGTTACTACAAAAGAGGATAAACATATTATTGTCACCAGTAAGAGAGATCGGTGAAAGACAGCACCACAAATAAGGGAGGAAATCAACATGACAAGGTCGAAACCCATATCTCTGACAACTGTGAAATGATGTTTGAGAAAGGCTGGTCTGAAAGGTTGTGTATCTGCAAAAAAACACTACTTCATCCACAGAACAAGAAAAAGAGATATGAGTGGGCAAAAGCTCACAAAAATTTGACCTATGATGACTAGAAACAAGTTTGAACTGTTTGGTTCAAAACGCAGAGTCTATGTCTGCAGACAAACTGGTGAACGTCTGAAAGCTCCATGTGTTACACCCACAATTCAGCATGGAGGTGGTAGTTCCATGGTATGGGGATGTTTTGCAGGTGATGGAGTAGGAGATTTGTTTGAAGTAAAGGGTATCATAAAGAAGGAACAGTACCACTCCATCCTCCAGCACCATGCTGCTCCATCTGGACTCAGACTTGTGGCTCATAAGTTTGTTTTACAACAATGACCCTAAGCACTCTGCCAAGCTCTGTCAGGGTTACCGAGACAAAAAAGAAGAGGAAGGTGTTCTTCAAAAGATGGTTTGCCCCCTCAGTCTCCAGACCTCTCTCCAATTGAGCTTGTGCGGGATTAATTGGATCGAGCGGTCAGAAAAACGCGTCCCACGAATCAGCAGTCTCTTTTTAATGAACTTAAGAAAGCTTGGAATGCAATCCCTGGAACATACCTTAAAAAACTTGTGGAACAAATGCATGGTATATGCCAAGCTGTTGTTAAACCCAGAGGAGGTTACTTTAATGAAAGCAAAGTCTAAGCAACAATAACTCAAATACCTAATAATTATAGTCAAAATGTCTTCTGATAAGTTACTCTTTACACAATAGTCATGTTTATTGTGTTGCAAATTATATGAAACTATGATCTTTTTTTGTACAAGTCTGATCTTGCTTCCAAACTTTTGGCCTGCAGTGTACATTCATAAAAAAAAGATAAGCAGAAATAAAATGTCCAAAGGGACTTCAGGGATGTACTGTCTTACCTGTGCCAGCTAGATATTTGAGGTTTGCATGAAAGGACACAGCCACTGATCCATTGTTTGTGATTTTTACAGTGTGACTGGGGACCCTGCCAAGTATGATGAAACCAAAATCCAAGATGTATTCTGGAAGTGCAAACCTGTGGCAGAGTGGAAGGAGTAAGAGACAGAGACAAAAAAGACATCAATAAAGAAATGCATCCATGTCACACATCATACTCCTGTAATGAAACTGAGCTTTCCAGTGATAACTTCTGATGAATGATACTGTATGTTTAAATACAGTTATTTATTGTACTCATCAATATGCTGCATAAGATTTCAGTTCGAACTTTCAAAATGTATTGAGCTTCACATACCCATATTTCTCGCTATTATAGTCAAAGTGTGAAGTTTTTCCTTGCTGTCATTTCATGTCATAATCTGAGTTTATACAAACTCTTTAAATTTTACATCACCTTTCTCTTTTTTGTTCCCTTCTGACCATCTGTTTAACCAAGATTTGAGAGGGCGCTTGTGATTTTAAACCTACTTGCTGAGTTTTCGCCACATCTTGAGGGAACTTTGTGAGTCACTGAGCTCCAGCAGGCCACCCATTACAGCCAGAGCATTCTGTTTGACGAGCATCCTCTCAACCTCCATGAGAAGCGGCTCTTCATACTTAAGGCAGACGGCAAAAGAAAGACAGAAAAGGAAATTTAAAGGAAGAAAAAATAACTGCACATAAACACCAAAAGAGCAAGGAGCAGTAAAAACAAATGATATAGGCAATAACACAGCAGCACATGCTGGTTTTTGTCAGGCAAAGTCAGTTCACAACATCAGCATTTCAAGTCTTGAGAAAAGGAAGTCATCTAATAAATCTGAGAATTTTCAGATTTAGAGTCAGGATTATCCAAAGCTTTCTTCACAACCACTGGTGGTGTGGGGTGTGCATGTTACATGTACAACTTAGGGATGAGAATCGATAACCGGTTCTTTTTTACAACCAGTTCCCAAAGATTTGATTCCTAAGAATTGTTTGTTCACCTCCTTGACAATTCTGCTTATTGGATTTTCGTACATCTCTATGTGTGATGATGTAGTATGCCAGAAGTGTGTTTTGGTTGAGAGCTGACAGTGGTCAGGAGGGCGGTAATGTTTATTTTCAATTTAAAGGATTCTCCTGGGCAACACAGTCTTTATCCTTATCAGCTGTAATATAAATGTTAGCATTTTTAATGTCAACGGTTCGAAGGAATGTCAGGGATATTACTCCCTAACACACACAGGCATAAGCAAATACTGAGAGGGTGAGCAGAAATAGACTTTTCCACTGGGATTCAATGATTCTTGTGCACTTCCCAGAAAAATCGATACACAGATAAGACACGGGGAAAGCCCAGTGGAATTGGCTGGTTACTTCAAGCAGAGATACTGCCTTACATGTATTTAGGAGAAGCAAAACATGTCCAAAATAGTTCTAACATACCTACTTCCAATCAGGAACAAAAGCACCTCTGATAAATTAAGCAAACACAAACCTAGACCAATTTTTCTTAATAGCCCATCTTGGGATTTTTCGTAATGTTCTTAGTCCAATTATGATACTCATTTTAAAGGTATCATTGTTATGTTTGTGTTGTATGTGGCATAAGACATGATTATACAAAGATTTTAAACTAAAAACAGTATAAGTTGTTAAATGTCTAGTGTCAGCTTGTACATATTTGTGTAATATTTCATGTTAATGTTTGCACACTGAGAGCAAAGTTAACTGGAGTCAATTTCCCTTCTATGTGTAACATACATGGTCAATAAGGCTGTTTCTGAATCTGATTCGGATAAAATAAAACATCACGATGGTGATATTACTTACTGCAGAAGTTCTGGAGGTTTGCGTTGATTTTACTTCTCCACCTGAGGTGTTTCCTATCCAAGGTTCTTCTCTGGTACGATCTGCCTCCACAGATGCACTGGCCTGCTGCATCACATCACTGTAGCATTCATTTGCTGCAAGAGAATTAGTGCCTCACATCAGTGCAGAAATAAAAGAGTTGTGCTTGTGCCTCTATGCTTGTGGGCATGGAGGCATGATATTTTTCAATTTATTTATTTTAATTGACTCTTTATTTAACCCACTGAGATGGAACTCACTTTTACAATGATGATAATGAGAGAGACTGGGTCATTGACCAGGAGATTTGGTCTTGACCATACATCTAGCTCTGTTCTTTGACAATTTCCTTACCTGAATCAATAAACTATTACATTACATGATAAGCACTTTTTACTATTACTGACACTGACTAGGTTTGTAAGAGCCATTACCTGCACTTTGTTTTGAAAAAGGTCAATAGAAAGATATCAAACTTGTAATGTCAGCTGTCTTCTTTTTTCATCCTGAGTAAAAATGATTATTGTGTTAGACTGTGTAAGTACGTGCCTTTACATACCTAAGTTCTGCGGCAAGCCGAGGCTGATCCTTGGAAACACACCCTCCCCACTTAGAGTGATGTCCTGCAGTGGTAGGAAAGCCACCTGCAGCTGAAGCTGCTTCTTAAAGACTTCAGGCACCCCCGGGAGGTAGAGAATGCGTAAACATTGCTCTGCATCAGACTCAATGTAACCCTGACAAACACAGGTACACACAGTTACAAACCAAAGGAAGAAAATAACTCATATATTATTTATGACCAACTACATCTGAAAAAAGACGAACATCATCTCACCATGTTGGGGATTACTACAGGCTGGCCAGGTCTGATCACCTGTCCTTTCTCATTTTTCTCTTTGGCTTCTTGCTGCCATGTATCTGACTGCTGCTCAGTCTCTCTCAAGGCTTTCCTCCAGTCCCCTGCATCCTCCTCATCCTCCGTTTGAGGGTCCATGATGATGATGAATTTAAAGCCCATTTTTCCAGTATTCCTTAGGGTCACTTCAGCCTCCCCAACATGATCAAACAGCTGGAATACAGAGAGATTGGGAGGAGAGAACAGTCTTAAACTGTCACCTAAAGTGAAGGAACTGAAAGTTTCACAGATGTCTTTTTTCCTTGTCTTTCACTATCACTTAGGTTGAAGATATGCAAATTATCCTAATTGCCTGTTAGATAGCAAAACTACACCACCTTGTGTCTTTAATGTGTAGTGTGTACCATGTTTGTTACACAAAAAAGCTTGAGAAGTGCTGGTCTCCCATTGCACCTATTTCATGATAATACATTCAATTCAAGTATGTTATGAGACAGGTAATGAAAGCAAAAGGCAGACATTAAATGTGGTTTGAGAGCGAACAGTAAACAAGGCAAGAGAGAAGCAGACAACGAAGACCAAAGCTGTTTCTCAAAACCGGTCTCTTGTGTATGCACTGTGTATAGGGTAGTTTCAGGACGTCCTAACCTACATAGATAATGTGGTGATTAATACAAGAAACAGCACAGGCCCTGAGTGAGAGGGGGAGATAGCAAGAGAGAAATTAAACACTAGAAAGTATTGTGCTGAACCTACAGGAAGGTCGGAGAAATGTTCTGCTGAATCGCTCATTTGAACTAAATCAAAAATCAATATGTCCTTCTTTTGACTATCAATGATAACTGAGGATGGCCTGAATACTTAGAGAGTTCGAGGATATGCGAACAACCACAGTGGGAATTACATTCAAAGTCAATGTCATTCTTCACAACAGTTATTTTGGTGGGTTAAAGGGTTGGTAGAAAACACTTGACTCCTCTCTTGAAGGTATAGGTTATAGGGGTGGGAATCACCAGATGCCCTATAATATGATATTATCACGATACTTGGGCCCTAATTCGATATCATTGAGATTTTAGACATTTTGTGATGCAGTGAGTATTGCAATACCATACACTGGGATTTGTACAACTTTTTCAACTGTTTAGCTGATGAAGCATTTGTCTTTTCCTAATGTTTGTCTTATTGACGCAGTAGATTATTTTCTTGCAAACCTTATTTGTCAGTTCCTTCTCATTTGTGCTCTGCTTGCATTCCTTATGTCCCTTCCCAGGTGCTGCTATATTTGTTGTACTAACTTTCTCCTGCTCTATGATGTCACCTCTGCCAATCTCACTGGACAAACAGTTGATTTTATTTTTCGATTATCATAGATTTGACTTAATATTAACAATAAATTTGAAAAAAAAAAAACAATACTTGGTGAATGGGACGATACGATTTATCACCAGACAAAATGTCGTGATACTATGCTGTACTGATTTTTTCTCCCACCCCTAATACGTTATAGTATACGCTAAAATGTGTCAAACACATGAGCAACTGTCTGAAAAAATATATCTCTCAGGATAAGACTTTGTGACAACAGACTTGGATTTGAGAAAAGCACCTCTATGTTACAAAAATAATAATAATACTTTTTTTCACACACAGGTACAGCAAGCAGATGGTGAAAAGAGAACAAAGACAAAAAAACTGAATAGCAAGACAAGAAGGCAAATAGCAATTTATAACTTCAGTCATGACCCTCAGCCTGACCATCTGTACACACTAAGCTGAAACTTCTTGATGTGTAGAGCTTTTCAGGACAGATAACCAACAAGAAGCCCTGTATACGTACCAGCACACCAAAGTCAATGTTGGAAGAGTCGAGGCTGTAGCTGATTGCTGATGCCTTTCCTTTGAGTCTAATTTCATATGCAGGCCCCTCCTCTACTTGGCACTGTGCGATCAGCTCTTTTTGAAGATCTTTGTGTCCGTAGAAAGAGAATGTAACCAGCTGCTCCTCCCCAGGCTGCAGATGACCATATACTGGTAAGATATCAAAAATCTGCAAACAAAAAGCAAATAAAAATCTCAGACTCCTAGTATTTGATGTGGTAAGATTTTCTACCTCAAGTGTTATTATTATTATTATTATTATTTTAGCTCCCATGAGGAAGTTTCAAAAATCTTATTCTGCTGACTTACGATGAAATTTTTTTCATCACTTGCGGATATTTTATCTTATTTTATCGGCTGACCCCCCCCCCCTCAGTTGCAGTTGTTTCAGTCATTAAAAATAAAGATACAAAAACCTTTCATCTTGTCACCGTAGGTCCTTTTAACTTTTGGAGATCATGAAAAAGCATCAATATCAGTTTTGGTCTATTTTGTTAACATTAAAAAACTTCTCATAGTAGCTTTAACAGAGTAAATAAAAGAAATAGAAAAGAAATAAAAGAAATAGCCTTTCAATTAGGGCTGCATGTCACTGAAAATTGACAGTATTGACAGTTAAAAATCATCTTTAGTCTGTATCATACGCCCCCATAAGGATTTTTCTTCTGCATATAACTTTTGCATAACTTCAATGTATGTGCGCTGCAGGTGCAGGCCCTCTTAGTAAACACCCTGTGATCAAGTTAGTTAAGCTGACAGACAGGACAGCATTTTCTCATCCATCTAGATACCTGGGAAATGTTGAGCATTTTCTAGTTGTCTAACTCGGTATTAGACAACTGTGTTTGATTATGGCTTAAATCTACACCAGAATATCCCTTTCAGTTCATGCAATCTGAGAAATCAATCAGGAAAATGAGGCAGACACTACATGAGTATGTGTTTCTACCTCCACCACCGACCAGAGACACATGGAGGAAGTGACCTTTGACGGGTTAGTGATGTAAGGAAAACCTTGATTTGTTGACACGTGAGCCTTTACTTACCTCTTCCACACTGGGTGGGCTTTGACTGCTGCTCTGTTCATCTGCATCAGCAACAGCACTCAGGCTGCAGGGAAAAGAGAGAGAGAGAGAGAGAGAGAGAGAGAGAGAGAGAGAGAGAGATGGAAAAGCTGTGTTAGTGGATCTCCACCCTTTCTCTGTCTCTTTTTCTACATTTTCTACTGAAGGTTTTTCTGTCTCTCTGGGAGGAAAAGATCAGAATAAAATATATCTCACATTATTTATTTACAATTAAACTAAATCTGCATCGTACAGCATGCAGTGATAAGAATAGGCAATTTCCTCTCACAATCAAAAGAGACATGCAAAACAGATGACGGTTTTCTATCTTGGTGAAAATGGGTGCATAAGAGTCTGAATGTGTCCATGAGCAGCTGAGTGACAAATCTGCCAGAAAATGCAGCCACATTATAAAAGCATCAACCGTAGATCTCATACATCTCCTATGAAAAAATAATGCAATATCCACGAGAGAAGGAAACCTTGTGTATCCACGCCCCAAAGAACTCCGACTCTCATTTTCTCTCTCAGTTCTACGCTCTCCTTCCCTGTGGGATCAGACTGGGTGCATCCATCAAGTTAATTAAACAGAGTGTTCTATAATTAAGAGGAATTTTAATAGGTAAGCAGCAGGAAACAGGTCAGGATAGATTGCAGCGAAGTGCTGAATAAACATGGAAGAGAATGAAGGAGATTTAGTGACTGAAGCCATCTCAAAGCTGGCTGGACAACTTTGATATTAAATCACAGAAAACACCAGCTTCACTATCGCTGTATGAAGTGTTTGTGAGAGTGTGTCACCTCCAGGGTGTGGATGCATGTATGACAGTGTCAACGCTCATTTTTTCAGCGATCCCAAAATTCTATAGTAGCGTTGTAGTGTGACGAATTATGTGGCATGTAGTGGTAATGCAGCCTGAGAACAGCAAGGGGCACTGTTGCCTACCCAGTTTGGGATGATAGCTGTATAAAGGCACAAGCCGGCCTGATAGCTGGTGTGGAGGGATCATAAATTGGTTCCCCCAGCATTGTAAGATGTAAAGGTGAGTGATAACTGCAGGTCTGCATCCTCAAATTCTCACAGCAGTCTGGATGGGAACTGAAGTGGCTGATAAAAGTTTTTGTACTATCATAGAAAAACTGAAGCTTTTAAACAAGGGTCCTGTAAGGAAGAGTTTAAAACCTACTGGTGCGGACAGAGGAACAGATGGTGAGACAGCAGTTGATGATTCTGCAAGAGCTCAGCTAAAAACAGAAATAGCCTTTCTCTGGCACTCTCACATCTGTCCCTCTCTCTCTCTCTCCTCTGTCTATCCATTCTCTCCTTCATACACACTGCAGGAGTGACTGCATTGTCTGACTATCCTGTCTTCTCTCTTACTATAAAACTGCACATCAAAGACATCTGAATCACTCGAATCTCACTTCCTGCAGAGTGAAGGAAACAATGGAGTGTGTGTGTGTGTGTGTGTGTGTGGGGGGGGGGGGGGGGGTGCAGAGAAAAGAGAAAACACCATGCTGTAAATTTACACCGGAAAGACAAATAGCTTCTAGGGTTTCAGTTTGTCTGTCAATATAACCTTGCAAGAAAGAGAGAAAGAACGAAAGAAAGGCTGCCACTGGTTTGACACTGATTTGCAGTATTTGGGATGAACCGTAAACTTTACGGCAGTTTTATCCTGCAGCTTCAACTGAAAAAAGACATATCTGTCACCATTAAACATTCAGCAACATTAACAGCAGATTTTCTTGTTGATGAAAGAGGAATTCCCCTCCTTATTCTTTTTATTGAATAATCCTTTGAGGATAAATACAATTCCTCTTATAAAGTTCTTATTATTATATTAGAAAATGAGTGACTTTAGGTGTCTATTTCCATTTCATGCTACCTTGGTGAGCTGCTCCTAATAGAAAAATAATACACAGGTACAATAGCTTGTGTCTTCTCTTATAAGAAGTCAATGTCGCTTTAGTTTTCGCCTCAGTGTTCAGGAAAAGTCAAAACAGAGTAAATATTTTTAAGTAATGTTTCAATACTCAACTGAAATTTCTACTTTTAATGCATCAGTGGTTACCTGTATGAAGAGTTCCCACTTCTTAAGATGTAAAATATATAGTACATTTTAATGTACTGTTGTACTGCCTACATTCATCAGAGTCTGCTCCATTGAAATTTCCCTCTCTATGGGTGGTGGTGTAATTACTGATCGAAGTCTAGTTAGATGAACATGGGAAGATATGGCAGGTTATGTGAGAAAGTAAGAGAGCGATAGAGTGGGTGAGTGAGTAAGCACAGAGTGAGGTCTCCATTTAATTAGCAGGACAGCCTGTGAGACAGATTGTAAAGGGAGGTCACGGTCTAAAGTGGAAGAGGTAAAGAAAGAGAAAGGAGGGTTGTTGGGATCTTGTAACCAGCAGAGGTAAAGGCAGCAGAAGTAAGGGGTGCAGGATGAGTTAGTGAAAGACAAATAGGCAACGTTAAATCCTAATATGTGGACAAGGAGCAGAGCAAAACGGGAGAATACCAATGGTGAAAAGTGGGGGAAGGGTGGAGGGTGATAAATCAGGTGAAGCAGTCAGTTGGTTCATGGCCACAGATAGAAACACTACTCTCGTATTCACAGTCCATTTCAAAGGAGGGGGAATGAGCAAAGGCTTGAGAGGGGAACAATATAACATTTAGTGCTCAATCAGTAGATTTATCCTCCCAAGAGAATGCCGAATGGATTTGGCTTTCAATTCAGAGGGTTAAATGTATAGCTACTGTACTAACTCATCCCAGTGGACAGTTTTAATATATGGCTAAGATCCATCCTCTCTTTTCCCCTCACATCCTTCTCTCTCTTTTCGTAGTCCATCCAGTTAACTATATGGTTCCTTTTTATGGGGGAAAGGGGCTTCAGGCCTCACATTGGTATGCAAACACATATAGGGGATTAACATTCTATGACTGTGCTGTAAATGTGACACAGTTTGACAGCGTGTGGATATTTTCAACCTACCCCATGGTGCAGTGGTCCTCCAGGAAAGCCCACTGGTAAGACACTGGCAGTGGGGAGCAGTTAGTGACTAAGATGACTTTCTGAGTCTCTGTGCAGTTTAGTACACAGCCAAAATCTACTGTGGTGGAGGAGAAGTGGAGGTTGGGAAAATGGACTTCAGCATGCAGCTCCACCATGTCTTGCTGTGGGTAGTACACCTCAAGGAACTGGATAAAGATGTCAAGTGAAGAAATCCATGTGACCAGAAACATTTATATAACATGTTCATTTTGCAGCAAACAGAGTTTGTTCTCATTTAATGCGAGTAACTCCCTCATCTGTAATCACAGACTTGAGACTAAAGGCTCAAATTTTGTGTCTGCCGGTGAGGTGGCGGAGCGCAGCTGGTCTAGTGGTATTTTGGTAGACCTGCAGCGTATCGGCATACGTCACTGATGCCTCACTGGCAGGTTTCCACAGTGTCAGGCACATTTTAGTGAAATAAATAATCATCAAGAACTAATAATCTGAGTCAGCACATACATTTAGATCTATATAGATATATTCTGATCTATATCTGATCTGATGAGCGCGTTTGGCACAGGTTTGGACACACGACCTGACCGAATCAACAAAGCTGAAACCGCATTAAATTAAATTAAATATCTAGTAAATAGACACACATGATGAAGTGAACGAGATATGTAATTCTTCCTCTTCCTTCTTATTTCTCGCGCAGCTCAACCTGGACATGTCTCCGTGTCCTCTCAGCTGAACAGATGATTTGTTTCAGTGATCAGATGAGTTATCTACTTTAAGCCGACATACAGATATTATAATATTCAGTTTTGTGAGCCAAATGTATTTTATATGCCAACATCTATGAAAGAAAGAGCCAGGCCATGGAGGGCGATGCGTCATTTACGCACAGATGGTTCCGATTTTAATGCCATTATTGGAATTTATGATGTGATCTCTGCTCACAACCCACCTTTGTCACTTTAGGCCCATTCATTAATCCACACAGAAAGAGACCTGCATTGTTCAAAATAATATGTGGATTTTTTTTTTTTTTTTTTTAATAAAAGACATTCTAGATGTTATTAGGTGATTAAAAAGGGTGTGGTTTGTGCTCAAGAATGCATTAGGGTGCATTAAGGTGAAGTATTTTATTGACCATTTAATTTATTTTCTATTATTTGTTCTATTGTTTGTATGTAAGAAAATGGAACTGGTTTTTCTATGGGCATGGCTCATGTAATGTGCAAATTTGAAGGAATTCACACTCAAAGCAAAACCAATACAGCTCCAACATTTACAAACGTACTCGTAGGCCTCATTTAGTGAAAAGCAATGGGGCTCTGTCAACACTGGGGTGGGGGCTGAGCACCCCTAAAGACCAGATGCTAAAATCGCCCCTGAAGATAATCCAAGACTTTAAGAACTAGAGAGGAAAAAAAAAACATCTCTATTACCTGATCAACCACTCGTGATACCCGATCTTGACAGAAAGCTGGATTGAAGCACACCCACAACTCAGCCTGGCCTCCATCACCTAAAACCATGGACTGGAAAAGGACACACAGTATAAAAACAGTATAAAAAAATCATCAATCTTTTGAGGGTTTTTATTTATCTCTTTTTATTTTTCTCTTTTGTATGCTTAATAAAATATCATGACATCATATTTTTCATCTGATGACTCCCGTAGCACGAGTCCACAAACCCTTTCAAAACCTTTCCACAGGTTAATGAAAGGTTTGTTGTAATCCTGCCTTGGGCCACAGGCTTATCAAAAACCTCGCCTCTCTTTTCGCTTCCATCAGAGACCTGCCTGAGGCATGAAACCTTTTTAATGTGGATTCAAATCCTGCTTTTAATCAACTCTTGCAATGGGAGGCAGGGCTGTGATAAAATAAAAATCTCTTTGATGGGTAGGAATAAAATGAAATTCTATCACAGTAATAAGAGATGTTCATAATAAGTCATGCCCCTAAGTGCAAAGCATCTAAATGCTCGGTTAGGAGAGGTAAAGAACATCTTATCCAGAAAACATGATTCAGATATCAAGTTTTTTCTAATCAGGCTTGGAAACATGCGACACAGTTTGATCATCAGCTAAAAGGTTTTTTTCCTATTTTCAAGGTTAATTGAACAAAAAAAGTTCGACTACTGTTGCACTTGAAAAACATTCTCTCCAGGAGGTTTGAAGCACAAATCCAAAAGTCCCTACTAAGGTTTACTTTCCATTTAGAGTTTCTGAGCGGTTACACAACTCAACCACTCTCCTCCAGCAGCCACTTTTTAGTGAGGGAGCCCTGACGAGTCGATCACCAAGTGCAGTGGAGTTTTGCAGCTCAAGGAAGAACATTTATGATCATTACTTCATGGAAATCCAATCAGACCGAGATGCTAAGGCAGTAGCTCTACCGCGTCTGCAGTGCAAAATGATTATTATGATGATCCACTGCTCCCAGTGATCGACTCGTCAGGGTTCTCCCACAAACAAGCGGCTGCTGGAGGAGAGTGGGTGAGTTGTGTTTAGTCTCTTTGCTAAAAAAATCAGGCAAAGCTAAAAAAGATATTTAATGGCTAGTACTATGGCTGGGACCCTATATGTTAAGTTAGGTGCTGTTCTGAGCATTATTTGTGACAATAGAGTGGCTTTTTGGTTGAGGTTTGCGCATGCAGATTTGGAAACTTAAATTTACACTGGAATATCCCTTTAATACCAAACAAATGGTCAGTGATTATTTCTAAATACATCACTTTCTGGAGGAATAACATAAGTTAAAGAAAATTTTTATTGTGGAAAAGACTGTATGCCACCGAAATCCATTGTTTCTCCCTACTGAGGCTGGATATGAAAAAATATATAAGACAAATAATAATGAAGAGTTAGGTAAAGGGTAGTTATGTTTACCTTTGTGGTCATAGGGCTGAAGGCTTCTGAAGTCTCACAGAAAGAGAACGGCTCTACAAGAGAGAGCTCCATGGAAAGTGGCAGAGAGGACACATTTTTCAGTACCAGCTTCTCATACAGGGGCACCAGATTCTCTCCTGGAACCTGTAAGGATTTTCAATGAATGTGAAAGCTCAAAGAACTGTTTGAAGACAAAGAAATATGGAAAAGTCTGATTAGTTAGTTTGTACAAGGTGGAATCAGACAAAGTAAAACAGTATCCATGAGCCTTTACAAAGTTGTAAGCGTTTTACACCATGGGCTCTATTTTCATGTCCGCCGGGGATACAGCGGAGGTTGGCGGACCCCGCGCAGTGGTAATTTCGTCTATGGGACAGTGTGCAGGACGCCCTCTGCAGCGCTTACAGCAACACTTGTTGTGGGGCTGCCTTCTGTCGCCATCGTGTGGAATTGCTGTCTTCAGATATCTCTTGATCTCTTTGACTCCTGCACGAAAATAGTAATACGCCTCGCTGGTGGCGGATTTAAAGGCAAGAAGAGGAGCTGATGTTATTGGTCAATACAGGTCTCGGCTGTGTTAAACCCACTCCACGCCCTCTCTCCTCCCTTGCTACGACTTACACCGCTGGAAGGAGCTGAGTTAGGGAGGGGAGATATTCAGCCGGGCTGCACTACTCACCAAAATACCAAATTGTGCTTGGGAACGCCTTGTCGGCGTGGCAGACCTGACTTGCGCCACGTGTCCGTCAAAGCACAAAAATAGAGCCCAAAATCTGATTAGCATAAGACATGGGCAAGTGCCAGCAGCAAAATGAGCTGGGTGACCGTGCTTCATATTTGAGTATACTAACTTACCACAATCATAAAATGCAAGCCTACACATTGGAAAAGTCATACGGGTCTCCTGCATACCCCTCGTACCAGAGTGGTTTGCTTACATGACATGACAAAAGTGTCCTAAAAGATGACCAGTGGACAGCAAGCATCTGTTGCTGTGTGATGCAGAGCAATGTGACACAATAACTGATGTTCACATGCTGTTAGGCCAAAGTGTAAGTCAGCTATTTGATTTAAATTACAATCATGCAACATCATTCCAAAGAACATCAAGCATACAACAATAAGATCCATTGACCCACCTTTTCAGTGTAAAAGTTCAGCTGTTTGGAAGAAAAGCTGAGCACAGGCGCCAGAAAGCGACAGTTAACATCCACAGACATGATGTGCTCATTAGAGGCCCTCTGACCTACAATGCCACGGCACACCAATCGCTCCCTTACGTCCTAGATATTCAGTGTTAAACGACAACATGTATCTAATCAGATAAATACACAATGGCTGCACTGAAAAAAACTGATTTGTTATATTTGCAATTGGAATTGCAAGTGAACTGTCTCACCTTGGGAGAGTCAGAGGTTCCCGTCAGCACCATGTCAACAGAGCAGCCTGGGAAAAGCTCCACACGAGCAGGACTGAGACTGAACACTGGCTGATCTCTGCTAATGAAAAGCGAGGGTGTAAGGTCCTGGGTGTCCTTCTTTCTAGGAGCAGAGATTGGGGGCAGGATGGTTTTGCCAGACAAGTTTCCCTTGCAAGGTTTTGGTGAGGGTAGGTCCTGGGTGTCCTTCGTTCTAGGAGCAGAGATTGGGGGCTGGGTGGTTTTGCCGGACAAGTTTCCCTTGCGAGGTTTTGGTGAGAGTAGGGGGCTTTCCATGCTCCAGTACAGTAGGTGGACTCGCTGGCCATGGTTGGTCAACTTAAAGTGGTACTGACATGTCTCATGGCTTATGGGACATAAAGAGGACAGCAAGAATTTGTAGCATACTGTTAGTAAAGCTAATGTTTGGTCTTACAGTAAACTCAGACTTATGGCCATGACCTTTTTTATCCTACCTTAGGTATGTTCCCAGCTCAAGCCTGGGCCCTAAAGGCCTGTCACTGACAATTGTTGTGCCAGTGCCTGTAGCAGACAGAGGGATGTTGTGTGTTTGACTGTCTTGTATGGATACCTCCAGCCTGGCCTGGAAGAGCAGAGTGTCCTTCAGATGAGCTACTACCTTAAGCTCCAGCTGGCTCTCTGGTGGCAATTCCCCCTCGCTGGGCTCAACATACCAGAAGCTTTTTTTATGACACTGAGGAAACAGAGGAACAAACTGAGTCCTTCCATACTCCTTACCTGATGAGAACTTCTTAAAACAGTCTTTGCATTTGTAGCATCGTTCATAACTGTTACTATAGCAAGGTGCATGTCTGAAATGTGATCCATGGAGATGTCTCCCTTGTGGGTGCACTTTCCCTAAACTTGTGCAGCACATAGCATTGAGACTAAAGCCATGGATGGACATGAAAAGACTGATGTGTATCTCAAGTAACAGGATGATTACATTAACAAGTCTGCAGAATGTGATCCTAGAGTTACGGTAGTGCAGGGGCTCCCTGTCTGACTTTCTTGAAACAGAACATAGCTATCATTATGTATGAAGATAAACAGACAGGTTACAATAATTTGATCCGATGTAAAAATATTTTTGGAATATGTGGATGGTTCAAAAATATGAATTGCTCATTTTTATACCATCTTTCATGTGAGCACAAAAAGTGATGTCTGCAAAAACACCCTCAATATTAATTTTATTTCATAGTACTGTGCACTTTGTGTGAATGAAGTCAGACGTAATGAGAAAACAGATGTAAATCTTGCATTCATGTCCAGTGTTCCAACAAAGCCCTTCACTGTGCTCACTGTGCTATATATATCTGACTACGCAGCGGTTGGAACCACAATCAATGTTCTATAAAGCATCTCTGTCGAGGGATGGCTGGAACATTAACTTTAATTTGTATTTTGAGAATGAGAGTCCCACAGATGCAGTGAAGCCTGAGTGATTTTCTCTGCCTTTAGAACAGCACAGCAGATTGCTGATCGATGGAGAAAAATGTCTTCATATTCTGCAACTGACATTTGTGTTTGAAGAAAAAGCTGCACTGAAATGATGCTGGATGTATAAAATATAAGAATTTAGTCTGATGCTTCTGTTCTTTAGGAAAGCTCCGTGGACAAAGGTAAAAAAAAGAAAATGTTTCACAATAACAGGCAACACTTGACCAATTTGTGTCTCCAGGAGTCATAGATCACTTTCTCAGTGCTTGTTTTATGAGGTAAAGGAGCTGGTGAAAGCGAACTTGATGTGGGTCGATACAAGGGTGATCATGGTAAAGAAGTGGGTGGGGCCAGTAAAGGAGTACGATCAGCAGGGTTGACTCCCTGGAGAGAAAAGCAAGACGACTGGAATCTTAATAATCACATCAAACCGGCTGCATTAGCATTGATTGCTTTTGAATGCAGCACAGGTCAAGAAGGGCTTGGAATCCAAATCAGTGTGGTGTGTTGTTCAGTCATCAACAGTATATCAAACTGCATATCCTGGGCTGATGCAGCAGTCACCACTGCAGCCAGTTCTCCTGTCAGTTATTATATTAGCACAACCAAATCAATACATGCTGTTTCTAGTCACCAGATAACTTGCTGGGTGTTTAAATGGTCTACAAGGTATTTTTCACTGATGACTATCAAAAAGAGATGCAAGTGTGCATAGCTTCCGCAATATCCCTGCAATCTTCTGCAATCGTGTCTATTTGTGTGGCTCTCCGCCAGCCTATTGAGCGAAATGTAATGTAATTCCAGGAGAATCAGCATCGATTGGTGCTGAAGAGAGCAGGAGGGAAACTCCTTCCCTCAACACTGTCTTAGAGGAGAGGACAGGGTCATCCAACTGCAGTTCTGCTGGGGTTCCTTGTGTGTGTTTTTAAATTTATGTGTGCACTCTGGTCATGTGTACGGAAGCTGAGACAATACTAAGGAACAGGTTTAATGTATATCAGGCAGTGCTGGTAAACAGATGCACAGTGTCAAGAGGTTTAATTTTATACTGAGTAGGCACAATGAAGGCTGGTTAATGGATCATTATCATCCAATTTTGAGAAATGGTTAAGCATGACCGACATAAAATTTTCAGCACACAGTTGAGGTGTGCATGTTTATGCCAAAAAACCCAGCTGTGAAGGCAGTAAATGGACTAAAATTTCTCATTTGTGCAATGTTCATGATTGTGAGCTGCTGAAGCATCAATTAAATGTAAGGAATTGAAACAAATGGCCTATCGTCAATCTAGAATGAGAACCATTAAAAAATCACTTTACAAGTATTAACCGGATGCAGTTGAAATGGGTCATCAATTCCGCGGGAATTAATTAATTATGATATTAATCTGACTCAAAGGCTCATAAATCTAGCCACAAAATTAGTAGATATTTGTGTGTATTTAATAATATCTATAGAAAACGAGTTATATTTGAAGGAATTCTCTGTGTGTGCGCAGAGGTTTGATTTTATCAAACTGTGTGTTTTTACCACTCTTGCAGTAAAGCAAGCTGGAATGGGTGAATGGTTTGACAGGTGCAGGACCCTAGCAATGTCTGTCAGAACTGGGATAGTCCCGAAGTCCAACTGTGGATTCTGGACATGGACTATTGGTCCCTGTCCAATACATGACAAAGACACCACCTAAAATAAAAAATAAAGAAGTTGAAAGCTTTTAGAGTTTTTCAATTTGGAGGAAAAACACTATATTTATATTTCAGTCAATCGACTCAGGTTTAAGTCATAAATATTGTATTCAAAAAGAATTGAACTGACCAGTGGTGGTTGGATGCTGCCAAACACTGCAATGCGTAGAGTGTTGTGCAGTTCTCCTAAAGCTTTAGCGAGCAGGAACACAGGAATCTTCTTGGATTGATGAGGAAGAATAACACCTCTGGGTTCGGGACTCCCAAAAACCAGTGATGGACTTTCTTCATGTGTCTGCATGATGTGACACAGATGGGAATAATGTTTTTTTCTTGCAGGCACATAGACACAGCTTCTACTGATAAATCAAATATATATATATATATATATATATATATATATATATATATATATATATATATATATATATACATACAAGTCTCCTAAAGGTCCTTTAATTAAATTCACCTCCTCTTGACCACTTTTTTAACAAAGTCCAGTGAATACTTGCCAGCTTGCAGACCTATTGACTTCAGTCTTGGCTTATTAGTTCATTTATGTTGTTTACAAGCCAGTACTTAGTTCTTTATCAATTATGTATGTAAAGTAGTTTCTCCCTGTTAAACTGGTAAAAAAGTCTAAAAATATTCCATTACACTTACACCTAACTGCTTTTACTGAGACAGCCCTACTGTTATCAAGAAATGCAGTTGTTTTATTTCTTCCAGGAGCCCAAAAAGAAGATCAATACCATCACCCTGCCTAAGCAGTTATTGTGAAGCTGGAGCCAGGAGACTATTAGCCTAGCTTAGCACTTCAGGAAGTCTCCATGCCAACAAATAGTACAGCAAAAAGTAAAGGCTAATGGGTCATTGAGAATCATATCCAAAGGTTTTTTTTATTTTCAGATTAAATTTTTGATCAAAAAGGCTCCATTTTCAAATTTCATGAGTCTACATATCAGCAAACTTTCCTGTGAGGCTTGCTCAGAGTTCATTGTGAAAGTTAGTGATAGGAGGAATGATTTGTCACATCCCCTGAAAAATGTTGAAAATGCATACTGAAAAAGTGTTTGATCAAGTTTGGACAAAAAATTATAAAGCTAGCATGGCCAGTGATGTAAGAACTGCTGTAGTTGCATAATAGTAAACATGCTGTTTTTCAATTAAAGATATGTACAGGGATGGCATTTATGGTTAAAATGTGTTTAAATTATGTTAATATGTATTTGCTGCAATAAATTTGATTGTCATTTAATGCTTACTTTCAGGCCACACATGATATCCTGAAGGTGTGTCCTGTTGCTTATTATTATCTCTGTTTCAAGCTGATGTGGACTCACATACCCAACACCTGGCATTATTGAGGGCTGTGAGAGTTAAAGGGATATTCTGGCGTAAATTTAAGTTAGGGTCAAACACACTGTAACATGGAGTTAGACCCCCCCTCGAGAGGGATGAATGTTGCCATCTGCTTGCTTCTCTAGTTATACCAACTTCAGCAATGACCGCAGGATGGCCACAAATAATGCTCAGAACAGCAGCTAATTTCATCAACAGTTTATAAAGGGTCCCAGCCATAGTACTAGCCATCAAATATCTTTTTAGCTTTGCCTGGTTACACCAAGAAATTTACTTAAATTTACGCCACAATATATCCCTTTAAGGTATAGCTCTGAAACTGGGATCTATCTTTACATCTTGACTTTTCCATGCAAGAGAAAAGAATGACCCGTCCTAACCGTCTAGCCTCTTTTTAAAGGAATAACATTGTGGTCATGTTGGTCACCTCGACCTTTGCTGTACTGAGCTGGATATCAGCCAGTCATCTAAATTATTCAATTTAGTTATGCATGCCTGTCAGCTTTGACAGCTTTTGTGCTTCTTGTTGATGACACATTCCTGTCATTTGCCACTTACAGTGTTCACACACGCACACGCGTAAATAATTTATTGTGATGATGTACTCTACCTGGTCAAGCAAGCCACAGCACACAGGCAGAGAGCTAGTGTTGGTCAGTTTCACTTGCTGTTTATAGGGATGATTAAGGAAACACCTTTGAAAGTCCAACACTGGAGTTTCCACGACAACATCAGGGACAACACATCTATAAACAAAGAGAAATAAAGGCAGTGGCAGATAGAGAGAGGAGCAGAGAAGAAAGGCTCATTTATGAGTAACAACAGTAATTGCATTGCTCCATGCCAAAACCGCAGCCTATTAATTAGAGCTGATTCATAAATTTACAATGACTGTGATTGCCATGAGGAAGTCAGATTCCGATGCCCCATTCTGAGTGATGGCGCAGGTGACATTCCAATGTATTATTATGCAAATTAGCTTCTGCATATTTAACACATACTTCACTGATTTGTCGACACCTGTATAGAAGTTCAATGGCCCACATTCACTGCCTGTCAAAGCATCAGCGACAAGGGTTTGCACAGGAGAAGTTATTGCCAGAAAAAAAGCCACTTCACTGTCTGAGAGGCAGAGAGCATACTTTGTAAAAGGAGGATGAACCTCTTCTTTTTTACTGTCTTGTCACAGTTGTTACACATTCTACATCAAGAGCTGCTTTAAACTTTGGCTCTCACTTTGAAAAAGAGATGATATTCCATCCTAACAGGACAAAAGATAGTAAAATTTAAACAACTTGCAAAAGATCCTGAAAGACCTCTAACTTTTGTGCCAGTATGCACAAGTCTGCACGTGCATTAAAACTTGAGGGTAAGCTGACGTTTTTGTGACTCACCTTGCATTTATAGGCAGAGTCATGATCTCCTCACCAACACCCTCAATATCCACAACCAGTGCCAGCCTGTATCTCTTGACCGTGTTGGAGCACAGTGTCAACTGTTGAATTACACAAACATAGACTAATGAGATGACATGTTCGGATTAAGTATTCCACATATTCACAACTGTGACCCTAAGGGGGAACAGTAGGTGTTTGCTGCTTTTAGTTAAAGTAAAAATGAGTGTTAAATACAGGAAAAAACATGCAGCCAAACTGCACTGAACATATTAGGGTAAAAGCTTAAATGCATAGGAAGTCAGTTAGAGCAGAGTGATACCAACCCTACATCTGTCAAAAATGTGTGTGCAAAACATAACAATGGAGCATGTGGGGGTATAATTTTGTGCATATATGCACTATATACTGTACATACAGTATGCATATATGACTGGCTAGTTAGATAATTAGTGTTTAGTTTGTTTTGAACAGTTCCAGGCCGTTTTCTTGTATTGAGAGCCTATATAAGAAGTGAATCACCTTCTAGTTCTGCAGTTAATGATAGGGCCTTAAAGGTAAGCCTAAGTTTTCACCCCTCGGTTGCAAGGAAACTATTTTGTCATTCCTGTTTCTTTGAGATCTATCTGTTTTCTATCTGTTATCCGGGCTTCCAGTGCTGGACAAACGACAGCCCTTTACAGCAGCTCCGCAAACTCTAAGGTGTAGAAACCATTTTTATATGTATATGCTGTACACATGTATATAAGTTTCTTTATCCTCTAATTTCTCTTTTGTATTTGTATCTCTGCTGTTGTATTTTTTGAAATTTCTCCCTGTGGGACTAATAAAGGTATATCTTATATTATTTAGTCAACTATTTTGATACTATGTCTAGAATTATGAAAATGTATGGATGCCACTCTTATCAATAGTTGTGCCACATTTTTGAATCAGGTTTGAAACATGAACAGACAGACTACAGGCCCTTATTATGTTGCAGTAACAGGAAAATTAAATTAAATGGCTCTCCTTCTACTTGTTATTTTACGTTACCTTTATGGTGATATTTGACAAAGCACGCACAGACCCTGCTGCAGGGCTGATGGTAAACTCCACAGGATGTCCACGTAGGTCTTTAGTGGTGCTGCCCTGCCATGTGGAAGAAGTCACACTTGGAGACCCTGATCCATCTCCTAGAACACGTAGGCCAAAGGTCATAGGCACAAAGGAGGTGTTGAAGAGGGTACAAACCAATGTTTGCGGGAAGCCTGGGCAAGAGGGTATAGACACATGACCAAGATAAGTAAGGTAAAAAAAAAAATGAAGATGACAAGAATGTAACAAAGGTAAAAATTAACGCACCAAAGGCTACAGTTCCAAAATTAAACTCTGAAATATTAAAATGGAATATGGGACCAATGACACAACCCCTGAAAGAGAAGACAAAGACATGATCATTGAGAATGATTTGAAACAACACAGAGGGCTCTATTTTCGTGTCCGCTGGTGAGGCGGCGGAGGGTGGCGGACACCCCGCAGTGGTATTTTCGTCTGGTGGAGCCTGGCGTACAGCAAGTTTGGTATTTTTGTGGACTGAGGCGCAACAAGGTCCGCCAAGCTGGGCGTGGTGGTGTGGCAGAGGGATGTGTCAATAGAATCAGCTGCCCTCTGGATGCCCTCTGCAGCGTTTACAGCGACACTTGTTGAGGGGCTGCCTTCCGTCGCCACTGTGTGGCATTGCTGTCTTCAGACATCTCTTGATCTCTTTGACTACTTGACGAAAATAGTAATACGCCTCGACGGTGGCAGATTCAAAGGCGACGGGGGATACTAACGCCGCTCACCAAAATACCAAATTGTGCTTGGGAACGCCTTGTCGGCGCGGCGGATCTGACTTACGCCGCACCTGCGTCACGTCTCCGCCAAAGCACGAAAATAGAGCCCAGAGTCTTTAAAGGCTGCTAAGTTAAGAGGAACATGTACACTCTCCAATACTGGTTTTGTTTAAGCTTAATGTTCTATTCCATTTTGAGACGGATTATCCCCTAACATCACCTGAAAGTCAAGGTAAGTGGCTGGGGCTGTCCTGTGACAGTTAGCAGCAAGTCTTCAGAGAAAGTTCCCAAGATTTGACTGTGGAAGGTCACTGTCACAATCTGGCTGGCCCCAGAGGGAACAACACCTTCCTCAGGGCTGAAGGAGAAACAGCATCCAAAGGTGGTGTCAGGGCTTGACAACCTGAAAGGGGCTTCAGTCAAGCCTGTGTTCCACATTATGACCTGGAAAAGAAAAAAATCCAATGAATGAACATGTCAAATCTTTGCCCCACTATCAAAAAAGTAGTAATGTGAGTAATGTGAATTATTAGGTGCTATCAGGTGATAAAAAGCATTGATAATTAACCACAGGCTCTGAGATAATCTAATTAAAACTTATTGCATTTATCTTCAATTTTTGCAGAACAAACTTACCCAGTCAGCAATGACTGACTTTTTGTTTTTCTTAATTTCCCCTTTTTCAATTTCACTTTTTCTCATATTCTAACTTTGTTGCTACTACTTTGACCCGATCACCTCACTGAGCCCCTTCAGTCCAACACACACACACACACACACACACACACACACACACACACACACACACACACACACACACACACACACACACACACACATTCACACACACACACACACACACACACACACACACAGGACCTCTGCTTTCCCTGTCTCCCCCTGTTTAACTCTGTCTCTCTTTCTCCCATACACTGCATGCAGGCTCTGTTTACTGTTCTCACCAGCAGTGTCTAATTATGTCGCAAAGGTCAAATGATTACCTTGCAATTCTTTTTTTATAGCAGTTGGACTGCTGATGTGATCTCTGCACACAACCCACCTTTGTCACGTGAGGTTTGAATATGTGCAACTTTATGTGAGTGTCTTTATTTGTGGAAAAGGATTTTTGTCTTACTCTTGAACTCTTTGACTACTTCACGAAAATAGTAATACGCCTATTGATGTTATTGGTCAGTACAGGTCTTGGCTGTGTTAAACCCACTCCACGCCCTCTCTCCTCCCTCGCTACGACTTACGCTGCTGGGAGGAGCTGAGTTAGGGAGGGGGGATACTTATGCCGGGTTGCGCCGCTCACCAAAATACCAAATTGTGCTTGGGAATGCCTTGTCGGTGCAGCGGACCTGACTTACGCCACGCGTGCACCACGTCTCCGGAGAATCACGAAAATAGAGCCCAATGTGTTTCACAGGCAGCTTTTAAACAGCTAAAATAGTAGTTTTATGCTAAAATGAAACACTGAACTGCAGTTCATACTGTTGCAGAGGTAATATAGGCTTACCAAAGAACATCTGTATGTTTGTGTGTGTGTGTGTGTGTGTGTGTGTGTGTGTGTGTGTGTGTGTGTGTGTGTGTGTGTGTGTGTGTGTGTGTGTTTACGTGTGCAGGTTCTTCTGAGTACGATTAAGAAAGAGAGGAGATAATATATTCCCCCACAATTTCCACCCAGATGTATGAAACAAAACATAATTTTTTGTGATTACTCCAGTTATGTGCTGTGATTCCTTCTTGTTTACGAAGAAGGAATCACGAAGAATGAAATTAATTGATCAAAACAAACTCATTATTTCTGAAAGCCCTTGAAATGACTTCAATCTGGTGAATTATCCATTTGAGCTCTATAGTCAGAGAAGACAAACTGTGAATGACACAACTGATTTTCTACAACATCACATCACGGGAAGAGATCGGTTTGAACTGCAGGAGATTGTCTTGACCATGTCTACATGCCTAAATGCACTAAGTTGCCGCCATGCGATTGGCTGATTAGAAATTAAGTGTTAACGAGCAGTTGGACAGGTGTACCTAATAAAGTGGCCGGTGAGTGTATATATATAGATATATATATGGATATATATATACAGATTTTTATAGTGCTTTTTCAGTGGCCCTCAAAGCGCTTTTCATTGGATACATCATTGATTCACTCGCACGGACACACCCTGGTGGTGGTAAAGCTGCCCTGGGACAGACTGATGGAAACATGGCTGCCAATTTGCACCTACGACTTCTTTGAGCACCATTACACACAATCATACACCAGTGGAGGACACACACTCGGAGCAAGGTGGATAAAGTGTCTTGCCCAAGGACACAAAGGAGAGTTTAGGGATCAAACGTCAAAACTTCTATGGCATTTGATATCAAATTGTTCAACACTATTCATTTTGACAGTACATTATTTTGTTTGTGCAATGTATCAATGCTGTTCTGTTTTTCACTATGGCTGAACCAAGATAAACATAAATACCTTTACAGTCTACCCTGAATTAAGCTTTCTTACCTCATAGGTGTCTTTGCCCCCAATGAATACGTTTTTCATGTCCATCAGGTCATAGCTGAGCTGGAGTTGGGGTCCCAAACCTTCACCCTTTATTGTCAGAGGTAAGCGAGATTCACAGCCTGAAGGTAGACAAACAAAGAACCATACATGAAGAGGGATTCCTGCCATTCCTTACAGAAAAAGACAAACAGAGTCAGTAAAATAGAAATGTAGAAGCAAGAGGCATTAGAACATGAAGATATATTAACTGATGCAATCTTTCAAAATGTTTTTAATTGATAAATGCGCTTTTATGTTCATTAAAAGTGCTGCATCAAAAAAAATATTCCACACACACAAAATACCTAAATGCTTGCTAAACACTGGCTTTGCTGCAGCCTCTATAGATGTCTGCCTGTAAAGTTGTTTAAGGGCATGCAAGGTCTTTCTATCAGTTTTGCTTAGTAAGCTTCTAAGGTTTTCTGCAAAGTGAGAAATGGGGGAACAGTAGTCTGCTGTGATGTTGTCATTGAACTTGGCTGGTCAGGTCATCACCTGCTTCAGAAAACATGAAAATTCATGTAAATCTGGCCTCCGGCTTACACAACACACGTGAGGGCCACATGCAAATTTTTAAACAACCTTTTAATACCAACAGGATGCAATGAATGTACTGGAGCCTCATGTCTGCATCGTCTAATATGGAAATGAGATCAAGTAGCATTGAGTCGTCCAGTGGTTTAAACATTTAGGCAGATTTAGGGGTTCTTCAACTAATACAGCTCCAACCAGGTTTGGTTGTGGGCATCACACACTGAAGACAGGAAACAATAAAGAGGTTTTGTTGAGAGAAGCAGTTGTCCTCTGACAGCATACAAACAGACTGACACAGTTTGCTACTTTGACACGACTGTCTGGCCTTTGTCTGCAACAGCCCGCTGAGGGAAGGAGATTCTTTTATGAAAAGCCAAAGCCATCTATTACAGGAGGAGGGTGCAGCATGCTTGAAGCAGTTTAGCATTCCATCCCAGCTGGTAATAGACACACAACAGAGAAGAGCTGTCCTGTGCACCCAAACTGTTTTTGGTACAAGAAATAAGTTGTATTTAGTTATGAATGTCACTTTAAAAATGTATGAAACAGGAAACTAGAAACAGATTCTTTTTTTGACATTCAACCTAAGCTGATCTCAAATCCCACCCTCACCTAGAGCTGTCAATAAATCTATCCTTATTCCAAAACTGAAAATGTAACTTGAAATGTCACCATAAGTTTATACACTAGAGTAGACCTCTGGCAGAGTAAAATGTATTTACTTGCTGATGTTTGATTTTGTGTTAAGAATATGATAACAGGGAAAATGAACAAACCTTATATCTGTTTTGCACATTGAAGTCAAAAGCAAAAGAATTGTGGATGATTTCTTGCTTCAACTAAAACTACATTTCTGAGGTAGAGATCTGGATCGGAGTGCTAACAAGTCTTTAATGGTGCGGCAAAGGGAGGTCTGAAAAGGTCTGACAACTGGGGACAGCGTTCCAAGAGTTAACCTGTCAAAAATCCTCAGGGAAAAATATTTAGCTTTTAAATAAACTCTTATTTCTTTTAATCATTTGTTTTTACAGACATGTATGTTTCTATATCTATTTTACTGCTTGGATGCTTTAGTTATTTGCCTTTGTATCTCGTTCTGTTTTAATTGCACACTGTAAAGCACTTTGTTGCCTGAATTGTAAAGTGCAATGTAAATAACATTTTTTAAAATCATTATTATTTAGTATTATTTCTATGTTTGCTGCTTTGACAAAGATAAAGAAGAGAGTGTTATGTTATGTTGTGTGCAAAATGAATTGTAATTTGTACTGACAGAGGACTTTGATGGTAAAAAGGACCCCCATAACTATTTCTACAAATCTTAAAAGCTTAAAATATGATTATCTTGAGCTGGAGTAATCTTAACCAAAACTTAAGTACAAGCAAATTTTACACCTTCTTCTTGAGGACGGATATATGTTGAACTATCAGCAAATTGATGGAAATTCACCCTGAAGGAACATGAATAGCTGTAGCATATGGCTAGGTCATCGATCAATAAATGTAAAAACTTTTCACAAAGAATCAAAATTGTTAACCCCCATCCATCTCAAATCGACCCAAACCCTATTGATCAAAGTAGCAGGACCACCTATTGACATTACTATCCTCTGTTCCCTGAAAAAAAGTATTTGTTGGTACAAAACATAAGCATGAGATTCATGTTTGTGTTTACATTCTTGTTGACTGTCTGGCAGTGAACCTAATCCTGATGACTTAGCTTTGAGTATACTGTAAATTTAATGTAATTCTGTGCTTTTATATGTTAAATTTGAGGGAGTGTTGAACCATCTAGACGGGACACTGACCTGCGACATCACAGTAAATGGTGTGTTGGTACAGCTTGGCCTCATCTGGCTTGAAGATGATGCTGAACTGTGCCGTCATATTGGGCCATATTTCACCCTCCTAGGCCATGTAAAGACAAGAAAGAAAGCATATTGCCATATCACAGAAAACAAATACAGCTGATTACACAGAAAGAAAAAATGACAAAGAACCTCATAATGTAAAAGGATCAGAGGTGACTTTTTAACTAACACAACCGTGGTTGTTTCAGGGTAGAATATAGTTTGACAGCTTACAAATACAATGATATGACTTGGGTAAACACGCTTTAACTCTCTCAAACTCCCACTAATAATAGGCAGTGTGATTTTTTGACATGTCTGTGTGTTTTTGGGTGGGTACGTGGGAGTATGTGTACCTAGACTGCTGAACTTTTCTCTCTCAAATACCCTCTCAAAGTTTGTGTTGTGACTAGCCTCCAAACTGTTTGCTTTGTCTCTCAAGCTCCCACCCTCTCTCTCAAACCTTCCTGCCTGCCTGCCTGCCTGCCTCCTCTCTCTCTAGTTTGAGCAAGAACATGGCTGAGCTAAGCAGAGGAGACACTGGCAGGAAAAAGGGAAGGGGTGTCAGAACAGGTCAGGCTACCTGAGGGTCCCTGGGCAGCAAAAGGGCCCGGTCCCTGACCTCATGTCATTGAGGAGTCTGACTGGATGACTGTATGAACAACAAAGTGAAACTTGACTCTAAGAGACACGTCGTAACACAGATTTGATCTTTCAGAGAGAATTACTTTTGATTCTCACTTCTGTTTAAATAGTAAGTAGTGATGCTAAACATGCAATTTACTCAAGAGCCAGGAAATGAGCCCCTGAATCCGCATTTGGTATTAATTAAAATGTTACATTTGTCAGACATATCCCCGCTAGTGTTCATACGGAAAGGTGCAGTGTGTAGAAATAGAAAAATGAAGTGATATCCAGCAGTCAGATTCTAGACCCTTCCTGTCAGCGAAGTATAGGTGGCCAAGAAACTACAGCTGAAACATGTATATGTCAATATGTGATTATATATCAATTTAAAGGTACCTTTGAACAATCTCTGCCATTTCTATCAAGGTTGTGCTAACTGCAGCTAAATACTACATAGTACACCTTAAACAAAGAGAAACACTAAACAAATCCAGGAGAACTTTTCGTTGAACATATGAGTGGGCGGGGAGGAGAGGATATAACACAGACAAACCGCTGGTTCCACAGTTATGCAGTTGTGTGAGAAGGCCAGGAGGTGGTCCCTCACAGCCTGGCTTCTCTGTTCCTGCAAGGCTCTGGACAGCAACGGGAGGCGATGGATCGCTGTTGGATCAGACTCACACAGATAAAGTAATCGCTCCTTCTCCTCCTCCTCTTTCAGCAGGAGTGCTGAGCTGCCCCTAGAGAACAAAACAAAGGGAGGGGGGATGAAGGGAAAAAAACAAAAAGGGAAATGAGAAGGGACAGAGAGAAAAAGGAACAGAGAAGAACAAAGAGTTACTGACAGGAAAGAAAGTGATAGACACCTGGGCTATTTCTGGAAACACATTCTGTAGTAAAGAAAGCAGGTCATTTTAATTGCTACATGAATGCAGTAAGAGAGGAAACTTGCACAGCCAGCACTTCTTAAAGAAATGTTATCAAAACCACGTTCCACACAAAACCACAACATTTGTTGTACCCAAAGGCTCAGAGATCTGAGGAGTACAATTGTAAATGTGCTCAATTATCATCAGATTTAAATCATACGTGTGCACACCTCAGTAAGTTCAGGGCCTCTTCTTGCAGGCTGGGCCATGTTGTCCAACAGTACTGTAGAGGTGTATCACTCTTGTTGATGAGGGACACTGTTTGGGCGCTGGCCAAGGAAACGTAAGTCTTTGGCAGCAGCACAAAGTCACGGTCAAGTTGGATGTTGACTTCCTCACAGACCCCGTATAGGCTGATGTACACCTCCTCACCTGAACAGAAGGCACACAAAAGAAGCAGAAAAGTGCTTACCGTAAATGTTGGTTATCAGCTATTCATTAAAAATTGAGTCACGGGATCAAATCAGCAGAGTAAATTTCCGAAGAAAGGCTTTCCTCAAACTTTTCAACCACCTCTCCAATCTCCAAACAACAACGATTTAATTAGCAATCAAAGAAAAATATGAACCACAAAGCTTTTCCTTTTTCTCGATGCAGAAGTGTTCGTTGTTCAACTTCACTTATGAATGTCTCAGTCTGAGAGTTCTCTATTCATGATAGAGCTGTCTGTCCTCAGTGTGACGTATTAGCATAAGCATACAAACCAAAAGGATTACAATAGTGTTCTTTACTGCATATTTAATAAGTAAGTGAACATGAAGTTAATTCTAAGGAAAGGCATTGCCCTATAAAGTTGCAGCTGCAAGAAGGGGAGATACTTACGCTCTGACATACTGCACATACAGCAGGCAAATGTGAGCTGCCCAGCACAACAAAATTCTATCCTCTGATTAGCCACTGCTGTTCCTCTGGGAGTCTCGGGCATAATGTGGGCAATGGGTAGAGGAGAAACTCACAGAGGAGTCAAGGACACACTGCAAAGTTTAGCTTTGAAGGGCTGGATCTGGATCAAACCGAGCCGTGCAAAGAGATTAAAATGGCGCTCGAAATATCCTGGAAATCTGGCAACCCAAACAACCAACTTTATTATGCTGCCAAAGCCTTTCTAAGTTGCAGCAAAGTGAAATATGTTGGATTGAATTCTTGATAGAAGCTTTAAGTCATAATACAGCATCTAAATACTTTTTCAAGGACTGCTCTCTGACCTAACTTCTTTGAGTAAATATTTAAGCTCAAAGTCGAAGGCAGAGGACTGTGTGGTTATAAGTGCATCTAATGAGCCTTTGGTAGCATCACAGGGTGCCCACCTCTGGCAGTGAGTGAAGAGCAACAATAACCAGCAGCAGGAATAAGATGCAAAACAAGGTTTTGAATAAGACCTCCAAGAACTAGGGCTGATGTAAATCTAGTGAGAGTTTGTTTACATTCAAATCAGAAAGATTGAAGCTGAAGCCTGCAGACACACTGCTTATCCTGGGTTTTTGTATACTGGCAGAGGTTACATTTATATGGAGAAACTTCTTATTTGGCACAAAACGGCAACTCTTTCAGGTACAATATAAGGAAATAAATGAATTTTAAGTTTGCTTTTACATTCTACAAGCCCCGTGAGATTCTGTGGTTCATAATCTATTTGATATAAAATTTCCCTGGCTTCAGTGAGGACACAAATACTTCTGTCGATATTAACCACCTGAAATAAAAGCCCTGAACAAAGTGAATTAGAGGATATTTGTTGTGCGGTGCAACCCAATGTGCCCAATGGGTATTTCACTCTTTTGTAGTGCTTTCAAAGCTTGTCTACAGCTAAAGTGGCTTTTGAAATTTGCCATGAATTACTTTAAGCTCGCAACTCCACCTCCCCCATAGTGTCTGTCCACCAAGTGCATAACAGAGTAAGAATAAACCTATTTTGACACCAGTTTTTTATTGCTGGCATTATTCAGTAGCTAAAAGAAATGACTGACGCCTTGAGCAACATTCCAACCTGGTGGTGGTAGCTCTGCTAACGGTAACTATACTTAGCAAACAACTTTGGCATCATTTACCCACACTAATGCTGCGTTACAGTTGTACTCGGAAGTCGAGATTTCTGAGCTCCGAGTCAGAAATTCATTTGGAATGCCCCCTGAAGTCGGATTTCTGACTCGGAAAGTTGGACGATCCTCACCAACCCCGATTTGACAACAATGTCATAATCCAAAATGGCAGCGCAGTGCATCAACAGTTAAGAGTAACAGTGAAAGCTCTCCTAATGTATTATTTATGAGCACCTCTGTTTTGTTTTTGTGAAATAAATAAGAAGTATATGTTGTACTGCTTAACGTCTAATTGTGAACACGATGCTATGGCGTTTGTAAGAGTAAAATACTGTGTTATGCGTTGTTTACAACTGGTATAGCTAACAACAGCTGACAACCGCTAACAACAACTGGCAACAGCTAACAACAGCTGACAACTGTTAGCAACAGCTAACAATGGCTAACAGTAGGCATCCATCTTAGTTTTCCAACTTGTTAACTGGAACGCCATCAATTCAGGTGTAATGTAATTCCCACCTCCGACATCTGACTTCAAAGGTAACTGGAATGCAGAACAAGAAATTAGTCACGATAAAACGTCGCTGATTAAAACACTTGGTACAAGATTTTCTCACAGCCACTAAGCCCCACTCCTAACATTCAGAAGTATAAATCAATCAATATAAATCACATGACTGACTTTAGGCTCCATTTTTCTCTAAATACATTTGCCGAGCACCGTCTAGGCGGTTTGATGAGTTTTACAAACACAGCCCTGAGATTTCTCTCCTCAGTGATTGGTTTCCATGGCAACAGCAAATGACACTTTACTGAGTGCAAAACAAGGGTGTTGGCAGAGATAATACCCACAAGTAAAATTCAGCCAGGATTGACCTGGTATTTTATTTGTCAAACAATATGGCTGCAAACAAGGACTTCACCAAATACAACTGGAGTCGGAGGGTCCCACGTGTACGGACAAATGTGAAGACAAGTATATGAAAAACAACTCCAAATAAATTAAGCATTAAGTAGGAATTAAAATGACAATCTTTCTTACACTGAAAACTCTCCAATGACTATATCAAATGTTACAACCAAGAAACCAAATGATGACATTTCAGTTGGAATTAAAAGAACTAAAGGTGCTTTGTCAGAGCACCTACTTTTCGAAACCTTTCATGATCTTACATTGTAATGTAAAAAAATCGAGTTGACACACAATTCTTTCTTTCTTTTATATAACATAAAGTCATTCATTCTGTGACTGATGATATTTTGGCTTATGAGACCTATTGGTTTTCTATGAACTAAACTAATTGGTAAACAAGGTAGGTATTGGCTATAATCTGCAATGTTGCAAAGCTGGCTCTGTTCAACCTGTCAACTCACAATATTTACTGATATTGCTCAGCTATTTATCTTCAGAGGGGGTTATTGTCAGAGTTGTGGATTTTAAAATAGCACTTTCATTAGGGTAATTATGCTCCTGCCAATATTCTGTATTAGTACTTTAGATCTTCAGTTAAAGGAGTACCATATGTCACATTTGAAAACTTCTGTTGGCAATGCCAGAAAGCCAAGCAATGCATTAACAGCTGCACACTTAAACTACAGTTCTGTGCAAGCATTCAGAAGAAAATGAGGGCAGTTCAAAGTAATATTCAGGCCTAAATTTAAGTTAGGGTCAAACACATTGTAACACCGAGTTAGACACCCCCACAAGAGATGAATGTTGCCGACTGCTTGCTTCTCTAGTCATACCAACTTCATCAACAGTGCATATAGGGTCCCAGTCATCGTACTAGCCATCAAACATCTTTTTAGTTTTGCCTGGTTTCTTTAGCAAAGAGACCAAACACAACTCACCTACTCTCCTCCAGCAGCTGCTTGTTTGTGGGGGAGCCCTGACAAGTCGATCACTGAGTTCAGCGGAAAAAAATTACGATTATTACTTCATGGAAATGCAATCAGACTGAGATGCTTAGGCAGAAGAACTACCATGTCTGCAGTGCACATACAAGATACACAATAACTCTGATTGTATTTCCATAAAGTAATGGTCATAAATGTTCTTCCTTGAGCTGCAGAACTCCGCTGCACTCGGTGATCAACTCGCCCGGGCCCCCCCACAAACAAGCGGCTGCTAGAGGAGAGTGGGTGAATCGTCTTTGGTCTCTTGCTATAGAAACCAGGCAAAGCTAAAAAGAGTTGCTAGTTAGTAGCTGTTCTGAGCATTATTTGTGGCTATAGAGTGACTTTTTGGTTGAGGTTTGCACGTGGAGACATAGACAGCTGTGTATCGCTATCATGCGGTCGTTACTAAAGTTGGTATAACTAGAGAAGCAAGTGGTCTGCAACATTCATCTCTCGAGGGGGGTGTCTATCTCTGTGTTACGGTGTGTTTGACCATCATTTAAATTTACGCCAGAATATCCCTTTAAAGCCCTCAATTCTACTTTTTTCTTTTCTGGCTCCAGAAAATGTGAATGCTCAAAATTTCAGATCTTGAACACATTTAATACATTCCAGTACTCTACTACTAAAACACACAAATAATAAGGACTCTAAAGAGTTTGTTTTATTCAATCTACCACTGAGAGAAGAATTGAGCTTGTAACATAGTTACATTAAATTTGTTGCCTAAAGAGACAAAGCTCCTCTTTGCGGAAGATCCTCTAAAAGGACTAAAAAACAATTCTTGATACCAAAGCCAGTTAATAATCACTTTTTAAAAAACTCTTTACATCTGAATGAGTTTGGGGTTATGTTAAAAAAGCCTGGGAAAGGTGGTGGCCAGGTTGAGTCAAACTTATTTCCTTCAATCCCTTGGCTAAAAGCACCGAAGAAGTACATTGTGTTACTTCATAGGGCCATACCGCACCATCAAACAGAACCAAGAAAGACTGAATCTGACAACAAAAACAACAACAACAAATTGGCCTAAAGAAAAACTCCATAATAGTCAACCTAAGCACTGACAGTTTTCTAAAGATTTATCTGCCGCAATAATAAACATGTTGAATTTCATTAGATTACCATCTCATTTAGTTTCAAACCTGGTTCAATGCAGGCTGCAAAGAGAACCTTTAATCAATCTCTGCCGAGGTTGGAACACAAGTGAGCAGCAGTGATTAATTCAGAGCATGAGATACCTCATTCTTGAGTAGCAAGAAAGCCTCAAGGGCAGTCAAACTCTCACAGTGTAAGGTATTTAGCTTAAAGGGAAATCAACAACACACCAGCCCCAGCCTCAGCTGAGGGAAAGAGCCAACAAACCCGAGAGGAATGAGGTCTGGTGAGAGTTTTTTCAATCACCATACATGTCCACTTGTAAGAGCACTTAAAAAGAATTCAGAGATTGCCAAACAGGCAAGTATAACTGAGATAGTTATTATGTACCTAAAGGCAGAAATAAAGGGAATTATAAAAACCTAACACAGCTCTGAAAGAAGGACAGTTCTTTTTCTCTCTACTAGAAAGACAAGAAAGCTGTGAGACACCATCAGATAAAGAAGAAGGGAAAACACAAAGGATGAAGGATGAGTGATAGAAGGAAGTGAGGCAGAGAGGAAAGAATGGTGAAATACAGAAAGAAAAGCAATTATCTCGCGGCATCAGGGTGCTATGACAGCAGCTGACAGGCAGGGAGAGCTGCAGCAGCTTATTGCCAAGCTTTCATCATTGCTGGCCACCCCCTACCCCCCAACTTTATCTTCCCATAATTCTTCTATGTACACAGTGAGGGAACTTCTCAACCTTCCTCAGCTAGCTTTGATTACAGCACAAACAGCAGCTCTGCAGTATACGTGCCTGTGAGTAGAGCGCGTGCTTGCACTCAGGTTTTGCGTGTGTGAGTTTGGGTGTGTAGCTGCTTGCTGTTTGTGAGTGCCTGTGCTGCTTTTCTAAAAGGCTGCTGTGCTGAGGTCCCCTTGGTGCCCTATCCCTGTCAAAGCAGATGCCTCAGTGCTGCCTAAGAGCTGTCCGTCTTCTCATTTAAACCAGCAGCAGTGACAGAGGAGGCGGGTAAGGGTGGCGGGGTGGGAGGGTGTTACTGGAGGAGCACGAATTCTCTGTTCACTTTTAAAACAGAACAAGCAAACTATTACTTTTTTAAGCCGCACTGGCTTTCAAGTCACCAAAGGAAATAAAAACGTCGCACAGGGTGTAAGGTGCAAGGCATCACATGCAAAATGACACACGACAAACATGCACACGAAGCCAGCGTGTGCAAAATTCTCCAACAGCAGAGTTAAGCCTTTTGCGGTATGCTGATCTGAAACATACATGAGCATAGGGGAGTCAGGGAAAGGTGCTAAATTAAAAATGATATTCTCTTGATGGGCTGTAAGTGGTGTTCTGGACCTTTGCTGGCCTTCCTATTATAAAAGCTTAATGCTGCTGAACACTACTACTGGTGCCTGCTGCCACACAGCACCCCTGCTCATTTTTTAGAGGTCAAGCAAAAATGATTTTACATTGCAACAAAAGTAAAAAGATAAACTGTATCCCTACAGATCCCGTCTTTCATTCAAAACAATCATCATTAAAAACCAAGAAAGAACAATGAATAATGAATAATCTATCCAGTGTCTCCCTGCCCTGGGGAACAGCATCATCATAATTAAATGATAAAGTTCAAATAAATGCATAAAGAATCTAAAGTCATAACACTTCAGCTGTTATCCAATCAAAATCAGACACTTCTTCACAAGGTGACTTTCCTGTGATGGAGTTTCAGTATGACTACTGATAACAGAGTAACTGCCGTGTCAGCGTGCCACAGAATTTCCTGTCTCACACACACACACAAAGAGAGAGAGAGAGAGAGCCTCACGGTAAAAAACGGGGTAGTGCACCGTGGAATATCCACCCAGCTGATGCATATCTAACAAGAGTGTGCTGGAGTCCTTTTCTGCATGCTACTTAGCTGTTCCTCAGTGGTTGTTTAGCACCATGGGATTTTACTACTGAGATGACTTCTGGGGAGCTGCAGAGCCAAAATTAGCTCATGAGGAGACTTTGATGCACCAAGCTTGGGTCAGGAGTGAGGCTGATTTGCTTTTGACTGAAGCCTTCTCTTGGTTAATCAACACAGCCTGTCACTTTCGTTTTTGCTATTTTTGGCCACCAATGTTGAGATGGAAGTGCGTGAAACACCAAAGATTTAGGCAACTTACGTGTTTGACAGCCTTCAATTGATAAAAGACAAAATCAAAATATAAATAAATGTATTTAATGTGTGCATATGTTTTTCAAAAGGGGATGAGATGAAATAAAAAGGAAACATTACACCCTCAGCCCCACTTGCATAATCTGTTTTCTGCTGTTTCCTTCTTTTAGATCTAATTGTTCCCCTAGTGACTCAGCACATTAAACCCAAAGATTGGTCTCTATGCCTTTAATGTTAAGTGCTCCAAATACTTGCTCATGCAACCAAGGCTAACCTAAATATAGGTGACCATGAGTATTAAACTACTGTAAGTCCCAGAATCCCCCAAAAATCCACTTTTAATGAGATGATCACAAACAAGCAAAGTAACAGATTGCCCAATCCAGGTCTATTATAACAGACTTTAACAAGCAATTGCACCTTAGGAAATAAAGAGGACAAATGATTTATTAGTTTGCTGCGTTGAGCAGTGGTGAGTCCCAACAGCAGAGCCAACAACAACAACAACAACAAAAAACATTAAAAACTCATAAACCAAAAGCAGATGTGTCAAGTTATTTAACTGAGTGTTGGGTGATTGGGTGATGACAAGTGGGTGATTTATTTATGTATTTCAATCACATGAGAGTACCCTTATGATCTTAAAGGCCATCTACAGATGCATTGTTCTATTGGAAACAATAGCATAGCAGCTGTTTTAAAGGTTACGTGCGTAGTATTTAGCAAAACAGACTTTGTGGAAATAAAATATTACACCTGACAATAGAAATTGATTTTTCTAAACTTTAAATGAGCCTCCACCGGAAGTGAGCATTCCGGTGTTAGCGTGTGGTGGAGCCACTTAACATCGCCCATAGACGGCCATTCATTTTTCAAAATATTAACCAGCTCACGACTGGTTTTTTTGAAAGGTAAAGTAAAATTTTATGCTTTGTGCTGTTTTACTAACTCCTGTTCTTCATAATACTGTCCGGATTTTGTACTTTACTTTTCAGGAATTATGTTTAATAGGTCTGGAAATTTTCTGATGATGGTAACCATTGCTCTTCAGTAATGACCTATTAAACATAATTCATCTCAGCACCACATTGTTAAGTATCAGGACTCTGAAAAAACTGTGAAAAAAGTGGAGACATGTGGTACCCCACCCGTTGGCCAACTATAAGTATTGTAGTTAGTCAAAATGACACTGAGTCTTATTACTGTCAGAGAAAAGAAAGACATGATGAGTTATTGGCACAGCCTCACCTCATCGTTGGCTCTTATTATTCTAAAGAAACATTTACAGTTTCTCTAAAAGCAGCACGAACTCAGACATCTAAAGCTTAATTTCTCTGTGAACTAATGTCACTTTGAGCAAATGAACATTCTCCAGCAAAATTCTGACAACTTTGGCATCAACCTTCAGACACAGATTTGTCTTTAGGATTTTCCATCTAACAACAATGATAAACCTCATTTTCTGCCATGACCTGTCCCGATCTTATTTATGTCTTATATGTACTTCATCTTGGTTTCATTATGATTAAATAAATACAATATTATTCGAACAGTATCAATACAAATTAATTTGCACACAACAACCAATCTCACTCCGTCCTCCCCGTTCTCCTGTGTCTCAAGCAACCCCTTAGTAGTTGAACAAAAACTGTTGTTTTTTTGTGAGTTTGTCTTTTCTGAGCTAATGTGAAAAACATGAGGGTCCAACATAGCAGCCTCCAGAGCAAAGACCCTGCTGCTTCTCTAATATAAAAGACTTTTTCAAAACATCAGAAATGTGTGGCTGTCTTGTATTCTGCATTTAAAAAAGAAAGACTTCAGTCCCTATTTACATACAAGGTGTTTCAGCTGGTTAAATTTGTGTCAAATTTGTAGGACATGTCCAATAGTGTTGGATTAATGGTTGTTGCTTTAGAGGTGCTAAAGTGCTTATGATACAATATTGTTTTTGTCTTTGGTCACTGTTTGATTTGTACAGAAATGAATGTGTTCCCTATCTCTCCTTTTTCTTCCTGTTATCTATTTTATTTTCTGGTTTCTTGTAATACCATGTGGCCTGGGCACTCCTCTGGTGCATGACAGCTTAAGAAAGAGCTACTATTTTAATGATAGACTATAAAAGACAATCACGATATAGTGAAAGATAGAGTATTGTAAATGATAAGCCCATTAAGATGTAAGTTGCAGCTAAGGGGAGGAAAGGAGAGGAGAGGGGGGGAGAAGAGGGGAGAGAGGAGGAAGATAACTGGTACCTCAGAGGGAGCTTCACAAAGCAGTAAATTTTATACCCCACAGCCATCTCAAGCTAACTCCTTACAATGTTCACACTGCAGCTCCCTGAGGATGTTACACACTCTCCTCTCATGACTATTACTTATGCCACCTTTCACTTCATGGCCACGAGTATAGACACAAACAGACAGATACTCACACAAACCCCAAAGTACCTCATTAGGGACTTCTTATCAACCACATCCAAGGTTAAAGTATCATGCTGGATTTAAAAACTTGCAGATCACACAATCATAAACACATAATTCAAGTTCACATAAAGCTGGGGAAAAATAGACAATTAGGAAGGAGATGACGCAGTGCTAATTGGACCAGCTTGAGGGATGTTTTTGTGCTAGGCTGCAACAGATAGGTCTCTGGATGGAAAGCAATGATAGGGGCTGTGAATGTGATGGAGATAGTTCCACACATACAGAATAAAACCACAGGAACAAAACATAACAAGCTTCTCATCTGACTGAAGTATAATCCCTGTATACCAATGGTTTTCATTAAGCCTCGGCTTGCACTGGGAAAAGTACAGTATCAATCGTCTTTTTTTCTCTATGGTTGTGTCAGTGTGCATGCACATTTGTGTGTGTGTGTGTGTGTGTGTGTGTGTGTGTGTATGATGACTGTTAAGCAGTCAAGTTCTGCTTCAGGGTCATCACTGCTGCTGAAAGAGAATCTCATTACAGTGTTTACCTCAGTGATAATGGTAAACACATTCATCCCTTCAGTTCCACTCCATTTGACCCTGCTGATAATGTAAACTATTTTTGTAGGAATTGTTGCCTCCCCACTTCCATTTTCTTCCCTCTACTTCTTTTACTGTTCAAGGTCTTACTGTTTGAGTTCATGTTTGTGTGTAAGTAAGTAGACTGATTGACATTGATGCTTTTTTACTAAAAAAATAAAGCCAACTGAGATGTGAGAAAAAGAATCAAATAAAAGTGTCTCATGAGAGAAATGCACACTTTAATGGAAATCCAGAAAACGGTTTGATTAAAGACGAGAAAAAAAGATAAGAGGCTGAGAATCATATCAAAAACAAAGATGAGTAAAAGCATCTAAAGACTTACAGCCTTTGTTTGGTAGAGGCATCTAAGCAATGCTACACTCTGATTACTAAAAAACAGATATGCAGAGTAGGTCAGCTATAAATATTTCACTACAACAGGGAAATCACGTGACTGTACAACTGAAACCAGTCTCTTCAAAGATATGGTCCTCACTTCTCTTAGAATATTTGTGTCACTGGCTTGTTTGTTTTGCTTTTTTTTTTCAGAAGTGTGTTTTCTTCCTACCAGTGTGGTAGTGCAGAAGCAGATCCCTGCTATGATCTCCTACAGTCATGGGGTTGAAATCCACAGTCACCTGCATGCCCTCTCCTACATCCAGGGTACCAGAAGAGGGCGTCACTGAGAAGGGCCTAAAACATGGGGCAAAGCAGAGTTTGACAAATAAGGAATACGAATAATTATTAAAAAAGCATGTTCAAGCTTGGTTTTTCATTCCAGCTGAGGCAAATGTTGCCTAGTGTCTATCAGTGTTTTTTACAGTGATGGATTGATGTCAAAAATAAACATTGGCTTTAACGTTCCCACTGAAACAAGAGAGAAAAGGGTACATTTTTTTCACACCCCTGTCTACAGACAGTTGTCCAAACGATTTAGAACGATTGCTTTAAAACTATAATGTGTTAAAAATATGTTAAAATTATATATTAATGAATTAAGGCCACAGATGGTCCAAGATTCCAAGTTGTACTGACTCTCACCTCTGTGTGTGAAGTGTAAACTTGGCTTCACTGTTTCCTACGTTGCGGACAAAGTGAGTCCTCTGTGTGGAAGTTTTTACTGGACAAACTGGTAAATGAAATTCGTCACGAAAGTCAAGAATGGCACGTGGCCCGATTGCATGAATTGGGACTTCAAACCGCTCCCTCTCTGTTACACAGACCAGGCTGTGGTGATAGTCCTAGATGGGGGAAATAACAAAAAAACATGTCAGACACTTAAGCTGTTAAAAATGTTTTCTTTTCTTTTTTTTTTATGTATTTATGAAATGATGCTTAATGCTTTGTCCTGGATGCAGACAAAAGCAGCAATCTACACACATGCACCACATCCTTGCTGGATTGTGTGGGGCACACACAGAGATCATTCATATATTTTACCTTTAACTCACATGGAAATGTAAGACAGTAAGTATTCCAAAGTTAGTTACATCGCCTTGGGCACCTAAATCAGCTGACTAAATTGTACCTGGATGTCCATGTGAACAACAAACTGGACTGGGATTATAACACCAACGCACTTTACAAAAAAGGACAGAGCAGACTCAGTCTACTCAGGAAGCTGACGTCTGTTGGGGGGCAGGGGGCACTCCTGGAGACCTTCTTTGAATCTGTGGTGGCCTCTGCCATTTTCTACGGAGTGGCCTGCTGGGGGAGCAGCATCACAGCAGCTGACAGGAAGAGGCTGGACAAACTCATAAAAAAAGGCCAGCGCTGTCCTGGGATGCCCTCTGGAACTTGTGGAGGAAGTTGGGGAGAGGAGGATCACGACCAAGCTGTCCTCCATGCTGGGCAGAGACTCGATTGAATTTCCCCTTCTGGGATGAACTCAGTGCACTGAGGAGCTCCTTAAGGGACAGGATGCTCCACCCGAAGTGTGTGACAGAGGGGTATCACAGGTCATTCCTTCCTGCAGCTGTCAGACTTCAGTGTGCAATAAATCATATTTATATGTATATTCTGTACACAAGTATAGTAAATAGATCATGTATATGTCTTTTTTTTAACTCTAAGTTTCTTTATCCTTTAATTTCTCTTTTTTATCTGTATTTATGCCGCTGTAATCTTGGAATTTCCCCCTGTAAGAACTTGTTTGTGAATCATTCATGCTACCAGATGAATAGTTTGAAGATAAAATTTATCACACTTTTATAATCAGGAATTTAAGAACATCCAAACCAAGTTTGACGGTGATTCAAGCATTTTTAAAAACATTACTGTAAAACTAGATTGGTCAGGGGGCCAATTGACTGACAGTTTTCTCCAAACTCACTGTTATACACAAGGTTAAGCAAAATTAAAAGCAAAGAAAAAAAAACAGTTAAGTAAGGTGACTACTGTAAGCAAGACAAACCCACATTCAAGATTATATTACATGTTGACCTTTGCTTCCTAGGTTTCACTTTCACCCAGGAAAGGAAACGGTAAAAGGATGTTCTGGTGTAACACAATACTTGACCCATGACCCTAAACCATTTGAGTCTTACTGAAACAATACTTTACATTTGTGCAAATACTATGAATGCAAAGTATATCTGTTTTTATGTACTCTGTAAAATTGACTTAAATAATCTCTTAAATGTTTCATATCTGTTGTTTCATATTTGAACAGCATTAGAACAGTGTTCAGTGCCAACTTTTCAGTATTATCGCTCTAATTTCACATTCTTACCCACATCCTTTGCCCTGTCTCTCCACAGGTCTGATTACAGCTTTATCTAATCATCTGATCTAAATTCTACACCAGCGTCTTAAGTGCAGGTTACCTTGGTACTTCACTGTGCATTCTGAATCTAGCTTTCTCTGTGTGATTATTCTTTGGAGCAGTCAGGCTCCCCTCTGTCTTCATTACCTTATCTTCCTGCGGGGCGAAGAAAACAGTGAAAGTAGCAGACAATCCTGGTGCAACCTTGCACCCTCCACCCTCTGGACCAACCACATGGAAAAACTCAGAGTCCTGCTGCTCCACCTTCACTTGTCGGGAAACCTAGGGGGAAAAAAATAAGTAAATACACTAACTTGAGAAAAACTACAAAGCTCACACAGCAAGACACAGAGAGCCAGGTACACACACAAGTAATGATTTATTCATTATAACTTGATGGTGTCTGTACAGTTTGCAGTGATAAATCTCCTCCAGTCCCCCTGACCTTTTCCAATCATTCTCCTCCTGGAGGACACAATTCACACTTACTGGCACACACGCTGTCTGATGAAAACTTAAACTGTTTTGGTTCTTCCATGAAAAAAACTCTTGTGTATGAAACATCAGCTCAGCAGCCATTTTGTTAGTGTAACAATTCTCTGCTTTGTCTATGATGTACACACCTTGTCATTGTTGAAGAGTAGCAGTGGTAACTGATAAGTCTGCGCAGGAGTGACGTTCTGGAAAACCAGCTCAGATGGGAAGGGCTGAAAAAGCGGTTGATCAGTGTCTACCAAAGACAACTGACACAGACACAAAACAGTATAAAAATCAAACCCTCCAGGTATGCCTCTCTTTCAAAATATCCTCCTTCTCCCAACAAACATTATAAACATGGAAATGGAAACTACTTGGTGTTATTAGTTAACCAGCAACACTGTTAAAACGTGCCGAGTTAAGATTAGTCTTCAGCTAACATTATAATGTACAGTATTTTTACTGAAATCGCTTTGATTTGTTCTCTTACTAAGAGTAAGACAGGAGAACATCTTTTAACCTACTCAAGAAATACTCTATCACATGACCCTAGTAGAATGGTTAATTGGCATTTTTACTCTAAATAAAAACATACCAAGTAGTGATTTTCTTTTTGGTTGAGCTGCTGGTTGGTGGATGAATCTCAGATTAATCTCTCTCTAGTCTCTCTAGTCATGCTAAGCCTGTACTTAATGTCCAGACATGAAAATTGTGTCAGTGATATAGTACTTTCTACTGTTCTGCACATGAAACTGTGCATAATTGAGAATATAAAGAAGACTTAAAAAAGATTCCACTGATCATTGCGACTACGAACCATGACACAATGGAGGCCTCTTATATTTACATTTGAATATTTGACAAGTAAAAAAGTGGGGTTAGGGTGAGATTCAAAAATAGATCTACCTAATTATGATGAAGCTGCATTTATTAATTTAAAACTTTTGATGGCATTGCTGCCCTAAGCACCCTGTTAAATCCTGACTCTAAAAGTACAGAGCATTCATTCACATTGGTTGCCCTCTGCACATAAATTAGTGTCTGCTGACTAAGAGGAAGAAGCTATGGTACAATATAAATGACCTCAGCAGACAGCACATTCCCTGTATGCAGGTTTCATTTACCATCCTAATAAGTCTTTTATATTCATTCTTTCATTTAGAAAGAGATGAAGTCATCTATAAAGAAAATGTTCTCTCTATAGCGGCTCAAATCTAACATAGCTAGTAAGCAAAGTATGGTTATTGGAGCAACAGTCTGTAATTAGAATGCAAACACTCACACAGTATGGTAGTGGTATGCCAGAGAAGTTTTTATAAAAGCAGTGTTTATGTACCTTATTACATGTGCATATGCGTGGCCTGATAATCTTATATAAGAGGGTGGGTTGTCAAAATCAAATGTTAGATTCTTGTGTTTTTTCAGCTGAAAGTTCTGGTGGACTCCCCCTGGTTTTCCTCTCAGAAAGATTAAAGTTGGCAGGAGCTGAGACTTGTATGGAGATGGAAGTGGTGATGTGAAATCCCTGCCAAACCTATCATTTCTGTAAACTGTTGTCTGTTACAGCTATTACTGTTGGTGGAATCAGCCTCCTGTGTGCTTCATGTTCATACCACACAACTGCTGCAAATGCTTTTGCTGGTTCTTTGAGCATTGAGTTTTACTTTTGTGTTCAGTGAAAGCACAGAATTTGTTAAGCTGCTGAGATATCAAAATATTTGTTGGCATTTACTTTGTGATGTGTCGTCTTGCTCATGTCAAGCAATTCCAGGATACAGGGAGGATGCACCTCCTTGGTGTTTGCAAGGCGCTCCTCTGTCGAGTGTAGCATCTCCTGGGTGTAAACAGAAGGAATCACCTGCAAAAAAAAAAAAAAGGAGACAAGCAATCATGTTGACCGCACAGATGCCTGTTTCCTCTTTCTCTAAATTCAACAGTGATGAGGCACCACATTGAACAAAGCTGTAACCCCTGATGGAGAAATAGGGAAAAGATAATGAGCACAAGAGCTGTCAGTAAGACAGATGACTAAAAGCTGTCAGCTCTGACACACACAGTTTAGCTGCTAGCATTAAGAAAATTTCCATGAGCTGATTTCATGCGCTCAGAGATTATGAATACTTTTCTTTCAGTGAGCCCTATCTGCAGTGTTTTGTGGCTTATATCCTTTCCTGACAATCTCCTGGCACCATTTTATCAGTGTAGCAGAAACATCTAACTGCACTTAGCCTATTTCAAGTTTAGGTCAGAGAAGGATTTTGGCTTAAAATCTAAATGAATAATGTAGCATGGGGAGTTACTGTATATGCAATATTTAAAAGCTGCCAGTTATGTGTGAATTAAAAATAGACTCTGTTCTATTATTCAGAGACAACAAAGTTGCTTGAGTAAACACAATTCTTTATCATGGCAAGAGAAATTATGCTGCTTCTCTTCGAGCTAACACTTTTTCTCAGATGTAATCTTTTTGTTTCTAAGAAGAAATGCAGACATCCAGACCCACTCTAATTCTAAACATTCAGCTCTGGGATTTGAATAAGGAGTTTTGCAGCAGATAAAGAGAAATTAAAAACCACTTAATGCTGTGCATTTTTTTTCTTTGCAGACAGTAATATTGTTAAAATACGATTAAAATGGAACAATCTACAAACTTGAAGTCATTCAAAACCTATTGGTTAAAGGCAGTTTTATGTGTATCATTTTAGGCCATGACCATGTACCTCATCAAACACAGGCAGCCCAGAAAATGCCTAAATAGCCGAATGAAGGCCACTGCAACAAAACCCTGCAGTCACACATTGACTCTCCTCCATTAAGAAGCCATTGTAAATATTAGGACAATCTGTCATTTGAAGCAGGCTCTGTAAAAGCTTGGGACAGTGTCCAGAACTTGGTGCACAAATTCTGCTCCTGTTAGAGGCTGAAAAAGAACCTGGTTACAACATCTACGGTACTTAATTTCAACTAGACAGTGTTAATTCTGTTTTACAAGCTGTGACATGAGCGAAGATGACTTGATGCACCATCCCCCATGGTAGGCCTATGACATTTTTAAGTATTCTTACCCTTCGTGGCTTGTCCTCCTTAAGAACAAGTTTAAGTTTGCTTAGCAGAGACTTTTTCTTTCTCGGGGGAATCTGCACCGCTGTCATTTCGGCTTCAGTTTGAAGAAAATTAACCTGCGAAGAAAAAATATGCCGGGCACATAAAATTAAGAAAGGTTAAAATAAGCGGATGTGTTGTGATCTAACAAGTACTCCGCATTTTCTGAACATGTAGCTGCTAAAGGTGCAATTTCTACCTTATTGTTAATAGCTGTGTTGGCTAACACTTACTTGGTGTCTTATAATATTTACGTTGCTAACGTTAACGTTGCTAACGTCTTTGGCAAACTTTAGAGAGAGAAAGAACAAACTGTTACGAGACTGTCTATCTCTACCCCACATTTATCAAACACGCATCCAGTGTCACTTTAGAATAAAGTAATCTAGATATGAAAGTAAAACCTGCATGAACAACTTCGTCCGTGGCTTACCGAAATATTGACAAGACTTCATCTTACATGCATTGATAGAAGGGCACAACCGTCACTTCGTTTGTTGATCGTTGCTAAGGCAACACACTCAACGTCCTCACAGTAAGCTGTTTTCTGATTGGCTTTTGACGTCAAATACGTTTCATCCCAACCAGAGCTGCTCTGACCCCAACGTCCAATCCATATGATATCTGTGGTCCAATCAAGAAAGCCATCACTGTTAAACGTATAGTTTTAGGACGCTGGACCACGTGGTCTGTGTTAGACCACACAGATTTATACACTGAAGCTGCAGAAAACTGATTTTGAAGAACAAAAATGGACAGGACGAGGGTGAGATTAAGGTAACAGTTGACTACACTTTTGTTGTTGTAGACAATAAGGGCCAAAAACGATTAAGTTTTCAACCAGATGATTGTGCTTAATTTCTCTCACTGCTGTGTGTTTCATAACCATAGACTGTAGATACTATGGACAACCTGGTTCCGCCTACCGTCTGTATACGGATTTGAAGCCGAAAAGCTCTCGGTATTCCGGGATTTTTCTTCATTTCCTGAAACCAGCGCTACGCAGTAGCAATGCGCGCATTCGGCCGCGCAGTCGCAGAGTGTCACTGTGATGACGCTCGGCTCAAACAGCGTATCCCCTGGGAGAGCTACGCAATCCCTGAACGCCCATAGGCTGTATCAGGTGTCAATCATAGAAAACACGAACCCCCTAATAACTTTTAAAAACGGAGCTTCACAGAAAAAAGAGGATTTGAGCACAAACCAGTCTGACAATAACTATATGTCAACATCACAAGCAGGGGGGAGAAAAAATTATGTTCTGTGTAATAAATTTCTTAAGTTTGTCCACAGCCCCATAAGCTTTGCTGGAGGAGGTGGGATTTATGACCTATACTGCAGCCCATCAACAGAGGGTGCTGTTCTCGGAGTGGCTTCACCCAGCGAGGAGGCAGACTCTGTCCATTCTACAGTATATACAGTCTATGTTCATAACCCTGCATTACTCAACGCTAGCTAACAGATTACCGGCATGTCGCTTTTTTTTTTTTTTTTTTTTGTCTTCTGTATCAAGGCTATTCCTAATGTAGTGACTGCTGTAATAATTTATTTCATTTTTACGGTGGCTTCTTTTTTTTGCATTCATTTTTCATTTGCAGCAGTGGCGGTTCTTGGCCACCATACATTTGTTTTCAGTCACTCTGTTTAAATTTCTAAAAAAAAACAAAACACAAAATTTTACTGGAAGTGTATAGGTGATAACGCCAGTCCTTGTCGCAGCAGTTGTGCTGACCACAGGCCACAACCCAATAGCACCCCTTTTTTCTCCCACAATCTTCAGAATTTTGTCTCTTTTCAGATGTCCTTTTTAGGCAAAACAAAACGCCCTAAAAATAACTTATAAGAAGTTAAAAATCCATGTGCCCAGTGACCGCATGTGATCCAACCTACATTTTTACATAAATAAGCTATTTCAGGTCCTGGTTGCCTGTTATATCCTAGCTTGATGCAAGATGATGTCATGACGCATCTTCCGAGGAAGTTTGTTAACCTGCTGTTGCAATTAATGCGTAGTGGCACTCACCGTGATAAACCATGGCAAAAACATGGTAAGGCTCCTACATGGTCAAATTTCTGTTTGGTCCTTTACCTGTCTGTCAGTTGCAGAAGTTGCCCTTTACATAATGCTACTTTAGGAGGTGGCAGAATCATGTAAACAGACTCAGGCAGACATACAAATGGGCCACATAACTGTAAATTCTGCTGCTCTGTCATTGTGTGATTTTACAGATTCAATGAAATGAAGATGTGGAATGACTGAAAGTGTCAGATCATTTTACCTAACATCAACATTTGTTTATCAGTCAAACCAAGACAATGACATGTAGGCCTACACACATCAATAGTAATGTGCAATAGCCTATAGCGATAAAAAAGACTATCTCTCCAACAAGAAAACATGATGACATGTTACAGTGTTTGTTAAATACTGTTGAGTTTTACACAAGCAACTGTAGACTGACTGACTACATACACTAGAGAAGGGAGGGGAGGAATCATGTCACATTCCTTACTGATGAACTACCTAAAGGCAAACAGGACAGACCAGACCGCTAGCCTGGCTGGGCCATACTGTTGCGTGAATCACTTGCCTTTCCTTCCCATATATAAATATATACATATACATATATATATATATATATATATATATATATATATATATATATACTGTATGCATGTATGCTCTGGTGTGGGGGATACAAACAAGCAAACAAGTGTATTTGTAAATACTAGTATTTGGTTAGTATTTTGGCTAGCCAAATACTATGAATGAGCCAAATATTATTAGCAAAATACACTTGTTGAGGAGAGTGGAGGTGGTGCCATAAAAGAGACTGTTGCAGTAATCATCTCGTCTAGATTACTGCAACAGTCTCTTTTATGGCACCACCTCCACTCTCCTCAACAAACTTCAGCTTATCCAGAACTCAGCCGCCCGCCTCCTCACCCACACACGCTCCCATCAACACATCACCCCCGTCCTCCAAAACCTTCACTGGCTCCCCATACCCCATCGCATTCAATACAAAATCCTCCTCCTCACCCACAAAGCACTCCACAACCTCGCCCCCCTACCTACAGGATCTTCTCCACCCCTACATCCCCTCCCGCACCCTCCGCTCCGCCAATGCCAACCTCCTCACAGTTCCCCTGACCAAGCACCGAACCTGGGGGGACAGAGCCTTCTCAGTCGCCGCCCCCACCCTCTGGAACTCACTCCCACTTGAACTCAAAAACTGCACTGACCTCACCAGATTCAAAACCCTTCTCAAAACCCACCTCTTCCGCACTGCCTTTCATCCCTCCTAACCCCCCCCCCATTAGATTTTACCTGATTCTACATGTTTTTATTGACATTGTCGTAAATTTTATTACTCATTTATGTGTGTTTTATTGTTATTTGATTTTACCTGATTACATGTTTTTATTATATTGCCGTAAATTTTCTTACTTATTGATGTGTGTTTTTACTGCTTACTCTGTACAGCGTCTTTGTGTCTTTGAAAAGCGCTTTACAAATAAAATGTATTATTATTATTATTATTATTATTATTATTACTTGTTTGCTTGTTTGTATCCCCCACACCAGAGCATACATGCACACAAAACTCTTGCTTACAGAGCAGTATATGTGTGTCAGTACAAAGGGGTCATTATGAGGGTAAGTAGGGCTACTAAATGGATTTGAAGGCTTAATTAGCAGGAATGCCTAATTTTACTCTACAGTATTACCAATCTGCTCATTCATCCCCCTAAACTCATAGCATACATATTGAAACTGACACCTTTCAGAGGTACAAGTGTTTTTATCCAATCATTCAGAAGCACTTTGAGCATTTTTACTACCCATGTTCATTTTTCCATGGGTTCCTCACCTTTAATCTTATGTTCTCATAGCAGGATATTTACACCTCCACTTGAATCAAATCTAGAATCTGAATACACTGGGATTAAGTCAATAAAAAAAGCAATAAAATTAACCGTTTTTGATCATATCACCACTAACAGTAAGTTTGAGATGCTATTCAAAGCCCCCTCAACTTTATTCTGTCCATGGTTGACTAAAACTACTCTGATTTTATTTAACAGAATCTTTTCAATGCTGTGAAACTCCCTGCCTGTGCTGAAAAACTGAAACACAAGGAAGAGACAGTGGCGATGTGACCTTAGTCGACCGCAGCCTTTTACATTAGTACAGCGGGCCATAAAGTCTGTTTCTGAGCAGGTTAATGTGAAAATAAGGTTTTACTGTGTGAGACAGCGTTCATAAACATTTACAGGACGATCATCTGACAAAATGCCAAATTGTTTTATTGTTGTCCTCAGTCAGCAACAGCTGCTGGTACTCAGCTTTTGCTTTTGCTCTCTAACTTTCAGCCTCTCTGAGTAACACATTAGTCATCACTTTGAATTGTCCTGCCTCTTTTGTGTGTGTAGCGTGCGTGCGTGCATGTTTGTCTCTGTGTGTTAAATGAAACACAGTAGGAAGAACTACGTGTTGAGCATGCGTCAGTTTTCTTCAGATGGTGTTTTATTTAACCTGATTGGACTTATCTGTATAACTCTTGAAAGGTGTTCTCAATCTTACTGTTTTGTTTTTAAACCTTCTCTTTCTCTGTTAATTTCTCCTGCTTTCTTATTTTCCCAGCCTCGTCTCTGTCAGTGTACGGATCAGTGAGCTGCCCAGCCTGGTAGAAAATTGGAGTGGGGTTTTTCAAAGGGACCGGCAGTCAGTGAAGACCCCGCCCCTTCGTACTTAACGCCGTGACGTCGGGACGCAGCTCAACCTGCGCCTCTCTGTCACTCCAAAGCAGAATCTCCATCGGCCGCTTTAACCCCCGTGAACGCAGCAGAGAAATCACCTGTCAAAAACCACACAAAAGACTTTCGTCATCGAAAATGGAAGCCTCGTCCTCTTCTCTCTGTCAGAGCAGGTAGGACTGATAACAGTGGATGCTGGGGGAAAGTGCGCCTCATGGTTGTCAAGGCTACCCTGTAGCTTAATGATAATACGCGGCTTCAGCTGACTCTAAAAGCAGACAACGGTGTAATCATTGAAGACTGCGAGAGATAATCGAACCAATCGATGACACAAAGGCAAAAGAGGGCTAGCTTGTGACTTGGGATATCCTATATAGCCTACCCCTGTTAGTCGCTTGAATGTGTTGGCTTTCCTCTTCAGATGACCCCTGACGTCATAGGGTACAGGCTACAGGTGGTATCAGAGACTTTGGTCAATATTATAAATGTCTATAAATGAAATTAAGCTCGACTGCAGCCAACAAACCTGTCATCATTTAGGCTATGACATTGTCTCTTCGTCGGAGGTAGGCTAACAGCAGCCAGGACTGGTCAGACTTGCTTGTGAATGTAAAGTTTGATGGTGTTGAGAGACCAGTTCGCGTTGACATTTTCCTCAACAACAGGCTGAAATATCGAGTGCAGCTGCTTACCGATGGTGTGTTATTACACTGTAGCTGGTGTTTCGTTCTTTGAGACTTGTTAAAGTATAAAAAGCAAAAGCATGTTCAGGGGCGTGTCGTGTCGTGCTGTGACTGCGGGGAAGACACGAAGCAGACTGCTTCTCTTCTCTGCTCGGGTGCCTGGATGTCAAACTCCAGCAGTACCTCGGACAGCTCCAGGCGAGGGCGCGAGCCTGAGAGGGGAAGCCCACGAGCTCATTCTCTTCATTTCCTGCTCTTCTGGTCGCCATCTGCGTGGTTATATAAATAAGCTGGTCATGTAGGATAGATGTGACCTGCTGGATAAATGAACATGATTTGTTTGGCGTCTACTTTTAATGGGAAATATAAATTAGACTCAGTCTCAGGCCAATTTGAACATTATAATAAAATTATGATTTTATTATTTTAATATGCACAAGGAGGCACAAGACAAACATATTGCAAAAAGAGCATCATAGAAATATATGTAAATAAAACACGACATTAATATTATTAAAATGTATTTAATATTCGTCAAATGATTAACCCTAATAATGTTTTTGACACCTATTAGTAAGAAGATAAGAAATTCAATGGCTTTTGTCGGAAAGAAAATCGGATGAAGCAACTACGTAAATCAATATTAATACTTTGTCTTTTTTTATTTTTATTTTTTACACCATTTGGCCAAGAACAAAACCTTAAGTTTACGTGCAAAGCCTCAGGAAAAATGGAGAACTGAATGGAGATAGGAATGTCAAAAATATTTCTGCAGGAGTTTTGTTCACTTGGTTTAAGTGTGCACAATTTCCCTCAAGCATGCTAAAAAAAACTAACACAATCATGAACAAATAGGAACTGGCTCTGAAGTTGGCGTTAGAGCTGCTCTAAGATTTTTGTTAAACTTTTACACAAAAGTTGAACCCATTCAAAAGCCAGGCCAAAGAAACATAAAGTTACTGTTGAGGTTTGTACATTTGGATTGTTTGAATGTCCTTTGGTCAACCATTTTCTTGTCCTTAGCTGTTGTCCAGTTTCTCAGGTTTACAATTAAGAGGTCGAGCAGTGAGGAACGTGACAGGACCCCCCCCCCCCCCTCTTTTTTATGAAGTCAGTTTACAGTCCCTTATGTATAATATAACAGCATATAGTTAACACATTAAAATGTCCACATGTTTTTGTTGGACAAATTCTTTTTTATTGCTATATTGCTCACTTCTGTCATTATCCTAGGTTGATACATTTACTGATAAAAAGAAATGTTGATGCCAGGTCAAATGATCAGAATGGCTACCAGTTCACTTTATTACCTCCGCCAAGGAGGTTATGTTTTCGGTAGCGTTGGTTTGTTTGTTGGTTTGTTTGTTTGTTTGTCTGTGAACAACTTTACGGAGAAAGTTACAGACGGATTGACCTGAAATTTTCACCAGAGGTGCGTCTCAGCCCCAGGAGGATCCCATTACATTTTGGTGGTGATCCGGATCGCCTTCTGGATCCAGGAATTTTTTGAAGGATTCTTTATCATTGTGAGATAGGGCACATTTTGGAACTTTAACTCTATAAAAATGTCCAGAGTCTTTAGTAAAAAAAAATGACACAAAAGGATCTCAATGAGTTTTATGAGGTTTCAAAGGTTGATCCTGATCCAGACAAAATTCTGGATACTGTGATCCAGAACACACAAAAATAATGGTGTCGTTGGAATTTTCAATGCTGAAAGATAACCAATGGGCGGCACAGTGGTGTAGATAGGCGGCACAGTGGTGTAGTGGTTAGCACTGTCGCCTCACAGCAAGAACGTCCTGGGTTCGAATCCGGGTCAGGGCATTTCTTGTTTTAGGAACATTATGAACAGTGAACATACCATTTTAAACACAAATAAAAGTTCATAAAAGACACGTAACAGTAAAAGTTTTGGTGTGAATCACAATATAAGGGGGGACATGAGCTGCTTGGCGGCGGTCTGCGCTCTCCGAGAGCTTTTCTAGTTGAATCAGTAAAATTACACAATAACAGAGCAGCAGAATTTACAGTTATGTGGCCGATTTGTATGTCTGCCTGAATCTGATTGTTTGTATGGTGCTGCCATGACAACCTTAAGTATTATGTAAAGGGCAACTTCTGCAGCTGACAGGTTGGTAAGGGAACTAACACAACAGTTGTGCCACAGCTGTTTTTAAGAATAGGTAGAATACTTGTTGTTTCAATGACTCATTGAGGCACAAAAAGGATGATGGCTTTCTTTAATCTCTCAGAGGTTCAACCACTCACTGTAATAAAACATTCCTTTGCTTCTTCTTTTTGTTGTTGTTGTTGTTGTTGTTGAATCTAGAAACAAATAAAGGAAAAGGAATTATTCGAAGCGTGAACAAAAGCAACTCTAACATAACTTTAACTAGAATTCCAGCGTAAACATGTGTCTAAAACCAAAAGGCCCTGTGCTGCTGTAATTTTTGCAGATTTTTTTAGGCGGAGGCTGCAGCCTGAAGTCTCATTGTGTTTTATTAACAAAGCTTGAGCCCGGAGGGAATAGCAAAAAGGTTATAACTGTACAACCAGTTACACTGCTTCACTTGTTTAATGCATTTCCTTGAGGCTTGTCAGATCAAATGAAATATCTCTGAATAACAACAACACAGGTACACTTAAATACCACAGGAAAAACCTGTCCATCTGTTGCAATACAGTAAATTATAGTAAAATATTATTTTTTCTCATTATTGTTCTCTTCCTTTTAACTGCATTTTAAAGAGTTCTCTCATCCAACTATTGTTGTGGCAATGACTAGACTGGCTAATCAAGACAAGGATCTCTATCTATTCAATAAAACATTCCTAGAACTTGAGTTAAAGACAAAAAAAACAATCAGTTGTATTTGTCTGTTTTATCACTGGCATGTATGTAGGTGTGGACAATGATGTTTTTACTGATTCAAACATATTACCGGCTTGTTCTCTACATGCACTTTTTGTTGTTTTGCATCTTCTATGCTTAAGTCATTTAATGCCTTTTTTTGTTTCACTTGCCTAAATTTTTGCCAGTACCTTCTTTTGTGTCATTTACGCCATTGTTAAATGGAACTGTATTGTATGTTTGCTTCAATAGCTGAAGTTTAGTTTATTTTCCTGCTTGTTTTTCCTGTGCAATGACTCTTATTTTGAAGACAGACAAGGATTTCTCATGTAGTTTTCCTCTTTCTTTTCAGACACAGCTTTGAAGAGTGCAAAAAGACAGCAGACTGGTTGCTGGATAACACAAAGCAACGTCCAAAAGTTGCTATTATCTGCGGTTCAGGCCTTGGCGGTTTGGCTGAGCTGCTAGATGATAAGACTGTGTTTCCATACAAGGATATTCCTCATTTTCCTGTGAGCACTGGTAGGTGATCTCTGAGAAAGTGCGTTTTCTTGAAAAATTATTGCAAATGTTTGAAAAACCATATGGAGGCATGATAGCAACTGTTAATGGTATTGTGTTGCACAGTGCAGGGCCATGCAGGTCAGCTGGTCTTTGGTAAGCTGCAAGGCCGTGAGTGTGTCTGCATGCAAGGGAGATTCCACTTCTATGAAGGCTACAACATGCAAACCGTAAGTTGAAACAAAGCAACACCAACTGTCAACAGCTGATTCTGTGACAACTTGGTGCCAGCTAGATGCTTTGCTTGTGATGCTAGTATGTACACACTCAAAATGCAAACACATCATCACCTTAGTTCAATGTGAAAGTACCTTAAATAGTTAGATAGAATCCAAACACCTCTAATTACCGCCGCCAAGGAGGTTGTGTTTTCGGTAGCGTTGGTTTGTTGGTTTGTTTGTCTGTTGAAATTGTATGCTTTGCTATTGGCTAAGCTTGAATCATAAGAAATGATTAAGTACTCCATACTTTAACCAAATAAAATTAAATGACATAGGTGACATCACACTGTAGTGGGTTTAAGACATAAAACTGTAACTACTCTGTTGCATTGCAAACAGCTCTCAGTCAATCACTTGCACAGGCTAATTTTTACCATAGCTTTAAATTCTTACAAAAGTAAATGATAAACCGCACAAAACTTGAGACACCAGCTTTGTCTCTTTTTCTTTCACCCTAAGAAATCATTCAGAGACTCTGTTCCTCCTGTCACAAAAGCTTCCATAACATCACAGAAAAAAAAAAAACTCCTTCTCCTTCTGAGTCATTTGAGTTTTCACCTACCATAACCCGATTCTATGTTTTAAGAGTATCAAGGCGTGTAGACTCGGTGCTCTTATGACCCTTTAACTAGAGTCTGATAAACCATAACACAGCACACAACACTGGGTAAAAATTTACCATGCTGTTAAAAGATCAGCTGATAGACTGTTATGATCCACAGTCTGTTATAATGTATCATAAACTTTGGCCTGTGGAGAAACAGTGTGCTGGTTCTATTGTATTACCAGCTGAGATGCACCAGCTCCTCGGTAAATGATCCCTGTAATCCTCCATAATCATAAAAGCAAGTTTCATCACTGTGAATATACAGTCACTTGCATTCTGACTTTTTCTTGCGACAGTGCTAACCACTACACCACTGTGCCACCCATTGGTTATCTTTCAACATTGAAAATTCCAACGACACCCTTATTTTTGTGTGTTTTGGATCACAGTATCCAGGATTTTGTCTGGATCAGGATCAACCTTTGACATCTCATAAAACTCATTGAGATCCTTTTGTGTCATTTTTTACTAAAGACTCTAAAGATAAAGAATCCTTAAAAAAATTCCTGGATCCAGAAGGCGATCTGGATCACCACCAAAATGTAATGGGATCCTCCTGGGGCTGAGACGCACCTCTGGTGAACATTTCAGGTCAATCTGTCCGTTACTTTCTCCGTAAAGTTGTTCACAGACAAACAAACAAACAAACAAACAAACAAACCAACCAACAAACCAACGCTACCGAAAACATAACCTCCTTGGCGGAGGTAACTAGAGATAAGTCTGTAATATGCCATGAAAGGATATAATCAAATGTATATACCAGGTGTAAAAACAATTAATTTTAGCAGTATTACATTAGCATTAGCATTTATCTTGCAAGCACCTGACCATTATTTCATTGAACTTCCAGAGTGGCTCTATAGCCTTTTTTTCCCTACTTTTTACCAGGTGACACTAACAGTCAATATTGACTGAAAACTGGCTCAACAAGAAATATCACTCCCCAAAGCTAAACAATGCAACAAAGTCAACTCACCATTAACAGCCACCCATTTTGAGTGGTCAACTTGACTTATGACTTAATCAGCCATTATCATACACAAAATTCATGCCAAACAGGCCAGTGTTTTAAATGATGGCACTGACCTTATCAAGAAACCATAGTATTAAAAACATTTCCGTAATAAGTCACAGGAAAGTTGGCTGTTGAGTAACACGAAATAGCAAAAGTAGATGTGACAGCGGTGAAAGGTAACACAATGCAAATACAGGCCATCAGCGTTCTTACAAAGGTTAATCCAGTCAAGGTACTGTATCAGACATGCTCACTTCACAGACAACTACAACAACAGACACTTCTGAAGTCAGTGTATGCTGCTTTGGGAATATTCGCTGCTTATCTGATATGTGCTGACTTCTGTTGTATCTCCATCTTGGATATCCCACTTGTAATTATCTGATTTAGATCAGAGCAATGAAAGAATGACAGTATCAGTCCCTGAACTATCGCACGCTTATCTCTCCAGGTGACATACCCAGTGCGAGTCTTTTTCCTGCTGGGTGTGGAGACTCTGATTGTGACAAACGCAGCGGGGGGACTCAATGGCAGCTTCAGTGTGGGAGACATCATGCTCATTAAGGACCACATCAACATGCCAGGCTTTGCAGGGCAGAACCCACTGTGCGGACACAATGATGAAAGGTGCAAATATCTTACTAAAACTGTAAAATACATTAAAAAAAAACCAGTGATTAGAGGTTTAATGCTATTTCTCATTATTTAAATTATGTCTGTACAGGTTTGGAGTGCGTTTCCCGTGCATGTCAGATGCGTATGATCGTGAGCTGAGGGCTCTGGCCAAGCGAACAGCCGAGGAGCAGGGCTGCGACAACTTTCTCCAGGAGGGAGTTTACTGCATGCTGGCTGGACCGACATATGAGACCATTGCAGAGTGCAAAGTTCTGCAGACACTTGGGGCTGATGCTGTAGGTTAGTACAGCTCCCTCATGCTCACTTAAAGGGATACTAATGTGTCCTGGGAAAACCTCTTGGTATGATGCTTACTGGGGATATGTAGGGGTATGTCACTGAATGTGATGACATGGTGTGGATAAGACAAAAGAATGCACTCTGAGTGGATGCAAATTGCAGTGATCCCTGAAGCAGTGTGATTGGCTCCGCCAAGGAGGTTATGTTTTCGGTAGCGTATCATTTATATCCGCAGAAGATGTCGGATCTAAACCATTTCTGCTGACTTTGCAGAGTCAACTGCAGAATTAACGGCGTTCTGAATGAACGGCGCTTTGAAAAGTCCCACAGCATATGTTAGACGTAACCATCTACACATGGACCAATCAGGGGCAGCCTTTCCCTGTTGTCCGGGGAACAGTGGAAACACAGTCAGTGTTTGGTTATTTTCTTATCGCTAATACACGCTCCAAATGGGCCGAAGTGAATGCATAGACATATAACTTTTAAATTAATTATGCCATCCTTGAACCAAATGAATGAATGAATGAATGAGGGGCATTTCGTAGGTTTTGTTCATACAGTTCAGTTTTCAGTTTGTTATGGACCACACGCCTGTTATAGAACTTCACTGATGTCTCTGCAGGAGCTTCAAGCGTCAAGTCGGGGAAAATAAGCCACGATGATGTCAGCAGTGGTTGGAGATTAAAATTTGATTACAGGAGCCTGTTATGGTTTGAGCTAGGATTTTTAAAACACAGCTCTATGCCAGGCAGGGGATATCGAATAAAAGCCTCTTTCAAATTGACTATGCAATGCAGAATCCAGTTGCAGAGTATGAATCATTATAAAAACTAGAGATAGATAAAATGATCAGATGTAAGACAGGATAAGAAAGGAAAGATATGTTAAATAATATAACAACTGACAGACAGACAGAATTCCTGACTGACTAACTAACTGACTGATCGATCTCATTCTTAAGCTACATCTAAAAATAAACTCTTTTCTCTGTAAAGGCATGAGCACTGTACCAGAGGTGGTGGTGGCTCGTCACTGCGGCCTGCGTGTCTTGGGTCTGTCGCTCATTACCAACAAGGTGGTGATAGACTATGACAGTGGTGAGAAGGCGAACCACGAGGAAGTGTTGGAGACCACCAAGCGCCGAACAAAAGACCTCCAGAAGCTCGTCAGCCACCTCGTCACCAAGATCTAGTCCCTTCGGCTGAAGTCTGCAATAATCTCACAATTAAGTCAGCTGTGGTTGTTAGATTTGGACAAAAGGTAACCAGACTGTGCACATGGTGAGAAAATCAGGTTAATACGGATCAGTTTTGATTTTGGTGGTTTTATTTTATCATTAAACTAGTAGGTTTGGGGTGCTATTGAAGTTCTAGAGGAGGGAGTTAAAGAAAAATATTGATGATGTAAACATTAGGTGTCTGTTTAAGCTCTTATGTCCACAGCATTACTTGAATACTGGCAAATATGTCAGAGGTATAATCTGTTCTTTTACAGCAAGATTCTTCTTTTTTTTAAGAATGTCATAGCTTTGATTTTCTTTGATGGACTTTTGATATCTGAATAGAGAAAGGGTTGACTTGATTATTGTTTGTTTTGACATTTTTTGGCTTTTTCCCTGTCTGGGGCTTGTAATAATCAGGGGTTATACCAGACCTCAGTGCTCATCTCTGTTGCCTTTGGACTCAGACCTCTCTGGCATCAAGCTGTCAGTGCTACAAAGTACTGTAACAAGTGCAAGACTATTAATGGAAGTTGAGAGAACTTGTTGAGTTGCTTATGAACAAATGAAACCTCAGTTTACTGGTATGATCATGCCAATGATAACAGCATCCTGTTCTTATAGATGTAGACTAAGCTATGTTTAAATATTTACCTCAATTTTGGTTTTAAATGTCGTCATGAACAACTTCTAATATTTGTATTCTTTTTGAATACATACTTTACATCTTGTTTGCCTTCAGTGAGACAACTGTATTCAACTAACATCTCTGAATACATGATTTTACAGCTGAAGAAGTTTTAAAAAGACACTTTGCACTTTTCAGTCAGCCTTCTTTTGGCAGTGCAGGGCCAGAGTAGACAGCCCATTACGTATCCAGAGGGATTTGAACAGCTTTTCCAGATGGTAATCAGTGTTTCTATTCGAAAAGATTTCTTGAGACTTAGGAGGATCAATAGCATCAAATGTCAGATACTTTCCTTTATAGTAGTGGTAATCATGGTGCGATTAATACCTTTTTTGTGACATTCGAAAAATACTGTATATTTAATTATGCTGTACTAAGATTTGAGCTGCATATTTTTATAATAGAAAATGCTTCTTATTCTAGCTAATATATTTCCGAGTTAAAAATGTAAAAAAAATGCACAAGGCAATATCTCAATTCACCTTTTATTGCCATTGAATTTAAGCTTGGCTGATTTACGTTGTAGCAAGCCTGTCCTATTCTGGAAGGCTTTCACAGTAATCACCATAAAAAGCACAATATAATCTATGAGAAATGCTGAAAGTTAAAGCTGATTAAGACAAGCAGCGGTGATATATGAAGGCTTTTCTGCGGTGGATTGCACAGATCAGTTTTATTTGTACAACAAGAGACCACAACACTGTAATATCAGGCAGAGCTGTATTACCCAGGCCTGCAGTTTTCAATCTCCCCTGCACTGATCTGGAACCTCCTGCCAGGTCCCTTTGACCAACTCATTCATTAGAGCTGGAAAGGCCAGAGAAATCCTAGATCAGCAGGTCCACCTCTTAGACCATTTATATCAGGCTTATCATCAAGATGTTAATGGAAGTCTTAAAGGGGAATTACACTCAGAGTGAAAGCTACCATCATCAAACTGTAGAAACCTTAAAGATGCTGCTGCTGCATTTATACTAAACAGGGAAACTGAAACAAATTCAGATGATTTGTGTGAAAATGTTCTTTTGTTTCCCTGTATTTGCACAACTAAAGATCTGCAATATGTTTCTTTCTGGTTTGTTTTCCAAAGTTTTTATTTTTGACTTACTGTACACTCTGATGAATGCTTTAAATCTAAATGTATGAGTTCTCAGGTTACTTTGATTTAGTTACAAGCGTGGACTGTACATACCATGGACGCCGTCTGCCTCCTCGCTGGGTGAAGCCACCACAAGAACAGCACCCCTGGTGACGGGCTGCAGTATAGGTCATAAATCCCGCTTCCTCCAGCAATCCCTAAGGAGCTGTGGACAAACTTTAGAAATCGATTACACAGAAAATACATTTTTCTCCCCTCTGGTTGCGATGTTGACATAGTTACTGTAAGACTGGTTTGTGCTCAAGTCCTCTTTTTTCTGTGCAGCTCCATTTTTAAAAGTTAGGAGGTTTACGAGTTCTATGATTGTCACTTGATACAGCCTATGGGTGTATGGAGATTGTGTAGCTCACCCGGGAAAGTTGCTGTTTGAGCCGAGCGTCATCACAGTGACTCTCGGCGATTCTCCCGCCGAATGCATACAACGCTACAGCGCAAGTGGTTGTTCCTGGAAGTGGAGAAAAAAACAGGAAATACTGAGACCTTTTTGGCTTCAAATCTGTATACCGGCGGAACCAAGTTGTCCATAGTGTATACAGTCTATGGTTAAAAGACAAACCTGCTTTATTTTAAAACTGTATTTTTTCATGTCAACTGTATTTGCTTTTTGCTGTCAAATAAAAACTGATAACACTAAACGCTACTCTTTAGTCCCACAAATGTTTACGAGTGTTGGACACGTGAGTGAGAGCAAGTATGTTATATAACATACTTTCTGAATTTATGAAGAGGGGGAAAAAAGCAGTTCCTTCAGGATCTCAACAATGCCTAAAGAAAGTTTGATGAAAGTGCAAACTGCCCCTCTCCACCTTCCTCCAAAACAAACATTAACACCTCATCAACACCTCCCTCCCCCTTTTCTCTCTGCTTGTCTCTCTGGCTGCACGTTAATCCTTCACTTTAGACACAGCTCAGAAGACGACGCTGTGAGACTGCGAGAAAGTGGAAATGGCTGTTTCATGCTCCGCTCCTTTCTGTTACATAATTCATCTCTATACAGCATGTGGGGGTGCAGCCCACTGTGGAGCTGAAATATTAATACAAATGAAGCAGGCAGCGTGGTAACACAAACACAACACCTCTACTCAGCTGGGTTGTATTTACACTGAAGTCTCACAGCTTAGCTACACAGTGAGAAGTGAGATGTCTGCAGCAAAGACTCACATGTCGAATGCAAATTGTAGGCTCTCTGCTTTGAATGGGAGGAAGCAGTGGACAGGGCACACAGATAAAGACAGACGATATGAGTGAGTCAAGAGAATAAGAGCGGAGAATGAAGTGTGTTTGAGTCGGCAGTCCCCGCAGACTGGCGACAGGCCTCATCTGTAATGTAATGTTGATCTATCTATTGTTCCTGTGCCAACTGAGCTCAGAGCCTGCTATTGATTACTATTGGGTGAAAAGAGAAGCTGAGGAAATAGAGTGGGACAGCTTTGCTGAGTTTACACTCTTAAACACTGTCACACACACACACACGCACACACACACACACACACACACACACACACACACACACACACACACACACACTCACTCACAGTCTCTCTATCACACACACACAAGCTGCTCCCATGCACTGTCATGTCATGTATCAGAGCTCACACAGTCCATGAGACAGCATTGCGCCTCTTATTGAATGTGACTTTACAAGCAGAAGAAATAATGTTAGTGAGGGGATTTCTCTGCTGACTTTCACACACCGCCTCCCAACAGAAGTCTGCTGCCAGCAGTGTGTCAGCACTGTACCAGCCGGCAGGCTGGATCTGAAAAATTCCTGCCTCACCTCTGAGGACACTTGACAGATCAAGTTCAATAACACATTTATGGGCGTGGTGGTTGCCAACTTGGTTTACATGGACCCATCTTCATAATTGAAGACAACCATGACTCCAAGCACTGATATGACAATATATGAACCCAAAATTAAGTTTACACAGGATTCATGACATGACAACAAAAAATGCTGTACCAAGAGTAGACCCAGAAACTGTTCATTAGACTCAACACATCTTTGCAGATATTTTGTTTCAATGAGCTTTTCCAGGAATGCTTCAGTAATTTATGGTCTGTTAAAGAGTAAGACTATTGGATTGAATTGGATTGGGGCCAGGAGGTAATTTGCTTAGTTTAGCTTAGTTTAGTTTAGCTTAGCTTAGTTTAGCTTAGTTTAGCAAAAAGACCTGAGACAGATTGGAATGGCTAGTCTGACCGTCGATCCGAAGGATACTTGTATTCTAATTTCCAAGTTTAAAGAGACATATAAATTCCAACAAACCCACAATTCTAACAGTTGGGGGGAAAAAAAATAAAATTGAGAACAATTTATCAAACACAGCTAAACACAGGATCACAGAGTCTGGGAAATAAACAATGTTTCACCGGTTTGCTGAGTGTAACTGATAGCATCACAAGCCTTTTGCAAAAAAAAAAAAACAAAAAAAAAACAAGAAAAAAATGCCTCAAATTTACCTTCCCTGAAACCACAAGTTATCATACAAATCATGCACCTCTGATATAGTAAGGGACATGTTTTGTATCTTTGGTAGAGCTAGCTTGTTCCTCCTGCTTCAAGCAGCTTCCTGCTGCCTCTTCTATTTTTTATACATACATGAACAAAGTACTTTATCAATTTTTTCATCCAACTAAACACACACACACACACACACACACACACACACACACACACACACACACACAAATAAAATAAAATAAAATAAAATAAAAAACTCACTAGGAATGTGTCCAAACCATAGACTGTATCTAGGATAGACCTTTTTCACAGTACGCGGAAGTTAGCATTCTGGTCACTTCCGGTTTTACCGTGTGGTGGAGCCACTTAGCATCGCCCATAGACGGCCATTCATTTTCCACGATATTAACAAGCTCACGACTCGTTTTTTTGAAAGGTAATGTAAAATTTTATGCGTTGTGCTGTTTGACTTACTCCTGTTCTTCATACTACTGTCCGGACTTGGTACTTTACTTTTCGGGAATTATGTTTAATAGGTCTGGAAATAAGTGGGTCTGCTCACTTCCGCGTACTGTGAAAAAGGTCTATGGACGCCGTCTGCCTCCTCGCAGGGTGAAGCTACTACAAGAACAGCACCCTCTGGTGACGGGCTGCAGTAAAGGTCAGTAATCCCCCCTCCTCCAGCAATCCTGTGGAGCTGTGAACAAATTTAAGAAATTTATTACACAACAACAAAAATTTTTCTCCTTCCTGCTTGCGGTGTTGATATGTAGTTACAGTAAGACTGGTTCGTGCTCAAGTCCTCTTTTTTTCTGTGCAGCTCCATTTTTAAAAGTTGTTAGGGTTCATGATTTCTAAAATTGACACTTGCTACTGCCTATGGGGGATACGCTGTTAGAGCCAAGCGTCATCACAGCCACTCTCCTGCCGAATGCATACAATGCCACTGCGCAAGTGCTAGAGTGTCTACAACGCTACAGCACAATGTCTGTTTCAGGAAATGGAGAAAAATTGCAGGAATACAGAGAGCTTTTCAGCTTCAAATCCCTATACTCGCAGAAGGCGGAACCAAGTTGTCCATAGTATATACAGTCTATGGTCCAAACCATGACATGAATTTAGCATCTCTGTGTAAAAAGACGTTTCAGAACATTTGCTACATTTTAAACTTTCCAGCTTTTAGCCAAGCAGCAATCTACAGTATAAAGAAATGAAGCTGATGCTGAAGAGCTAAATACTGCAGTTCCATGAGTGCCCACTTGAAGCTGGCTGCGGAAGTACCTGGAACCATGTACACACTGGTCCAAAAGAGCCTGTTTTCAGAGCAAAAATAAATGTGTTTCAAGGAAATGGTTTTAATCTGATCCTTTTTTTAAAATTATTATTAAGGCAAAAAGATCAGCAAGTAAGTGGCACAGCTGAGTGACAGGAAGGCAAACTGTAGCCATTTGTAAGGAGGCTGAAAAACCTACCTCTGGTAGGTTGACCAAAAGTTAAGTTGAGCCAGCATTTCCAATTTGACAACCATAGCCAATAGGATTTAAAACTCCTCTTCAAAAACAAATGGGTGACATCACAGACACTACATCCAGTAATTATACAGTTGTTGCTTTTAGTTGATAAACTTAAAGACACAGCTGGTTGCAATTGTTGTATTGTTTACCTCAACAAGCCCCCGTCTCAACAGACATATTTGACATGTGAAAGCCATGAAAACACCCAAACACATGTTCCCTCAGCTGCCATAATTCAAAACACTCGGGACAGAATCAACTGTAATCATCATAAAAAGATTGTACATCGTTTCTAATTACCCTCCAACATGTTTTGCAGAATCACATGTGACAGCCAATTGAAAAATATTAATATTCTCTGTATGAGAAAAGCTGTCTCTTTGCAGAACTCATCCAACTGCAAGAACAAGCTTCTGGGGATACTTGCCCTCTTGCTCATTACAGCCTTATTACTTCATCCTGAATATTATCACCTCTGCGGTAAATGAGTTCAAGAAATATATACTTTTTTTTTTCCATCCTCGTTCCCTAATAGGATCTGTGGCTTTGCCTGCCCCTCTTTACAGAAGACTGGTCATTAATGAAAAGACCCTTCTTAGCACCCCTTCTCTTTTTTTTCCAGAATTTACATTTATTATGTGGGCTAATCACTGCTGGCTTGAGGCAGTGTGGGAAATGTGATTAGTGTGTGAGTTCTAATTAAGTCTGTGAAGCCTCACACACTGGCAGACAGGCTGGGGGAGCTGCACGCTTAGATACACACACAGATGTAAGAAAGAGCACACACTCTAATGCAGACACACATTTCACATGCATGCTGGTGTAATGCGTGATAATTCAACACAAAAACAAGATGCACTGTCTGCATCCTCTATCTACACTTTCTCAAGCACACAGTCCTCTGTGCACACACATACACACACATCTGTCCACTGCAGTGCTGAAGACGTCCTATCACACAACTATATCAAGCATGTGAGCGCGTGCAGACACACACACTCTCTCTCGCGCTCGCTCTCTTTCTCTCTCTCAGGACGCTGACTCAGATGGAAGTCAGATTGGTGAGATTGCGCCCCCAGCGGTGATGCGGCGGTTCTGCCGCTTCTGCACCGGGGTTAAAAAGCGGCGGGCGGCGCACCGGGGCCACAGTGTGGGGTGTATTTGAAGAAGAGACACAGAAAAGTTAGAAGCGGATTTTTCTGATCTGCAGCAGCATCCGTCGAGAGCATCATGGCAAACAAACCACAGCAGCCTCCTCACCTGCACCTGGCCGAGGTCACCGCATCCCAGTTCCTGGACATTTGGAAACATTTCGACACAGACGGTAGGACACTTTCGCCTCCTTAGAGTTAATGCAAACTCAAAACCGGTATGAGAGAACTTCATCTTACTGCAGATCTTCACATTAACTTGTTTTGTGGAGGGTTTTCAAAAGCCTCATAAGGGAAAACTCGGAGGCATCATTATGAGAAAAAGTGCTCATAATAAGATTTAGGAAATCAATCCGGGCAATGTTTTTTAAAATCTTTTTTTTTGTTTGTTTGTTTGTTTGTTAAAGAGGCAAATCAGTGGATCAAGACATAAACAAACAAACAAAAAAGGACAAGGTTGTGTTTAAGGAATCTCACATCAAAAGGATTGAAGTAGACGGGATTAACACAGTCCTTTATCAAGTTGTCTGATTATATAATAAAATATTTAAAAAGGCATTTTCTATCGTTCATATGATGTTATCGTGATATCCAAAATATTCCATGGCTAAAAAGTTCACCTTCCGTCAGATTAATTTGAGATCCGAACCACTCCCGTTGTCGTCACGTGACAGGACCGTAGGATATTTGTAATAATGATCTGTATACCCTAAAAATATGAACTGTTTGAATGCTGTGGCTGGTCAGTGCTCATGAGAAGGCACACCCGTTAAAGGAGGGGAAATGAGTTTTCAATGTTCTAAACGAAGTTTTTTTTCTTTTCTGTATTTTATTTATATTGACAGCTCAGGTTCCACTTGAACTGCATGACTTACAGTGAACCACATTCAAAGAATTAAAAGATCCACCCAATGTAATGCCAGCTGTTTGCCTGTTTCTATATGACAATTGGTCCTGTCATTGTCATTTTACAACCATGACAGAAAACGATTCAAATAAACATTTGAAGTTTGATTTTGTAATTGATTCATCACTTCATTAGTGGCTTAATTTGAATGAAGTAACTTACAAGCACTGACTGCTTGAATGTTAAGTAAGTAATTGGCTCCAGCTGATGGGGCTTATATCGATTTCCATTTCCACTTGATGACTTTTTTTTTTTCTTTAAGTTCCATCAATAAGGTCTCTCAGCGAAGTGCAGTGAGAAAACAGATTACTGATGTATTGGTGTGATCGCTTTCAACAGAAATTTTGAATTTTATGCACTAATTTGTTTCAAAAGCCCCTCCCTCCTGCTTCACATAAACACACATACACGCAGACACACACTGGCACATCGTGTTTCTTCCCCACTTCAAACCCGATAGGTGTCTTTCCTTCTGCCATTGATCCTCTCTCTTTGTCTTGCCACTTTGAAAACATCCCTTCCTGTATGTGTGTTGCAGTGACTGTATGACAGGGGTCAACATATCCATGAGCTTTGTCAGCGCTGTCAAAAAAGGCTCCTAAGTCTGATTATGCAAATGTTCGTACTTTCATTTCACCTAAAGGTCTGCAGACTCCTCTGTGGATGAATGACATTCTGTGACCTGGTAAAAATGCTGATGAAACATTTTGAAATTCACTGGAGTGACTCAAAAGTCCACTGTGGTTAATCTAAAAAAAAAAGAGAGAGAGAGAGAGCTATTTCCATTGTGCTTCAAAACTTTGTGACTCAGACTGTTTGCTTTCCTGGCTGCTGGTGGTCATTTCAGACAGAAGGGCTCAAGCTCACAAGTTCAATCGGCTGTCTTTAGATGTCAAAAATACACCTGCTGACAAGGCTATGTGATGCACCTATTTCTCATTCACACACACACACACACTTACTCCTGGGAATTCATTGTTACGGCGATCTGTTTTTGACGCCTGTACATGCTGAAAGGTTCTCCCCGGGGAAATCAAGGTGGCATGAAGAGTTTGGTGGCGTGGCACAGCAGCTGAGCTCCTCCATACAAGACAATGTGCAGAAAAAGTTGTCATTTTCTTCTCTGTTTCATCCCTTTAGTCCTGGTTTGTGCATATCAATAGAAAGCCATCACCCCCTCATTGTTTCAGTCCACTGCAGAGGTCTTTTACATACTGTGATTTGCAATAAGCCACTTTGCAAATCAAATACAACCAATGTGGATCAACAGATTTAGCTACAACGCTCAATTCCTGGTCTCATTACTGGGAGTGTCTTCTGGCTGTGCAGAAAGAAAGGCAAGCTAATTTGTTTGCTCAGTTTGAGTAAACATCTGAGTTGCAGATAAAAATACACAAGGGGGGCGATGCACCCAGAGATGGTACCACATATTCCCCTGTTGGCCTAGGATCAAGTCTCATCTGGATTGCATCTTCCCTCAGCTCCATTGCTCTGTGTCCCTCTCATCTTTCGCTGCTGTCTCTCTCTGTCAGGTCTTTTCAATGCTATTACTTCAAAGCTGGAGAAGGAAGCAACTGCAGTGTCTTAAGCTAATTATAGAGCTGTCAATTATTTTGATTAACCTGGATATGGAAATTCAGAGTTCGAAGCAATATCCGCCTCCTGTATTAAGCCAGCTGTGATCTCAGCACCAAATATTTGAATAGACAAAGCTGCACTCTCGTTGAAAGGCAAATGCACTTTATATAGGATTTAAATATGCACTTGTGTGGCACAGCTGCCTGCTTTGAGAGTTTTCTGAAAAGTGTAGTGTTGAATTTTAAAATCAGAACTTGTAGAGGAGTGAAGCATCTTACCCACATCTCCCGGGACTGTAATGACGCACTTTCCCAAAGAGTGTGTATTTAGGCCAAAAGTGGTTTTGTGAACCTTTTATCTTGCTGGTTGGTGTATGCTTTGAGTGCATGTGCAAAAACACCAGAGGATAGGAAACTAAGTATGAAGGGGAGGTCTCATTACGAGATATAAAACAAGTTATTTGACAGTTAAACTAAACGTTCTTGAAGTGAGCCATAAAGTATGGCTGCTTGCTGGCATTTTTTACATCGCGAATACACAGTGGATTTACTTTACTGCAAGATGGACACACTCTCATTTGGCTGTGGCAAATTAAGCATTTATGAGGGGAAAAAATGTACATTCACACAACATACTCATGGAGCATGATTAGAAGCACAGTGCATAGAAATGGTAATGATCGGCAATAGCGGTCAGATGAAAATGCTCCCTTGCTTATCCCTCCAGTCGGTGAAGTGATGGGAACCTTTTCAGACGAGGAGCTCCTGTGATGCACGATAAGTGTGGCCCTTCATTTGTTGAGTTTTTTCACCATCAATAAAAATCCATCAGTTGTGGTGTGATGAAAAGCCACTAGACACTAGATTGGGCTCGTGAGAACAAGAAGAGAAGATATTTTAACGCTAATTCAAGATCTCTCGCGAAAAAAAAGTACTTTCATTCAAGTGTACATTACAAATGCAAAACAAAGCAGGTTAACTAGCAATATGGTCAAGCTGTTTACGTGACCTGTTTACAGCATGTTATTGCTACCTCTGCTTCAGTGGCAATTAGGGCAATATTGACTTTTAGCAAGTTTTTTTATCCATACATAATCAATATGTATCCCTCGACAATACTTGTGCATCTTGGAAATCTTTAATTACAAGCTAACATGTTGTAACCAAGAATTGTGAATCGTGTTAAACTGATAATTAAACACACTGTTCTGCACTCTAACAGCGTGAGGTAAAGGAGTTTAACAGGCAGGCAATGTGAAAATAATTGTGGGCTTCAATGCGGTCGTGAAGTCAGGACTCTGAGGTCCCTGTGTAATGAAACAAAACATGTGACACAGCTGTATCATGTGAACAATCACATTCACAGGTTGGAGCCTTACCTTCAAAGATCAACATTTTATTTTTGGGTAGGGATGCCTTTACCTAAAGCACAAACAAGCCATACGCTTTTTCACTGCCACTACATCTTTGTAATGCTGCATCTGCAATAAAAAAAAGTGACAAACTCACCTAGAGCTGCAGGAAAACAGTGTAAAAATCTCACAAGATAGCTTTAAACTCAACGAGGAATCTCATAACCCCCAAAATAAAGAGATATCCTGGCATGAGTTTACTTCTGTCATCATAACAACTTTTTTTGTGCTAAATGACCACTCTTTTCTTCAGCTTTTTCCTGCTCTAATCTGTACACCTCACACAAACACTTACCAAATAGACAAATGCATGTGATGCAAGTTCTATGCATGTTCCGTGAAACTGTAGAAAAAACGCAAGATGGCAACCTGGAAAGAGATCCTCTCTTAATGTTGATAGAAAAGGCTCAATCTAAGTTAAAAAAAAAAAAATATATATATATATATATATATATCAGTGGCGGCTGCTGGTCTTTCAATGAGGGGAAGCTCATTTTTCTGGCCTACATCATAATTGTATTTGTTTATTAGTATGTAACAGAACAGAGTCGCCAAACACAACGGCAGTCGTTTTTAATAAAGACAGAAGTCGCTGAGGATCGGTAAAGTCTCTGGAGCAGTTAAGAACAACAGAATGAATGACTTGGAAAATGCTCTGGTAGATGTTTTATTCTTCAAGATCGCTGATTCGCTTGTTTAGCTGTCAATCAAAAAAAGATTTCGCCTCAGACAGCTCATCCAATCATGGATGCAGAAGCTTGCAGTCCGGGAGAAAGTCGGGACCGCCCTCTCGCCATAGAACTCCAGTGAAGCTTAGCTTCCATTGGGCGGGACAAAGCCCAGCATTTATGCAATGAGCGTCTAGTTTCGCTGCTGGAACAACCCACTTTTAGCTTCCACATTGAAGTCAGCAGAAGCCCAGCGTCCGGCTGTTTAAAGCGCTGAGGCGCTGCGAGGATGAATGAGAACGAAGTTATGCCGGTTACCTATGATTATCAGCTTCTTATCACAGTGTCTGAACAAAAGTTGAAGGCTTTCTAGTGCGTATTTAGTTAATGAAATGTACACACAGCCGTACGTATTTCACCACTTTTTCTTTTTTTGGGGGGGTGACATTTTAAGGGAAGCCGAGCTTCCCTTGCAGTCTTAGAGCAATCGCCACTGATATATATATATATATATATATATTATATATATGAAAGCCTTCATCTTTTGTTCAGACACTGTGATAAGAAGCTGATAATCACAGGTAACCGGCATAACTTCGTTCTCATTCATCCTCGCAGCGCCTCAGTGCTTCACACAGCCGGACGCTGGGCTTCTGCTGACTTCAATGTGGAAGCTCAAAGTGGGTTGTTCCAGCAGCGAAACTAGACGCTCATTGCATAAATGCTGGGCTTTGTCCCGCCCATCGGAAGCTCAGCTTCACTGGAGTTCTATGGCGAGAGGGCGGTCCCGACTTTCTCCCGGACTGCAAGCTTCTGCATCCATAATTGGATGAGCTTTCTGAGGCGTAATCCTTTTTTGATTGACAGCTAAACAAGCGAATCAGCGATCTTGAAGAATAAAACATCTACCAGAGCATTTTCCAAGTTATTCATTCCGTTGGTCTTAACTGCTCCGGAGACTTTACCGATCCACAGCGACTTTTGTCTTTATTAAAAACGACTCTGTTCTGTTACATACTAATAAACAAACACAATTATGATGTAGGCCAGAAAAATGAGCTTCCCCTCCTTGAAAGACCAGCAGCCGCCACTGATATATATACATTTAGGTAAATAAACACTAATGTAAAAATAATCACAATTACTATATCCCCTCTGTACTAAGTTTGTTCCGCTAAATGCTGCTATCCTACCCATCATACTCTGCCTCATCGCACTAGTTAAACAGATGTTCACTTTTGTACATAAGATGGGATGTATAGGTTGTACGTATAATCTATTCATAAGTTTGTTTATGTTGTCATTTCACGCCATATGGCTTGTACTTCATCACATCGCTTCCTGTTTAATTATCAAGCCAACCATTTCCCTCCTGAGTACTAAATGTCAGTAGGATCCACTGGAGGGAGGCAGGGTCGCAGTGAGTCATTTTATGGTTTCATTTATTGAAACAGCAGAGCTGCTTTTCTTGCGTTTGGATAACATCACTGAGGAAAGCATAAATGCTCACACACATACTGAAGAATTTCTATGGGTAGAACAAAGAGACCAAGATGCTGGCTGGATGGGAAGGGGAGGTTGTTTGATAAGAGATGGCATTGAGAGAAAGAGAGGTAGAGGAAGTGGATGATGGCATGATAATCTTTGTTAGTGTTTAATGAGGCAAGTCTGCCTTCCAGGGTTTTATTGAAGTAGCTCGCTACATCGTTTGGAGCCATCTGTCCGACCATCCAGCATGCTTGTTGATGGAAGATTGGCACAGGTTCACACAGTACCTAGGTGGAGCAGGCATACATACATTTGTCCTCAGAATAGACACAAAACACCAGGCACATAGAAAAAATAGGATAAAAAAAGAAAAACAACCTTATTGTCCCTGAGATAAATTTGTCCACAAGGATCTACAGATAAATAGGATCTACATGAACTTTCGATATAGGCCAGATCTGACAACAGTGATACTGGAGCTGTCAAAGTGACTGACAGTATGCATTGAAACAAGGTCAAGACATCTTTTGAAGACAGGAGATCCGTTCTCTACCACAAAATATCTTTTCTGTCATGAGTCCAAATAATCAAAATAGAAAGTGTCACATTACACTGTAGCCCCAATCGATTGGTCTTGTATACTTCACTCCCTGCTGAAGACAGCATTGATCTCTGTGGAATAAAGAAGCCTTGTGCGGATCATCACCTTTCACATCCAAGAAAAGCAATTTTCCATAAATAGGCTTTCCTAGCGTACAACCCTGTGAACGGGCAGTCTTTTTGGAGTGATCAGTTTGCATGGTGTCCGTCAATAACCTAATCTATTGAACCAGAAGGGAAGGAGGAGTTACTGGCAAAAGGCTCATGTTTGAATCAATACTAGGGCAAAACTGAGCCATCTTTGTATCTGTTTGACAATGTCGTCTGTGGCCACATCTGTCCTGATGGTTTCTTTACATGTCAGCGATTCTGAAGATAGCCGTTAGAGACATGTCATGTTATTATCTGTCTGTCTCTCAGGTAATGGCTACATTGAGGGAAAGGAGCTGGAGAACTTCTTCAGGGAATTGGAGATGGCCCGGAGAGGAGCAGGGGTGGTGAGTTCGAAATCAAAAAGGCTTTGTATATGTAGACTAAGGTTTGCCTTTTATTCAAAAAATTGTATTGTGATTCCTAGGACCCCTCAAACCCCACATTCAGAGAAAACATGAAGGAGTTCATGCAGAAGTTCGACAAGAACAAAGATGGACGAATTGAGATGTCAGAGGTAAGGCTGTGGCGTTGTTTCTGGGATCATTCTTTTGTAAGTGCAATGAGAGAACTGGTGTCATCCTAGTCATACTGCAGTCAGCAGCTTGCTAGCTGAACATCAAGAATGGAAATGGGAGCAATAAGAAGCCCCTTGCAAACGTAGATAAACTTTTTTATTTCAAGAAATACTTTGATTTTTATGTATCATGTCTCTTACATCTATCTGACTAAAGGTAAGCAGATAGTCTTTTAAACTTAGCATGAAAAACCTAGAAACAGATGGAAAGAGCTGGGGAAAAAACACAGACTGGATGTGAATAAAGATAGAAAAAAAGTTTTTTACAGCGGCTAGCCCCTTGTAAGACAATGCAGAGTTGATTTTGTACTTTTTATTATGACTGAGGTTTAATGAGTGTTTGTGAGGTTAAGGGCGGTTTTATTACCAACTAGAAAAGCAATCAGAGAGCGCAGACCTCCGCCAAGCAGCTCATGTCCCCCCTTGAACAAGAAATACCCTGACCGGGACTCAAACCCAGGATCTTCTGGTTGTGAGGCGACAGTGCTAACCACTACACCACTGTACCGCCTATCTTCACCACTGTGCCGCCCATTGGTTATCTTTCAGCATTGAAAATTCCAACGACACCCTTATTTTTGTGTGTTCTGGATCACAGTATCTGGAATTTTGTCTGGATCAACACCAAAATGTAATGGGAACCTCCTGGGGCTGAGACGCACCTCTGGTGAAAATTTCAGGTCAATCCGTCTGTTACTTTCTCTGTAAAGTTGCTAACAGACAAACAAACAAACCAACGCTATCGAAAACATAACCTCCTTGGCGGAGGTAATGAGCACTGCTGTGTTTGCTTCTTTGTGAACTCAGACATAAAAGTGGCATCAATCTTATAACTTTCACTTCAAAGGGAAAAAGATGTGCATGTTTTGCAGTGTCTTAAAATTTGGAAGACAATAATCCATGTTTGTTTGGACAATTTTTGCTCCAGTTTTGTTATTCAAGAGAGCTGCTCTACTTGAATCAATGCCATGACAGCAATCGGTTGTTTTTTTGTGCTTTTTACACACAAATTGCTCTCAGTGAAATGTGTCTCAGATCCAAATATAACCACAGAAAAGCTTTGAGATGTCTGCTTCATGCAGGGCAAGAAAAAGTCGTCAAGAAGAAGTAGTTTGGATTATTTAAAGAGCCGGAGGAATACAACACAGGCTTCACAGGGCTGATCGATACTCCAATCGATGCATAAACACAGCCTTTATGAAAGTCTCCACAGTGTCAGTTTGGGATACTGCCCTCTCTTGATTTTACCATTTCAGAGTAATTTGAAAAGGAAAAAGAGATTCTGCAATGTCAATAATCCCTCGCCAGGTGGAAAAGCTGCATATGAAAGTCAACGCTTTCGCCCAACCATAAAAGAACCTTTAAAAAAAGTATTTCTGACTTAAGTACAGCCTGGCCTTTGAGGTTACAGCTCTCTATTATTTATGTCTGTACAAAAAGCTCACTGGTCTCCACCTCTTTTCCCCCATCATATCAACGGCACCATGTACTCACCACTCCCATTTTCCTGTCATTTCTCTCTTTAGCTGGCCCAGATTCTCCCCACTGAAGAGAACTTCTTGCTCTGTTTCAGACAGTTTGTCAGCTCCAGCGCCGAGTTTATGGCGGTAAGAGTGTGTTTCTGAGTGTTTTTGTGTGTTTCTGAGTGTTTTAATGCAGAGCTACTGTTTCTTTTAAAGAACTTTGTCATTTGTTCAGTTTTTTTTAATAAATTTTTGTGAAACCATCTTGATTTATACAAATATCATCAGTCTATTTGTCTGAGCAAATGAGTTGAGAGGATATTCCGGGGCAAATTTAAGTCATGGTCAAACACACCTTAACACTGAGTTAGACACCCCTTCGAGAGATGAATGTTGCCGACTGCTTGCTTCTTTAGTTATACCAACTTCAGAAATGACCACACGATAGCAATACACAGCGGTCTACATCTCCATGCACCCAACCAAAAAGCCACTGGTAGCCACAAATAATCAGCTCAGAACAGCAGCTAACTTCATCAACAGTACATATCGGGTCCTAGCCATAGTACTAGCCAACTCACCCACTCTCAGCTGCTTGTTTGTGGGGGAGCCCTGACGAGTTCATCACCGAGTGCAGTGGAAAATTTATTATCATTACTTCATGGAAATGCAATCAGACCAAGACGCTAATGCAAAAGAACTGGAGCTTCTGCAGTGCACATACATACAAGATACACAAGAACTCCGATTGCATTTCCATGAAGTAATAATTATAAATGTTCTTCCTTGAGCTGCTAAACTCTGCCGCACTCAGTGATTGACTCATCAGGGCTCCCCCCACAAACAAGCGGCTGCAGGAAGAGAGGGGGTGAGTTGGTGTTTAGTCTCTTTGCTAAAGAAATCAGGCAAAGTTAAAAAGATGTTTGATGGCTAGTACTATGGCTAGGACCCTATATGTACTGTTGATGTATGTTGCTGCTGTTCTGAGCATTATTTGTGGCTTTTTGGTTTAAGGTTTGCGTGTGAAGATGTAGACCGCTGTGTATTGCTAGCGTGTGGTCGTCACTCAAGTTGGTATACCTAGAAAAGCAAGCCGTCAGCAACATTCATCTCTCGAGGGGGTGTCTAATTCGGTGTTACGGTGTGTTTGACCCCAACTTAAATTTTGCGGAATCTCCCTTTAAGTAGTGTCTTCTGACAAAAAGATCTTATCCTTCTAGCTTTGATGGTTAAATGTATCATTTTATTGTGAATAATTTATGTGGACTTTGTACTAACGGCTGTTTCTTTGGCTACTCGGCTAACTCCTACGCGCTAGCACTGCTTCAGACGGTAGAAACTATGTTTTAAAAGTCATCAGTCACATTTCTAATGATTTTCTTAACTCTGGGGAGCTTCATAAAAAGCATCAGTATGAGTTTCCCTCTGCGTAAAAGATGTTGCAGAAAGTCCTCACTGGAGCTATAATGGAGGCTGTAGTTATGTGAAGAACATCTTCTCCGCAGAAAATTGCTCAGTGGGAGACAGATGGGGACATGAAAGAGGCAAAGACTCGACAAAGACTTTGGACTGTACAAATGTTTCATTTCAAGGTCATCATTTCAGAATAATAGTTGTTTGAGTCAACATTTATGACAGCAGAACTAAATATTTCTTCATCAACTTGGTCGACAAGGAAGCAAAATTAACTTTACTCATAAATAAAACATTAGTGCCCAGTTACAAGAAACACCTCATAGCAAGTAAAAGCATCTGTCTCAATAACAGCCAAGTTCAGTTTACATAGCATTTACAAAATAAAATTTCCACGCTCAGTAAACAAGCATAGAGGTGCTTTGAATTATGAATAAGAAATGATTTTAAGAGTAACAAAAAGCCTTCATCAGACTGAGATGTGCACTAGCATATACCAAGAAAAAGAAATCATTTATTCCACAAAATATCTGGAGAAGAGAAGGAAATGGCAGATTTTATGTCAGATCTGCCACAATGAGAGAACGGAGCCAATTAGAAACCAATTACAAGCAGGGAAGAGTCTGTCCTTGTCTCTTGAGTCATATTGGGGAGGAATAATGAAACAGGAGAACAGGAGAGGAGGGTGACAGAGACAGAAGGTGTGGAGAGAGAAGGATACAAAGGGCAAACGCGAGAGAGCAGGAACAGAGAAGACGTAAATGAAATGTCGATGGGAAGTTAAGAGCCAGAGTTTGAGAACATAAAGCCAGAGAGGAGGATTAATCAGTCTTTGTTGAAGGTTGTGCGGAGGAGGAGGAGGAGGTGGGCGTAGAGGTTCTTTAAGGGTTGGAATGAGGAAGCAGAACCTTCTATTTTCAGAGTCATATATAATGGATAACACCACTGTAGTTCCTCTGAGGAGGAGGGAGGAGGAACACAGAAGAGAAGGAGAAGTAGGGGGAAGACCATCCATCTTTGATAAGGAGCCTTTCTTTGGACAGGGACAGCTGCTAGATTAAAACATTCATTAAAATGACTGTCTCTCCCTCCTTCGTTTCTCTCTCTCTGTCTCCGTATGCGAGTGGATGGTATGGTGTTGAAAACTGGGTGATTACACAGTTTCAGGCTTTTGTGGTCACCCCCACTGGAACGATTTCTGCTCAGCTCCAGAGAAAAATCAAACTCTTAGCGCAGTTAAAGAGCAAGCTGGGGTTCGATCAGGGAGGATTTATGAAGAGGGGAGAAATGTAAATCACCCTGAAGAAGAGGGTCTTTGTGCTAAAAAACTGCTTTTAGTTCAATGATCCTTTTGTCTTGTTTATTTCTCAGGCATGGCGGCGGTATGACACAGATCGCAGTGGTTACATTGAAGCAAATGAACTGAAGGTATGTTTAAATATGAATCTCTTTTAATCATAAATCTATGGAGAGTTGTTCAAGAGAAGGCTGTTATGTAACATGTCTGATACTATCAACCAAGTTTGGCTCCCTGAAGGCTCCAATGACTTTTAAAAACCTTTATTACTAATTTCACAAGTATTTTTTTGTCCATCTATCTGCATACTTTGACCAACTTTGACCAACTTATGATTTTGGTTTTTTTTTGTCCTTTTTTGTCCTTTGATTGTTCTGTTTCCCCTTCATTCATCAATACATTATCACTCACAGAACAACCAGCCTAAACCATAGTGATCAGTCATTTTACAAGAAACCTTTGTGAAAACCTACCACTACCACTACCTCTGATAACTATCTTATTTCTCCACACACATTCATAGCACTGTAATATTTATGCTTTCCTTATTTTTCTCATATTCATTTTTATTAATTTCATCATGTACATTTATTTTTGTTGGATGTAAAACAACAGCAAACTGTCTTGACTTGTATGTTTTTTTGAGTACACCAATAAAAAGACAAGCAAAGCAAGAGACAACAACAACAAAAAACTACATTTTTTGTGCATCCACCCTTCACTCCTTTGAAATCTGTGCTGACAGGAACAAACAACACTGAACCCACTTGATAGTTAAATAAGCGGTGCAAATCTAAGAAAAAATCTTAAATGTTTAAGGCCCGGACTACAGGTATATAGATATTTATTTATCAGGATATTTTTGTACTCCTGTCTAAATAAATGTATCTGTCCACACGTGTTAGTTCTCAAAAATATCTGCGTCCACACGTAGCCTTCAAAATCAATCCTATCTGGTGCCGCTTAAAAAAACGATTATTATGCATTCATTAACATTACAAATGTAAATCACTTGGACATTCCTCACAAATTATATTGTGTTTATCATTACTGTTTTAAACAGAATTATTAAAGGAATAAAATTATACCACAAAAAATAAGTTTAATTAAAATAAGCTAACTTAATTCGTTAATTCACAGACCTTTTGTGCACTAGGTTCTGCAGACAAGTGATGCAGTTTTGGAAAACTCTGGTGATTCTTGGTATACTTGAAATGCTCCAACACGACTGACACCCTCTTGTCCCTAAATACACCATAGGTGACAGTTTGTTTTTTGCTCTAGTGCATAATAAACTGGCCCTTTTTATGAGGCCATTTTCTCTTGCAACTCACAGACCACTACTACATGTTAGTCCCAACTGTCTATCCTATTTCCTCACTCCACCCACAATGTCCTCCCAACTAAAGCCATTAAAGATACCAGTTAATTACTGCATCCCTAGTGGTCAGAAGACTGGAAAGGGTGTGTAAAAGTGGAGCTCTTACCATTTGTTATTACCTAAAGGCCAATAGAAACATTGATTTAGTGTTTTAATGCTTTCAAAACCAACAGAGGAATGGAAACACAACTCAAAATCTAATAATGCATCTGAGTTATTTCTCAACACACAAGAGAGAAACTTGGCAACTCTGACAAAGCAGGGTTCTTAACAAAAAAATTACCTAATGGACCTTTTTCACAGTACGCAGAAGTTAACATTCTGCTCACTTCCGGTGTTAGCGTGAGGTGGAGCCACTTAGCATCGCCCTTAGACGGCCATTCATTTTTCACGATATTAACAAGCTCACGATTCGTTTTTTTGACAGGTAATGTAAATTTTATGCTTTGTGCTGTTTTACTAACTCCTGTTCTTCATTATACTGTCCGGATTTTGTACTTTACTTTTCGGGAATTATGTTAAATAGGTCATTACTGAAGAGCAATGGTTACCATCATCAGAAAATTTCCAGACCTATTAAACATAATTCCCGAAAAGTAAAGTAAAAAATCCGGACAGTATTATGAAGAACAGGAGTTAGTAAAACGGCACAAAGCATAAAATTTTACTTTACCTTTCAAAAGAACGAGTCGTGAGCTTTTTAATATCGTGAAAAATGAATGGCCGTCTAAGGGCGATGCTAAGTGGCTCCACCACACGCTAACACCGCAAGTGAGCAGAATGCTAACTTCCGCGTACTGTGAAAAAGTTCTATAGCCTACTGAGTGTTTTGATCAGGTGTGGATTCTGATGCAGAAAGTTTAACACTGTTATCCACTTCAACGCCTCTTTGAGTTACAATGTCAAATCATTCAGTATATTCCTCTGGGACATGCTCCACACAGGTGAACTGAACACTAACATGCTCAGTGGTTGCAGGGCATGTTCACATGTGGCTGCCTGAGTTGTTGTGGGATCACAGATCTTCCAGCTGAGCTGGTTCACGAGTCAAGGGGTCATGATCTACTGAAATTGAAAGAAAAACGCAGATAAGAGGACAGACAGTAGACATGCTAAAACTACATAGTGACATAAAAGAAATCCTGAACTGCTCAACAGATGAAATCATATATTCAAGTTAGTGGAGCTTTATTACCCTTACTCCATGTTTTGTCAGACTCAGTGTACAAATCTGGATTTTACACATGAAACTTAAGAGATGTCCATTACATTTGCTGAAATAAATTCCAAGTTTTGAACATTTCTTTCAGAACTTTTTTCTGTTGAATACTTGGTTACACGGCCTGCCACATCTTTTAACATGCTTTTTTTCTTGGTAGATCTTATTGTTAATGAATGAATGGTTTCTGAAGTTTGTGACAAAGGAGATTAAATTTTGGATGATCTTGCTTAATGTTACTTAAAATCTGTGCAGCTTCTGTCCTGTTGTGAACCTTCAGGTAGTCCTACATCTCCAAACCAAACTTCATGGAAAGCTGGGGGCTGTTTTTTATTTGTAGATGTCTTATTTCTGCATGTTCTTTCTCATCCTTTTTTTCCCTATCTGTGTCACCATCCTCAGGGCTTTCTGTCAGACCTGCTCCAGAAGGCGAACAGACACTACGATGACCAGAAGCTCCAGGAGTACACGCAGACCATAGTGAGACTCTAACACACCAAAACACATACTATAAAAATCCAGACCGCTCTGCAAACTAGAGGACACTACCCTCATTTAGTTGAGCCACACCATATGGGCAGTACCAGTAAAATTTGTCATAATTAGTTTTTATCATTTTTTCTTAAAAGTCTACAGAGAGAGAGCATGTTGGTTTAAAGTCTGATGTACCTGAATAGATCAATTAAATGAAGGAACACTATGAGGATTTGGCATTAGACTATGTCCACACAATGAATGGTAAGACTAAAATGGTAAAAACTGTAATCCATGGATCAGCAGTGACCCCTGCAGATTCTCTTGTAGATCACTTTGTGGACAGCCATTGTGTGCAGCTTGATAGTCCTGACCTTTCATACCCTGCAGGTTATATGTTCACAGTCCAGATGTGTTTACTTGTACATCTGCTCCTGCCTTGAAGGCTGACCTGACCTTGTTTTCTTAAGAATTTCTTTAATGCGCTCACACTTTGTCACCATCGTTATCTCACACTTTATCAAAGCAAAGGCGATTACACCACATGTCGGTTATTTAGCGAGTCGATTTTGCTATTTTCAAGTCCCGATTAAGGCATCAGTATTTTTAAATTGTGTACATTTGTCTATATCATCCTGACAGGGATCCTCTGTTAAAAAAATGAACAATGAATACAGTTAATTACCATGCAGATAACACTGGCAGATTTCTGAGGAAGATATGACCCATAAAAGCAGATAGAGAATATGTCAGACATTATGTTGGAGGCTTTGAAATACTATGATTAGTCAGTCCTCTGTTAGCTACAGTAGGTCACATTAAGTGTGAACTTGCAAATAATCCCAGTTCAATTCAATTCAATTCAATATAACTTTATTGTCCCCACAGGGAGATTTGTTGTGGACAGTCAGTACTGCTAAAAACAACTGCATTGCATAATGCGCGAACCAGAAACACATACAGACATATGGAGAGTTGACAGTTCTGCATTAACAGACATATCACATCATCTTCTCATTTCACACGAGTGGGTACATTTTCAGAGCCAGACCACAGATATTGCACAACCCTAGTTGCAGAGAAGAACAAGTTTCAATGGTACTTAGAAAGGCCTACCAAAAGTGGCAGATAAATGAGTACTGATAAGGAATATTTATAAAGTGCAGAGTGACATTTGATAAGTAATTAAAAACAATAAAAGAATAAAAGCATTTTAAGACTACTAAAGAGATAGAGAATAATATCTCAGTGAATTAAGAACCTTTTAAGATATCGCAGGTAGTTTGTTCAAGAGGTGGATGGATGTTGAGAGAAAAGAGTGATTGCTTTTGTATCTGCCTGCTCTGTATCTTCTCCCCGAGGGCAATTGTGATACTGCAATTGTAATGATAATAATGGCAACATTATGTCACATTTAAATGAAATGGTTTCATTTAAAACACATGCAGAAGAAAGAATACTTTTTGCCCCTTTTCTCTCAAGTAGTTCTGCCCATAGAAAGAGAGAGCTTTTGAGTTTTTAGTTTTGTAAGAATTATTGGAGTAATTTTTGTGGACTAGTCTTGTCTTAAACATAAACAGCTATGAAACAAATGTAGAAACTTTGTGGCCGGTCATTTCATTCCTCAGGCATGGAATTGGTGGTACTGCATCGTCCTTTATCCTGACAGCATATATCTATAAAAAGCTTTTCTTTCAGCCCGTCTTCTCTGTCCCTCCTATCTCTGCTCTGCTTCTTCTTTGTAGCTCAGGATGTTTGATCTGAATGGAGATGGGAAGTTGGGCCTGTCAGAGATGGCAAGGTAATGTGCAGTTTTACTCGCTTCTGTTCATTATAGAAATGTTGGAGCCCATTGCCTGCTGATGTTCTTTCAATGGATTTGAATAATTTAACACCTATTGTGTCCGCTAATGAAGTCCTTCTCCCCCACAGGCTCCTTCCTGTTCAGGAGAATTTCTTACTCAAGTTCCAGGTAGGGACCAAATACGGTAAAAAAAGGCATGGTCATGAGAAAAATGACTTCCTTATAGGGTTGTGTCTCTGTTTAACATACTGTGTACTGATAACTTGACTGTTCTGATTGGGTTTTATAACTCTGGCATAAACTTGTAGCTTTGTAACTAAAGTCACATCCTTGTTTTATAGGGTGTCAAGCTGGATGCTGAGCAGTTCAATGCCATCTTCACATATTATGACAAGGTAGGAGATAATTGGACCTGATGGCATTGTTTTCTTCTTTCCAAAGACTCAGTAAAGCCTGGCCTCACTTTGTATGTGGCCCTTTGTCACCACCTCTCATGAGAAAACAGTTTTCTGAAGTTCCCTATAGTTAAAATGAACTACAAAGCTTTTCTCTGAGGTTGCTAATAATGCTATTGTTTTCATCTCAGATAAAGTATAAGAGTGTTTTTAATGTTTCGTAGATGTAGGTATTATTTGGCTGAAGTGAGTGGAAAATATAACGTGAAAAACCTCTTTACCTACCACTTATATGTATTTTGTATTTCCTCATTAAAGTCCTGTATCTGAAAGCTATTATGCTAATACGGTGAAATGCCTCAGGAAAAGAAAGAGTAGAGTAGACAGATGCTACAAAGTACAAAATAAACCCAGACAAAGCTTTGAAAAATAGGTTAGACTCTATGTAAACTCTGTCTGGGTGACTCAACAGTGTTTGTTTTGGAGTTCCCCCTTCCTTTAAATCATGAATATACAAATTTCTTGTTTTGAATCTAGGGCGCTCCACAACTACCTAGGGAAATGAGTGAGGCTTGGCACACCTGTTCCTTTGTAAACAGCTCAGGATGGGTGAGCAGTGGTTCAGTTAATGGCCACATTTTCCACATTAGAAACAGACTGGCAGGGAGCAATTAAGACGATATAATACAAGAAAAAGGGGGACAGAACAAAGTTAGAGAGGACAGAGATGACTCTGGTCATCTGCTGAGTTTGTCTATCATCATCATCAGGTAGATAGAAGAGAGCTAAATCAATATTTGACTGAAATAAAAGACTCAGCTGGATATGCACTCCTGTTGGCTCGGCTCTCAGCGCTGATTTGCTGAATGTTTTTTAATATTTATGCAGTTGTTCAAACATTTGTGCTGAAACCTGCATCTCTTTGCTCTTTTAAGCTGCTTTTAGGAATCTTACTTGAATAGAAAATATGACTCCTCAGTATTTTCAAAGCTTGAATTTTTAATTGTTAGCAGTAGTTTCCATTTAGAGAAATGTGTGCAGTCCATTTAGCACTGTATCATAGTGTGGATGTTCAAGTGTTAGATAGGATATGATCTCACTTCAGAGTGAACAAGGTTAAATGTTCAATCATAGATGAGACACTACTCATTTGAGCTCCGTGCTAATATGGCACTGCCATTTATGTGTGTTATAGTTTCATCATTTTGTCATGAGCGCAGCCTTGGCAGCTGAAAAACTGGTCTTGCTGTCACTGGTGCTGAGAAATCTCGAGCAGGGCAAAGTATGACCAGTCAGCTGAACACTGATATGACTCATAGTGCCACAGCCCCAAACTGTGCAAGGCGTTACAAATGTCCAAAATACAAGATGGCACAAAGCTTAGATAAACGGATTAGTACCAAATGTTCCCAAAGACCTGCAGATTTGCTCTTTTTATCCTTTAAGTAAAACTATATACAGAATTTATTCTTTATTCCCAAGAGCCAGGATGCTTTAGTCCAGCTTTGAACAGCACCTTCCAAAGTAACAAAAAAAAACCCCAATAAATAAATTACGACTGGCAAGTCATTTAGCTATGAGATTATCTTGAAACTGAGCTTTGACAAACTGATCATGTTTTTTGTGTAATGTGCCAAGGGAAATTTTCTGACAATTTGGACTCATTTTTTGGCCCCAAACTCTGAACACGACTGCACGACTTACCTTATTAGTTAACAAAATGGCTCCATACTAAATTTACAGCACAGCCCTCTACAGAATTGTGAATGGGAGGTCTTTTATAAACCATCACTCATGAAGGCTATTTGGCTGGTAAATTCATGATGGCTTCCATTAATAATTGACTGGAGCAGTAAAGCAGAACTAAAATCTGAAAGCAAAGAGTCTAAACATAGCTGGTACATCTGCTGAGAAAGAAGTGCAGGATTTACAGATCAGGAAATGTCAGGTGCATCGAGACAAATACAGCAGGATAGTTTTCAGATTTTTCCAGTAGTCCTGTCTTTTCTTTGGCTGGGGATGAAAATAACATCTGTGTCTGTTTCTGTAAACTTTTTTTAGGATGGAAACGGCTACATTGATGAACATGAGCTGGACGCGCTCCTACGAGACCTCTACCAGAAAAACAAGATGGTAAGATAGAAGCTCGGGAAATGGTCCTGAGCCATTCTGAATAGCGAACATTTGGGAATTTCCAACATTTTGATTGGTATTTTAGCCTTTATGGACAGCTGGAGAGAGATTCTGTATATGGGCTTTTAATCTGAACTTGAAATTTCAGAGCGAAACAGAGCACCATTGAAGATACAGTGAGTGGAAATATGAGTATTTATTCTGAAAAGAAATGCTCCTATTCTCACCCACACCAGCACCCACTATTCTCACCCACACCAGCACTGAAGTGATAGTAGCCTCTGAGAAAGTAGTGCTTGTAGGGTTTTTATACCTTCATCCAGTCACATGTCTGTTACTAGTTTGTCCATTTTGTGTTACTCTAAAAAAATTGTGTTGCAAGGTTGCAGTCTAGGTTGATCGAACCCACTCCATGTACCGATAAAAAGCTCATTTTAAGTCGACAAAGACAAAAGGGTTTAAAAATTCTGGTGACAATACACTTCGTTAAACAGAGTTGTAAATACTATCTTCCATTCAAATGCTGCTAAATTCTTTACACTGTTCCTTTAAACGGACAAGTCAAGCTAAAGGCTTTTAAATTTGCTCCTTCACCTTTTTCTTGGCATGAACAACAGAAAGAGCAGAAGCTTGATGAGCTGGTTACACTGGTAAAATTTAAAGCATTGGTGAACAACCTGGAGACAAACCCACCTGCTTGTAGGTGTTCTGCTTTGTGTAAACAGGCCCTTGGTGGATTGAACCCAGTGTTGGTGACTTATTCCATTATGACACATTTTATTGAGTCTTAGAAATGTGTTGTGAACATGTACTCTGTTGGCTGCCCTTTGTCAGAAACTTTTATCTTGGTCAGGACACTCTTCAAAACAGATTTCAATGTCAATGAGTTAAGTCCAGGCTAAATCAAAAAAATAGATTAAAAAAAATATCAGAAAGTTGGGAACAAAGTTAAACGCCAACAAAGTCAGCATAGTAACTGAAAGTTGTTGGAGAGAACCTGTTTTTATGTCATTCTTTTCTTAAGGATGATTTGACCAAAATAGTGTGTTGTAAATCCATGACTGTCATTTGTATTGTGTGGTAACAGAAACCATGAAAAGCATAGAGGGACCAAAAAGTCATCAGGGAGTAAATATTGAGTACACATCTCAAATTACGAAACGGAATCCCACCCAGAAAACCTGGATCTGTTGTTCATGTTCCCCCCAGGGCTTTCTAACAAAGTGCCCTCTGCTGAGGCTGTGGCACATCTTCATCCTACATGAAAAAAGAGTTTGACTGCAAAGGACAGTTCTTTTTTCAGTTATGAATCCTGAGTTTCACTGACCTGTCTGTCTTTCAGGATGTGGACGCAAAGAACCTGAAAGGCTACAAGCAGAGCATCATGAGCCTGTCTGACGGAGGGAAGCTGTACCGTAGCGAGCTGGAAATTGTCCTCTGCAGGGAGCCAATTGTGTGACTCTTCCTCCTCTCTTGTTGTATATCATAATTTTCTCTGCCTGCCCCGCTTTGCTCTCCTGAGACCACACCCACTTCCAGCTGCCTGGCAACATATTCCAGGTGCATGAGCCAGACACCCCCTGCCCCTTATCATTTCCCTGACCTGTGATAAAATTACAACTCCAGAATGAATGAAAAGTGCACTGTCAGCCTCTCATCCTTAAACCCTTATTTTCTGCAATTGGATCCCTTGACCTCAAACATGACCCCTTTGAATCCTGCGGCTTTCCATCTTTGTAACATTACCCGTATCCTTAACCATTTCTTACCTCATCCCTGTTCATGCCGCCCATGCTGTGCCTGACTTGTATATCCTGTAAAGCCCAAACCCATCATTCCACAGAAACGACCTTTTTACCTGTTGAAAACCCTTGAACCTTTACCTGGCTTCATTGACCCCTTCATTCCCTCGCTCTATCAACTTTGCATTATTTACAATATATAGTCAAAGAATACTGCAGACAACTGTGTTTAAATTGATCTTATTTATAGTCTGTGATGGAGATGTTACAGATTTTTCCACCTCTGTCTGACCAGAACCTCTTCTGTTACATTTCCATGCCATGATTTTCATTTTAAACATTTGTTTTGGGCTGATTCTGTCGATTGAAAATATGAATAAAATGTCTTCAGATAAAATCTGTTTTTGTATGGACTCTTTAATGAAAAAATGCCAGTGTTGGTGATGACTTCAGGACACTTGCATGACTTCCTTGCAGTCTAAACATTTCTCCTACAGAGCCGTACAAATCTGTCGTACTCTCGAAGTTTCATTTCTTGATTACTTTCTGTTGTGCTGACCTTCTACACAAACTTGTTTATTTTATCATGCCTCCAAGCTTTAAACTGCTCCCTGAACTTCCAAGCATAAAAAGGATTAATGGTTGGTGTAATCACAACAAGAGCAGGATGATGCACAATTTAAAGCTACAGTAAAGTTAAGAAAAACACTTTAACAGGACTCTGTTGTTGATGTTGGTTCTCTGTATTAAGCAACTTAACAGCAGTAGCCATAACTTCTAATGCTTTGCTTCCATATAAATTTCTTGGTGTGCATTTGAATCAAGAAGCTGATAAAACTAACGGGTTGTTTTCCCGTTGCAAGGACTCGGACAGCTTTATTTGCTGCATGATGTCTTTCCCCCAGTTGTGTAATGAAAATGACTGAAGGAACAAGTGGAGTGGTATCGCTGAGTCTGCACTGCAAAGCATAGCTTGTGTTTTCCCCTCTTGAGAATGAATTGCACTTCAGCCTTCTCCTCATGAGTTCCAGAAGTGATCCTGATCTGCAGCATTAAAAGAAAATGCTGATGTATGCTCCAGTTAACATAAATTTAAACTTAATTTCTAATGGAATCCTTTTTTTCTGCCATCGTTCAGCACTTCTATTAGAAGTGGGTTTAACTGAGCAGCAGATGAGGTTAAACCACCCCTAATAGTTTATTGTAGTAGGCGCCTGTTACATGAAGCCAAACGTTTAAAAAATACAAAATTTAAAATTATTTATTTAAAGTAAATGCAACAACAAACTGTGTTGAGAATTGCAACTGTAAGTCCTATGTTTTCAAGCTCAAACCAGGGTGCAGGCCTTTCTTTCTCCCGAGCTGGGATGTTCCTCCTGAGATAGTAGGACAGAACATGATATTTCGAGTAAAATCCTGTAATTGATTTGACATGCTTTTAAAGTCACCTGAATAATACAGCAAGCACACAAGCTCTCCCTGTGAAGCTTGTGCAATTCCACATCAATTAATCAAAAGCATTGAAATCTTTATATGACATGCAGCTGCACCAGGGAAATCTGCTTATCTCTAAAACAGTGATTGAATAAAGTTTAATGTAGACATAAGAAACAGACAACCTCAGTGACAATAGTAAGAAATGTTCAATAATTGCATGTGTGTTTAAGTCTAGCATCAGAAGAGAAAGGTCAAATGACAATAAGCTGCTTTACGTATCTAGTCAATTTTGCATTCTTGCATTAGTAATTACTAATTGCCTAAGACTAACAGTAAAACTCTTATTCGACTTGAGTATCGCTGGTGTTATTAGAATACAACACAAACAGAACAATGGCAATAACTGAAAGACACCTCACCAGAGGTGTTTTAAACATAGCCATATGCAGGTAAGTACAAAATATCAGCGAAACACAGACACTCAGACTGTGCATGAGGACAGCCTTGTCACTGATAATCTCATTTTACAATGTAGGTCATGAAGAGGTTCCTCCTGAGATAGTAGGACAGAACATGATATTTCTGGTAAAATCCTTTATGAGTCTCATATGAGTGAGACTTTTTCAGAATCAGTTTTACTCCTCACATTGCCTTTAACCATGATCTAACTGTGGCAAACACATCAAAACTCATCATGTCAGCTATTTGACCAAGTGAAGTTGTGGGAGGACTTTAAAAATACATTTTGTTTTCTTTAATACATATATCAAAATATAGTTGTTCGTGTGTGAACAAAACATAAGTCCTGAATGGACCATAGAGTGTTCATCTGTATTATCGGGTAATTTGGCTCTTAAACCATCAGCCACCCACCCTTAGGTGATCAAGTAAAGAGTGATCAGTCCCTGAAACATAACTTTGCTCTTCATGTTCCTTTTACGGATCAACAATAACCTTAAGGCCTTTTCAGTGGAGTTTAAGTGTGACTGTCCAGAAAAGTACCATGCCCATCTTGGACTGGCTCACAGCATCCTCTTAGGCCATGTAACAGGCAGTGTTATTTTTAGCCTTTTAAACTTCTTGGCTTCTTCATTCTAGTCCATTGCAAAATTAACTGGGACAACATGTTGTGTATGTTCTTTAATTACCATCATTCCCAGGCAGAGAAACTTGATAAATTATACAATGAGGAATGGAAGTCATCAGCATTTCACTGCTGCAGTGTTATTCAAGCCCATCGCTTTGATAGCAACCTTCAGCTAATTTGTATTTTTGAGCCAGTTGTTTCTAGTCTTCGATGGTGTACAGAGAGAAGGACAGGTGATGGATTCCTTGCCTTTAAGCCGGGCCTGCTAAAATGGTATTTGGGAATGTTATTAGTATGTTATGGGAGGGCCTCTGATAACAAAATTTCTATCAGCTCCTTGAACTCAGTATTAAGGCGGGTTTAAGTGAGCCACCATTGAGCGTCTGAGTCGAACAGGAGGGGACATCAAGCTGTTTCCGCCCGGTTTCGAACCGGGGACCTTTCGCGTGTGAGGCGAACGTGATAACCACTACACTACGGAAACTCACGGGACATGCGGGATGGGTACGCAGCGCCCAAATCACCTGCTTTCCAAATGCCAAGATTTCGGACACTCTGTAGGACTTCGATTCCCCCGATGGGGAGATTATTCCTTTGCTCCAGCAGCTGATTTTAAGCCCACAAAGACCGGGGGCTAGGACATCAACCCGCTCTCCAGCCCAGGTCAGCTGACAAACTGTCAGCCTTCCATCCTACAAAGGGGGAGGTCAAATGAATGAGATTGCATGCAAAGAGGGTCTCAATCTGCCGGAGGAAAAAACAAGAAAGAAAAGAAAAAAAGGGATGAGAAATTCTGACTGGGAGTCATGTTACGCCTTCATGTCACCTTTCTCTAACTCCAAGCCCTATTCGATGGTGTACACAGAGAAGGACAGGTGATGGATTCCTTGCCTTTAAGCCGGGCCTCAGTATGAACTCAGTATTAAGGCGATTCTTAGTGAGCCACCATTGAGCGTCTGAGTCGAACAGGAGGGGACATCAAGCTGTTTCCGCCCGGTTTCGAACCGGGGACCTTTCGCGTGTGAGGCGACGTGATTAAACACCACACCACGGAAACTCACGGGACATGCGGGATGGGTACGCAGCGCCCAACCCACCTGCTTTCCAAATGCCAAGATTTCAGATGCTAACAAACAGTTTTTCGATTGTCGTGGGTTCTGAACGCAGTTCCATAACTTGACTTCTTCTTGCAATGAAACGGGGTGTCCATGGGAAGTAGTGCTCTATAAGTTGCTCCATTGCATCTTGTCTGTCATCTGTTGCCACGATTGACACTGTCATTATTTCTGACACTCTGTTGGCAACGAATGTGCGGAACCTAGTTGTTTCATTGTTGATGTTCTTAAGAACAGCCGTGCTATCTGTCCATAGGACGGAGTCCGCAAGCTGCAGCTGCGACTGTAGCTCTCTCTTCGACATCATTTCCGTGCGCCCTGCCATGGTTGCGGCTGTTCATTCCAAGCGGGGAACTCAGCGATGTCCGCGCTCCACACGCTGAAAGTGAGTCCTCGTTAGTATAGTGGACAGTATCTCCGCCTGTCACGCGGAAGACCGGGGTTCGATTCCCCGACGGGGAGATTATTCCTTTGCTCCAGCAGCTGATTTTAAGCCCACAAAGACCGGGGGCTAGGAGATCAACCCGCTCTCAAGCCCAGGTCAGCTGACAAACTGTCAGCCTTCCATCCTACAAAGGAGGAGGTCAAATGAATGAGATTGCATGCAAAGAGGACCTCAATCTGCCGGAGGAAAAAACAAGAAAGAAAAGAAAAAAAGGGATGAGAAATTCTGACTGGGAGTCATGTTACCCCTTCATGTCACCTTTCTCTACCTCCAAGCCCTATTTGATGGTGTACACAGAGAAGGACAGGTGATGGATTCCTTGCCTTTAAGCCGGGCCTGCTAAAATGGTATTTGGGAATGTTATTAGTATGTTATGGGAGGGCCTCTGATAACAAAATTTCTATCAGCTCCTTGAACTCAGTATTAAGGCGGGTTTAAATGAGCCACCATTGAGCGTCTGAGTCGAACAGGAGGGGACATCAAGCTGTTTCCGCCCGGTTTCGAACCGGGGACCTTTCGCGTGTGAGGCGAACGTGATAACCACTACACTACGGAAACTCACGGGACATGCGGGATGGGTACGCAGCGCCCAAATCACCTGCTTTCCAAATGCCAAGATTTCAGATGCTAACAAACAGTTTTTCGATTGTCGTGGGTTCTGAACGCAGTTCCATAACTTGACTTCTTCTTGCAATGAAACGGGGTGTCCATGGGAAGTAGTGCTCTATAAGTTGCTCCATTGCATCTTGTCTGTCATCTGTTGCCACGATTGACACTGTCATTATTTCTGACACTCTGTTGGCAACGAATGTGCGGAACCTAGTTGTTTCATTGTTGATGTTCTTAAGAACAGCCGTGCTATCTGTCCATAGGACGGAGTCCGCAAGCTGCAGCTGCGACTGTAGCTCTCTCTTCGACATCATTTCCGTGCGCCCTGCCATGGTTGCGGCTGTTCATTCCAAGCGGGGAACTCAGCGATGTCCGCGCTCCACACGCTGAAAGTGAGTCCTCGTTAGTATAGTGGACAGTATCTCCGCCTGTCACGCGGAAGACCGGGGTTCGATTCCCCGACGGGGAGATTATTCCTTTGCTCCAGCAGCTGATTTTAAGCCCACAAAGACCGGGGGCTAGGAGATCATCCCGCTCTCCTGCCCAGGTCAGCTGACAAACTGTCAGCCTTCCATCCTACAAAGGAGGAGGTCAAATGAATGAGATTGCATGCAAAGAGGGTCTCAATCTGCCGGAGGAAAAAACAAGAAAGAAAAGAAAAAAAGGGATGAGAAATTCTGACTGGGAGTCATGTTACCCCTTCATGTCACCTTTCTCTACCTCCAAGCCCTATTTGATGGTGTACACAGAGAGAAGGACAGGTGATGGATTCCTTGCCTTTAAGCCGGGCCTGCTAAAATGGTATTTGGGAATGTTATTAGTATGTTATGGGAGGGCCTCTGATAACAAAATTTCTATCAGCTCCTTGAACTCAGTATTAAGGCGGGTTTAAGTGCGCCACCATTGAGCGTCTGAGTCGAACAGGAGGGGACATCAAGCTGTTTCCGCCCGGTTTCGAACCGGGGACCTTTCGCGTGTGAGGCGAACGTGATAACCACTACACTACGGAAACTCACGGGACATGCGGGATGGGTACGCAGCGCCCAAATCACCTGCTTTCCAAATGCCAAGATTTCAGATGCTAACAAACAGTTTTTCGATTGTCGTGGGTTCTGAACGCAGTTCCATAACTTGACTTCTTCTTGCAATGAAACGGGGTGTCCATGGGAAGTAGTGCTCTATAAGTTGCTCCATTGCATCTTGTCTGTCATCTGTTGCCACGATTGACACTGTCATTATTTCTGACACTCTGTTGGCAACGAATGTGCGGAACCTAGTTGTTTCATTGTTGATGTTCTTAAGAACAGCCGTGCTATCTGTCCATAGGACGGAGTCCGCAAGCTGCAGCTGCGACTGTAGCTCTCTCTTCGACATCATTTCCGTGCGCCCTGCCATGGTTGCGGCTGTTCATTCCAAGCGGGGAACTCAGCGATGTCCGCGCTCGACACGCTGAAAGTGAGTCCTCGTTAGTATAGTGGACAGTATCTCCGCCTGTCACGCGGAAGACCGGGGTTCGATTCCCCGACGGGGAGATTATTCCTTTGCTCCAGCAGCTGATTTTAAGCCCACAAAGACCGGGGGCTAGGAGATCATCCCGCTCTCCAGCCCAGGTCAGCTGACAAACTGTCAGCCTTCCATCCTACAAAGGAGGAGGTCAAATGAATGAGATTGCATGCAAAGAGGGTCTCAATCTGCCGGAGGAAAAAACAAGAAAGAAAAGAAAAAAAGGGATGAGAAATTCTGACTGGGAGTCATGTTACCCCTTCATGTCACCTTTCTCTACCTCCAAGCCCTATTTGATGGTGTACACAGAGAAGGACAGGTGATGGATTCCTTGCCTTTAAGCCGGGCCTGCTAAAATGGTATTTGGGAATGTTATTAGTATGTTATGGGAGGGCCTCTGATAACAAAATTTCTATCAGCTCCTTGAACTCAGTATTAAGGCGGGTTTAAGTGCGCCACCATTGAGCGTCTGAGTCGAACAGGAGGGGACATCAAGCTGTATCCGCCCGGTTTCGAACCGGGGACCTTTCACGTGTGAGGCGAACGTGATAACCACTACACTACGGAAACTCACGGGACATGCGGGATGGGTACGCAGCGACCAAATCACCTGCTTTCCAAATGCCAAGATTTCAGATGCTAACAAACAGTTTTTCGATTGTCGTGGGTTCTGAACGCAGTTCCATAACTTGACTTCTTCTTGCAATGAAACGGGGTGTCCATGGGAAGCAGTGCTCTATAAGTTGCTCCATTGCATCTTGTCTGTCATCTGTTGCCACGATTGACACTGTCATTATTTCTGACACTCTGTTGGCAACGAATGTGCGGAACCTAGTTGTTTCATTGTTGATGTTCTTAAGAACAGCCGTGCTATCTGTCCATAGGACGGAGTCCGCAAGCTGCAGCTGCGACTGTAGCTCTCTCTTCGACATCATTTCCGTGCGCCCTGCCATGGTTGCGGCTGTTCATTCCAAGCGGGGAACTCAGCGATGTCCGCGCTCCACACGCTAAGTGAGTCCTCGTTAGTATAGTGGACAGTATCTCCGCCTGTCACGCGGAAGACCGGGGTCGATTCCCCGACGGGGAGATTATTCATTTGCTCCAGCAGCTGATTTTAAGCCCACAAAGACCGGGGGCTAGGAGATCAACCCGCTCTCCAGCCCAGGTCAGCTGACAAACTGTCAGCCTTCCATCCTACAAAGGAGGAGGTCAAATGAATGAGATTGCATGCAAAGAGGGTCTCAATCTGCCGGAGGAAAAAACAAGAAAGAAAAGAAAAAAAGGGATGAGAAATTCTGACTGGGAGTCATGTTACCCCTTCATGTCACCTTTCTCTACCTCCAAGCCCTATTTGATGGTGTACACAGAGAAGGACAGGTGATGGATTCCTTGCCTTTAAGCCGGGCCTGCTAAAATGGTATTTGGGAATGTTATTAGTATGTTATGGGAGGGCCTCTGATAACAAAATTTCTATCAGCTCCTTGAACTCAGTATTAAGGCGGGTTTAAGTGCGCCACCATTGAGCGTATGAGTCGAACAGGAGGGGACATCAAGCTGTTTCCGTCCGGTTTCGAACCGGGGACCTTTCGCGTGTGAGGTGAACGTGATAACCACTACACTACTGAAACTCACGGGACATGCGGGATGGGTACGCAGCGCCCAAATCACCTGCTTTCCAAATGCCAAGATTTCAGATGCTAACAAACAGTTTTTCGATTGTCGTGGGTTCTGAACGCAGTTCCATAACTTGACTTCTTCTTGCAATGAAACGGGGTGTCCATGGGAAGTAGTGCTCTATAAGTTGCTCCATTGCATCTTGTCTGTCATCTGTTGCCACGATTGACACTGTCATTATTTCTGACACTCTGTTGGCAACGAATGTGCGGAACCTAGTTGTTTCATTGTTGATGTTCTTAAGAACAGCCGTGCTATCTGTCCATAGGACGGAGTCCGCAAGCTGCAGCTGCGACTGTAGCTCTCTCTTCGACATCATTTCCGTGCGCCCTGCCATGGTTGCGGCTGTTCATTCCAAGCGGGGAACTCAGCGATGTCCGCGCTCGACATGCTGAAAGTGAGTCCTCGTTAGTATAGTGGACAGTATCTCCGCCTGTCACGCGGAAGACCGGGGTTCGATTCCCCGACGGGGAGATTATTCCTTTGCTCCAGCAGCTGATTTTAAGC